CTACGCCCAAAAACATGGTATGCGCATTTTTAGATGTCAAAAGACCGTCTTTTTGGTCACAGCGCTTTTTTACCCGTGAAATGTCCATCTTCTTTGTGTCAAAAAGGCATACAAAAACTGAATCTTTTTGGCAACAAAAGCCCTCTCTTTTTCAGCTCTTTTTCAGTGGCAAAAAGACGTCTCAAAAGACCGTCTTTTTCGACGTCTTTTTGGCCCCAAAAACATGCTCTTTTTCGACGCAGAATGACCATCTTTTTGAGCACCTTTTTGAGCGTCTTTTTAAGCATGTTTTTGCCCCCAAAAAAATCGCCTTGCCACTCGTGTTAACTACCGTGCCAATGTCTTCACCATTTGGCTGGAAAGATGAACTTGAGCATTGAAAGTGACCGCCGGCATTATATCACATTCCAGAGATGCATTGAAGAATCTGGTTATTGAAATCTGAAGGTCGAAGAAGAAAAAGGTACGGTGCGAATACTACAACTACTAAAAGGTGATTACAAAAAAGTCGAGTCCATACTAAGGTAGATGAGGGTATCAAAGATGCGAAGAAACAAAGAACACGACAGAGATGATGAGAGATACAGCGATGAGAGGAAAGAAGAATACGGGATATCAAACAAGCCATGTCGGTAACAGTCTTACAAGAAACCAACCAAGGAGCGCGGTGCAGAGCATGCAGCTGCTAGCAGGCGGCTACCCACCTTCGTCAAGTTGCAACGACGAGACGCTTCGGTCGTCTTCGTCATCTTCGTTGCTGAGGTCTTCTTCATTTCAGCCAGCGTCCGCCTCGTCTTCTCCGGGACCATGCAAGGCGGCACCTCGACGCGCTCGCGGTCGGCTTGCGGAGTGCGCAATTTCTTGCTGGGGAGCTCGGGTTTCCGCGCGGCAAGAGCGATAGACCGACGATGGAGTTCTTTCCGCTCGGCCTTCAGCTGTGCACAGTAGCGGGCCTGCTTCGCCTCGGCCTCGCGCTGGGCGGCGGTCTTGATCGTCGTGCGCTTGCGCTTCTTGTCGGCGAGGATGGCGTCGGGCGAGTGTGGGTAACGCTGGACGAGCTCGTCCATGATGGGCTCGGAGAAGCGCGGCAGAAGGGACTCGTCGAGAGAAGAGGAGGCAAGCTGGCGAGGAGAAGTAGAGTAGAGCTCCGGACGAGCCAGCGAAGCGTGCATGGCAGCAGTCGAAGAGTCGAGTTGCCTCAAAGCGTTGTAGGCATTCGCGTGGGTCGGCTCAGGAAGCGGCGGGGGCACGAACGGGTGGAACAGGCGTCCAAACTGCGGCGCCACAAACTCCTGAGGACCGTGGTATGGGAAGAAGGGGACGGAGTAGTTCTCGCTGTTTGGCGAGGTGTCCATCGCATCGGGGTCGGGAAGGCAGATCTCCATAGCCCACGGGTCGTCGACGTCCATGGGCTCGTCTTCTTGGATGTTAGTGACAGCGCTCCAGGTGCTCTGAGCAAAGCTCGTGAGTCAGAGACGGTACGATGTGCATCAGAAATGCACACATACCGGCAACCCGAACGCGCTGGCTGTAGAAGGGGAGGGGTTGGACGGGTTGAAGTTGAAGTTAAAGTGTGGAACACGCGCGTTGTAGGCGGCGGCGAAGGCATTGGGGTTGCAGTTGAAGGCGCTGGCGATGGTGGAGGGCTTCTGTGGCAAAGTGAGTGGAAGTTTAGAGCATACGAATGAAGAGCGTACCTGCAGCGCGGGTGCGCTAGCCTGGTTTGAGGGGAGATAAGGGTTGACGAAGGTGCGGGTAGGAGGGCGCGCGCTAGCCTGCATGGGTGGGAATGCGCTGCGGCGCACGACTACTGCATTCGGATTGGTGATGAACGCGCTGGTGGGGATGGTGTGTGTGGCAATGGTCTTCCGCGCGATGGCAGATGGGCCGGATTTGGTCCCAGTGATCGAGAAGGGCAGGGCAGCCATAGGCGCCGCATCGGCTAGGTGATTCTGCATGGATCGTCAGCTACGTCCCTTCCCCCAGGACCGCGAGTAAGCTCACGGTGACATCCTTGAGGGGAGGCTTGTTGCTGCGAGAGCCGAGCGGGATCGTGTTGGCGCCCGAGGCGAGCTGCGGCTGATTCTTGGCACCGTCCAGGACGAAGGCGGCCAAAGAGTCTGCGAGGGATTCGGGGTCCATGGTTTGATTGTTCTGAGAGCGCGGGCTTGCGTTCGAGCTGCGCTTCAGGCCAAAGTTCTCGGGGGAGGCAGCAAAGGTAGTGGAAGCAGGGGCAGTCTGGATGGACATCTCTGAATGTGTGAATTGGATGGCGGATTGGCGCTTGGCTTTCTGGTAGCGATAGACTCGATGTCTTTCTCAACTTTAGTTGGGAAGTATAGGAAGGGTCTTCCTACACAAAGCGCCGCCGTATTATACCTGCCCACACCCCAGGTCAAAGCCTGCATATGTCAAGAAGGTCGTGGCATTGTGAACCAGAAGGGTCACAAAGGTACTGCTTCTTGCAGGCTTCGACGACATACACCGTACGCCTCGTGCTGATGATGAGCAAATTGTCAATTCAGTAGCGAGAAGTGGGGCACTTATCGAGGTCTATGTCACCCGCTTGAACAGCGCCCGGAGTGCTGGTTGCCATGAGGCAGGCTGTGTTTTATGTTGGCAACGGCGGGTCCTGGCTGACATCGTCTGCGGAGAGGCAGTTCTTCAACAGCATTGCGAAGGGCGTCCGGCCTGCCGCTGAGCATTGTGGCAAATCGATGAGTGTGCTGTAGGCGGCGGGAACAGCAGCAGGGTAAAGCAGAACGGCATGGGTTATCGTGATCAAGCGGCGATCAACAGACTGCTTCCGCGTTGCTTCCGGTGATAGCACGCTTCTCCTTTTGGAAGCTTCCCACCGGACGCCCATAACATTTGTGGCAATCCAGCCCAGTCATCGATAGATGTCCGAGTAGACAGCTCAATGCAACTGACTAGTTATGGCCACGTCTGATTGTAGAGACCGGTCGAGTTTTGCGCAAGAAGTTGTCATTGGCAGTAACGCCTAGTATAATATGGATGCGGCAAGTAAATAAAATAAGTAGATGCAAGGTATGTTACATGTATCAACGAACGACTCTCCACTCTCAAAAGCGATGCTTTCCATCCTCACGCTGCTCCAGCCATCGCATATAACTTATCCTTGTCCCCAGACTCGTCCACAAGCGACTTCAAGATGCCACCGCGCTTCCCTAGTAACTCCCGCGGACTCGCAAACTCGACCAATCGGCCAGCATCAAGCACCATCTACAGAGCTGTTAGTTGCGTATAGTAAGAGGACGATAAGCGACTCACGATTTTATCCGAATCCATGATCGTCTGCAAACGATGCGCGACGGTGATGAGCGTCACGTCGGCAGGCAGGTTCTTCCGGAGCGACTCCTGGATGATGTTGTCCGTCTGGTAGTCGATCGCCGACGTCGCCTCATCGAGAATGAGCACCTTGCTGCCGCGTACGAGTGCGCGAGCAAGAGCGAGGATCTGCCTCTGCCCCACTGACAAGTTGCTGCCACCGCTCGTAATCGTGCTGTCCAGCGTGATGCGACCCTCGTCCATGTTGCTCTGCAGCGCGAAGAGGCCCGCGGAGCGCAATGCGTCATTCAGCGCCGCGTCGTCGTGCTCGCCGGCAGGGTCGAGGTTCTCGCGCAGTGAGCCAGCGAGGAGCTCGGGCACCTGGGGGATGATCGTGATGTTCGAGCGCAGCGAATCGAGGTTGACGGCGTGCGTCTCGAGGCCATCGTAGAAGATCTTTCCCTCGGTCGGGATGCAGCGGAGGAGAGACAGGGTTAGCGAACTCTTGCCCGACCCGGTACGTCCGACGACGCCGACGCGCTGACCGGACTTGATGTCGAAGCTGAGGTCCTTCAACACCTTCGGGCCGTCGACGGAGTACTTGGCGCAGAGCTTCTCAACGCGCAGTTCACCGCTGGACGGCCAGTATGCGGGAGGCTTGCCCTGCTGGGTGGGCTTGGGCTCCTGCTCGACGTCGAGGTAACCACGGATACGCTCGAGACTGTTGCCTGGAAGAACGGAGTCAGATAACCTAATACTCATAGGCAAGCCAAGTACTCACTCTCAACCTCAAGTTCATTCGCGATACGGACCCAATTCAGGATGAGCTCGCTCAAACCGACAGCCATGTTAAGCGAGAAACCGGTGGAAGACGAGCTCCGCGCGCCCTGAACGTAGACCAGGTACGCCGCAAGTGACGCTGTGAGCAGCGCACCCAGGTTCTGCACGCGCACCGAGATCCAGCGGTTCAGGTTGTACATATTGCGCACAGGGCGAATATACCCGTCGAGGCGGTGCATCGACTCTGCCTTGAAGCGCTCCTCGACACCGTATGCACGGATCGACGGCAAGCCCGATATCGTCGTCCCAAAGTGCGCAAGCACCGGCGCACGCGCGTTCGACAGCTCGCGCTTGACCGACAGCTGCGCCTTGATGTACACCTGGCCGCAGAACCCACCGATCATGAAGACGATCGCGCCGGTGAGCAGGAAGATGGGCGTCATGACCACGACGGCGATGAGCTTGGCGATCATGGTGACCGTGCTCTCGCAGAAGAGGTACAGCTGGTTCTGCACGCCGTCATCGATGGAGCGGATGTCCTGCGTGCAGCGCGCGATGACGCGGGAGGTGGGCGTGATGTCGAGCCAGCGGAGGGTGCTGCCGAGGATGCTCTCGAGGAGCTTGGTGTGGATGGCGCGGGACGCTTTGAGGGCGGCGAGGGTGTAGCAAATGTACACGATGCAGTTCATGACGACAGCCGCGACGACGATGAGGCCGTAGAGCCCGAGGTAGTACAGAGGCTTCACTTCCGAGGGGTCGTGCGTGTCATACTGGGATGCCCAGTGACCGAGAAACCAGGTGATGGAGACGACGGTCGTCTGTACCATGCCCATGCCGAGGAGGAAGAATAGGAAGAAGATGTACGGGTGCTCATTGCTCATGCCGGCCAGGTAGAGCTTGAAGGCGCCCCAGCTTATATGACCAGTCTGACCGCTAGTCAGCGCGAGTGCAGGAGCAGAACATACCCACGACATACCTCGACCTCTTCCGCCAAAATGAGCTTGCCGTCTGACACAGGCTCCGCGGGGCCCGCCTCCTGAGCAGGCGCAGCAGCAGCTGGTGCAGGAGCAGCCTCACCCTTCTCTTCCTCGACCTCCTTCTCGTGCTCCTTCTCCAGTTCCTCCTTGATGAGCTCCGGCTCATGCGAAAAGACATCGGAGGGCGCGCCATGCGAAGAGACCGAACCGTCGACGTGCAAGCAGACCACATACGACGCAACTGAGCGCGTCATGGCGATGTTGTGCGTCACAAGGATAACCGTGCGGCCCTTCACCAACTCGCTGCGCAAACACTTCTCGACGATCCACTTCGCCGTGTGCACGTCGAGCGCCGCGAGGATGTCGTCCAAGAGCAGGATCTTCGCCGGAGAGTAGATCGCGCGAGCGAGTGTGATGCGCGCCTTCTGGCCACCAGAGAGCGTCAGCCCCTTCTCGCCAACCTCCGTCTGGTCACCCGCGCCGAAGAGCTCGAGGTCGCGCGCCAAGCCGCAAGCCTCGATGACACGCCTGTAGCGGTCCTCGTCGTAGGCGTAGCCGAAGATGACGTTGTTCTTGATCGTGTCGTTGAGCACCCAGGCCTCCTGCGCTGCGTACGCGACACCGTCCTCGCGCGGGAGGCTGAACCAAGAGTCGGGGACAGTGGGAACGAAGTGCATCTCGCCCAGAAGCGCCATGAGCAAGCTGGTCTTGCCCGAGCCGGTAGGTCCGACGACCAGGTTGACCTGACCGGGCTTGAATGTGACCTCGCCATCAACGGAGAGCGTGAAGCCGCTCTTGGCCGGTGAGCTCGTACCACGGTGCGCGTCGCCCGACGACCATGAGAACTTGGCGTTCCGGAAGCCGATCTTGTCCGAGCGCTCGATCTCGTCGACGACGGTCAGAGGCAAGGTGGCCGCATCCTTCGACTCTGCGCAGTACTCATCGAGCAGCTCAGTGTTCTTCAAGAAGTCGTTGATGCGGTCGGCAGAGACCTTCGCTGACATCGCGGCAGTGAGCTCCAAACTGGTCATGTACAGGTACTCCTGCAGCCGGTCGAGGAGGGCCATCGTCGAGAACACAACAGACGCGTTCAGCTCCTTGCCCATGAAGAGGGTGTAACAGCTGTACGTCGTGCCCATGGTGATCAAAGGCGAGGTGAACGAGAACATCCGGCTTCCAAAGTTCAAGAGCCGACGGCGCCAGAGCCAGGTGAGCTCTAACGACAATGTGAGCCAGTGTCACCAGTACATCGTGAGTTTACTCACCCTCCTCGCGGCGGTCGTCGATCTTGCCTAGCGTCGTCTTCTCCCAGCCGAAGAGCTTGATCATGCGGATGACGTTCATCGTCTCGGAGACAAGCTGGATGCGCGCGTCCGCCTTCTTCAAGCGCTCAGTCTGAACTACCTGGATCTGCTTGGCTATCCACCCGGGCACGACCATCATGGCAAGGATGGTCGCAAACGAGACGAAGGCACTATGAACAATGTCAGCGTACGCGCAATGAAAGAGGAAAGAGTTACTTACGCCCAACCAATGATCACATAGAGGAAGGCAATGGTAATGGTGATCTGGAAGGGGACGATGAAAAGCAGCACGAAGTCGCGCGCAGCCGTCACGTTGGCCAAGTCGGTGGTGACCAAGTTGTTGATCATGCCGACAATGTGCTGGCCGTTATCCGCCTTCTGGGCCTCCTTCGCCGGCTCCTCATTGGCAGCCACCGTGCGCGTCTCGATCGACGACGCATCACCGACAGTCTCCTCGTCCTCGCCAGCCTCGCTCGACGCGGCCGAAGGTGCCTTCTTCGGGGCCTCCGACGGCATTGACGAACCAGCCGAGTCGGCCTTCATGCGGATGCGCAGCGCGTGCTCGTACAACAGCTGCGTGATCATGCTGTCTGCCTGCGCGAAGTTGTGCGTCGAGATGTAGAGGAAGGTGTTCAGCGCGAGCGACATCAGGGAGGGGCCGATGAAAAGCCACATAATCCAGAACCACGGGCGCATGGTCGCGCCCTCGCCGTGCGTCTCGAAGTAGCTGAGCAGGTTGAAGATGCCGAGTGGCGCGGCGAAGGTCATGACGCCGTAGAATAGCATGCTGGCGGTCATGGTAGCGAGCTCGACACGGAAGACGCGCAGCAGGTTCCAGATGATGTGACGGTCCTTCGCCCCGGAGAACTTATCGAGATGCTAGAGGCTATGGGTCAGATCGCGTACAGAGGAACTTATTGAAAACATACAGGGAACGCCCTCTTCTTCAGGTTGGCGGCGTAGTCGAAGTCGGCATTGGGAGGTAGGTCCTCCTTCGTCATGTGCGCCACCTTCTGCGCTTTCCAAAGCACACAGTCCATGTAGGAGAAGGTAGCTAAGGAGAGGATCGATGCCGTCTGTTCCGGGGCCGTCTCCGTCTGGGGGTGCTGGAGAGACGTGAGGCAGAGTTTCGACGACCATAGGAATGCCTTACCTCTGGGTCCACCGAAGTATATATCCGCGGAATGCACACTGGCACCGCAATGCCCGTCAAGAACATGAGAGCGATCTTGCCCCATAGGAAGTCGCCCTCCGCCTCATCACGAGGTGATAGCGTGTAGGTGGCGAGCGGGAAGAGATCGCGATAGAAGTATACGCCAGAGAATACCAAAAGCAGTACAGTTGCATGACGGGAAGCGATCTTGCTCGTCCATCCAGTCGTAAATGTGTTCAAACAGGTCAGGAAGGTGATGTATGCAGTTGTTATGATAGACGCAAGCTGCACACGCTTGTCGGGAAGAGGCGAGGCGATGAACAGCGACATGAGGGTGATGGCCCCTAGGAAGCGAATGAGGCTGTAGGTGAAGATTGCGCAACCACCGCGGCGAGCAACGAAGTGCTGCAGTCGTGGGGTAAGACCAGACGGTGTCTCTTCCGCATTGTCATCGCCGGGAGTGCGTCTTGAGCGCCAGTAGTGGATCGCGGAGTGGAGGGCAAGCCATGCAGCAGACGCGGCAGCAAGATACGAAGGAACGACTCTAGAATCACGCCAGACATCGTCGCCGGAGCTTGTGATGGAGCTACCAAAGGATGAGTATTCTATCCAAGAAAGAAGAAAGAAGCATGGACGCACAAGCTCTCAGGCGTCGTAAACCAGGGTACATCTAGCAGACTGCTGAAGGCAGCCTGACTTGCCCATGGCGCATCAAAATGGGTCTGCGCAAGTCGACCCTCCATCGTGGCGGAGTAGACAAGGCTTTGGGGGACTAGCGGAAACCTTCACCCTCCGCAACGGATTGCTATATAGCATCTGTGCTTATTGCCTACTGGCCGCGAGGGGAACTTCATGATTTCCGGAGGTAAGAGGTCTTTGATGTGACGGTCGTCGTGTTGCATCAGACTCGACTGGGTTAGGCGGCGCTGCTCTCGGCCATGAAACATGGCTCCTCAACGACATTCCGTGTTGAAAGGAGTGGCAGCGCTGTGATCGACGAAGAGGACAAGACATTGAAGACGCGAAGGCGGCACGGTGACGCTGCAGTACAGCGAGCCAGAGTTCCCACGCCACCACGAATCAAGTTTCCTTTCCCACGTCAACGTTCATCCAAGGCAGCCGTCAACCGTACTGTATAACTAGTCTGTAGCATCTATGAGATCAAGCAATAGAGTGAGTCTGCCCAGGATTTTACAGCGCTTTTTCAAATCCAACAGTTATTATATTTTGGTGAAAGTTCTTCCCGAACGCTCGAAATGTTTGGGAGGGCCGGCAGAAATTACTTCGGACGCGCGATCTACTCATGATATCACAACCTGGCCCGCCCTCTGGCACGACGACTGTCGCTCCTCCGCTCTCCCAAGCTTCACTACAGGGCACGGTTCGATTGCCTGGGCCTCACCCACCGCTTTCTCAGTGTCCAACGCCGGCCTTCGAGCATACACAACCTATAAGGTGCTGGAATGGGCGTCGGGATTTTTGGCAAATATTTGAAGATCGCCGTGAAGTTCATTGTCTTTGATACAAGAAATTCGTGAAAGAACATTGCTTTTGAGGTTGTTTTTCGTGTAAAATCCTAGGCAGACTCACTCTAATATGTATATAGTCCGAGTCTACTCTACACCCGAGCCTTCCCTTCCGCCATTGCGTACAAGGTGGCCCTGTCCCCGGACTCGTCCACGAGCGCCTTCAATCGCCCACCCTCCTTTTTGAGCAACTCGGCGGGGCTGTCGAACTCAGCCTGTAAAGACGTGGTCAATCAAAGTCCCATTGATGTCATACAGACCACTTACAATGCGACCAGCGTCGAGGACCAGCTGCAAACCAACGCATGAGCAACGTGTTCCGTTAGATAGGTGCTCACTCACAATCTTGTCTGCGTCCATGATGGTCTGCAGCCGATGTGCGATGGTAATGAGCGTCACATCGTTCTTCAAGTTTTGGCGCAACGACTCCTGGATGATGTTATCCGTCTTGTAGTCGATCGCGGACGTTGCTGCAAGATAACTATGAGCGACCGCCAGCTGCATGAAGAGCAAGCATCTTACCCTCGTCGAGAATCAGCAGCTTGCTTCCGCGGACGATGGCACGGGCAAGAGCCAAGATCTGACGCTGACCAACGGACAAATTACTTCCACCGCTCGCGATGGCGCTGTCCAGGGTGATGCGGCCCTCGTCCATGTCACTCTGAAGTGCGAAAAGACCTGCCGAGCGCAGTGCATCGTTCAAGACCGCATCGTCATACTGGTCGAAGGGGTCCAGGTTTTCGCGAAGCGTCCCACTAAGGAGCTCGGGCTATGAGAGTGGTCAGCAACCGTGTTCCTACCACAATCAACACGCGCACCATCTGCGGGATGATGGTGATATTCGAGCGCAAGGCATCCAAGTTGACGCTCGACGTGTTCAATCCATCATAGTACACCGCTCCCTCCGTTGGAATGCAACGCAACAGCGACAACGTCAGCGAGCTCTTGCCCGATCCCGTGCGACCAACAACGCCGATGCGCTGGCCGGAGGTGACCTCGAAGTTGATGTTTTTGAGGACCAGCGGACCATCCTTCGAGTATCGAGCGCAGAGGTTCTCGACCTTCAGGGAGCCGCTGGCAGGCCAGTACGCAGGCGGCTTGCCTTCCTCGGTAGCCTGTGGCTCTTGCTCGATGTTGAGGTAGTGGCCGATACGCTCCAAGCTGTTCCCCTCAATCTCCAACTCGTTTCCAAGGCGCACCCAGAACAAGATGAGCTCGCTGAACCCGACCGCCATATTGAGAGCGAAGCCAGTCTGCGATGACCCCCGCGTGCTCTTCTCCCACAGCAGGAAAGCACCGAGGGAGGCAGCCAGGATCGACCCCAGGGTCTCAATACGTACAGACACCCAGCGGTTGAGGTTGTACAGCGGACGCGCAAGACGCATATAATTGTCCAGGCGGCTCATGGACTCGTTCTTGAAGCGTTCTTGTACGCCGTACGCACGGATGGACGCTGGAAAATATGTCAGAGACTGTGCTATGATCGGAGAGTTGCAACGCACTCAGTCCAGCAGTCGTGGCGCTGAAGCTGTAAGGATCTCGTCAGCAAAGTTGACATCCACATGGAACAATCAGCACGCACTGTCCGAGCACAGGCGCCTTCGCGTTAGACAACTCTCGCTTGATGGAGAGCTGCGCCTGGATGTACATCTGACCGAGGAAGCCACCCATCATGAAGACGATAGCGCCCATGAGCAGGAATATCGGAGTCATAAGGCAAACGGCAATGAGCTTCGCGATCATCGTGACAGTCGTCTCTGAGAAGAGGTAGAACATGTGCGAGACAGTATCGTCCACTGCGAAGGTAGCAAAGTCAGCGTTAGAGTATTTCAGTAGGAAAAGCACCTACTGGAACGGATGTCCTGCGTGCAGCGAGTAATCACTAGACACGGTCGTTAATTCTCGAAGACACGCGGATAAGACGACATACCTCGCGCGGTCGGAGTGACGTCCAGCCACCTCAGGGTGCTGCCCAGAATCGACTCGATGAGTCTGTAGTGAAGCCTGCGCGATGCCCGAAGGGCCGCCACGGTAAAGAATACGACGACCACGACGTTCATGAGAACGCAGACGATGACGATGAGCGCATAGAAGCCCAGGTAGCTAACGAAGACCATGAGCATCGCAGGTAAGGTCAACAGCATGCAAAACTCACAAGAGCGGGTCAACCTCCGAAGGGTCATGCGTCTCGTACTGCGACGCCCACCAGCCAAGGTAGTAGGTGATGGACACGAAGAGGGACTGCACCATAAGGATCCCGAACAGGAAGGCGAGCAGGAAGATGTACGGATGGTCACCGCTCATCGCCGACAGGTAAAGCTTGAGCGCGCTCCAGCTGAGATGACCGGTCTCGACCTCCTCCGCGACGATAAGCTTTCCGTCGCTCTTCGGGGCTGCCTGGTCGTCAGCGGCAGCGGAATCGTCTACCACTTCCTCGGCCTTCTCAATAGCGGCCTGTTCCTCCTTCTCTTCTTGTACGAGCTCTGGCTCGTGAGCGAAGACTTCTTGGGTGGTGCCGTGAGAGGAGACGCAGCCGTCGGTATGGAGCGCCACGGCATACGCAGCAATGGGGCGGGTGAGAGCAACGTTGTGAGTCTGGAAGAGGTCCCTAGGTCAGGCTCTTTCCAAGCACATCAACTTCCCTACGCACCACCAGGATGACGGTACGACCCTTCACGAGGTCGCCGATCAAGCACTTGTCCACGATCCACTTGGCCGTATGAACACTGGCAAAACATCAGCTGAATAGACCTGATGAGATCATAGTACGCACTCCAGCGCAGCGAGGATGTCGTCCAAGAGGAGAACCTCCGTCGACGAGTAAATAGCGCGAGCCAGGGTGATACGAGCCTTTTGACCACCGGACAGAGTAAGACCTGATGAATACTGTCAGCGTTGAACACTGTTGGTCAAGACGCGGAAGCGTACCCTTCTCGCCGACTTCAGTGTTGTCACCAGCATCGAAGAGTTGCAGATCACGCTCGAGTGCACACTGGTACAGGACCTTCTTGTATCGCTCCTCGTCCCAGGGCGCGCCGAAGATGATGTTGTTCTGCAACAACTATCAGCAAGTGTCGACAAAAACACATGCATATTGCTCGCCTTGATTGTGTCGCTCAGAACCCAAGACTCCTGTGCTGCGTACGCCACACCGTTCTCCCTAGGCAAGTTGTACCAGGAATCCGGAACCGATGGGATGAAGTGCATCTCGCCTGTCAACGGTGAGCACACAGATCGCAGGTCGAGAATAGTCACTCACCGAGCAGAGCCATAAGCAGACTCGTCTTGCCTGCGCCCGTAGGCCCTACTATCAAGTTGACAACGCCCTTCCTGAACAAGACCTCGCCCTCGATCTTCAACAGGAAGTTTCGCTTCGACGGCGTCAGGGAGCCGCCAGTATCGTCGGACCAGGTGAACGTTGCGTTCTTGAAGCCGATCTTGTCCTTCCGATCATCGTCTTCGCTGGGCTGGAAGAAGGTTGCCTCCGGGTGCTTTGGTGCGTATTCATCCAGGAGCTCAGCCTGTGGACAGTCAGTTGAAATCTTTGAGGGGGAACATCATGAACGCGTACGTTCTGCAAGAAATCGTTGATACGATCGGCAGAGACCTTCGCGGAGATGGCGTCTGTCAATTCGAAGGTGGCCATGAACAGGTACTCCTGCAAACGGTCGAAGACCGACATGGTACTGAACACAATCGACGCATTCAAGGTCTTCTTCATGAAGATCGTCTAAATCAGTGTCAGTTCAAGTTCAATGTATTCCCCGCATTGGACATACGCTGTCGAGGATGTCAGTAAATGCTTGACGGGTAGAAAAAGCGAGCTTACTAGGTCATGTAGGTCACACCCATAGTAATCAGAGGTGAGATCATGCTTTGGACAAACCATCAAAGCTCGGTTGTAACAGGTTGCACCGTCCACTCACGCGAAGATACGATTAGAAAAGTTAAGGATGCGACGGCGGAAGAGCCAGGTCATCTCTTCAGAATTGTTGAGTATTCCAAGGACCAAAGAGTACTATTCAACACGTACCTTGCTCACGCTTCTGGTCCACCTTGTCAAGCATCCTCTTCTCCCAGCCGAACAACTTGACCATACGGATGACGGTCATCGTCTCCGAGACCAGCTGTACACGACCGTCAGCGCGCTTGAGACGCTCCTGCTGCGTTTGTTGGATCTTCTTGGCGACCCAGGTCGGGAACGGCAGCATGAGGAGGATGGTGGCCAATGAGACGAAAGCGCTGTAATTCTCGTCAGCTTGTAAAAGCATGCCGTTGACCGCTGTGAGTACCTCCATCCAATGATCTTGTACAAAAAGGTGATGGTGATGGCAATTTGGACCGGCACAATGAACAAGATGATGAAGTCGCGCGCCAGCGTCACGTTCGCAAGGTCGGTCGTCACAAGGTTATTAATCTTGCCGACAAGGTGCTGCGACGAAGAATGCGTCTCCTCGCTGGCCTTCTTGTCCTTCGTAGACGAAGCGCTCTGAACAACCGTAGTGCTGGTCTGAGTGTTTTCTGACGAGCTGACGCTTGCCGTGTCAGCGCCTTCTTCCGGTGAGTCCGGCGCAGGTGGGCTGGGAGCACGAGAAGGAGCGCTGGTCGGAGTCTCCGCCTTCATACGGATGCGCAGAGCGTGCTCGTACAGCAGCTGGACGATGATGGTGTGCGCTTGGGCGAGATTGTGTGTTGACGTGTACAGGTACCCATTCCAGGCAACCGTCATGAGCGATGGCCCGACAAAGAGCCAGATGACCCAAAACCAGGGGCGGATTGTGGCACCTTCACCTCCGGTCTCGAAATAGCTGACGATCAGGTGAGTAAAGAGCATCAGGAAGTTGGCCAACCCATACCTGAGAAGGTTGTAGATACCCAAAGGCGCCGAGAAGGTAAGGCAGCCGTATGTAATCATAAGGACGACCATCAGGAAGTACTCCTTCCGGAAGACGCGCAACAAGTTCCATATAATATGCCGCCTTTTCGCCCCAGCGAAGAGGTCCATATGCTGAGACGTCATGAGTGTTACACTTTCAGAATTACCATGTACGTAGCAGACGAACCTTGAAAGCCTTCTCCTTCAGAGGCACTGCACGATCGTAATCGGCCAGCACAGGCATATCGGCAGGCCCTAGGTGCGGCTGCTTCTGTGCTTTCCAGACGATGCCATCGATGAAAGCGAAGGTTGCGATGGACAGCCAAGACGCAGTCTGCTCTGGATTGACAGTCTACGAGCGCTGTCAGAACAACGAGTGCGTACGCAATGAGCTCTACATACCTCGCCACCTGCAGGGATCTCCAGCCTCGGCATGCAGAGAGGTACCACAAGGCCCGCTACGAACAGGAGCGCGAGCTTCACCCACAAGATTGGCCCTTCATCTTCATCGAGCGGCTTGAGAGTATACGTCGCTAGAGGCCAAATGTCCCGGTGAACGTAAACAGCACAAGTGGCGAGAAGGACGAGAGTCGCGTGCCGTGCGAAAAGACCTCTGACAGAAGCACCTCCGACGAGGGAGCCAAGAGCCAAAGCGCTAGCATACGCGTACGTGACGATGGATGCAATGTAGGCAAGCGAGCGGTCGGCAGGGAAGGACGCTGAGAGGACGAGCAACGCGATGGTGCACACCAGCCGGAGGAATCTATAGGCGAAGGTAGCCGTACCACCGACGCGTGCGACATGGTCTTTGAACGGGGATGTGGTGGTGGTGATGACCTCGGCCTGTTCCTTGTTTTCGGAGGGGGTTCCCCTTATACGCGCGTACGCGACATGCGAGGCCAGAAGGAGTACGGAGACAAGAGCAGCACAAATTGGCACTGTACGCGTGTCGTACCAAGAGTCCGATGGTATGCTGGCCGTACTGAGCGCGAGGGAGTGGTTAATGATCGGTCTATTTCCTGTGAATAACACGCACGGTAATTCAGACTCTCCCAACACACTGTACGGTGCTTCAGACGCTCCGAAGAAAGCCTGACTTGACGGCAGGCCAGACGCGCTAAACGCGTCGATCCCCCAGCCGAAGGACCTCATGAAGGTCGTGAACAAGGGCAGGATGGGACTTCCCGAGGAACGCGCTGGTGCGGGGTGAAATCAAGCGCCAGGTACTTCAATTAGAGCAGGATGAGTCAAGCCATTTATCTTATCGCTTCGGGCGCTTGCCGCTCACCGAACCTGACCAGCACGCGATGGCCGAACGGGCACTTAAAAGCCTCGGAGTGCTGGCGAGTATCCTGGTGGTCGTCGCAGGTCGTAGCGACGACGTGGAGTGATCTTGCAGCGTATGCAGGTGGAGGTCTGCACAGGACATGGTGCTGGCTTTTTGGCCGCCATGCTTGCTGACTCGCTCTTGTTTGCTGACTCGCTCTTGCTCACTTGTCGTGCCTTTACGTTCTGACTCGCGTCCTATTGACCAAATGAAGGGCGTATATTTGGATTTTGGCCGCGTTTCGGGTTGGAAAGCATGTGCAGCGGTGTGCAGTCGGTAGGATCATGATCAAGGAAGATAGCGCAAGAGAACGCCGAAGTCCCCTGTTCAGTCGACCGGTCCGACTCAGGCGGCATATGACTCACATAGATCTTCGGGCTCGTTCCCCCAGGGTTGTCGAGCGGGTAGCACTAATTTTGAAGCAGAGAAAAAAAGGCTGCATGAGGAAGAGCCGGACTGGGAGTAGTTTACTGACCGAGACATCAACAGAAAGTGAGATGTGTTCGTGGGCGTTCACCCTCGTAAATAACTTGGTCCATCACCTCGGTGCCAGCCTAGCGGCTAGCTATCGCGCCACCGTGTAGTCCATCCATTGTTCATGGCACAGAGTCCATTGAAGTCCAGCCACATCGACAACGTCCACCGATTATGCCTCTATTCGCAACGGACGCCATACAGCACTCATCTTCAGCTGCCCGCTCGTCGAACCAGTAAGCGGCCACCACTCAACCCCATTCTCCTTCCCCTCCAGCAGATCGTCCAAACGAATCGTGACTTGACCCAAGTTGTGATCCCCGCTCACGATCCTCGCCGTGATGGACATCCTTTCCCTGTCCGCGCAATACAGTTCGTGACTCGCCAGCCACACGGGCGCATCGGATTGGACGAAGGGTCTTGTCTGGAAGACGGGCTTGCCTTCTTGGTTTAGGAGGATCTGAACGCTTGCATTGATGGGCTCCGATAGGCCGCCTCCGCTCAAGTCGCGAGCTTGTATGATGAGAAGGCGCGCGACGCCACTCCCTGAAGACGATCAGCCCACAGTTGCGGTATAGTGATGGACATGCACACAGGTATAGGGCTCGTGTGAGTCGACAGGCGCGAGGGGATGGAAGGACGCGTCCAGTAGTATCTCGCCAGTTGGCTTCGTATCCTTCGCCAGAGGCCTGTTGATCGCAAGTAGAGTGTGCTCATGCTCGAGGGGGGCAAGGTCCAGCGCCGTTCCTCCTAGAAAGGTATGCTTGAAATGACGATGGTAATCGTACACTCCGAGATGTAGCCTGTCGGTAAACGATCGGACAAGGATCGTCAGCGTCTCCATCCAATGTGGGTTCGTACTAAAGCAGCTTCGTCAGATACCTCAGAGGGGGACAAGGAGTGACATCCGCACCTATCATTCGAGGCCTTCGTCCGCGCGATCTCATCCCCCAGAAACCTAGAGACTTTCACGTAGATCTCGGGCGACAAGCCCTGCCGAAAGCTGCTCTTGACGATCTGTGCTGACTGCACATTCAGCTTGAGGACACCTATGGCCTCGATATCCTCGCTGAGCATCGGTGGCGGTTCGCGAGCAAGTAGTGGTGGTTAAGGACCTCCGTCATCATGGCTGTAAAGGACAAGCAGGCACGCTTGCGAGGAGCGCCCTTTCTCACGACGATGGCGGACTGCATGGACGACGTCAGAAAACATAACTCGCTTGCATAGTGCTCGGTCGGTGTGCTAGCTGCACCGGAGTCGAATGCCTCGGGTACGAAGCGAGATCTATCGAGAGCAATGAAGCAAAAAGCCCACCGCGAGGGTCGAACTCGCAGCCTTCAGATGTTTCACTGTTCGTAAAAGTCTGACGCTCTAGCCGATTGAGCTAGGCGGGCTCGATAATAAGCACTACACCGCCTTCTCTATCGCGTTGTCTAAGCTGCCCAGACGCACCTTGCGCGCGATACATCTCTTCCCTGCTCCCGCCCGCGCACAGATAACCTGTGGTAAAACACATGAAATAGCAACAAAGCAATGCGACAGACACAATACACAAGAAACAAGGATCTGGACGATGCATGACTAGACCCCAACCCTATGAACAACCTTTTTCTGCAGAGGGAGTCAGTACGCTGCCACTCCCAAAGCACGATATACGTTACCTGAGACGAGAACCGTATGATCTCCCTCTTCTCGAGCACAAACAGTGTACGCTCAAGCGCATGACTCGAGTACCCCTGCTGAGTTACGAACTCCTTGACTAAGCTCTGGTAGCTCGTACTCCAGCCGACGGGCAGTCGTCGCTTGATCTCCTTCTCTATGCGGGTCATCTCCTCGTTAAGCTCGCCGCGCGACATGCCGTCGGCGGAGCCGGCGGTGACGGCGTCCATGGTGGAGAACTTGAAGAGTCGGATTGCCTCTTCGACGTGGTGGTTCTTGACCACGGGAGACAGGGTCATCTTCGCGAGCGACTCGGATATCCGGATGATAGCCTCGAGCTGACTGGGAGAACGGTCAGCTGCTGCGACCCTAGCCAGTAAGACGAGCTACCTACCGAACAGTGATGGGGATAGAACTTCGCTCATTGTTATCCTGCTCAACTTGCTGCACCTCCTTGCGCAAGCTCACAAAGTGACTGCTCAGCATATCCTGTGCGTCAGCGGAAAGACGAGGTGCGCATTTGCTGCAGCGAAAGGTCAGCGTCTCGAACGAAACCCAGGCTGAATGTCACTTACCCCTTGCAGTACGCAATGTATCGCCTCATCTTGTCCAAAGGCAACTCGCCCATCTCCTCGCCATTGTCCTGTCCAGGACGATTCATGTGGATGTTCAAGACATGCTTCGCGATCATCTGAGGGTATCGTGAGCACCGTCGCTGAGTATTGAAGGATTAGGGCGGACTAACCTTGTCGCGCTGCTCGTTGTGCTCGTCCTTGACGATGAAGATCATGTCGAAACGTGACAAAATTGTCGTTTGGAAGTCTATGTTCTGCGAGGGGTAAGCCTGCGGCCCACTATAATCATTCGAATAGACTCACCTCGCCCGGACTGCGCCCTTCGTCATATCGACCGAAGACAGGGTTGGCGGCTGCCAAGACGCTGGTTCGGGAGTTCAAGACGGTTGTGATGCCAGCCTTCGCAATAGAGATGGTCTGCTGCTCCATCGCTTCGTGAATAGCGACTCGGTCCTCGTCTCGCATCTTGTCGAACTCATCGATGCAGACGACACCCGTATCGGCCAAGACCATTGCGCCACCTTCCAGAAAGAACTCGCGCTACGGTAGACAATGCCTCAGACGACTTCTCGCAGGACGCACGACAACGACCCACCGTATTCGTGTCTCGTTGTACCGAAGCGGTCAAACCTGCAGCACTGGAGCCCTTGCCGGATGTATACACAGCAATGGGTGCGACCTGATAGCGAGGTCAGTCTGGGTCCAACCCGAACGTAAAAAACCGTACCTTCTCGACGAACTTCAGAAGCTGACTCTTGGCCGTTCCCGGGTCACCCAGCAAGAGCACGTTGATATCGCCTCGCAAACGCATGCCGTCGGGAAGAACCTTCTTCGAGCCGCCGAAGAGCAAACATGTTATGGCCTTTTTAATATCTGTGCGCCACCTGTGAAAGTGCTCACGCGAATGCAAGACTTTTCGAACGAACCTAAGCTGCCGTAGATACTGGGCCCCACGCTCTTCGCGAATCGCTCGTAGAAGTTCTCACTGCGCGCCATCTCGCCAAACTCTTCCTCCTCTTCGGGGCTGAACTGCAAGCCGAACGGGTTCGAGCCTGCACCTGCGCCTGCGGCAGACATTGTCTCCAGATGCACGACGCGAATGTACGGCTGTCGCAAGGCAGCCGCGTTGTTGCTCCTCTGAACTAGGTGAGTTTTTGAAGAACGAGAATCGGCGCGTTAAGCACTCACGTTCTTAGTAGATTGGAAGGTTGAGAATATACCGGTAACAACAACGCGAGAGCCCGGCACGACTTTGCCTGTTAAGTTTCTGTCGGCTGACAGGAGTAGGTGTCGAGGGAGTTCTCCGACGGGGACCATATCTGGTGCTTCTTGCAACTTCAAGGTCTGTTGGTCCGCGAACGTCGACTTCGGATGGATGATCAAGTACGGGTCGAGTGGGCAGTCCTTGGGTTGTCCAGCCGTGTCATTGTTCAGGCATTTGCGCGGAAGAACGCTATCGGAGCCACCAATCCCAGCAGCAGGGTGTACGATATGAACATGCCGACACGATCGACACTGCAGGTGCAGCTTCGTTGCGCGCGAGGAGAGAACGGAGGCAGAGATGACAATGCCCGGCACGCGTACGAGCTTGCTCATCACGTCGGCGGTTAATTCGCGGAATTGCAGCATGTTAAGACCAGAGCGTATGGTGACTTGGACGCGGGGTATGGCCTCCTCCATGATCTCGTTCTGCTGCTGGTCGGTCTGCTTCATGAGGGGGAACAAAATTGAGCGAGCTGCACGCGTCGCCGCGTTCTCAAACTATACGGCGTTGTCAGTCTTGATCCTCCCATATAATGGGACCATCACGCACTAGTGGCAAGACATCTGAGGGTCGATCCTGGATCGAGTGCGCCAATTCGTCGTTGTACAAGCCAACGTGCCTCAAGTCCACCTCTAGCAGATGTTGCTTGAGAAGCAAATTCGCACGCAAATTGTCTCTGGACAGGAGTCAGATATAATCCTTTGAGCCTGCTCGCCACGCACCTGTAGATGAAGTCCCCTCCAACGCGGTACTGCATTATAAAGTCTAGCAGTGACTTTTCCGCCTCAGATGGCAAATCAGCGGCCTGAGGGATAGCCCGCTGGGGGGTGGAGACGCTGTACACCCTATTTGCATCGAATCCAGACATGATGGAGGGGTACAACGCGTGCGGAGAGCGGGAAGATGCAAGTCTGGCGCTGTGTCCAAATGAGCGCGTCGCTCGTTTGCACGTGCGCCAAGATCACTTGAGGGCCGGCTCTTACGCGTTAACGGCGATTACTCGATTAGTGTCCGTAGATCAACATGGACCTTGGGCGAGTAGCAGACGTTGCTTGCCAGCGATATACGCTGTATATAAGGGCTCGAGAGGAATTCTATTGCTATAGGCTACGTTGGCGTATACTACATCGCTAATGGACGAAAACACAATAAATTCCCAGGTTCTTGGGCGGCCACGCACATCATTGAAGTCTTCATCAAAGGAAAAGTGTGCAAAGTTCATTGATGAACTGGGGGCCATCCTCACGTAAACCTTTGCATCGGGCGAAAAGACAGGGCTCAGGGTAGGGACGACCAAGAGGCCGCGACTGTCAGGAAATTGGGGTAAGCCTGTGGAGGGTAAAGACATGGGTTTTTGACGATGACCGCGAGATGACACTCGCGGCGCTTGGCGGGAAAAAAATCCTCAGAGCGTGAGATTGGGAAAGAGAGGGAGGATTCTTGTTGCGCATGGTGTCGGAAGCCGCTAGACGCCCGGGGGATGTTGCGTCCTTCGCGAGTTTTGCGCCCTCGTGGAAGCTGTCCGAAATGAACAAAGTTGATGTTGACTGGCCTGCACTGGGTGGGGAAGATAGAGGGTGTGTTCAATAGCGGACTGGAAGGGGCGTGGACGACGATCGCCTGCTGGCGACCGTCGAATAATAACGACGGCGGATCCATGGGGTCTGGGCAGTAGGAAAATCAACGAGACAACTAGCTGCGTTGTAGATTCGACGCACCTATACTTCGAGGATGTCTGCAAGAAGGATGCGGCTTGAGGCGCCTGTGTTTTCCGAGCCAGACGACAGATCGACAGCCCGGCTAATCCAGCCTTGTCCAGCTTGTGCTAGAAGAACAGGCGACCTGCCGAGCGCAGTCCAAGGACAACAAGATGAGAGGGAGAGGAAACAGCGAATTTTGGCGTCACGTCGACGTGACGAGCAGGGAGAGGCGGCCTGGGTATTTGCGCGTCAGAGTTCGGCCATGTTCGAAAAGGACAATGTGAGAATCACTGACGATGTCTCTCGCTTGTCTTCCCAACACGCATGGCGGTCGGAATGCGCTCTGTCGCTTTGGGCTCTAAGTCAGTCAAATTCCTCGCCAGACGAACGTCCTTGCACCCACAACCAGCACGAGTGACTCTGACGGTCTTCGCACTCTCGACCAATATTATCTGCGAATTATATTCATCTGCCAGCCCTTACCTGGGTGAACTTCCTAGTTGATGTGTAGCGCTGTCGCTGCGCGTCGAGGGTAACCTTCTTGGTGCCGTCTCCGTCTTTTGGCCCCGATGCTAGCAGCTCGTCTACGGTGTCGTGGTCCACCGGCGGGATCTCGTCTAGGCAACATATAATGCTGAAATAGAGCATTAGCTGCGGTAAAGGCAGGTATCGTTCGCAGGTTGAATTACTCACCACGGCCAGCGACCGTTTGGTTGTCTTCGCTGTTCTGAGGCCAGGTGCCATTGGCTCTGCGGGATAGACGCTCCAGCCGTCGGCACACTTGACGTGCTATGGAGCCTGACGCGGAGCGGGGGCATAGTCGAGGGAGGTCATCTCGCGGATCCTCCTGACATCACATTCTCAGACGTTCACCTCCTCTTTGGGCGAGGAGCAGAGCACTTCTACGGGCACCTATCGGCTCGGTGCCATGCATGAATTGGGTCACTATTGGCGGGAAAGTGCATTCTGTGAGTCGTTATCTTTATACGGCACGCCGTTACACTGACCAACAGCAATGTTAGCAGACCATGTCACTTCCGGAGTCCTGCGAGGGGGCACATGCAGCTTCTCTGCTCGAGGGGGCTCTCAAGTGCGGCTGGAGGCTCGCGACGTATCTGCTTGCCTGTTTTGACCTATCGCACAAGTCCGCCAAGGCGTCTTGCCAACACGGATGGGCATTGGGAGTGAGCGACATACGGTAGGCATCGAGAGGGAAGCGAGCCTACAATTGGCAGTACGCGGAACGGACAAGGCGAGAAAAAACATGCCAGCCCTGCTCGGATCGACACCGGACTTCAGCAGTTTCTCTGTTTAAGGGAATTGCGCAAATCTTTGCTGAAGTATCTGGCGACACTCGCACGCTGTCCCTTACCCTCAAGTCTCTTCTCCTTCCGGACCGCAACGCAACTCTCTACGCGCCAGAAAGGGTCCGACAAGCGGAAGGAACTTGCGAGAACGAAGGATTGCGCCGCGATGCAGCCGATGGGTCAGCCACAGGCAGGCTCCGCGGGTTTGGGGTCAGGCTCAGGTGAGGTGGTGCCTACTCCTCTACGAGCAGGAGCTGACCAAGGGGGTGTACAATGCAGCACAGCAAGCGAACGTTCAGGCTGCTGCCGCTGCCGCTCCAACCACAATCCAAAACGCCCCAGCAACACAACAGCCTTCGCCGTCAGACAATCGTCAATGCTCTGAATGCGGAAAGCACTTCTTGAGGTGCGCCGTCGTATCCTTCACCCCTCCTCCATGGTCATGACCTCTCACGCTCTGTCGAAGGCCTAGCGCCCTGGAGTCGCACATGAACAGTCATACCGGCGCCAAACGTGTGCCAATCACTCTATGCACCGTCTACTGCTAAGCGGCATTTCTTGCTCTCAGCACACAAATGCGGGGCGCCCGGCTGCGACTCGAAATTCGCGACACGCTCCAATATGCTCCGTCACCGTCGCCTGCACGGGCCTGAGGTGTGCGCGATGCTTGAGGAACAGGAGAAGCGAGAGGCTGCCGCGGCGCCGACGCCCATCATTTTCAACACGCCTATCGTGAACGAGGGCTCTGAGGAGGGCGGTCCAGGGATAAACGTGCAGTGGATGGCGCCCAACCAGGCTACAAGGCCGTACACCCGTTACCCGGATTTGCTCCCGGACGAAGGAGGATCCTCGACGGGAGGAGGATCGTCATCTTCTCAGCAAACGTAGGTGGTCATGTTCGCGGGCTTTACCTAGGTGTGTCTTCAACCTAAACGAATGTACGGCCCACTGACTTTCTGCTTCTAGTCTCTAGTATTTGTGTTGTGATGTTTGCTCGCGCTGTGCGCACCGTGTCGTCTTTGCTTATATCCATGCTATCTCCGTCATGCATTCTACTACTCATATACCGTACAATGATCGCTTTTTACCCCATGTATCATCGTCTTACTGCCTCGAGGTCATACTGTATCGATATAAGAATCACTAGTACTACTTGATATCCTGTCGCTGCCTCAACTTGATAGTCAATTAGATCCGACAAGCGAAGAACTCGCTTGACTTCAAGCTGAAAGCCGCGAGCACGACGATGGTCTCGCTGCGTGCGCCGAGCACCGCAAATGGGTGTAATATCGTGGCATGTTCTGCGTAATCATCCTCACCGTCTACACGAGGCTCTTGCCGGAGGGACGAGCGTAAGAGACCCAGAGACATGTAACATTAGCCATATAGCAAGGCAACTACAACAACACGTAAGACAAGGAATAAGAAAAATAAGATAAAAGGGCCGCCACACTGTATAACGGCGCGACCACCTAGCTCTACGCCATCTAAAGTCTAGAATACTAGATGCATGTAACAAGGTCCATCCCTCTAGGAATCTAATGAGTAGCATGGTATGCAGAGGAGATAAAGGAGTGACGAAAACGAGGGAATGCCGGACGCGAGAACATATACACAGAGGAGAGCTTGAGATATAAACATACGCATGTACGGCGAAGGTGAATTACCATTCGCCAACCACTTCGTCCGCGGGCGTCACGGTCAACCATGGGTGGTCGATCATGTCGGAGGCGCGAGCACGCTTGTGGAAATCAGGGACGAGCATAGGGAGCAAGAAATCGCAAAGGGCGTCTGCATCGGCCTCGCTATACAGATATTTCTGCATCATAACGGACTTGAGCGGCCATGGCTTAAGCGTCTTGATGTAACGTAGATGACCTGCGCACTATGAGCGAATGGGAAAGGGGACGCGAAGACTGCACGTACCATTGTGGTCGAACAGATCACGACTGTACTTGCCACCCATCTTGGCCTCGAGCTCAAAGTCGCCCAAGAGCTCGATGATCTGAGCCATGTGATCGTCGTCCTTCGTGAATAGCTCGCCCTGGCTCTGAGGATCGAACAGATACTCGGCCGTAAGGAGCTCGAAGACCTGCAGACAGATAAGAGAAGGCTCGTGTCAAACCTTAAAGACAACATACCACACAGGCGATGCTCCAGATGTCTGCCCTCGTGTCCCAGTCCTTCCTGCCGACGATGGCTTCGGGGGCACGATATTGACGCGTCTGAATGTCTTCCGTGTAATGCTTCTTCGACGGCGTCGCGTTGCCCAAATCGGCGATCTTAATCGATATGGGCGGACCGCAGAACTCCTCCACCTGCTCCAGCTCGGTCTCGAGCGATGGACGCGTCGGTATCTTCTGCGCGCCCGGCTTCGTGGGCGTGGGCGACTGCGGGCAACCAGTGGGCGACGTAGTCGGGCCTGTCAGCTCAGGAGACGTTGCCGTCGGGGTTGGTAATGAAGACGGCGACGAAGCAGCGTTAGTGCTGAGGCGCAGAGGGCTCGGGAAGCTGCATGGCGAGCCAAAGTCAGGTGGCGGGTGCGCGTGCATATGTGCAGTAAGCGCGGACATATGCTGCGGCGGCGAGAGGCGGTTGTTGAGATGCTGCATGGCGGCGTCGTTAGACGGCGATGCCAATGGGGGCGAGGCACAACAGGGAGCGGTTTGGGTAAGGAGTGACGGTGCCGTATTAACAATGGGGTTCAGAGGCGACTTGCGGAAGGGCTTGCCGGCTGGCTCGCCCTCGACCGAAGTAGCGTCGCTCTGAGCAACCCGGCTCCCCGACACCGGCTGTGGGGTCTGTGAAGGGGAAGCCTTGGTGGTGATGCTAGAGCGCTCGGAGGTGGTCCGCGAGCTCGTAGCACCGGAAATGGTGGTCATCCTGGGTCGCGTAAGGTCGAAGTAGTCGTAGGGATCCTCCTCGCCCGTCGCGGCGACAACGGTGGAGACGACTACTGCCGGCGCTGGCGCAGCCATACCAGGATCCTGCCATGAGCTGGAGGAAAAGCCCGACTGCGACCGAGAATGTGTCCCGGTTGGACGCGGTCCAGACTTGTTGGACTTGAGAGACGAAGAAATCTTGTCCTTCGGGCTGCCTTTCCATGAGGTGGACATGGCGCTCTCGAGTTCGCTCTCGATGGTCGCCTTGCCCTTGCCCTTAACGGGAATGCCCACTCGTTCCTTGCTTTCGTCTTCCTCCTTGATCGTTGCACCGAGGATGCCGGCGATGGCACTCCCGATAGACTGGGAGAGTGACGTCGGTGGGGTGCTGAATGTGCTCCTGGATTCGCCGGTGGATGCCGATATAGACGAAGCCGATGAAGATGAAGAGGACGCAGATGGCGATACCGGCTTCGGTGCCTGCGCGGTGAGCTTCTTGACCACGTCCTTCTCTTTCTTCGGAGCCGACATGGACAGACCGCTAGGCACCTTTGGGATGCTGGCACCGTAACTGGAACTGGCCGACGGAACGCCGCTGTGTAAACGCGACTTGAAGCCGCTGCTGAGGCTGCTGCTCGAGCTGTTGAAACCAAAGCCTACGCTTGGGCTCCTCGGGCTGGAGAGAGGCTGCGAGTCAAAGATCTGCACCTGCCGCCGCGGACGCTGAGCGGTTGGGATCGTAACGCCAGCCCGCGACTTGGTTGGATGAGGCACGCCTACACGGCGCGAGGTCGGCGTTGGTGATTGACAGAGTTCTGATTGAATGTGCGCCTCGACATCCGGTATGGAGATCACTGCGATGAAGTTGAGAAAAGACAGCGAGATGAAAATCGTCATATGCTCACGAATGTTCTCCGGTTTGATATCGGTATGAACGAGATCGCACTCGTCATGGAGGTACTGCAAGCCGAGGAGGGCCTGCCTGGCGATGATCTTGACAAGCGCGCGGGGCACACCCTTCTTCTTGTTCCTCTCGATGAGCGCCAGCAGGTTCTCGCCCAAAGGCTCAAACACGATGCAGATATGGGAAGCCTCGGGTCCTTGATGAGTGAAGGAGTCGAGGAAGGAGACGATGTGCTCCCGCCCGGGGTGCGAAGGGGAGACAGAGGCCACTCGGGATAGCAGCTTGATCTCGTCGCGTGCAGTCTCGGCGTAGCGACCAGCGGACTTGACGACTTTAAGAGCGGAATGGCACTTCGTTCTGAGCATAAGAATGTCAGAAGAGGTCCCAGGAAGAGGGGGAAGGTACGCACTGAGTGTCCTTAACGAGCCAGACCGTCGAAAAGTGTCCCCATCTATACGATCGTGAGATGAGTTGAACGCAGGCGAACGATGAGCGCCACGACGCACCCGAGCTTCCTGACGACGCGATAACGACCATTCTTGAAGGTATCGTTCACTTGAACTTGAAGGTAGCCACCCGAGTTGTAATCCGCCGGGCTCTCCTCGTCCTTGGAATGCGGCTCGGTAGGCTCCTCGACGGGGAGAATCTTGGAGCCCGTTGGCGTAACGACGTACTCGTATTTGGCGCACTGCTGCTTTGGAGCCATGGCCGACGTCGACGACGATGGTGAACTAGCTGACCACTTGCCCGTCAGGGTCTGTTGGACTTGTGTGCGTGTAAGTCTGAGGGAAGAACGGCCGTTGTCGGTTCGTTATCCAAAGGTGACGTAACGTCACACCGTGACCCATTTTATTAAATGCTCACCCGCGGTTGGCCAGCCTCAACTCTTTTCCAGGCGTCGGCACCAGAGGCTGCAGACGTCGAGAGCGTCCAGCCTCGCTCCAAGTGAGCGGGGGAACGACTGAACGTTTTTCTATTCAGCCGTGTTGGGCCAACTGTACTCTATCTCTATCTCCTGACCAAGCCTTGACGTAGTGACTGCCATCTGCTGATTGCTTTACGGAACGCGAAGAGGGAACAGAGTCCGGAATCACCGCCGCACATACGAGAGATACGCGCTCGATGGTCATGCCCCCCCTCCCGTCTCGTTCATTGTATGCTAGGCGCAGCGCAGAGGACCAGGTGAGCACGGAGCATACAGACGCGTGTACGTGAAGTTCGCATGTTTATCTACAAGATATATTCCCCGCGGGACTCAGGGCAAAGCCGGAAAGGGCTGGGTTTCAGGCTCTCCCAAAAAAAAAGGAAGCGGCAGAGGAACTGCAGGACAGAGGAACTGCAGGAAAAGGGGGAAGAAGACTGGAAGAAAACAGGAAAAAGCCGCCGGGCGGCCAAGTTGGAAATAAAACATATCCCGTGGTTGTGGGAACACGGCACCACGAGGGCGATCAGGCGATCGGGCGGGTCTGGATGTGCCGAGAGACGATCGTCAGCGGTGAGGACAGCAGTCTAGCCGATGCTCCAGCTCAACGACATTCTCTGAAACAACTGCTCTTGCCAACTCCCTCGACCTACTCGAGAAAGACGACAGGCTCGTCCTCGTCAACATGAAGTTTTTCAAGCAGAGCTTCTTGTACGAGTGCGTATCGCTTTTCCGCGCCTCCTGGTTGGCCACTAACGCGTCCTCCCCCTCAATCAGCGATTCCTGGTCCATCGTCTCCCTCGCCTATTTCCTTCGTTACCCGAACCCCTACGCTTCTCATGTCATTTCCTGCGATGTCATCTCCCGCAGCATGACCCCCACGGGCTCGCTGGTTACGACGCGCCTCATCCTCAAGCGAGGCGCGCTCCCGCGCTGGGCGCCCCGAGGCATCATGTCCCGCGCCGAGTCCTGGGTTGTGGAGGAGAGCGAAGTCGATCCCTTTGGCAAGACCATCCGCTGCATCACAAAGAACCTTGACCACGTCAAGGTCATGCAAGTCGAGGAGTCTGTCTTTTTCCGACAGACGCCGGAGGGGTACGTTCGCGCGCGATGCAACCTGGTCCCATTTTCTCATGTATTCCACAGGAAGACGCTGCAGACCACGGAGGCGAGGATACGGTCCAACTTTGGCTGGGGCATGGCCAAGAGGATCGAGAGCCACGGCCTGAACAGATTCAAGGCCAATGTCCAGCGTGTGAGTTGAGCGCCATCTCACACCCTCGGACACCACTGACTAGTTCGCAGTCCCGCGAGGGCATCTCCCTCATCCTCGAGATGCTCCGGCAAGCTCGTCCGCAAACCATGGGCATGGGCGGTGTCTCAATGGCTCTGTCCAACTCGCCCAGCCTGTACGAGTCGCGCAACTACGAGTTGCGCGACTGATTTCTCGAACCCCCACTCCGTCCCATCTCCTGCAAGACCATACTTATTAGCAACCCTCCGCTCGAGTGCGAACTAGCATCCCGCCCTCGAGCGGACTGTACCATACCATACCAGCAAGTTTGCGTGCTCCGTTGCCTCCTGTTTGGACCGCGTTTAATGATTATCGTCTGTCGGTGCATTGTATTAGTAGTAGTCGCTGTCCTGGGCCCTTTCGTTGTCGTATGAACACACGTTGGAACGTCGACATTTCGAGCCAGGCATTCTAAGCCCCCTGAGATCCTGCGGATGGGCTTGGAATCGTGAATTATGGAAGGGAACCCGCAGGTGACATTCCATCTTTGCTGCTATTGCATCGTTGAGAGCACCTTTACATCGCTATTTGAAGCTCAGCTTGAGCTCTTGCGCGCCACTCTGACGGCCAGGGGGCGCGGCGGGCCGGTGAACGGCTCGAACCGAGTCCGCGTCGCGGACGGCGGACGCGCCTCTCGCGCGCGACACTTACCATGTACTTCCCAACCTCGGCAGCCCGCCAGCTTTCCACGACCCCCGCACTCCCCAACATCCCCCCAGAGTCGGTAATCACCGTTGCCCCGAGTCCACGGAAGTCGCTGTTCTGTACGCTAACGCGAAATGGGGTCACCGTGTGGCGTGTACGAGTGCGTACGCCTGCCCATGCCCGAGAGGCGCTTGCGCTGAATGAATGGCCTTAGCCCAGTGCTGTGCTAGCGTACCTCTCGAGAACACCGTCGTCTATCGTGGACCATGGGGAGAACACGGATGTGCATTGGGCCCCGGATGGGTCGAGGCTGGTTATACAGGTGTGTGGTGTGCTTCTGGGCTTGGACAGTCGCTCACATAAAACCGCAGACATCAGCTAGCTATCTAGTACTCATCGCGGTAGAGCATCAGCCGGACAGACCCATCTACGAGGTCTCGCAGGCCTCTCGATCTACTCAGCGCAACTTCCTTGCGGGCCCGGGGGAAGGCGTGCCATTCCAGCGGGTGCATCTACACTTCGAGGGTGTCATCAGGATACAGGGCTCTGTACTGAGGTACGTGCACTTGTCTACTGAGGTTGTTTGGTGGCGCGGAATTGACAGCACATAGCTTATCCCCTCGCAAGAACTACATTCTATTCTCCACCAGGAATCCTCCCGCCATACAACGCATACCTTGGCCAGAAGATGATGAGGTTGACTCCGCAGACGAAGGCGCTGAAGACCGACGGATACAGATCGGCTACGAGACCTGGGTCTTCAATGAGGAGGAGTTCGAGTGGTTCGTAGAGCATGATGGTGTGTGCATTCCTCTGCAAACCACCTTCATACCTCGCTTACACTCCGTCCCTTATGCAGTGACGGTCTCAAAGATCATATACTCGCGAACCACAGGCGTCGAGACGTGGATCACATCAGACGGGCGAGTCTACTTCGTTGGCCTACACGAGACGGCGCCCGAGAGCAGCGTCTCCGAGTTCACACAGAGCGATGACCAGGAACGAGTGCGTCCTCTCCTGTACTTCGCATCGCAACAACCTCACCCTTGCTAGGCGGCCCACAAATTCATGTCAGACGCCTTCCCCGACGGCCCAAGACTGGGTTGGCAGGGCACTTGCGTTCACGACTTCGAACCACCACGGTGGGTGCAGAAGCGGCGAAGAATCGAGCCTGGAGAGACCCCGCCACCGGGCTGGGTCCCGTACGAGGAGCCACGACGGGCAGTGTCGGTCGCGGTGAACGGGAAGTTCTCGCTAGTTGCGATTGGTACCATTGGGTGCGTTTGCCCTCACTTACCAGTTGATACGAATGGTCATCGAACTTCTTCCCCTTATAGCGGCGCGGTCCAATTCACCAACTTTCCCTCCGAAGAGGGCGTCGTACCCTCTACGCACACAGTCGAGATCCCGAATCCTTACAACAGGAAGACGGGCTCGGTGCGGACCATGGAGTGGAGTGGGGATGGATACGTCCTGGCGGTGGGCTGGGAGAATGGGTGGGGTGTCATTAGCGTTGGCGGGCGATGTTTGGCGTCCGCGTTCGGTGTGGAGGATTCTGTGGATACCGACAAGTGCGCTCAGGTTACTTCCAAAATGACGGAGATACTGACGTCAACAGGTTCCAAGACCGGTATATGTATGGCGTGTCGAGTCTGGTGGGTACTTAGAGAACAAGACTATACCCATCTCTGCTGACTTATGTCAGTTTTGGGCACCCGGCAACTTCGAGCTGTTCGTGCTTGCCTTGCCATCGTCCAAACGTACGCTTGATCCCACCCCCTCGTATCTATCCGCTCACCGTCCAAGTAGCGGTTGATGGGCAGCTTTTCGTGATACCTTTTGCGAAGAGTGCGACTACTGGGCAGCATTCACCTGTAGGCCTGCGTACAAAAAGGGGACTTTCCACCGAGCTAAACGTTGCGCAGGATAACACACGATATGCCTTCCTGCAGATGGATGACAGAGCACTTATTTACCGAGGAGCAGATCAGCCTGACATGAGCGTCATCAATCCCGATTCCGATGTCTGGCAACATGTCAAGGTCCGTAAAGGCGCGCCTCGACCACTTTTCCGGGTTGACTGGCGTATAGATCCCTCAAAGTTACTTGGCCACAAATTGGCCCATCAAATACTCCGCGCTCAGCAGCGACGGTCGTCTCATCGCAATTGCCGGACGACGCGGCCTGATCCACTACAGCGCCACATCCGGCCGATGGAAGCTCTTCAGCGACGAGCTCCAAGAACAAGCCTTCACTGTCCGCGGCGGCCTCCTCTGGTTCCACCACGTGCTCGTCGCCTCCGTCGAGGTCCAGCGCGCCTATCAGATTCGCCTCTACTCCCGCGATCTCGACCTCAGCAACCAGAACGTGCTGCACCGCGAGGTGCTGACCGCGCCAGTGGTGATCCTGTCGCTGGTGGACAACTCGCTGCTGGTGTATACGGCGGACAATACGCTGTATCATTATCTGATTGTGCCGACGGATAAGACGATTAAGTTGCATTTGTGTGGGAGCATCACGTTCAATGGGATAATTGCGGCGCCTGGGGCAGTACGTATGCTGAGTTGGCTAATACCGACGGCGCAGAAACGTGCGTAGACCACAAGTTCTGGCGGACCGTGGCTGATTGGGTTACAGAGCTCGGGGATCCCGTCGACGACCTCTCGGTCGCAACGGTATTGATGGTGGTCGGTGGTCAGCTTGTCTTGCTCAGACCGAGGAAGGCCAGTATCACAATTTGTTCCCTCGCCTGAGCTGACCCGTGCTACAGTCTGGCGATCAAGAGGTCAAATACGACATGCAGATCTTCGCCGACCGCATCGAGTTCTGCTGGACCCATTTGCGCGGTATCGGAGCGCTAGAGAACTCGCTCTGGGGCTACGACGGCACTGGAATGCGAGTGTGGCTCAACGCGCTTGCTATTGAGAGACCACAGTCGCAAGACCCTACCGCGTCGAGCGATGTCAAGGAAAGCGTGCACATACCGTTGGACTTCTACCCTCTTTGTGCGTACATCTCGGCCTCGTAAATGTGAGCTTACTGACGTTGTTTTGTAGCTGTGCTTATGGACAAGGGCATCATCATCGGCGCTGAACATGAAGCCGCGACTCGGTCCAACTTGCCGTTCGTCATGTTCCGGCATGCTACTAGCGTACGCCGAGCTTCCGCCTTTCGAAAGTCCTGACTAACAAACGATTCAGTCTCATCTCTTCCTCCCTCCCGTGCTCGCATTCTACCTTCAATCACACGAAGTCCGAGACGCTGTCGCGTTCGCAAGTCACTACGAAGAATTGGTGTACTTTGCCCACGCACTGGAGATACTTCTCCACACGGTCGTCGAATCGGACGCCTGCGAGCCCGACGCAGACACAGACCCAAACGACACGATCCTGCCGAAGATGGTGGAGTTCCTCGACCACTTCGACGCCGCCCTCGATGTGGTTGTGGGATGCGCACGCAAGACGGAGATGACACGATGGCGGCGATTGTTTGACATTGTTGGGAATCCGAAGACTTTGTTCGAGGTACGGGCTCATATCATCTCTCACCTCGACGCGCTCACTAACCTTCATAGATGTGCCTTGCATCCAAAAGACTGAAGACTGCTGGCTCGTACCTCCTGGTCTTGCATAACCTTGAACAGTTGGACGAAAACCACCAAGACGCCATACGATTGCTGAAGAGTGCGGTGGATGCGAAGGACTGGCAGCTATGCAAAGAGCTGATTCGCTTCTTGCACTCCATCGACGAAACGGGCGATGCGTTGAGGAGGGCGATGGCAGAGACAGACTTGGGACCGCCGCAAAATGGCGTGTTGCGGGTCAACGGTAACTCGCACTAGTAGAACATGGACTGTGTACAATTCCCATTGTGTAAGGATGACCTCGTGTGTAAATTAGAGACAAAGGATACCGGTAGGACAATGGAAGACGGAAAGGTCGAACAACGCAAGCCGGACCGGTAAGGATCCGGCGGGACCCGGAATAGGCAAGCGTGACAAAAATTTGACATTCCCCCTGTTCTCCTTGCTCTCAACTCTCATGGCGGCATCTCCGACGACAGCGCAGCAGCAGGCCACGCTCTCAGAGGCGTACGGCGACCAGGACGGCCCTCCCACCAGTGACTCTCAGTCGGCGGCTCAGCCTCTCGGCGATGACCTTCGTGGCGATCGCGATCGCGACGCTGACAATGGCAACAACGACTACGCTCGCTCCGATGTTGGTGACTCCGTCAAGGCAGAAAACACTAGACTTGGAAAGGTGCTTTTTAATCTGCTTCTCGTTCACTTCAGCACGCCCTCCCCTTGTAATGGTCCACGGAGGGCCACATAAGCGCCTAATGTTGTTCTCTGTCCCCAGCTGGGTTGCGCGCTAGCCAACATGGTTCAGCACTACCTGCCTCCCAGCGCTAACGCCATCGATCGCTCCCCTCTCGTCCTCGACTCTGTGTTTACCTTCTTTCTGTCGCGCAGCCCAACCCCAACAAGGTTTACATCGGGGGCCTTCCTGAGAGCACTCGCACGGAGGACCTCAAAAACTGTTTTGGCAAGCTTGGCGCTATCGTCAACATCGAGCTGAAGTATGTGATCTTTCTCACCGGGAAGGATACGGTGCTCATGCATATGCGACATAGGATCGGCTATGGCTTTGTCGAGTTTGACAACCCCGAGGCCGCTATTGAGAGCGTTAACAAGTACCATGAAGGTTACTTCATGGGCAATAAAATACGCGTTGAGATTTCCAAGGGCGGATCCAAAAGCCGCCACGCCATGGATCCCGGCTCATGCTTCAGGTGTGGTGTACCGGGACACTGGGCAAGGTGCGTACAACATCGCTGCGCTGGAGCTACTTCTCATCCACGCTCCCAGAGAGTGCCCTACCTACCCTGGCCCGTGAGTATCATGTGTTCCATTCATTGAACCCGTCATCTTATTGTTCTTCAGCCCACCTGGTCGCCGTGTAGATCCTATCGATCGCGTTCGGGACCGTGATCCGCGCGACCGCGATTATCCCCCTCCCCCTCCTCGTGAATATCGCCGTCCGGTGACGCCGCCCTACCCTCCTCCTAGGGAGTACCGTGACTACCCTCCTATGCCTCCGCGTCGTGACTATGACGATTACGCCCGCCGCCCTCCTCCGGTCGACTACCGTGACCCACGTTACCCGCCTCCTCCTGTGGACTATCGCTACGCGCCTCCCCCTCCTGTGGATCCTTACCGGGGCTATCCTCCGCCGCCTGTGGCTGATCGTGGGGACCGAAGGATGGGCCCGGTCGACCCTCGCTATGCTGCGACACCGATGGCTACCCCTCGCGCGAGAACTCCTCCTAGGTACCGTGACGACTACGAGCGTCCTCCACCTCGGTATGCACTATGACTGCTTCGCTCCTTGGTCTCGCTCATACGTCTCATCAGCGACTATGAACCTCGTCGTGGGCGCCCTGTCACCCCTCCTGTACCAGCTGCAGGTCGCTATGACTATGCTGCACCTCCGCCAAGGAACGGCGGCTACAGGTTCGCTAGTCCATCGGCTTTGGTCCCACACTCCTCTGACAACATCATAGACGTCGTTCTGAAAGCCCGCCCGCTGCCCGCGCTGCCCCTTACGACTCCTACGGCGGTGGCTATGCTCAGCCTGGGTACCCTCGCCGCGACTACCCTCCTCGCGGCGTGGCCGAGAACGGCTATAGGCGTTGAGGCCATTATCAAGTTTGCGGTCATTTCGTCTAGCGCCACCAGCGGTCCGGCTCTGGCCAACAGTGGTCTAGCTCAGACTAACAGCGGTCATGCTTTGACCGACCATGTTCTTGCTTTGGCCAACGAATCTGTCTCCGGTGATCTACGAGAGAACAATCTTCTGAATACGCACCATCTACGTGCTCCGAATACGCATCATCTATGTGCTCCGAGCTATCTTCGCGCACCTTGCTAAACGTCTAGTGATCTTGTCGATTTATCTCGCTTTGTGCACCAGTCTACCTGTTCTGCTTGTGTTATAACTTAAAATTTACCCGCTGTTTGTTTGTTACTCCCAGTGACCGGGTTCGTCAGTCATCATTGCCCCCCAAGTTGGCGGCAACTTGCAATTGTAAGTCGAGTGTAGCAGCGGCGCTGCTCTGTCGTGTCCCGCCCTTGTTTTGGACATCGCTGAGTTCAAAAGTGTTGTCTACTTTGCAGTTTCGACGATTGGACGCGACGGCTGCTGGCATTAGCTCTCAGCGTCTTTCCTGGTCTGGTGCCTTGCCGTGTTACTGTGTTCTAGAGGTCTCAAAGAGATGATTGCGCCTGCGCTGTCGTACACAGGGAGGAAAGGGTTCACCATGTTGCAGTCCTTTTAGAGGCAGTATTATACGAAGTGAGGCTTTTGACTTGACTTGATTATTGTGCTACGCTCTTCTCAGACTGTTGGGCATATGGGTCATGGTTCTGTCAAGGGTAGACGTCCTTGTCAGCGCGGTCTATGTACGGGGAAGACGCATTCCTAAGTGAAGGCAGCAAAGAGTGTCCTTGCCGCTTGGAAATGTAGACGCCAATGTACACGTGAATGTTCAACATCCCAGTCGACGGCGACAACATACTTACCGTAACACCGCTTGAAAGAATTGAAGGACCTACGAGCCACTGGTCGGCCATCTTGCTCATGGATCATCTCAAGTCTCGCAAGTGTAAAGCGTTAGAAGGCAGCGTGGCATTATGTAGAAGCATACAAATGCATCAGGACGATGAGGTATAGGTAGTCGAAAGCAATGATAGCGTATGATACAGTAATGTCAGGAGTGTAAGATGTTGGATCTAATGAGGTGGACCATCTACAAGATCGCGTTAGCATTGGATAGCCATCGAATAGAAGCACAAGCACTGACATTGCTTAGAGCGCCAGGACCTGGATGAGGACGCTGACGTTGAGCTGGAGGACGATCGGGAGGATGTCGCCGAGGAGGCCGACAACGACACCGAGCAGGCCACCAACGAGGCCGAGGACACCATCAACGAGTGCGAAGATGGTCTTCAGCAAGTCGGCGATGATGACGCAGATGTCCTGGAGCAGGTGCGAGATGACATCGGCGGGCGCGCTGCCGAGGACGTTGAGGACGCCACCGAGAGCAGTGAAGACGAGCTGAATAGGAGAGGTCAACGACTGAATGAACCACCTGGATACAGGGTACTAACCTTGAGGAGGTCAGCGACAATGCTGCCGACAGCGTTGACATCCGTAACATCGCCGAGGAGACCAGACGCGTCGAGACCGGTGAGGCCCTTCACATCGTCGAGGAGGTCGCCGAGGATCTGCTTGACGTCGCAAAGGAGGTCAGAGACAGCCTTCTCGGTGGCGTTCGCGGGCTGAAGGTAGACTGAAGAGCTGATTATAGCCGTGCCAGCGATAGAAAGGAAATGTCGACGTACGCAGAGCCTGGCAGGTCTCAGTCAGGTCGACGATGGCCTGATCGACAAGACCGAGCAGGGACTGGTCGTTGCGACGGCCGACCTCAACGTCGGCATCCGCGTCCGCCTCCAAGTCAAGCAGATCACGACCAACAGCGACGTTGGCGTCCGCGTCGGCGTTAGCCGCGACGAGGGCACGAGCAGAGGGGGTCGGGACGGAGCTGGTCACAGCGGCGACCTTGGTGGCAGGCGCGCTGGACGCAGCAGCCCGGGCCACGGAGGACGCGCCAGAGGCAACAGCAACGGCAGATGAGGGCGCGCCAGAAGCAGCGGCAATGGCGGTGCTGGAGACAGCAGAGCCAGCGCCGTTAGGAACGGCAGCGAAGCCCGGCAAGGGGACGGGGCCCGCAGACGCGAAGGACGCGAGAGCCACGGTGGCGGCGAAAGAGATCGTCTTGAACGAGAACATGGTCGGCGTGTGGGTAAGGAGTGAAGGGGTAAGAGAGTGACTGTCAAGTCGAGTGGACTTGGCTGTGGTAAGAGAGGCGGGAGAGGAAAGTAGCTGAGGAGCTGAGGGACTGGCAAATCTCTGGTCAGCTTTTATACATGCCTAGGGCATGATGGAAGCGCGACGCGTGGTGCGCGCGCTGGAGCATGGAGAGATGGGTGGAGCATCAGACCCTCGCGGGCCAGCACGGGCCCGGCAGGCCCGTCGACTTCTTGATGGCTTTGATGCTCGGTTGGTCGTTGAACATGGAGCGCTGACGTTGGGCGTCGTTGAAGGCAGCACGTTTGACGTCGAACAATACTTTTGCGTTGCTCAGGAGCTCTATATGTTGCGATAGATCTAGCAGTAGATACAATGTGAGATATGTGTCAGATGCGTACTCAGACTCGCTCGCGCCCTTCCGCAATCGCGTAAAGCCGAGCCTTGTCTCCCGATTCGTCGACGAGGGACTTCAACCTCCCGTCTTGCTTCTTGAGCAATTCGCTGGGCTTGTCGAACTCAACGATTCTGCCCGCGTCAAGCACCATCTGTACTACCGTCAGTACAAGTCACACGCAGCATTGCGAAGGACCTACAATTTTGTCTGCATCCATGATAGTCTGCAGCCGGTGTGCAATAGTAATTAGGGTCACATCACCCTTCAGCTGTTCCCTCAACGACGTTTGAATGATGTTGTCGGTCTTGTAGTCGATGGCTGAGGTAGCTAAAGCAAAAGGTCAGTGTCAATGTCGCGGATAGGAAGTATGATAACGCACCTTCGTCGAGGATGAGCAGCTTGCTACCCCGAACGATAGCACGAGCGAGCGCTAAAATTTGGCGCTGCCCGACAGACAAGTTGCTGCCTCCGGAGGATATAGCGCTATCCAGAGTGATTCTACCCTCGTCCATCTCACTTTGGAGGGCAAAGAGGCCGGCAGAACGCAATGCATCGTTCAGAGTCGCGTCGTCGTACTGGTCGAACGGATCGAGGTTCTGACGAAGCGTACCACTGAGAAGCTCAGGCTGAAGGACTTCATGAGAACGAGGACGAGCTGACACAGGATAGTGCTTACCACTTGAGGTATGATGGTGATGCTCGACCGCAGCGCGTCTAGGTTGAGGCCGGACGTCAACAAACCATCATAGTAGACCTCGCCCTCCGTAAAGATGCAGCGAAGCAAAGAGAGCGTGAGGGAGCTCTTGCCAGACCCAGTCCGTCCCACGACACCGATGCGTTCTCCGGAGTTGATGTGGAAAGAGATATCGTGCAGGACCTTCGGTCCGTCGGCTGAGTACCGCGCAGCCAGTTTCTCCACCTTGAGTTCGCCGCTGGCAGGCCAATACGCAGGGGGGACGCCATCGGAAGATGGCTTCTTCTCCTGCTCGATGGTCACGTAGCCTTGAATACGTTCGAGACTGCCGGACGGGTCAGCAGTTGATCGTATACTTTCACTCATATAACTCACCTGTTGCCCTCGACCTCAAATTGGTTCAGGATGCGCACCCACCACAGGATCATGCCACTGAAGCCGACCGCCATGTTGAGCGAGAAGCCGGTGGTCGAGGACTTTTGATCCTGGAAGTAGACGAGGTATCCCGCAAGCAAAGCGGCGAACAGCCCACCAAGAGCGTCGATGCGAATGCAGATCCAGCGGTTGAGGTTGTAGAATGCACGCGCTGCCCGGACGTAGCGGTTGACGCGCTCCATGGACTCGGAGAGGGCCCTAGACTGGACACCGTACGCCCTAATAGAGGCTAACCTTCATGAGCACACACCGAAAACACGGCAGAATATGGCACTCACTCAAACCAGCGATAGCTGCGCCGAAGTGGGCGAGCACGGGGGCTCTGGCGTTCGACATCTCTCGTTTGACCGACAGCTGCGCCTTGATGTACATCTCACCACAGTAACCTCCGAGCGCCGCGATAGCCACACCAGGAACAAGGAAGAGCGGGCTGAAGATGACGACCGCGACAAACTTGACGCTCATTGACATGGTCATGTCCAAGAGCCAGAAGAGGTTTTGCGCAATCGGACCGTCCACAGAACGGATGTCCTGTGTGCAGCGGGCGATGACTACCGAGTGTCAGTAAGAAGACAAGGCACGAAGGTCATGTCACTCACCTCGAGAAGTCGGAGTAGTGTCCAGCCAGCGAAGCGTCGTGCCCAAGACGGAGTCAACGAGCTGCTTGTGTATGGTGCGCGAAGCCCGGATGCTCCCGTAGGTATAGATAATAAACACCACGCAGTAGATAGCAACGCCAGTCAACAACATGCATGCGTAGATTGTTGCATAGCTGTGAGATTTGTGAGGAAGTAGGCAAGGGAAACCTGACACACAGAACTCACGAAAACACGTTGACGTCTCTTGGGTCAGCCGCCTCCTCGTACTTGCCCGCCCAGTAGCCAAGGTACCAAGTCTCAAACGCGCCAAAGCTCTCCGTGATGAGGATACCACCGATGCAGGCGATAAAGAAGAGCATGGGATGGTTCCCGCCGAGACCAGCCAGGTAGAGCTTGAGCGCTTTCCAGCTGATATGACCCTCTTCGACCTCCTCCGCGACAATGAGCTTGCCATCGGACTTGGCCTCTTCCTCAGCAGGAGGAACCTCTGGCTGGCCTTCAATGTCTTCAACCTTCTTGATCTCGGCCTCCTCCTTCTCCGCCTCAACTGCGAGCTCGGGCTCGTGGGCGAGAACCTCCTGCACGGTGCCCTGCGCAGCAATGCGACCGTCAACTCCCAGGGAGACAACAAAGTTGGCGATGTTGCGCGTAGAAGCGACGTTGTGGGTCTGCGATCTTGTAAGCCGCGCGCAATATGCCGGGAAACCAGAGCACGCACCACGAGCAGAACGGTGCGGCCCTTGATGAGGTCTCCGCAGAAGCACTTGTCCACGATCCACTTGGCGGTATGGACGCTGGAAAAAACGTCAGTAATGCTAGCTGTACGATGCAGTGGAAATGCGTACTCGAGCGCGGCAAGAACGTCATCTAGAAGCAAGATCTGCGCATTGGAGTACACAGCGCGAGCCAGAGTCACGCGCGCCTTCTGGCCACCCGACAGCGTCAAACCTATCCGTAGATTCAGACTTCCGGTCTCACTATAAAAAAACTATCTACTCACCCTTTTCGCCAACTTCCGTCTGGTCACCGGCTTCGAACAGCGTAAGATCACGCTCCAGACCGCACTGGTACAAGACCTTCTTGTACCTCTCCTCGTCGAAAGGCGAACCAAAGACGATATTATCCCGAATGGTCTCGTTCTGCACCCACGACTCCTGCGCCGCATACGCAACGCCGCCGCTCCTGGGGAGGTGGAACCACGAGTCCGGTGCGGACGGCACGAAGTGCATCTCGCCGAGGAGTGCCATTAACAAGCTCGTCTTGCCTGAGCCGGTAGGGCCGATAATGAGGTTGATTCCACCGCGGCGGAAGAGGAGCTCGTCCTCGATCTTGAGCATGAAGTTGCGCTTGGAGGGAGTCAGGGAGCCGGCGGCGTCCTCGGACCAAGTGAAGGCGGCGTTGCGGAAACCGATTTCTTCCATCGAGACACCCTCGTCTTGCGCGAAGAATTCCATGGGCGAGTCTTTGCCGGAGTATTCGTCGAGGAGCTCGGTCTGCGCAAGAGATGTGAGCATGCATAATCATCAGATAGTTGGCTGAACGCACGTTCTTCAAGAAATCATTTACACGGTCCAGCGAGACCTTCGCAGACACCGTAAGGCCAATCATCCCAAAGATCGTATGCAGCTGATCCCGCAACATATCAAACACCGTAATCGAGCTGAACACCTTGCTCGCCGACAGCGGCTCGCCCATGATCGCCGTATGCGTGATATACGTCGCCATCATCGTGAAAATCGGGATGACGAAGTTCAGGTTGCCGTTCACCATGTCGAGCATCTGGCGCTTCCAGATCCACTTGAGCTCCTCCTCGCGCTTCGCGCCGACGCGCTCGGACATCTTCCACTCCCAGCCGAAGAGCTTGATCATGCGGAGGACGTTCATGGTTTCGGTGACGGTCTGGACGCGCGCGTCGGTGCGCTTGAGGCGGGCGACTTGGACGTCCTGGATCTTCTTGGCGACGTAGCCGGGGACGGGGAAGAGCGCGATGATGACGGCGAGACCGACGAGAGAGCTGTATAACGATGAGCCTCATGGCAACAATGCATAAGAGCCCACGTACCTCCAGCCCAAGATCTTGTAGAGGAAGACAATGCAAAGAGCGATCTGGAGCGGGATGTACAGGATGATGAACAAGAAGTCGCGTCCATCAACCAAGTTGTTGAGATCCGTCGTCACGAGGTTGTTGATTTTGCCAACAAGCGCCTCGCTGGACGAGTGGCCCTCCTCTTCCTTGTCACCCTTGCCCTTCTTCGCCTTCGTGCCTCCAACAGCGGTCGTCGTAGTCGTCGTCTCAGTCGGGCTGGCCGAATGCAGGGTCTCATCGCCACTCGACTCCGACCCAGCAGGCTGATCCGCCACGGAACCGTTGTCGGGCGTAGGCGCCTTGCTGACCGTCGGCGTCGAATTGGGCGTCTCCGCCTTCATGCGAATGCGCAGAGCGTGCTCGAAGACGAGCTGCGTGATGATCGCCTCCGTGCGCACCAGCATGCGGGTGGCGACGAAGATGTATCCCTGGATGGCGATCGCCATGAGCGAAGGGCCGAGGAAGAGCCAGGTGATCCAGAACCAAGGCTCGAAGGTAGGCTGCTTGTACGCGCGAGTCTCAAGGTAACTGGGTGATGGTCAGCGTAGGCACGGCTTGCTATATGTAAAGTCACCTACTCAAGGAGACGGTTGATGGCGACCGGGCTGGCGAAACCGAAGAGCACGTTCAAGATAATCATCGACGCCATGAAGACATATTCGTAGCGGAACAAGCTCATCAAGTTGAAGAACAGGTGGCGCTTCGGCGCGCCCGAGAAGGTATCGACGAGCTATTGCGTGATCAGCACAGACTAGCGAGATTTTAGGGACACAAGCACACCTTGAAAGCTTTCTTGCGCAGGAATTGCGACCGGTCGTAGTCACAGAGCGGCGGAAAGTCATCAGGGGTAAGGTGGTTGACCTTGAGGGCTTTCTTGATGATCGGGTCCAAGAAAGCATAGGTGGCGAAGGAGATCCAGGAGGCAGTCTGCTCGTCGCTGGGTGGCAGGGGGTTCTGTCAAAGTATATAAGCGGAATCCTAGCAAGGAAAGGTGATGCGCTTACCTCTGGCTCGACCGGCTCATACTGGTGGGGTACGAACAGGGGGATGACCACAGCGGTGATGGTCGAGACGACGATCTTGGCCCAGAGAATAGGGCCTTCGACGCGATCGCTCGGCTTTTCGCCGGGCATGAAGAAGGGGACGATGTCGCGGTAGAAGTAGACGCAGAAGGCGACGAAGAGTATGACGCAGAGCGGCCGGGTGGCGATCTTGCTGACATGTGGCTTCGCGGCAACCGTGATAAGAGCCAGGAGGACGGTGTAGAGCTATTTAGATAGGTGTAAGCAAATAGGACGAGGACGAGAGTTTTGGAACGCACGTATGTCATGGACATGGCAAGCTCAAGCCATTCCCTCTTCGTGAAGTGCGCATGTTGCTTCCTATGCTTGTGCTTCTTTCCCCACTTTCCCTTTCCGAGCACGTCCACATCGTCCTCGAGATCGGTCGTACCTACGCGCCTTGCCTCGTCGATGAAGAAGGACGCTATGCTGAGGCCGAGGAGTACGAGGGTGCCGATGAGGCGCGCCACCTTGAAGGCATAGATCGTCCAGCCGCCGTGGCTCGCAACATGAAGCTTGAACTCAGACCAGAAGCTCGCAGGCTGTACAGTGAGGGGCTCCTCGACCGGCTCCTCGAACTCAACATTCCGAAGGCGGGCCCACATACGTTGAGCGGGGCGAGAGGCAACAATGGCGTGGAGTACCAGGAGAACAGCGGATGCCAAGGCCACATAGGCGGGAATTATGCGCGGGTCTGTCCAAACCCTAGAAGGAGGACAGGTCAGTACGTATGCACCTCGCTTAGCCAGGGACGCACGAAGGCTTGACCACAGCCTGCACGGTAAGCGCCCATCCGTCCAGGACGACCTGGGATATCGATGCGTAGGAATACTCCATGTAGCCTGACGGCGCTGTGACCTGCGCGACGGGCATCTTGCCAGCCGTCCGAAGTGAAGGGGGCAGGAGGCAAGGTGGACAAGTCTGTTGCCCGTCGAGCCGAAGATAAGGGCGCGTCTACTTCAAATCATCAAAATACGTGATCGCATTTGATCAACCTCCGCGTGCGTCGTGTCCCTTATCACATCACCCACCTTTATGGCCTCACCTCAGGGCCCTGGCGATTCCTTTGCCCTCCATGGTCTTCTTAGACAAACGCTTGGAATCCATATATTTCACGTTCCCCATAGTCATCCATCTTCGAGCCTTTTGAGATTCAAAGGTGAATATTCGAAACTGCAAGTTAGCAAAGCCACCTCCTCGGCAAGAGAATCGCGGAGTTCCTCCGCCATTCGAGTCACGGCCAGTCAGCTCTGTAGACTGCTTCATGCTCATCAGAGGCGCGGTGCTAGTGGCGTCGACCCACAGGACTCGGTAGACAGGTCCTCATCTCCAAGCATGACTCGTGAACTACACTCATTGGCCCGGGCTCCATGGATGGCTCACAGCACAATAGTATTTTGGAGGTGGCCCACAAAGTTCCGCTCTTGCCAGCATTCGCGTACACATCCGTACAGGACTCGGGGTCGATGGCTATTACGGGGAACAATCATCGACAACAACATGATGTGTACGGTTATGCTGCATTTGGGGAATGGTCAGCCTCTATATCGGTTGCTAACCGATGGCTTCTGTCAATGTCATCGGTGTGGGGAGTTGGACTTGAACTTGGATGCGTGACCCACGCGTGACACGTTGGTCGGGCCGGAAACACTGCCAAACAACTGAGAACGCATCGTCTTGCCTCATGCCTTAACGAATGGCCGCAATTGATTATATGCTCGCTCTGCTCGACGGACCTCCTTCTTCCTTGGTCTTGGGACCTCTACCACCTTGGGAAAATATATGCAAAACCTTTTCTCGTAGCGGTCGGTCGTAGCCTGCGTTAGGTCAACCCAAGACGCGTCGCACCCTTGCACGCCTTTTACCTCGGTCGCGGTCGATGCAGCCCGCACAGCACGCCCGTCACGACGCGAAGCGAAGAACGTTGAGACGGCCATATATGGTACACGGACTGCTGGTCCACTTCGATGCGTCTCCAGCGGGAGAGTTCGCCATAGCCTCGTTTCGTGACCTGGGCAAATTGGCGGTCGCTGCTCACACAAAACGGGCTTTCATGTGCTTGATAAATGATCTATAATACAATTGAAGTACTAGCAGGCATCTACAACAACTCCGTCAACCGCGCGCGCACCCGCTTCTCCGCCTGGCCCATATCGCTCTCCTCCGCGTCCTTGTACAGCTTGTTCAGCGGGTTCGACTCGTCGTCCTTCTCCAACGCGTCCTCGATCTGCGCGAACTCCTTGCAGAACTTCCCGTTCAGCACCTGGTTGTACAGGATGTCCTTGAAGTGCGCGCGCGCGGCGCTGCCGTCGAGCTTCGCCGCGCCGTTCAGCTGGCCGTACTGCGAGACGGAGGAGTGGTGCTTGAGCTGCAGCACGAAGCCGTCCTCGGCCGCGCGCTCGAAGATCTCGGCGGGCTCCTTCGACATCCACATCTCGTAGCAGAGGGCTTCGTCGGAGCAGCCGGCCTCCTTGAGGACGTTGAAGGCCTCGCGGAACAGCATGATGATGTTCGGCCACAAGCCCTGCTCTGGGAGGAATTCAGCTCGAAGTTCCTGCCAAACGCCCTGATTACGCACCAGCAAAGAGGTCCATCGCAGTCTCCTCGTACACCGACGACGAGATCGCGCCAGCCTTCGTCGCCCCGATCGCCCGCGACAACGCAAGGGCAATCGCCAATCCCTTGCCCGTACCATCCTGCTCAACCGACACGAAGCACGGGAAGCCGCGGCCCTTCTGGTACAGCGAGCGCACTGACGAGCCGATCATGCGGGGCGCGACCATGACGACGTTCTGTGTCGGCTTGAACTCGAGGAGCTTGAAGAAGACGTTGTACCCGCTCGCGACGACGATCGTCGCATCAGCCTTCAACTTCGGTGCGAACTGGCCGTTGAAGACGCGCGGCTGAACCTGATCGGGGATCAGGACGAAGAGGACTGGGAATGCGCGTTAGTTGCTGCTCGCGGACTGCGAATATCTGTCACTCACTGTCCGCAACCTCTGCTGCCTTGCCGAAGTCATGCTCGACGTGGAAGCCCTTCGACTTTGCGTCCTCCGCGTAGTGATCTTCACGGTTCGCGACGAGGATGGAGTCGTTGGGGATGCCGCTATCGCGCAAGTTCTGCGCCTGCGCCGCGCCCTGGTTGCCGAAACCAAGGAAGACGATCTTCTTGCCGTCGAGGACAGAGAGATCGGCGTCGTCGTCGTAGTAGCTGTGAGCCCAAGTCAGCAATCTTCTCCAGCTTCCCCCTATGCTCCCACGTACATCTTAGCGGAGCCCATTGTGTCTGTAGGAGGCTAGCGTGTGGTATCTGTGGACCGGGTATGGGGAAGCAGAGGCTGAATGTGGGGATCCCCGCCCCTCTGTGCTCTTATAACCATGCGCCCCCTCCGCCTCACATCGGGGCCCCGCGGGGTGCCGACATATCACCCGGCGCGCAGGCGCCGCCCCCTCCCTGCCTTCTCGCTCCTCTGGACGAGGTCAGGCGGACGGCCGGACCGGACTTCCCGCCCATTGTTCCCGGTACGCAGTCGCAAGTGCCCCCACATCGCGGCTCTATCGCCCCGTAGATCCGCAGCGATGGGTCATGGGGTGCGCGTTCGTATGTTCTGCGGGACCGACAGTGACATCGGGAGGGTGCTTAAGCGCCATCGCCATCCCACGACAGGTAGGACGCAACTTGTGTTTCCCCTATCGCCATCGCTATGTCTGTCTCTCTCGCTGCGAACAAGATTGTGTGTATCACGGGCGCGTCGCGCGGGATAGGACGAGGGTGGTGAGTGCAACGTAGTTGGAGAGATGTTCTGTCGCTGACCCATCACTTTCACCCCCCATCGCGCCACCGTACTGGTCTCCCCTCTCATAACTACCCACCATGCCCCAAACTATCGGATTTACATGCTTAGCGCCATAGCCTTCGCCCAGCATGGCGCGAAGGGCTTCATCTTGCACTACCTTGGCGACAAGACAACAGAGGAAGAAGTTCAGAGCCTCAAGAAGGAGATCGAATCGTCAGAGGGCAAGCGATGTGTGACGGTTCCAGGAGATATTTCCGACCCTGCGACGTCGGCGAAGGTGAGCTGGCGCGTGTCTCATTTAATACTGTCCCTTTTCGAACCGCGCAGTGGTCGTCCATGGCATCATACTGATTTGCAATGCAGGTCGTCGAAGAGGGCGTGAAGGCGTTTGGCCGGATTGACGCGCTCGTCTCGAATGCAGGCATTTGCCCGTTCGCTGAGTTCCTGACTATGCCCGTGGAGACGTACGCTCGGACGCGGGCGGTGAACCTGGATGGATCATTCTTCATCACACAAGGTGCATATTCCGGTCTGTACTGGTCTTCGTCGCTCACAAAATCACCTGCAGCTGTTGCGAAGCAGATGAAAGAGCAGGTGCCGCAGGGCGGCACCATCGTGGGCATCTCTTCAATTTCAGCGTTTGTCGGTGGTGAATATCAAGTGTGAGCACTGCACATTTGATCTACAAGTCTCGATACTGAGTGCGCTCTAGCCACTACACACCTACGAAAGCGGCGATCCTCTCCTTGATGCATAGCTCCGCCGTCGCGCTAGGGAAGTACAACATCAGGTGCAACGCCGTCCTGCCGGGTACCATCATGACGGACATCAACAAGGAGGACCTTTCGGACAAGGCAAAGTACGAGGGCATGGTGAAGCGTACTGCTTTGGGGCGATTGGGAGGTGAGCACTGCGTGATGGATTTTTTAGGTCCTTTACTGACGAACTTCTGTAGCTCCGGACGACATCGCAGGACCAGTGGTCTTCCTGTCAAGCGACCTTGCGAAGTATATCACAGGCGCGCCTTTGCTGGTGGACGGTGGGCTTCTGGTAAACCTGCAGTGATGCCCTATGGGGGGAAGGTTGAATATCTATGTGTAATGTATGAATCTAGGAGACTTCAGCGGTTTGTTGTGAAGCCAGGACAGCAGTCGTATTCGGACTTAGGAACACGAAGATACCTTCGAGCTCTGCGTTGAAGGGCCATTACCAGCGGGCCGTCCGGTCCGGCCATGATTAGAACCCGCCCGGACCGATGATGTGATGAACAAGCTGAAGCTGATAAGCTGCTTAGCAGTGCCAACCATGAACTCCCTACTCACAATTCCTGTCGAGCTCGCGCACCACGCCCTAACATTCTGCCCAGCATGGGACATCGTCTCCTTCGCCCTCACCAGCCGCCTCGCGCACGCCATCGCGCTCGAGTCGACGAATCAGTCCTTCTGGCGCGACGTCTTCCTCACCTCTCATTTCGATGATCCCCGCGACGCTTGGCGGCTCCCCGAAGGCACGCACTCTACGCTAGATGGCTACGACTGGCTTGGCGAGCTTCGCGCGCGCCTCTCGGCCGAGCTGCTGGCTGCCCGGCCGGACCGGCTTGACGACCCCGCTGCGTACGAGGGGATGCTGGCCGCGCTCGTCCGCGCCGCCAGAGAAATACCTCCTCTGCGCGAGGGTCAGCCAGATTTACGCAACGTTGAATGGCTCGAACATCTGCTGAAATATCCCGGGCTACTCAATGACGATGTCTCACGACTGTCCATCGAGGGGCAACGCCTACATGGGCTCCTGCATGTTTTTACTGGACATATATTCGACGAGAGTACGCCCGAGAACTCCTTGCGCTACCGCAGAAATGCTAGTAGGGCGTATACATATGATATGCGCAAGTACTCTCGCGCAAACACATGGTCGCCCCTCCTGCTGACCGGGGAGGTTGACTGGCTTCACCTCGACCACCTGGCCAACGTGATAATTGGGAACATACGCGACGTGCCATTTCTCGTAGACGACCAGAAACCTCCGTTTGGACTTGAGCACACGCGAGCTTATTCTGCTCCGGGGCAATATCCCGCTAGGGATTGGGCAGGAGTAGAGGGCACATGGAGGCGCTATGTGTGCTTTATGGACTACAGGTTCGTCTCAAAATCTCAGTTTTTTGAGGGGTTTCACTCACAGAAATCCTTGCAGAGACCTGGCAGGTCAGTAAACCATTATATCGCTCGCCCATGTATATTCACCAAGAATGCCTCACGCGTAGTATTCAACGTGAGTATGAATTCCATCTTCGCTCACCACGTACTCATTGCGTAGATGCAGGCCCCCCTGCACGCCGAAGGCGCCCGCGACCTCTCCTTCTTCGACAGACCCGCCTTTCGCGAGGCCGTCCGCCTGCTCTCCGTCGATCTCCAAGTCGTCGACCGCGCGGCAATCGAAGCACCGCTGCCTGAATTTATCGGCGTGTACGACGACCCGCCAGCAGACTTCCCCTACCAGCCAATATACTTCAACGGCGTCTCCGAGACCGCCGACGGCGGACACCTGCACCTCGAGGGCTGCGTGATGATGGGCATCGACGGGACAGTGCGGTGGTATTTTGTGAGTCGCTGCTTGTCCAGTATACATCCTCTGTCCCTCTATCCCATCTTCACATCGTACTCGACTCTAATCCCCTGCTCCTGGTAGGCTGAGACGTTCCAGCAGGTGTCCTCGATAGGTGGGGAGCTTCAGTGGAGGTCCGTCGCCATCATCCTTACGCGCATATTCGCTTTTACACAGGCGGCCAATTCAGTTCGCGTGGTGTGCAGGTGGGCGGCGTGGGAAGCGCGACGGGTGTGGTGGGCATTTGGACAACGACGACGCATGAAGTAGGTGAGTGTAGTTGTATCTTCACCACCATGGCGGGATGGGTGGCCACAAATGACGCGGATTGCCACAAACGGCGCGGGTTGCCACAAATGCTTGTCAGAGACCAAAGTCGCTAACCGGATCTTTTGCAGGTGATCCCGCGGGGCCGTATTGGCAATGGAAGGTGCCGAGCGATGACCCAACATATGCGCCTTTGCTCGACCGGGTGTGAGGTAGTCCAGGGTGGTAGATCGTGTATGTCTACGGATAATCTGAACTTCGCCTCCAAATGGAAATATGTATATGTTACAGGACTTTGCCTCGCCGCCGTGATCCTACAGGTCGAACGCATTACTATGCCATCCCCGCTTCCTACTATCCACCTTCTTCCGAACAGCCTTGCGCCTCCCAGAACGCTCCAGCTCTTCCCTTACCTCTCTCGCACCACGCACCACTTCGCGCGTACTCGCCGCTGCCTTCTCCATAGCCGAACGCGTATCCTCCGCAACCTCTTCCACCACTTCTCCTACTCCTCCCCTGTCTTCCTCTGCATCGTGCGGCCCAGCCTTTCCTGGGAACAGCTGTGGCGCCCCGCCGATAGCGATGATGGTCTCCTCTCCTTCCTCAAAGTCTTCTGAGTCGACGTCGGAGTCCTCGCCATGAGCTGGCTTCAACACCGTCGTGTGAATCAGACCAGCAACGGTGGCATCGGTGTGCGACTCCTGCACCACGTCCGGATCTGGAGGCGCGCTCGCAAATAATGTCGACAAGTGGCTCAGAAGCGAAGGGAGGTAGTCCTGCACAGATGCTTCCCCGTCCGCGTCCCTCCTCGCATCCGCCACATCCCTCCTCACCTCACCCAACACCCTTGCCACCGCCTCCAGCCCCTCCCGAATCTTTCCTTCCAATATGCTCGACAGAACCACCGAGAGTGTCGGCCCGGACAGCGGCTGCAGCAGCAACTTGTTGAGCAGCCAGTGCTTGCTGCGATCGATGGTCAGGGCCAGCCCGTCGAGCCGGACGCGCACGTCGACGACGTCGAAAGCCTGATCTGTGGTTTCCTCGCCGCTCTCCGGGATGTTGAGGTCGATGCCGATCTCCAAGCCACCGCTGCCTTGACTCGAGCTCGTAGGCGGCGTGCCTATATCCACACTGAGCAGCCCCTCGTCTTCGTACGATAGCCAATCTTTGTACTTCGCGTAGTATCCGACGTCGTGGGCCGACAGTCGGATACCATCGACGTGCACCCGCGTCCGCGTCCGCGTCGTGACCACCGAGTCGGTCTTCTGGCTATCCAGATCGACGTACAGTTCGGTCAGATTTTGCACTGAAAAGTGGTCCGGTGTCAACGAGGAGGTGACCGTGAGGGGCGTCGACGTTAGCAAGAGGGCGTCCAGCGCGATATCCAACATCGAGTCTTGATATTCCACGCGCGGCATGATTGGGAGCGAGCGCAGGGAGCGCAGGAGGCGCGGGAGGAGGTACCCAAGGATATCCTGCGTGAACTCGCGGCGCCACCGACTTCTCGCTCCCATCGTGTCCGCGCCCAGTTGCCTGATGTCGGCGTCCAGCGCACGGACGGCGTTCGCCAGCCGCTTATTCGACAGGTCGTCCTGAACGAGGCGGATGTAGATCCTCAGCTCGTCCACCACTAACCGAAAATCCATCGCGAGCTGATCCTCCGAATCCGACCTGAGCAACCTTCGGCTGGTATCGTAAAGACTACCAAACGCGTACATGCCCGCGCTCGAGTTCGCGTACGTGGGGTCCTCGAGGGCATAGTCGCACCACTCGCCCACGGCGGCGAAGAATGTGCGGATCTCGTAGCCTACTTCGGCGGGGGAGAAGAGGACGTCGTCGGAGAATTGGGCGAAGAGGTGGAGAAGATTAGCTAGAGGGTGCCCGGAGGCCAAACGTTCTGCGAGTATGCGAGCATCGCGCAGAAGCCGTCTGGCTGGGACCGTGAGGTAGAATAGCCGGCCTTTGGGCAGATCCGCGGGCGAGGCGTGCGATATGATGTCTGCTGCTTTGCGAGTTATGGAGACGTATTTGCGGATGACCTCCAGCAGCGTCCGTAGGGCTTGAGTGTAAGGCGGATCCCTGTGAGCGGAGGCGAAGACCTGTAAGTAAGAGGTATGAGTGACCGAGCGTATTGACTGCGTCGTTGCATGTCCTCTCACCAGCTGCACACGATCATAAGCCACCGTGCGCGGGTCGCGCGACGGAGGTACACCATTCGAGCGCGACCCATTACCTGCAGCGACATCCCGGACGTCATCGTAGATCTCCTTTGCCTTTCCCTTTATATCCTCAACAGAGATATCCGTCGTCTGCGCAGCTCGTTCCACGTCTTCCGCGGCGACTTGTACTTCCAGCGCGACGTCGGCGACCTCGCCGGCCGTATATGAGATGTAGTCCCGGGCAAGCTCAAGTATGTCTTTGAGCAGACTACGGAAGGTTGAGGACGTGAGGACAAGCCGCAGGATGGTCCGGATGGATTCCGCGAGACTTGTGGCATCTTCTGATAACTCCTGCGTCGAGGGGATGTCTGCGGCTGCGCGATGGATAAGTATTTGCTCACAAGATACAACAAAGTGTCACGTACACTTTCCTCCGGTCTTCAGAGCACTGTCCTGGATGTGAGCCAAATACTCGTGATTGACCTGGATGGAAGCCGTTTCCCGCAGCTTCCTGTATTGGTATATAAGATCTTGCAAGACATCGTCACCTACTATGGTCAGCCTTATGAGACGCGCGAGGGTCCGAGTTCTTACCATTCTTGTCAAGCCCAAATTGCCTCAATGCCTCAAGGACGTCGTGCACGTCTTGGACAACCTGTCGACCATGACGACTGATAGGACCACTGCCATGAATCTTGCCGTCGACGTCGAAGACATTCGAGCGAAGAAGCCGGAAGAGTAGAGTATCAATCTGAGCTTGGGATGGCAATTTCCCCACTTGTAAGGCACCAAGCGCGTCTGCTAGCCGCTCGATATCTGAGCGAGGCGGAGGAAGAGCGCTATGTTTCTTCTTGGGCAGAAGTGGTTCGCGCTCGCCCGTCTTATCCCTTTGCCTGCAGCAGGAGCTGCATATGCCCATCGTGACGGTAAGAGGCAAAGGACAGTCTATTTGAGCCCATGGCGGCCAGGACGGTGGCGTAAAGCAGGGGGTCGGCTACAAACGACGTCATGTGCGCGCGTCACAGCGACGCGGCCATGTGACCACGGCAGCATTTTCGTCGGCCCCGGCGCGGCCGGCAGGTGCCGCGTCGTGGCTTGAACCGGACAGTCAAGTCGAACCAGCACATGACGGCCAGCGATGCCCAAGGTTGCCACCCAAAAGTACTATGCAGTCTTGAATGGTCGCCGAGGGCCGAGAATATATCACTCTATCGATGAGGTGCGTGTGAGCCAAGGCGCCTTCGTAGCTTCCTCCCCTGACTGATTGACACCTCTCATTTGGTCTAGTATCGGGAAGCGGTCAGTAGACGGCGCTGATGATCTGATTGTACTTGACCATGACCATGCATTTTCAGCTCGACGGACTCAGCGGTGCGGTTGGAAAGAAGTTCTACTCCCTTGAGAAAGCGGAGGAATGGCTGCGGAACCCGGACTCAGGTCGAAAGAAGAGCAAGAAGAATAGTATGTTCTTCCACGTCTAGAGATACTTTGCCACTTACGTAGCCGCAGAGAGTCATCGTCGCTACCCCGACTCGTCCACTTTGTGGACAGAGTTCGACGACGACCCCCCGAAGCCTGGATCATCAAAGGCTGATGCGGCGGTGCAGGTCATCACCGCTGACGCCTGCGTGCAGACTGACGAGCCTTTCGAATGCGACGCCTCTCCTGTGCGCATTCAGGGATCACCACCTCCTCTGCCAACACCCAGAGGAAGCCCGGAAAGGGAGTATCCGACACCTGCAGCGTCCTTGCCACCGGAGCTCGCCAATGCGAGGCCCGATGAAGTTGCTGCGGCAAACCTTCCCGCTGTGCCGAATGTTATAGAACTGTCGCCGGAACAGCGCTTGGTTTTGGACATGGTCAAGACAGGCAAGAACGTCTTCTTCACGGGTCCCGCTGGTGGGTGACTGTCGTTGAAATCGTCGTTCGTCCCTTACGAAGTCCTTGATAGGTACTGGAAAATCAGTCCTTTTGCGAGAAATCATCAAGGTCTTCAAAGACCGCAAACTGGAAAAGATTCAGAAAGGGGCGGACCCGAATGAGCCTATGGAAGTCGAAATTACTGCTCCTACTGGTACGCGATTTCTGCAGCTGCTTTCCCTGTATTCTTTGACGGCATGACATCGCAGGCATCGCTTCGGTCAATGTTGGCGGACGCACAATTTACTCGTGGGCTGGGATAGGGCTGGGCAATGAGCCGGCGAAGAAGCTTGCGGCAAAGATATGCAACTCTATGGTACTCAAGAGTCGGTGGACCAGCTGTGCCACCCTCATCATCGATGAAAGTAGGTTCCGTTCCGGTCCGCTGGGGCAGTAATGTACTGACAACTTGCGACGTAGTATCCATGCTCGACGGCCATCTCTTCGACAAGCTGGTAAGAATCGCTTGCTTTTCCTTTGTAAACAGACTGATAGGCAACCCACGATCAGGAGTATATTGGCCGAAGAGTCCGGCGTAATGGAAGGCCTTTTGGTGGAATACAGGTAGGTCGATCAACCGTGCTTTGAAAGGTTACTCATGCCTTCGCCAGCTCGTCATCTCGGGAGACTTCTTCCAGCTTCCACCTGTCCCCAACAAGAGCCACAACTATCATATGCCCCCAATATTCGCATTTGAAGCCCAATCCTGGTCAAGGTGCATTGGCAAGCCCGTTCTCTTGACTAAGGTCTTCCGTCAAAGGGACAATGGTACGGGTGGTCTTCGTTGGATTAAGCCGGGACTCACAAACGTCCGCAGAGTTCATCGACATCTTGTCCGCCATGAGACACGGCGAGCTCGAGCAGTGGCATGTCGACAAGTTGACCAGCCTCTCGCGCCCTCTGAAATACGCCGATGGCATTGAGCCGACTTACATGTACGTGTCGCCCATCACCACCTTTCCATTGCGTGCTAAATTTCCATACAGCTTCCCGCTTCGCGCCGAGGTCGAATCCTGCAACAACGCCCGCCTCGCCGAACTCGAAGGGGCGACGCAGACCTACAAGGCCGTGGACGCCGTCGGCTGGGACGCCTCCAATCAGCGCCTCACCGCCGCCGACGCCGAGCCCCTCCTCGAGCGCCTCATCGCCCCCGCGGACGTCTCCCTCAAGATCGGCGCGCAGGTCATGCTCATCCAGAACGTCATCCAGGGCGTCCTCGTCAACGGCTCCGTCGGCCGCGTCGAGGAGTTCTGCACCGTGCACGAGGCGATCGAGCGCGCCATCGACGTCGCGCAGATCAAGATGCGCGACGGGCACCCCTACGGGTCCGCGGACCCCGACAGCAAGGGCGAGTACCATATTCGGAGGGAGCCGATTGCCAATATGCGGCCGATGAATGAGGCGGTGTTTTCGAAGAGTCAGCGCTTCCCGCTGGTGCGGTTTACGAATGGGAGCCAGCTGTTGTGCGCGCCGTTGATGTTTACGGTGGAGGGGATCATGGGGAATGTGGAGGTGTCGAGGATGCAGGTGCCGCTCATACTCGCTTGGGCGCTGTCGGTGCACAAGTCGCAGGGTCAGACCTTGCAGCGTGTCAAGGTCGACCTGGGCAGGACGTTTGAGAAGGGACAAGGTATGTCTGACCCTTTCTCGTCTGGAATGACGGCTGATCTGTATTGTAGCTTACGTCGCCGTCTCTCGAGCGACGTCTATGGAGGGTCTCGAGATCGTAAATTTCCAGCCATCGAAGTACGTCCCTTATCGTATCGCTGAAGCCAATATTGACAGCCTCGCAGAGTCCTGGCGCACCCCCGCGTCCAGGCGTGGCAAGCCTCCTGGGCTCCTCCCCTCAAGAAGGAGCTCAGCGTCGAGGACGAGATGGACATGGAGGACGCCATCGCGAGCTATTACGCTGACTGATTGTGTCCTGAACATACTGACCATTGGCCATATTTACTGACAACGCACGGGCGACTAATCGCCCTGCGCCCTCGATCCCCCCATGCTCATAAACTAGAGCTTGCACCCTATAATGTACGTTACATATACAGCCCACCGACAATCTGGACATGTAATACTATCGTGGAACGAAATTATATGGATATGGTTAAGCAACACAACGGTCGAGGCGAGAACGGAAGGAGGTGCGCGCGCAGGGAAGTGACTATAATGGGCACGACAGAGTGAAGAACAGAACATAACGACACCCAGAAGAAATTAGGCATGTGGCAAACGGTCATACAACAGGATTCAAGACGAACGAAGAAGGGAAAATGTCAAAAGTGAACCGTAAGAATTACTCGTCACATCGTCATTGTCGTGGATCATGAGCGCGTGCCTCATCGTACACCGACGCAGAGGTGTCCGTCAGGGCAGACGTCGAAGCTGGGGAAGGTGGCGTATCTCCGCCAGGGTGCGGTGGCGCTGCGCCAGGCGGCAGTGCGTATAGACCGTGGGGCTGCGCTGGAGGCTGCGCCTGCGAGGTCGGAGAGCCGGACTTCGGCAGAGGCGAAGGAGCCCTGGCGCCTGGAGGCAACGAGGAGACCGACTGATTCCCAGAGGGCCTCCGTGGCGGGACCGGCGGGGGCGGCAGCTGGTCAAAGTGGTCCTTCGTTGGGGAGTTCTGGCCGCGCGAGGATGGATGGATGCTGTTCGCGGGACGTGCAGGGAGTTTGGGCGTGAAGTCGACCTCATGCCCGTGGTGAGGGGACTGCGGCGGTACGGTAGCGACCTTCGTGCTCTTCGAGCCGTAGTATACTGGTGCGGGATCCGTGGCCGGTGTTGGCGGCAGCTGTGGGGAGTGTGGCTGGCTCCCAGAGTTACTGCCTGCTACGCTGGTGCCCGCACTACCAGTCGTGACGCTGATACTGCCTTCATGGCCGTCGAAGATCAGGGGCGCATGGACAATCATGTCCTCCATCAGGGTATCCTACAGAATGGTCAGCAAGCCGGCGTACTCATAACGGCCAGGAGATCACCTTCATCGTGCCAAGAGTCAACAGATCGCGTTCACCGCCTTTGGGTATCTCTTCCTCGCCAAACACAACACCACCGAAGACAATCGCCAGATTCTTCGGGTCCATCTTGTTCTTGTCACTGTGATTTGCAACTCTGTGTAGGTGCTCGACGAGCGCTCTCAAAGTCGCTTGATGCACAGGGGGAAGTCGCCGGATCTTTGCCTTCAGCAGCATGAAGTTGTTCGCTCGGTGATCATCTAGTTCAGTGTCAGTACTTGCGACGACAAAGCCGGCAGTGAACACTCACTGAGGTCTTCCGTGTGTTGTATGCGGTCTTGCAACTGGAACTTGAACAAGGGTTCGGGAAGCTCGCGCAAGTACAACTGGTTGAGACGATGAGCAGGGTCAAAGGTCTTCGCAATGTAAGCTAACCTTGAGCAAAGAGGCGATCACATAAACATCGTCCCGCTGTGGGTCAAATCGGAAGGCCTGCTCATTCTTCTCGACCTCGTGTTGCAGCTAAGATACACGTTAGCCCGCTGCGAGGTACGCAAAGAAGAGCTTACTGACCATGACAACGTTCGAGTGACGACCTGACACCTGTTGAAAAAGTCAGCTCAATATCGATGTATTCCTATGAATATTGCCTACCCGATAGATACCTTCGGCATCGAGCCCTCTCTTGTCTATCTCTTCAATGCATAGCCTGACGATTCGGGGTATCTCCCCATCGCGGATGTTTTTGCCCGTTGCATAGTCGGTTAGACTTATTCCAAAGATGAGGTCGCTGCAAACGCCCTGCAAGCCATGCTCATAATGGACTTGCTCCGGAGTGGCAGACGCGATGGCACGCGGAATGAAGCTAGTCATCCGCTGAACGTCCCTCTCCGGTGAGATCTTGTCGACCATCGGCTTCGCATGTGTGGTGATCTGAGTTTCCGTCGTAGTAGTTGCGCTGAAAAGGGTGAGTTGACGTCAAAGGCGGGTATAAGCATCCGTACATCAAGTTGTCCGTGTACCGGGCTAGGACTACCTTGACTGTCGACGATGTGTCGGCGATAAACATCTCCAGACTCTGTGGACGGTCAGAACACATTACGCGACGGAGGATACGCGAGAACGAACTCTGTAGGCGCTCTCGAGCGTCTTGATCTTCCGGATACGGAGAGTTTCCAGCCAGTGCACGCCCTTACGATACTCGTGGTCTAAGTCCGCGTTAGTCAAAGCCAGAGAGCCCGCACATCGGACGCACCAGCTTCATCGGCTTCGCGCTTGAGGCGGACCATGCGCAGCGCGTGAGTTTCGCGTCCCCCTCGTTCATGGACAGAGCCGCTCTTGTCGAGCAGGCCCATCAGGGTGTTAAGCTGCCGCTTGCCCTGATGCGCAAGATCGGAGAAGGCGGTGCCGGAGGAGGGAGAGCGATTCCGGCTACCTTGGCCGAGGGAGGTGCGCCGCTCGAGCGGACGCAGCGGTTGTGGCGATGTCACCCTGACGCCGACGCCGGGATTGGGCTTCGATCCGGGAGGCGACCCTGACTGCGCTTGCTGTGGCGTGGGGGCGACTGGTTGTGCCGCTTGGTGCTTCAATTCCTGAGGGGAGGTAAGGGAGGGTCGGACTGTGGCGAGGAGGATAGACTCGCCTCCGCCTCTGCGAACTTCTTGAGGTATCGAGACTTGAGCTTGGGGAGGGTGCTGTCCGCATATTCAGCATACGCGTTGTTAGACTCCTTCAGATCCTCCTTGATGCGCTTGCGAGTTCGTTCCTGGGTCTCCTGCAGGGTTGTGAGCAGTGTAACGATGGACAACTTCAGTATTACGCACCCTGAGGGCGGTGAGGGGTCCGAGCACATCTTTGTCGAGGGTGTTTAGGAAGGCTGAGCGAGCTTGAGTCTCTGAAGACTTGACATCAGGAAGGATCTACAGCAAGGTAGACATGATCGCGCACCTCGTTCGACATTATCGCGAATCTCGCCCCAGGCTGCTCTCGTCGTCGTCAACTCTCCTCGATCGTCGAGGTATGTGTCAATGGCTTTGATATCGTGGTGCAGTTTCTGCAACTGCTGGCAACTAGACGCGTCGCGCTCAGACTGATGCTGCTGCGCATAGCGAGCAGCCCGCTTACTAGTTCTCTTCAATACGCTTTCTAGAGGGACCGTCAGATCTGCCATTGTCCGCATATGCAGCTGCCGCACATACCTCTCGGAGAAGAAGCTGATGTATGAGGTTGTGAGGATCCGCAGATGGAAGTCGAACTGCGGGACTGGCCCGACGGCCGTGCGCGACGCCTCTGAGAGCGACGGGCGGGACGATGCTGGCTGAGACTCCATTGTTCTCACTTGGACAATGTCCGGCACGCGACAGTCAACATCAAGAAGTGAACGAAACGCGCGACGCGGAGATCCACACAAGCGCTGCCGTCACCAGGTCTCCCACGTGACGCCCATTGTTCAACTGCGCCACCCTCCTAAAGCGGCTGCCTTATAACTTCCAGCAACAGACCAGGTAGAGGTAACAGCAAAAACTCCCATTCGGCATCGAACACCTCGTAATCGTAAGTACATGAATCAACAGCCCCGCATAGGCGCGGCGCAAGAACAGTCGTAAACAGTGAGCATCGATATCCATAAAGATCCCCTCCACCGTCGTCGTCGTAGATCCATGATTTTTCGCGTTCTATGGTTCTTCCAAGATTACACCCGCGACAGGCTAGTCATCTCCGATGTGGAGAGCTGCCATTTCCTCGGCCGCTGCGAGGGCCGCGGCTGCAACCTCTTCCTCCGCTCCTTCAATCGACACCTCCGCTTCCACCACGTCTTCGTAGGTATGAACTTCCTCCACCACTTCCTCCGCCACGACCTGCGGGTCTTCTTCATGTTCCTCTTCTTCATTCCGGGCTATATTGGTCGAGATGTCAGCGGCTGGTGCGCGATTGCCAAAATACGGAGGGGCCCGGCCGCCTTGAAAGAGAATGCCCAGGAGGAACGAAGAAGCGTGGCCGGCAGACGGAAAGGGAGCAAGCGAAGGGATGGTAGTACACGGCCTCGATGGCCTCAAGTATAGATACAACAGCGATAGATAGAAAGAAGAGGAATGGGTGATAAATAGAGCGTGGAGCGCAGCGCGAGGACGAAGAGGCCACAAAGGGAGGCAAGGGCAGCGGTCACTCACGCGATGTCGCTTCAAAGGCATCGAATGAGCTCTGGAGTGACGCAAGCTGCTTCTTGATGGCACTGTCGAGCTGCGATAGGTGGTCCGTCTCGCTGCTCAGGCGAGTGAGCGTCGAGTACACCTGTTCGTGCAGCGTGCGCAGAGCGTTCATTTGCTCCAGATACACCACGCGCACTTCGGTCCATTCGCGTCCTGCAGCAGAAGGGATCGGTGAGTTCACGTCGAAATGGAGGTGCGGCAGTTGACCGGCAACGCGCGAGGAAGGAGAAGAAGCCGCGCGCTTATCGAGGGAGCGCAGCGAGGGTGTGCCAGTAACGCGCGTCCTGAGATCTTGGGCAGAGGCCTCGCGGGTAGGCTTCGTACGCGGGCTCGCAGGCGCCTTGCCCTGCCGGACGCGCGGGCTTCGGCTCCCCCGACGGGGTCTGGATGAACGCCTACCTGAGGCGTGCGCTTCCCGCGTCTTCTCCAGGTAATCCGACAGGTCACACTCGTCGTTATCGACCGCCCACGAGACGGTCTTGAACTCCGCATTCTGCCGCTTGAATGAGCTTCGGCGCTGGATCTGCGGCTGAGGCGCGCTCGGCTCTGCTGCAGTACGTTAGGCGAACCCTGATAGCCTGCCGCATATTCTACGCACCAGGAGGCTCGTGCGTTACTGCCGGCTCTTCGGCGACTGCTGGGGTATCGACATCTGCGGCTGTCGTGCGGAAAGGGTGAGGGAGAGGAGGCGGGCTAAAGGCGCGAGCGCGGTCGAGACCGTCCAAGGGGGACAAGATGGCATCCATAGCCTCCTCGTGCGATGGTCTTCGCGCATACTGCACCTCCTCCACCGTCTCTCGAGTATGCTGGCGCGGTGGCAAATGGTGAACAACTTCTGGTTCCGGTATGCGTACGCCGGTCCGGGGAGCCGAATGGTGCAGGGCCTCGCCGACCTGAGGGGTGACGATGCCCGAGCAATGAGCGCAACAGAAGGAATTGCGCTGCTTGATCGTCTGCGACGGGCGGCGGACGACGGGGGGAGGGGGAGGGACCTTGGACTTTGAACGCGAACGGGGTCGAGAAGTGCCCTGGCGGTGCAGCCACTTTTCCATCTCCTTCAGCCGGAAGTCGGACGGCGCGATAACAGTCTGGAAAGTGAACGACTCCCCGCGCCCTATGCGCTTCGGGGGAGGAGTGGGAGATAGCTTCTGCGCCTTGCGCACCATACGATCCTTGAGGTGGCGGATCTCCAGGATTCGCTCCCATGAAATCGACGGTGCTTTCGCCAGTTCAACGTCCTCGGCCTTGAGCAGCTCCGCATACAGCGAGGCCGTTCTCGGGGGGAGAAGCACCTGCTAGGCCTCAGAAGGCAGAACACGCGGGCGAAAAAGCACGCACTTTGAGCTGGTTCAGGGTATCCGTCGTTTGCAAGTACCGCCATCCCCGCGCCGTTCGACCATCGTACGGCTCCAGCTGGCCCCGTACAGGACTCGAGCGTAAATATTCTAACGAGGGGACATGGCGGGCCTGCTTCGATGTGGAGGGCTGCCGCTGCATGGGCAGGGTAAACGGACAAGGTCGGGATCAGTGAGTCAACAAACTGGGCAGGACGTTCTGGGGGCCTGTTGCCAATTTATATTCGCGGTAACTGACGCCCGCGCATGTCAAGCCTCGAGGCAAGTCGTGCCAGCCACATGCACGCCGACGGCCTGTCGCGTCCCAGAAACGCACGGCGTCCTCGAGAGAGATTGGGTATGCGTGTCGCGGGACAAGGTTACTGTGGCTACGCAGTCGGATGTCTGGCTTCTAGCACTGCTATGAAGGGCATGCAGCGAACACGAGCTACTTTTCATACACCAAATCAGAGATCGCGCATTGCTACTTCCCGGATGTCTGACAACACGCGGATATCGCAGAGAAGAGGCAATCGAGATTTGGAATGAGAGATGATGACAACAAACATGCCCATACACCATAATTACTACTACCCTTGAGTGTACAGTATGTTGTTTTTGAATGTCCAGATGAGCCCAAAGAATGCACATTTACCCTTGGTAGCAAGAAGCGGCGCCGTACTGTGCATTGTGAGCAAGAGGTCGCATGTCGTGATAGAAGAGGGACTTACCTTGGCAGCCGCGATGAGGCCCATGAGGCCAGAGAGGGCGGCGGGGACGGAGAACTGAGAACCGCCATCGTTGGCAGCATACCAGACGGAGCCAGGCTCCTGCATGTTGGTCAGCTCAGGGTTATCTGATGTCTGATGTGAAGACGTACCCCGCTGCTGCCGATGGCATAGTGGTAGATGCCAGACGCCTGGGCAGAAATCCACTGAGAGTACTTTGCAGTCCTGGCCTTGTCACTATAGCGATCGTCAGCTGAGCCCCAGAATGCGTCAAGGATTATTCGTACTTTGCCTGGTCCAGGTAGTACTCAAGGTGCTTCATGAAGACACCCTTGAAGAGCTGCTGGTCGGAGTTACAATTGTTGCTGGACGCGTCGTCGCAAGGCTCCCGAAGTATGCCGCCCTCGCTCATGCCAGCGACGACGGCGTCGATGGTCTTCTCAGCCTCAGTGAGGTACGAGGCGTCACCGGTGGCGGCGTAGAGAACGCCAAGACCAGAGACGACGATGCCCTGAGTACGTTTTGTCAGCAGATTGCGTGAGGGGATCAGAAGAACAGACTGACCTGGTTGTACGTCCAAGGGCTGCTGGAGTCGAGGTTGCAAGAGTTGCCGGACTGACGAGCACCGTCGAGCCAGAGGCCGTCAGAGCGGCGAAGACCGGAGTTCTTGACTGAATGCAGGAGTCAGAAGTGCCAATCAGATTGACGAAGGTCAGATCTTACGCCAGTTCCAGGTCTGCCAGAGTCGCATCAGTACAGTGACAAAAGCAGGGCTCAGGAATGACGCACCTTCTTCGCGTTGTCGAGGTAGCTGCTAGTACCCGTCCTGAGGTAGAGAGCGGCGGAGAGATGCATGAAGAGACCGTTGGTGACCGTGTTCTTGTAGTCGTGGTCGCTGGACCACCAGACTGACGAGAGGTGAGCTTGAGTGAGATCCAGTCAGGTAAAATGCTCACCTCCGCCGCCACAGTAATCATCGTCCCAGTTGTTCATGTAGCTGTAGATCTCCTTCGCGTTGTCCATGTGCTGGAGGTCGCTGCTGCCCTCGTAGTCGGCAGCGCGGATCTCGTACAGAGCATGCCACTGTCGAATGGAACGTCAACCATGCACTGATTGCAACGATGGAGTCACCTACACCCGCATCGTCGTACGAACCAGCGAAGTACGAGGAGGCGCCCCAGGTGTTGTAGGCGGAGTCGAACTGCTCGGCAACGTGCTCATAATCCGAGTTCGAGCCCGCAAGGTCTATCAGGGTGAAGTAGCTTTCGGCGCCGTTCTGGCAATAATGTCAGTTTATCATGCCGCTTCAGTCGCCCAATTACTTACTGCACCATGCCAGTGAACGTCGCCACTAATCAGTTGGTCAGATATCCGACTACTACGACCAATAGCAAGATGATGCTCACTCAAAGTAGCCGCCGACCTGATGACAATCCCTGCCGTTGCACGTGACAGGGTTCCAATAATCGTCGATGATCTTCGAAGCAACTTCCTGAGGACGCGGTCAGCGGCGGCTCGAAGGAGGGAGCGGTTTATGAAACTCGCCTGCGCAGTGGTCAACGCGTCAGAAGCGCCGAAACAAGCCTCCGAGTCCAGAGCAACGACAACATCGTTCATGTTAAAGATGCCGTCAGGGCAATCTGTCGTCACAGCACGAGCGCCCCAGGCGATGTAGTTCGCGTCGTTGGTAGAGAGTGTCATGTGCGGTGTGCCGGTCTCGAGGACGAAGGCACCGTAATTCAGACCGCTCTTGAAGGACGTGTGCTCGATGGTCTCCTTGCCGTTGAACGCGCGGAGAACCCAGCCGGAGGTGTCGGTGCCGGGGTCGACGACGACGGCCCAGTTGAGCTGGTCGGCGCCGAGTTCCCAGCCGTCGGGGTGGTCGCCGTTGGGACAGTTCGTGCCTACGCGATGCGGTTAGCGTGGAGTTCGCAAGGTCAACTTGAGGAACTCACTTTGCATGACAGACTTGTACCACATCACACCAATGGCGCTGGCCTGGTTGCCGTAGGGAACGGACATGGACGACGGACCGCCACCGTTGATGAAAGCGTCAGAGAAGGAGTGAATGAGAGGGAGCCATCCCTTGTGCGACCATTCCTTGGCGGAGGTCACGTAGCGAGCGGGGTCGGGGTCGGTGTTCTGTTCAGGCCAGATGTTGCCGATGTAGTGGCTTTCGGGGCCGTCGTTCTGCGCGGGAGTGAGTGAACGCATACATGTGAGCAGCTGACAATAGCTCACCCAGGTGATGACGCAGACATAGTCCGGGCGCTGAGCCATGTTGAGAATGTTCTCCATGCGCTTAGGGAGAGCGAGCTCGCCAGGGCGGTACACGTTCGTGTAGTACTACGAACCGCATCAGCAACGCTACTCAGTCAGGCATATGATGAACCTACAGCGCTCTTGTACTGAAGCGGGCTCAGACCCATCATGTAGCCCTTGCCGTGCGACTTGGCGTCCTCGATGACAGCCTGGTCGATCTCAATAGAACCGGGGCTCTCTGACCCAGCGTATTCGGGGCCGCGACGCTGCCAAGCCGCGTCCCAGCTGAACACGCAGTCGACAGTATCCCCCCAGTAATCCCTGCGAAACTCGTCTTAGCAATTGCGCAGCTTTGGGCGAAAAAATGAACTGACCACCAGCCGTCGGCACTCGTGTTGTAGCCAGGCGTGCCATCGAAGTCGGGGCAGAAGTAGAGCTTGTTTGCCAGGGTGTCCAGTTTCCACGCATCCCATTCATCATTCGTGAGGCCGCCATCGCTGAAGGTCGTAACGAACGGTTTGCCGTCGACCTGGTAATACCCACCATGGCCGACGTAGCCGCGGAGGAGGTCATCGAACAAGTGAGGATGGCCGCCGTCGGCATCACCAGAGGCGATGATGTCCATGCTGATGTGCACGTAGAAGCCATTCTCGTACGCGTGCGCGAACATGTAGCTCAGGGTGTTCGCGACGAAGTCGGCGCCGGGGTCGCCAATGTTGAGCGAGAAGCCGGATATGCCAGCCGCACTACAAGAGAACGCTGGTAAGTCGTCGAAGATGGCGCGGAAGGAAAACAACGTACGCTGCGTCTATGATATCCTGCCTGACGTGCTCTTCGGTGACATCGCCAACCTGGTCGACAATTAGCACACAAGTGATTCTGGAGAGCGTATTGGCATTGACCATGTAATGGGCAAAGACCTGCCGGGCGGCCTGCGTCTGCTGGGCAAACGCAACGCCCACCGCGAGCGCGGTAGGAAGCGTAGGTAGACGCATAATGGCTAGCAGTGAGGAAGGAGTGAAGAAGTTATGGATGCCGTTCAAGAAAGAGCGGTTAGGATGCAGCCCGTCGAGGGTGCTGCAGGTTCCTGGAGCTCTTGGGGCAAGGCACTCTCGTATTTATACTCAGCTGGAAAGCAGGCCACAAATTGTGAGAGCGGATCTGCCACTTGAGGTCCGCGACCAGGCGCCCGATGTATCCGTACCTGGAAACTCGAACAGTGATGCTCTGCCCAGGATCGAGAGCACTGCCCAGATGGACGAAGATAAGTGACATGGTGTATGTGTGTACGGGCCGGTACCATAACTATTTGCCTGTCGGAACGGGCGAACAGAGAGCAGATGCTCTGAGCGAAGTAGGAAAGCCTTGAAGACAATAGTATGGGCTCAGCCTCACTAGCACGTAGTAATCGAGGAAGGCACTCAGGGGAAGAGCAGACTTGGAGTCCTCGGAGATCATTTGTTAGACGGAGCACACATTGTTTTCGGATTTTGAGAGCGTCGATCCCGGTCGATCCCCACGTTGCCCAGGCACCGAGAGAAAAGACCTGTGAACCCAGCTAGTTTCCGGAAGGACTTGTGTGGGTCCTTCCACTCGGCTCTCATTGTCGACACCAGGTCGGCACAGTTTCCGACATCGCATCCAGGGAAAATGCGTGGGCTCCGGCCTCCAGATCGAGCCAGCTGCATGTTTTGTCAATGCGGGTCATTGAATCCTGCTGTTCCTTGCAGATAAGGACCGGCCAAGAGCATCCACGGAAGTTTTTCGCAAAGCTGGTGTGCCTCACGGAGAAAGCTTCCCCATCCCAGACACCAAGTCCATGCAGGCGAGACGAGCACCGGCTCGGAAGTGGAGGCTGGTGAAATCCTACCGGTGTTGAGGACTTGCGTATGTCAGAACGCTCTCGTGCGAGGAAAATGAGAAGGGACGATAGCATGAATACCAGCTAGGCGCAGATGGTCAGGATGGACTCGAGCAAGCACAGGGTGACCGTGGAGGACAGCTTCAAGCTAGCCGAGTCAAAGTTCGAACTTTCGCACGTGACGATCTGACAAGGTGTTCGCAAACAGTGACCAACAGTGACCCTTTTTGCCTTACACTTGCATTGCAGGCCGCGGCGCGAAGACAGCCACAGCAATTCGAATGTCGGGCTCTGTAACAGACTCAATGGCGGTGGACGCTTCTCCTGAGAGGAAACCGTGCGTGCATACAGTCCCGAGTTGCGAGCAAAGTACTGACTCTTGAAGCAGCTCCCGTGCACTTTCGACTGACACTATGCGCACGCGCAGATCTCATCGTTCGACCTCAAGAGACAGGGACAGAGAGAGGCGGCACAGTCGTCGTCCCGAAGACGGGCGCCGTCGCAGCCGTAGCCGCGGCAGCGAACGCAGCCACCGCGACAGGGACCGTTCTCGAGACCGCCGTCGCAGCGACAGGGATCGAGAGAGGGACAGGGACCGTGAACGGCGCCATCGCAGCGACCGCGACCGCGACTATCGTGACAAGGATAGGGACCGGGAATACCGCGACCGGCGCGACGACCGAGACAGGCGGCGCAAGCGTGATGATGAGGATGTTGACCGGGACGCGAAGCGTAAAAAGGAAGATTCACCGCCCCCTCCTCCAGGTGCTTTGCCCCCTCTACGTCGGGATAGCCCACCACATCGTCGCCGGGATGATCGACGCGACCGCCGTCGTGGCCCTCCGAGCCCAAGGTACGTGCGCGTCCGTATGGCGTAATGACAAGTCTGACGCATACAGTAGGCGTCGCACACCCCCTCCGCAGCCGGATCCTTTCGACGAGGATGCTCCCAACCCTCAAGACTCGGAAGCTCGCTCGGTCTTCGTATCGCAGCTTGCCGCGCGTCTGACTGCTCGCGATTTAGGGTATTTCTTTGAGGATAAACTTGGAGAGAATACCGTGATGGATGCCCGCATCGTCACGGATCGTATCTCTCGCCGCTCGAAGGGGTGCGTAGCCTGTCCTTGCTGTGCACATCGTCTGGCTGACTTGTTCGCTTGTACAGCATCGGCTACGTCGAATTTCGCACCGTCGACTTGGTCGACAAAGCCCTCGACCTATCCGGCACTGTAGTTATGGGCCTGCCTATCATGGTACAGTTGACTGAAGCTGAGCGCAACCGTCTTCATGCTGGTGATGGAAACCTCAACCTTCCACCTGGCGTCAGTGCACCCCACGGCGGTGCAATGCAGTGAGAAATTCCTACAGTTCGCGGTCAGTTGCGCTAACCAACGATGCAGGCTGTATGTCGGCTCTTTGCACTTCAATCTCACCGAGGCGGATATCAAGCAGGTGTTCGAACCATTCGGCGAGTTGGAATTTGTCGATCTTCATCGCGACCCGACTACTGGCAGGAGCAAGGGATACGCCTTCGTGCAGTACAAGCGTGCTGAGGACGCGAGGATGGCAATGGAGCAGATGGAAGGGTTTGAGCTTGCAGGTCGCCAGGTGGGTAGACCAACAAATTTCGATGATCGCGTGCTGACCCCTGCACAGCTTAAAGTCAACACGGTGCACGACAAAGGGGGTGTTGTCCGCTACGCACAAACCGAATCGCTTGATGACTCCGGCGGTACGCCTCTTATCCTCTTTTTACCGGTTTCGAAGCTTACGCTGTGCTGTAGGCGGTAACTTGAACGCAGCATCTCGTCAAGCGCTAATGCAGAAACTTGCTAGGACCGATTCTGCTCCTCTTTTGCCAGAACCTGTGTACGGTTGTCACCCGGCTACTTCTCCGCGGTACTCATCACGATTACAGTGCTCGACCTAATATCCCGCAAACTATGGAATCGCGGTCCGTCCTGCTCAAGAATATGTTTGATCCGGAGGAGTACGCATACCGCTTTCGGACAGAATCGTTATTGACCTCGCTTTACAGGGAGTCCGGCGATGACTGGGACAAAGAGCTTGCTGACGACGTTAAAGGCGAATGCGAGAGCAAGTACGGCAAAGTCTCCGCTATCAAGGTAGAGAAGGAGACTCAGGTTAGTATTGCCACCTCGCGTGTCCGCCAGTGTCGTTCATCTTTCACAGGGCGAAATCTACGTCAAGTTCGACGCCGTCGATGCAGCCAGAAAAGCTGTCCAGGGTCTGAACGGCCGCTGGTTCGGCGGCAAGCAAGTGTCGGCTGCGTTCATCTCGGACGCCATCATGCAAGCGCACCAGTAGTCTCCATGTTTGGCTGCGCTATGGTGTTGCCGCTACTGAACGTCCCAATGGCAGACACGACGCTCGACGCGTATCCTTGCCCCTTCTTTACAGATCTTCTTCCCCGAAATCCGGTCGCTCGCCTTGAGGCAGGTTCTTCCGTTGGCGTTCTCGTACCTCTTTGTGTCATCCTCGAGATAACTATTCGCATATAGATCGCACAATAAAGATTCTTGCTGCTCGATACTTCCTCCCTCTTGCCATACCTGTCAGGACCTCGCTGTGGCACGTCCCGCTTTCCCGCAGCCTCGGCAGTTGGATGCTGTGTGTAGGCGACTTCGGTGTCCCAAGGTGTATAGCATTCCATTGAGAGTTGTCCACCCTACCATAGTGGACTTACAATACAAGCCTCGCTATCAGACCGTCAGCTCGCTGTGCCGTTCGGGGGTCCTCCTGCTGCGTGTATAGGAAGTGGGTGAGATGATGGGCATCTGATGTTGGAGTTGAGTGATCAGTAGCGTGGGAAAGCCGCAACAATGCTTCTTTGGGCGTAACCACGAGTGGCTCGCTCGCATCTCCCCTTCTCCCCCCATCCCCTCAATAATACCGGGCCCCCTTGTCCCCCCTCCAGTCCTTGTATTTATATGGCTTCCGCATATCCGGCATATGCTCGTCCTCACGCCTACATTCGCATGCCTGACCGACCATCATACCCACCCTCTGAACATGGCGGCGGCAGCACAAGCCCAGAGTCACGGAACGACACTCGTGTAGACATCCCCCTCGCGCGCACACCGAGCCCAACGCCCAGCGAGGCGCGCGAACTGCAGGTCGGCGTGTTTGACTGGAAGACTATCTCGAAGTGGAGATTCTGGATACGGAGAGAGTGGTTGTGTGCGTCGCGCCCTTTGTGTCTGCGCAGCACGCGATGTTGACAGCCGACTGCAGGGCACTATGTGGCACTTGTTATCATCATGGTTGTATTCGCCCTCATCACGATCTACCACGACCAAATCGTCGACTGGCTGAAGCCGCTTGCGGAGTACCTGCGTGACGAGTGCGTGGTGGTCCTCATCGTCCTACGCGTCTTGCTGATCTCCCGCTTTAGGATAACCGTCGGATGGCTTATCCCCATCGGCATTCTCTTCATCCTATCCTTCCCACCGGTCCGTAGTCCCCAGCGCTGGAAGCTGAACTCCGCTGAAGTGCTTCTCGATAGCTCTTTGGCCATGAAATCGTCGCCGTTTTGTGCGGGCTGGTCTGGGGATTATGGGTCGGCTTCGGCATCGTTGCAGCTGGTACCTTCCTAGGCGAGGTCGGCAACTACTAGTGCGTTCGACACCACATCGCCCGCATCCCTCGTCATTAACCATCCTACTAGCGCATTCAAGTACTGCTGTCGTGCCCGAGGCGAGAAGATCGAGCGCAATAACATTTCCTATGCCTGTCTCGCAAAGGTCGTCCGCGATGGCGGTTTCAAGATTGCGCTCATCGCGCGCCTGAGCGCTATTCCTGGTCACTGTGTGTATTGTTGGGCTTTGGCTGTGTACGGCAGTGCTAACGATTATCTATCAGTTACCACCGCGGTCTTCTCGACCTGTGGTATGGGGATCCTGGTCTTCTCCCTTGCCGCGATCCTTTCCATGCCGAAACAAATGATCACTGTCTATCTGGGTGTGATCCTCAAGCAGGAGTCTGAAGGTACGCCGAGCGGTTGAGTTCGAAGCGCGAAGACTGACCTTTGTATAGGGACGCAGACGAAGGAATCGAAGATCATCAGCGACGTTGTCTTGGGAGTCTCGCTGGCTTTGACATTCTTGGCGATGTGGTACATCTATCATAGAATGGGCAAGGTAAAACCGGAGATTATCTACGCTCGTCGCAAGGCTAGGTCTGTCATTTTCCCTTTTTTGGTGCAGCACAATGCTGATGAGCTCGACAGGCAGGAGAAGATGTTGCGCGCCGCGTCGGATGACAGGCCGTATAGTGTCACGCCGCCCAACAACAGTAGCGGCAGCACTATCTCTCTCGACGACCCGAGCGGTATACCTCTCACGAGGCCCCTCGCGCAAGGCTATGCAGCCAATTCAACGCCGAGCATCCCCATCGCCGCGCCGCAGCCATATCATCAATACGGCAACGTGAACGGCTCTGCTATCTCTCGCGAGCGTATCCCGACCTACAGACAAGACAGCAGTGGCGGCGCTGCCTACGACTCGTACGGTTACCGCCGGACCGGTCCGCGGGAGAGCATGGACAACGTTGCGTGGGACATGGGCGTGCGCAGACAAGACGCGTTCGACCCGCGCACGCGAAATGACACTTCGGCGAACGCCTCCATGTACACCTCGTCGAACGCGGACCTCCATCACAGGCATCCGACGTCGTCTGCGCGCGGCACGCCGGAGATGGCGCAGACGCCGACGCAGCCGTTGTCATCGCCGTACCAGGCCGGGGGCGCGTCCCTGTACTCCGCGCCATCCCGGCGTACGGGGTCCCCCGACCAGCTAACCTCACCGTACGAGGATCCGGCGGCCAGGCAGCGCTCCAGGTCGCGGCAACGGACGCTTGAGTCGAACTCAGAAGCGCCCGATTCACCGTTTGCTGACCCGACGCCGTATCGCGGAAATGAGCTGGCGCATGCGCAGGAGGAGGCTTACGGCGGGAGCGGGGAGTCGTACACTGGGCCGTACCCGGCGTTCCACGGTCACAACGGTCCGAGTCGTGCAGCGCGCGAGGCCGCGCGGTCCCCGCCGCCGCCCACTTACTCCTACGCTGCCGGACGATAGTAGGCGTTTGTGCCGGTGTAGCGTAGCGTTGGTCGAGGCCGTTGCCGACGGTCGCTGGCTGGAACACCATGTTGACAACTCCCACCACCACAGCCCAGTCTTGACCTGTATCTCATGCCCGTAACTTACAGTCTACAGTATATATCTCGGACGGATAAGCACCTCCGCTGCACTGACACCGCGTGTCCCCAAGTTACCAGACTCTATTGTCTTCTACGTATGTATAGACGCGGCTTTTTTGGTCGTTCGTTGACGGACTTGGCTTGGAATGAATAGATCGGATTTATCTATGAATGCACGCGAGTCTCCGCCTTGGGGACCAGGCCGCCATAGGAACAACTAATGCGTGTGAACTGGCCATAAAAGCCGGCAGCTGCCGGGCATACTTTCCGCTCTCGTCCTTCGCCTACTTGTTGTTCTAACTTTCACTGACGCATCAAGAGATATGTGAATAAGTAACTTCGCTGCAAGGATCAATAGGATCAGAGGACGGCGAGTGATGTTCACAGCCAACAAGACGGTGCGTCCTCTTATTCCTGACTTTGGGGCTTGCTCTCCTTTTGCTACTTCAAGCTCCCAGTCTGGTCTGACCAAGGAGATATATGAGGTGCCAGACTGACCAAAAAGCGCGAGAAGGCTGTACCGCGATGAATGCCCGTGCAGGGGAGCGTACGAGGTGGTCGGATGAGAACCCTCACCCCTGAGCTTCCCCGTGTCCTCTTGTCGAGATATTCAAAGGTTTTGGGTCGATTCCTTCGCATACGAAGTCTTGTGGGATTTTGCATTTGATGTGCATCAAGGCATGCCGTGCGGATATGGTACCTCCCCTTTGGGGCTCATCGAACCTCGACGTGGCGCTCGAAGCTTTCCAAGTGCTTGAGTCTGGAAGTCGAGAGGATCATTTCGGGTAGTACAGGATACTGTTGAAGCATATTTTCCGCTCGCAATGCTGCAAGTCATGTCGTTCCAGCGAAGTCCGAGAGTACAATGAAGGGCTGTGGTCGAACTCGAAGTTGTGGATCCAAGGATCAAAGTTGCCACGCTCCTATCACGCACGAGAAATCCACGTGCATCGATTGCATATATATCCATGCGCCGGACCGCCTGGTGACGACGACCGCGTCTCTTGCCCTCTTATTTCTCACTTTTTGACGACCTAAACTACCATGGATGAAGAGTATGATGTGCGTACACCGCGCAAAAAGGCCCGGCGACGATGCTGACGCGCCCTAGGTCGTCGTTCTCGGCACTGGTCTCACAGAGTGCATTCTCTCCGGTCTCTTGTCCGTCGAGGGCAAGAAGGTCCTCCACATGGATCGCAACGATTACTACGGCGGCGACAGCGCCTCTCTGAACCTCACCCAGGTGCGTGAGCTAAAAGGCGCGCTCAGCAAACGCTGACTGGTGCCTGCAGCTCTACCGCAAGTTCCGCCCTGATCAGCAGCCGCCCGCCGAGCTGGGACGCGACCGCGACTACAACGTCGACCTCATCCCCAAGTTCATCATCGCATCTGGAGAGCTCACCCGCATCCTCGTGCACACCGATGTTACCCGCTACCTCGAGTTCAAGCAGATCGCGGGCAGCTTCGTCTACCGCGAGGGCAAGATCTCGAAGGTGCCGAGCACGGAGATGGAGGCGGTCAAGAGCCCTTTGATGGGTCTCTTCGAGAAGCGTCGCGCAAAGAAGTTCTTTGAGTTCTTGCAGGGCTGGAAGGACGACGATCCGACGACCCACCAGGGTGCGTTTAACCGCGTTTTGGGGCGTCTGCATTGTACTGATGGGTCTGATAGGTATCGACCTCGACAAGGACAGCATGAAGACCGTCTACGAGAAGTTCGGTTTGGAGCCGGGTACCCAGGACTTCATTGGCCATGCCATGGCCCTGTACCTTGACGATGAGTGAGTGTAGTGCCATCTATATGCCTCACCAATACTAATTACCGATCTAGCTACATCACCAAGCCCGCGCGCCCAACCTACGACCGCATCGTCCTCTACACGTCTTCCATGGCTCGCTACGGCAAGTCACCGTACATCTACCCCCTCTACGGCCTTGGCGAGTTGCCTCAGTCGTTCGCTCGTCTGAGTGCCATCTACGGCGGTACCTACATGCTCGACAAGCCCGTCGACGAGATCGTCACTGGCGCGGACGGCAAGTTCGTCGGTGTGCGTAGCGGCTCGGAGACGGTCAAGGCGAAGCAGGTCATCGGCGACCCGAGCTACTTCACGTCACGCGTCGAGGAGACCGGCAAGGTCATCCGTGCCATCTGCTTCCTCAAGCACCCCATCCCGGGCACCGAGGACGCGGACAGCTGCCAGATCATCATCCCGCAGAACCAGGTCAACCGTCGCAATGGTACGTCCCGCTGCTCGGGTCATTGCTATACGCACCACTGACGACTACCTGCCAGACATTTACATCGCCATGGTTTCCTCCACGCACAACGTCTGCGCCAAGGACGTCTACGTCGCCATCGTCTCCACGATCGTCGAGACCGACCGCCCGGAGCAGGAGATCAAGCCTGGCCTCGACCTCCTCGGCCCCATCCACGACAAGTTCGTCTCCATCACGCCCCTCTACAAGCCCACCACCTCGGGCAAGGAGGACAACGTGTTCGTGACGCGCTCGTACGACGCCACGTCGCACTTCGAGACCGTCGTCGAGGACGTGCAGGACGTGTGGAAGCGCGTTGTTGGTGCGGACCTGGTGCTCAAGAAGCGCGACGTCGAGGTTGAGGCGTAAGCCCTTCGCCCCATCGAATTTTGTACGATACGACGATCATGCCCTGCTTGTTACTGCACTCCCTCACGTTTCCGTCGACGCATCTTATAACCCTTTTAGTCCATCGTTTCTCTTGTGTAGTATAAGGATTCAAAACGAAGTTGGAATGTACATTCACTGCATCGTGATAATTGTTGGTGTGAGAGTGAGCGCGCCGATGGGTAAGCCAATGAGGCGGCATTGCTCAGGCTAGAAGAAAGAGTTGATGTCAAACTCCGGCACCGTGACATCCTTCTTTGCTGTCTGCATTAGGCTGCCTAGACCAGCCTTGCGAGCTTGCAGGTCGCCATCCGCCTCGGGCTTCTTCGCAGGTTCCTCTGGTATAGGCGTAGGTACGTCGGGGGAAGGTGAGGGCGAGCTGGATGGTATGTCCATGTCAATGATCATCGACGATCGCCGGTGATGCAGGGTATGGTGGAAGTGCGATCGCTGAGTGACGGGGCTGGTGGGTGGCTTGAACTCGTCTGTACCATTGGTTGCCCGTACAGGTGCAGCGGGCCGCTCGAAGGACCACGAGCGCACAAGATCTAGAGCAAGGATATGGCAGCCTGAAAGGGCGATCAGCAGGTAAAGTGGAGAGCAAAGTGCATATACCCACCCATCCTTGAGAACACTCGTGCGATCTGCAGCACGAAGTTGAACTCCAAGCGCCCTGAAATCTCGCTCGCGCCCTTCGCGGCTTGCAGTGTCTTCGACCGCAGCTGTGCGAACAGCAATGCAAGGCTTGTGTCATCGTAGTGCGGCTCGCCGATCTCGTCCACCCGGATGTCCAACTCGCGCGCGAGCTCTTGCAATGGGGTCTGAGCTGGACTTAGCTTCATGTTGCTAACTTGGGAAAAGCTACACGTACGACGAGAATGCGCACGGCCAAATCGCGACGGTGTAATAGCCAGAAGGCCCAACCGCCCAACCATCGATTGCCCTCACGGAATGCCTTCGGCAGAACGGTATTGTTGAGTATGTCGCGCAGGACAGGACCATCGTTGCTGTTCTCTACTATGCGGGCCAACGCTACTGCGAGCTGGAAGTCGTTCAGCTGCTTGACGCATACTGCGACGGCATCCTTGAGCGCGCCGCCGAGCAAGAAGAACGCGGCCGCATATTCTGGGTCTCAGATCAGTATAAGTTGCGGATGATGTGGATGACCTAACGTACCAAAGCGACGCTTGCTCAATAGCGCATACGCGTTCTTCAGCGCAGCTGTCTTCCATCGATGCTCGCTGAAATCGTTCGCGAGGAACTTGAGCATGACTGCTTGCTCCTTATGCCACGCTGCTGTCCGCCAAAGCCCGTGCACGAGCTTTACCTTGCCAAGCGCGAAGTAGAACAGAGAGCATGCCGTGGGGTCTCGACTTTCCCCTGCCATGTACTCGTTGCGGGCGATGGACTCCATTTCGGAGCGCTGTATGTCGTGACGCGTAAGTCAAGGGTAGTACCATAGTCACAGTGAGGCTTACCAGCGACTCCAGGGATGTCAGCCATATAGGCACTCCCAGGGCGCGCGCATCCGACCAGGTCATCTTGCCGCCGCATGCTGCCTTGCTGGCGTCGAGCAGAAGCTGCTGACACTCGCTATGATATGCCCAGATCATGTCCCTATAGCGCAAGCGCTCTCTACGACCAGTCTGCGGAGGTCCGTTGCCGGAAGGGCTGCTGGGTGCCGACGCTCGACTGTTGTGGATGTAGAAGGAGCGCATGGAGATCAAGTATCGCAAGCCGTTGGAATCTAGCGCGCGGCGGGCCTCATCTATCTAGGAAAGCAAATTAGTGAGAAAAGGGTCAGAGCCGTATCTTCAAACCGACCTCTAACGTTGTCTGAATGAGAACGACCAGGTGCGCACGTTCACTTGGCGTCAGATATGGTAATGGGTTCCGTTCTAATGCGTCAAGCAGTCGTGCCACCAGCTTGCGAGAGAAGCCTTCCTCTTCTGAACTTAAGACAGGATGAGGACTGTCACGAGGAGCGGGATGTGCCAACTCACTCGTCCGCGAACCCGTTCTGGTCAAACAGGCTTACGTATCGCTTCTTCTGCCCAACAACCTGCGAAACCCGTGAGAATGAAAACCGGCAAAGACGGTCAAGCTTATACATGCTCAGGTGCTTGTCCATTGCTGAGGAAACGTTCGAGCGGTATCTCCGTATGCCAGAGGATTTCGTGAGGTTTCCTTCGCTCGAAGTCCTTAGCCAGATTCACAATGATGTCCTTGACGAGCTCGACCTTGTCTATCATGTGCTGGTCAGTGCTGAGCATGGCATCGCACAATAAGAAGACATACCCCATAGCAGGCACTGAAGAAGCATCTGCGGGTGATAGTCCGGTAGTGGACCATTCGACCTGGCAACGTATTCGAAGAGTGTCTCCTCGCTCGGTGCAGCATCATCTGGACTGTGTGCCGCCGCTTGACCATATAGCAGCATCTGATGTCCTACGCCAACAAGTAACGCGCCATTCGCTAGCCAGATGGAGTCGCTGATTGGGTGAGGAATAAAGCTGGCAAAAGACGGTAAGTCAGTCACTTGCGAGGCACGAGTGAATCAAGAATACGGAGGGAGGGGCAACATTTCCCTCGCCGCACTCACCTCCCAATATCCACTCTCCAACACATCGCCCATCCGGGGCCTTCGTCGAAGTAGGTCATGCGCTGCTGGCAGAGAAGTTCGACGTGGTGGAGGAAGCCGACTGCTAGAATGGATTGCATATTGGGCGTTGCAGTCCAGTCAAGGTCGTTGATGGCTTCGCTATGGGACTGTAAGAGAGGAAAAAGGATGACCACGGATGCGGAACGCACTCGAACACCCTTCGGAATTCAAGACCGGACGCAAACTCGGATTCATGTGAGTCCCAGATCGTCAGCTCCTCTGCACCTTCAGGTGTAGGTGTAACTGAGATACGAATCAGTTAAGCAACCGTAACCCCACAGCATGACATGGGCACTCACTGAGCGCCGTCTTCTTCGCACTACTACACCTCGCCTTCGTGATACCCTTCCTACCTGTCCTCACTTCTCCTGTACACCGCCACCCATGCGTACCCGGCGCCTCCGGTACCCAAAACGCCAGATCACCGCCCTTGGATACGCTCAGCAAGACATCATGTTCCGTCCACGGATGCCCAAGGCCCCATGCCATTGGATCGACCTGTCGGACGAGCAATGGTGGTTCCGGAAGGGATAAGGCGGCATGACAGTGAATAGACAATGCGCAGGGCTCATTGTCGCCATCATCGTCGCAAGAGGACTGTGAGGAGCCCAGATCGATAACGCCTCTTCCTGTCTCGCTCCCGAAGTCATCCAGGAGCGTCCGTCGGCCGTCGACATGAATATGCAAGATTGAGCCATCCGGCGCAATTCCATACAGCGAGTCGTGTCGGCCCGTTGTTGAGGGCATGGAGAAGAGGTATTGGATGGTGGGGATCTTGAGCTCGTGCGCGTGCAGGGATTCGGCGTGCGGGTGATGGGAGTGTAGTCGGAGGACGCCGTCCGAGGCATGGTAGGTGACGAAGTTGCGCCCGCCGTCGAGGGGAACGACGAAGTCTGCGGACTCCCAAGTACCTGATAATGAGAGCGTATGCGGGCCATGCAGGTGCGTCTTCGTGTCTCCGGGCACAGTGTTCTCCGGCGTTGCATGCAGTGGCCTGGTACTCCTTGCACTCCATACCTCCCCAGCGCCGCCGCGTATAACACATACCCCGCGACCCTCCGGCGTCCGGATGAAGCGCACGATGTCTCGCGTCGCAAGTTGCGTCCCAGTAATGTTTTCCTGGCTCCCGTTTGCTGACGTTGGTGCTGTGGCGCGCAACACCCCTGGTCCCGCTTCGCCTGCAACCGGTACCTCCGCTCTCATGTCCAGCCCAGCACCCTCCGCACCGAAGAAAAGCGCTGGACGCAGTGCGAAGGTGCGCAAAGGTGGCGTAGAGATGAGTGTCATGGAGGCCGCTTCGTTCATTGGGAGGGCAGTATTGCCAGCACCGTCAGGCTTGGTAGCTTCCAAGGTACTACGGGTCGACGAAGTTCGCGAGGGCTTGGGTCGTGAGCCTATAGATTGGCCGGGTTTTGGACTGGTTCCCGTCTGCGGCAAGATGTACAGATGTTTTGGCACACTAGGAAGCACTCCTGGCGCTGAGTGCTGCAGCGTGAATTGTCTAAGCAATGTCGGTGGTCTGCGGTCAATATTCGCAATGGCGGAAACGACCAGTGATCCATCAGGCATCGCGCGGAGGAACAGATCCCACGCCTCCTCCTTCATCTCCCGGAGTCGGTGGTGATGTTCCGCGTGCGGAGGTGCACTTTCGACAATGCGCTCGAGGGCTTGCTCCAATGCAGAGCGGTTCAGGCAGAACACGCTCGTAGGGGATGAGCTGTACATGGATGCGACGGAGAAGGGCACGCTGGAGTAAAGGTCGAGGGAGGCGTGGAGTTGCAGGGATTGTGGGGCGTCGAGGACAGGTACGAAGACACGTAGTACTGCATCAGCGGTGACCGTGTAGAGGATGAGATCGTCACTGGGAGCAAAGTAAGTAAGTGGGGATGGTGCACATGTGGGACGGTACGCACCGAGAGGACGCCTGGGTGTATCGCCAAACAATATTGGTGACAGGTCGGGGATGGGGAATGGACTGGGACAGGCGCCCTGTGGTGAGCGAGTATGTCCGCACGATATTGTCGCTCTGCTTTATTTCAGCACCCTATGTGTCATAGAGTAGTATAGTACTCACCTTGGACGCAGTCGCGATGTACATCAGCGAGGGTGCGAATCGCGCTAGGAACGGCGCCTTCGCTGCCACGGTCCATTTCTGGGACCACGTCGGGAGATCATTCTCGAGGATCAGCGTGTACACAGAGAGTGCACGCTGAGTACCGACAGCGAGGAGACCTGGGGGAACGGAGTATGAGCTTGATCGGACGCGCCTCCCGGATGCAGGGCATCACCCACCGGACTTGGTGTCGAGCGCGGTAACGATATGTTCGGGTGGGAGGGCAAGCGCTGAGTGGACCTTCCACGCGTCTGGGCGGAAGCCCGAGAGGGACCAGGCCGCGACACGGGTGTTCATCGACGCGACTATCTGGTAACCCGTTCGTGAGGTGGCGCGCCGACGAGAGGTACCCGTGACGCACGATCTTCATGCTCGGGTCGACGGACACGCATGCGACAGACTCATGGGAGTGCCGCGTCGCGGGGAAGGCCTCCCAGAAGGCGAGAACGCGCACAGCGGCGAGCGTGCGCGCATCGAGGATGACGACAGAGTTCGCGGAGGGGTATAACTGGCCATTTCAGTCGGAATGCATGCTCGCGACTGGGTACGCACCACAAGCGCCTCGTCGCCGACTGTGATATGTTGCAGCGCACCAGGCGGGCTGCCCAGAATCGACTGCTGCAGGTCGAGCATTCCCCTCAACTCAGTGCATTCGCCGCAGACAAGGAGTGATTTGATCGGGCTCGGCGTTCAATCACCTCTTGTTCTCTCCTTCCATCATTCACACAGGATTGTTCCCCTCGTCGAGCAAAATCATCAAGAAACACAACGTCTCCGCATCGATTCAGCTCGCTTCAGTACATCTTGAATTTTAATCACGCCAGTACACGCTTGCAGAACTCCTCCCATGTCGTCGGCGCCCTCCCAAGCAACCACTTCAAGACGTTACTATTCCCCAGCAGTCCGAACCTACTCCAGTCAGCAACGTCACTGAATCGAAAACTGCGACGCGCACCTATCGTTGTACGCGATCATCATGGCGAAGCCATTCGCGTAGTACTCGTTCTCGCCGCGCGACTTGGCTCTCTCCGTGCACATCACCAGCGCCTCCTCGCGCTCGACCTTGCGCGCCTTGACTGGCCTGCCCGCTACCCTGCTCAAGATCTCTGCTGCCTCTCTGTACGTGTGCGCATACCCAAACAGCTCGTATCTATCCAGGACTGCGTAAGCCGCCTTCGACACCTGCAGACACCGACTCACCTTGCCAGGTTATGCTCGCCGGGGTTCTCGAGCACCTTGACAGAGACCTCCCCAAGATCCTTGATGTCGAAGAACGCCTCCAGCTCGTCCACGCTGTAGTACTGGATTAGCTCGCCCGTCTCCACCGCCTTCTTCACGTCGTGGTTCTGCATGTGGTCCGCTGGCTGCAGTACACAGTACGGCAACCGTGCCTCCGCCAGATATTCCTCCACATCCAACTTGATCCGATGGTTGATCATCTTGCGCCGGAATGGATGCAGTGCGCCCACATACACGAAGAACTTCACCGTGCCCGCCGCCTTCGCATTGTCGATCCAGTCGATCGCATGCACGGCTTCCGAAGGCGTGAACTCGCGCCCGACGTGGTAGACGTGCGAGACCCCGCCGGCGAGCGCGGCGCGCTGGAAGGAGAGCTCACGTGTATCGCCGACGAGGATGGAGACGGGGTCGAGGGCGGGAAATGCGGCGCGCAGGGAGGCGGCGGAGGAGTCGCTGTGGACGGTGACGCGAAGGCGGGGCCGGCTAGCCTCGCCGAGGGCGAGCGCGGCCTCGAGAGCGGCGCGGGCCTGCTTTCCGCCGTTTGTGAAGAGGAGGAAGGCTGAGGGGTCGAGGGCAGACGAGATGTCCTTCGTAGCGTAGGTGTTGCTGAGGTTCGACATGGTGTTCAGGTTCGAGGTGCTTTGGTTTGGCTCCATGATTTCCTGCTCATATACAATGGGCACCAACCGGGCCTGCATATGAGCGACCGGCTCCTTTCCGCCTTCCAGATGCGCCAGCCGCTCTTCGCTCGACGCTGACCCTCTCATCTGCGACTCTGACCTCACTTGTGCGCGGACATGATCTCACCTGTACGTACGCGGCATGACCTCAAGCGTATGGCTGTCGCTCTTGCAATGCGTCCACGAGTAGCCAGTGGGCTCTCTGAGTGCGCGCTTACTACTGTACTGCCCACCTCCATCCCGGACACTCAATGCTCTGGATTACTGACCCACTTCTCGTCCGGCGCACTCTATATCCTTGAAGCTTTGTTTTCTCTGGGTCAACCCACCTGAGTAGCTGCCTTCAACCATGTGCAAGACTTACTTAAGGATCTACTACGTACGCCTTACTCACTTTGCAAGTAGAGGACACCGCCGAACGTACCGGTTCAGATTCTGATCAGTTGCCAACCGGTGTGGTTGACTTTTGCGCATCACGTGCTTTCCGCGTGACCTGTTCACTTTCGACTCACCACTCTAGTTGCTCGCGACAGGTGTCGTACAGTAGGGATGTCCCCGACTTACTTGACTTCAGCAGATCACCGAGGACCCCTCAGTTGTCGATCGCGACCCCCTTGAACGCCCTTCATCTCGTGCAACTCGCAGCTCGCCATTCGCTTGGAGGAGGCTTACGCTCATCCATGACCCTCGGACGGTAAAGGCGGCCACTTCTCCGCTCTACTACTCAGCTGGATTAGTCGTCGTCACACGCTTCTTGGCATCGACTCTCAGTACTCGACGTCGACGTTCACCCTCTCGTCACCTTCTAACACCGCACCGAGCTCTTACTGCGTTTGGTGGGCCTTCACGTCCTTTCAGCGAGGTCAGAACACGGGGAAGGTGCACTGCGACGCATGTGCATCGCTTATCAGGCTTTGGATGACATCGTTGGAGGACCCCCTTCATACCTGACGCCTCTCTCCACGCGGCTGCGCGACTTCTGCATCCACTGAAAACCTCATGAACTGGTGGAACACCTCGCCACTTATCCGACGACCGAGCAGAGAGTCCCAAGAGGCCAGCAATCGTCTTCTACTACTCCGCATTACAATGTCGAAAGGACACCGAACTATGACTACAATCTAAGCAAGAATACATATTGAATTATATACATCTCAGCTTCACCTTCCATCCTTCCCATTCACCATCCAGCTCCGTGGGTACCAGAGTCTCCACTCACTTCGCCCACACCGAGGGTATCTTCATCACCACCTCCTTCCACCGCTCCAGCCGTCCGCGCTCCCAATCCTCGATGAACGACAGCCCCTTGCTCCCCCGACGGGCCTCCTCCATCTGCAGCGGCTTCTCCGCGTCGCACCAGAACAGCACCCAGTTCCCCTCGCGTGCATGCCCAGAGCTGCGCTCAAAGTACCACTTATTCACCGGATTATCCGCGCGCGAGCGCCACACCAGATCGCACGCCTCGCCCTGCCCGCCGCGCCCGCCGTTCGGGTTCGCGGAGAAGGGGAGGCCGAGGCCGTATGTCTCGTCGTGCAAGGCAACCCAGAGGAAGTCGACGGTGCCGTCGCCTTGGTGGGAGGGGAGGACGGCGAATTTGTCGAGGTAGGTGACGGGGGCGGAGGTCGTAGTAGAGCTTGGGCCCTCCCGGGTGACGACGGCAGCGCCGACATAGTCGCCTGCGACGATGACGAAGTCGAGCGTTTTTTCTAGCCGGGAGTAGAATGCGTTGGCGTCGAGCTCGCGGCCGAAGGATTGTTGTAAGAGGGCGGTCAACTTCGACCGGTCGATCGCGTTTGTATCTCGCAAGACGCGAATCTCGAGTCCCCGACGCAAGAGCGTTGGCGTCGCGGGAGACAAGCGGCGGTTGCCTTGGAGGAGCGCGTGCGGGAGGCTCGAGCTCACAGCGGGCTTATTCGTGATGAGGTTGCCAATGAGCGATGAAGGAGAGCGATGCGAAACCATAACCGCGGAGGACGTCGGCGGCATGTACGTGAGGCATGTCCGCGCGAGGGCGAGGTTGGAGAGCGCGGTGCGGTGCGTATGGTGCCAGGGCTCCTGGAACGTATCGTGGATGTACTCGTACTCGCTCTCGAGGTTGATGAGCAGGTGCGGAAGGCCGTGCCGCGCGTAGGACGGAACACCCCCTTCGCGATTGATGATCATGAGCCGCAACGGTGTGAGGTCGACCTCGTTGCTGATGTCCTCCTCTTCTTCCGCCGCGCCCTGGGAGGACTCGATGCCGGCGGCATCGACCATGCCCTTCGCAAGCGCCCCGATGACATCGTTGGCGTCTACGCGCACGGAGCGGCAGAAGGAGTCGAGCGCTAGCGGGCTGATGACGGGAATCTCTCCCGCGCGCAGGGCGGAGCGGAGGGTTACCAGGTCGAAGGGCCGGGTGTGGGCTTCGGGAACAGGAACACGCGGGTCGACCTGCACTGCGTCGGGGTCAGGGCCAAGGCGGACCATTGCCCCCAGCACCGGCCGTGCGGCTGCACCTAGGCGCTCGAGTGCACGCACGACCCGCATCGTCTCCTCCGTGATTGCCGCGCGCTCGCCCTCGTCCCCGCGGACGAGCTCATCGTTCTCGACAACGATAACGCTGACCAGGCCTAGCTTCTTGAGGTAGATCAACCCCCGCGCGACACTGTCGAGCTGGACATCGGTGAAGGGACCCTGCATCTTAACGAGGGCCGTCCGCCGCTTGACGGGGTTGAGGATAGACTGGACGACGGGGCTGGCATGGAGGGCCTGCAGATCTCGGGCGCGCTTTTCCGATCGCTCCGCTGCTGTCTGCTCTTTCGTCAGGAGGGCCTCTGTTTGTCGGGAAGGTTTTGTCGGGGCGGGGACAGGTTTGGGACCAAACGACGCGAGATAGTTCTTCGAGTCCCTCAGCGATGGGTTGGCTCGCAAGATCGAGAGGATGAAGTCCTGTACGTCCCGGTGAGCAGCCGGCGATAAGGAGGTGACTCGACGCGACGTACATTATCCGACGGCGGGATGCCATCTTCGCTGGCTAAAGGCTGGGGGGCGCCGCGCACAGTCTGAAGGCACGATGAGCTCCTCCGTTCGGACCCGCTAGCAAAAAGCATGCTCACCGCGTAGGGCGCCTTGTGTGCTGCGGTCTGGCGCGAGAGAGTGCGCGCGGCGGCGGCGAGGCGGCGGTTGCTGCACGAGGCGCTCATTCAAACGCGTATTTTTCAGAGAAGGCGAGGAGGGAAGAGTGCACGGCGCCGGTGAGCATGAGGTTTTATAGCAGGCTGCTGTATGATGACTCTAAACGGACAACGCGATCCACGCTCTAGAGTGATCGGATAAGATAAGATAATCCGCCAATTATCAATTATCTCCGGCCGGCACCGGCTCATCTGCAGCCGTGCGCTGCACCGTCGAGCGGTTCTCAGTCGCATGCTCAGCATGTTCAAGGGGAGAATATCCTTGGCATTGTGCCCCACAATCCGTACAACCGTCCACTCGTAGCTCGCCATGAACCTGAAGGCCTGGGACGAGTCCTCGCGCCCTTCCCCCGCCAAACGCGAAGAGAAGGCGCCGTGCGCGCTTACTGCCATGAACTGCTGTTGATGCGCAAGTCATGCTGCACCGACATGGACGCGAATAGCCATAATACCGCCGCACACCTGCTCAGCTGGCCACTGGTCCACCAAATATGACTCACTCGACCTGTGCCGCCACGACTCGACCACTGCCGCTGCTGCGCTGTTGACCGTACTAACCTCTTCAGTTGCGTAATTTGAGCCGCTCAAAATCACCGCGAGTGCGACAGCGCCTGCGTGAGAAGCGCCATACTCGCACCGTTCGGACATCACCTTGTATCGATATTGCTCAGGGTCCGGCCTCCGACACCTGTGGATGCATTCACCTCACCTCACCTTCGCCGATCGCTCGTGATGGGTGGCGGGATGATCTCTCCTCACACAGCAGCAGCGAACGTGTGAACAGCAGCGGCGGACGTGGAACATAGCCGGATCATGATAGCATTGCAAAGCAAGAGGGTGTATGAGGGTGTCGCGAGGATTATGGAGTATACAGCAGAGCAACAGAGAATGGATAAGTAGCAGAGTCGAGAGAATAGCAGGCTGGATGAGTAGCAAGTCGTGAGTGATATTCGCCTTCGATGTCCATGTCCGTGACCGCGTTACTTCTTGCTCGTCTTGACATCGACGACCTTCGCCTGCAGCGCCTGGAAGCGCAGGCCGGACGACCGCCGCCTCTTCGACCCAGCCGAGGATGCCGAGCTCGCAGAGATATTCTCCTTCGCCAGTGCGGTCTTGAACCACGTATCGTCCACGCGTCGCCAGGGCACGTACTTCACCGTCCTTGCCTTCACGCTCTTCGCGAACGTGTCCAGGCCCTCCTGCACGAGCGCTTGGAAGTCGGTCACCGTCCAGCGGTCGATGTTCTGAATGAGGAAGAAGACCTCGAGGATGTGGGCCGGCTGCTTGAGGTCCCACTCGTAGAACTGGTCCTCGTTGGGCGAGCGGCGGCCCTCTTCGGCTTCGGACAGCGCGTCCTGGCCGGGATAGGGAGCGGAGAAGATGCACTGGAGAAACAGTATGAGTATAGGAGAAGCTTCGCGGGTTCTATGCACCTATTACTGACCAGCTTGCCCTCCTCCATCTGGCACCAGTCCACATGAACACGGACCGTCGCGTTCGCGAATATCAGCCCAAAGATAGGGACGTCTATCCCTAGCGAATGAAGGTGCCGCAACAACGAAGCCGCGCTCATCCGGTTCTGCCTGTACGCCTCGATCCTGCCTTGGTGCGCAGGCTTCTTATCCTCCCACACGCTGCTGGCGAACTCGAAGCCGGGAGTGTCTGGCGGCGAGTCCACGGGCGTGGCCTGGTAGCGGAAGGAGGAGCGCCGTGTGGCCGTGCCAGTCTTGTGGACGCGTTCAGACCTTTTGAGGGACTGGAAGGCGCTGGCGACGAGGTAGTGAAGGGAGGGTGAGGCAAAGACTGCGCAGTCGGGCACGACTGTGCGTGTCTTTAGGACGCGCGCGGAGGCTTGTGAAAGAGACTTGGAGCGGCGTGGTTGAGGCAAGCTCAAGGCGCAGGAGGTCCGGTAGGTGGCTTGCTTGATGGCAGGACTTCGAAGGATATCATAACTGATACTTGTTTAGCAGACGAATGAAGTGAAGCGGGATATATAGCTCACACATTCGCAGCATAGTCCGACTCAGAGTACTTCTGAGTAGACTTGTTCATGGCCATGAGACGCTCGTGGGCCGAGAACACACCGCAGAGCTGGCGAAACAGAACAGGAAGCAAAGCAAGATCGTCGGGCTCGTCTGGACGGAAGAGGTTCGGCGAAGTCTCGTATGCGTCCTTAATAAAAGAAAGGAAGGCAGGCTCGGCGACTACACTGAGGCGTTTGTAGGCCTTGGACTTCTGCGGCGGGTGTCAGCGATACATAGAAGCAGCCATGATTGGGGTACGCACCTGATTAACCCAGGACAGGGGGATTCTGCCTGAGACGTCCATCACAGAGTCCGCATAGCCCATCGACGTCTCGGGAAGCTCGGTATAGGGCACCTGCTCCAAGCCCTGCCCTTGCGTCCACGTTTCGAAGTGCTTCAGATTGCGTGCAATCCTAAGGGGGGTTATGAGGCCGTACCGAGAGAACACGAATATATAACACGCACTCCGAAGCAGACGGCGCGCGCTGCTGGGACACCGCGACCTTGCGCTTCGTCCCCGCGCCACTCGTCTGGGGCACATTCGCCGAGGACTCCGTCGAGCTCATTGCCAGAGGTTCGTGAGGTCGTGAGAAGTTGAGAGAAGGTTGGGAATAGGAGGGGGAACCGAGAAAGGTGAAAGGAGGAGATAAAGGTGGCTGCCAAACAACGCGTAAACAACGCGGGGGCTATTTGAAAGCTTACGCGGGGCTATTTCGACGCCGCTTGCCGAAAGCGGATGCAAAGTGCAATGTTCATTGACATCACGTCTTCTAGCGGCCCTTTGACGAGCTTCTAATCGCGCCGGTCTTTCACGAGCTTCGCGATGGCTTCTGAAAGAGCCCGGTCTTCACACAGGCGCAAGGTCTTTTTTCTCGGTATGGTGGTAGAACTACAGGTATGTACAGGCTCTGGCTCTCTTCCGGGCTCGACTGGTATCTGAATGGGACGTCGTAGGTGGGAAGGGCGTGAAGCTAGCGGACGGTAAATACGTAATATTCACAGGAAGTCAGAAAACAGTCAAGATCGAGTCACAAGTGCGACGGTGGTAATACACAGAGTGGGGAGAGCGAATCACGCATAGGTGATCGGCCGCTTACTAAGGGCACAGCCACCAAAAGGCCGAAGCAACATTGTTCTCGTCTGTATACACGACCACATCCTCTCGCATGGCTAGGAAAATATACAGATGGGTTTCGATTGATGAAAGGATACAGACTGTAAAGTATTGTAGCATCAGGTCCATCTGAGAATAAGATATACCTAATAGTGCTTGTCACGGTGCTTCTCGAAGACCGGGATATACGGGCAGGCTACTATAGGGTACACATAAGGCTCGCATAGCGCAATATCATAGCAGAGGGTCATAACGAAGTAATTTCAGTACAAATAGAGTCATGAGAAGTGTAGAAAGCGGGGTAAAATCCGACTTTAATAGTCACCCTCATCAGATTCATAGATAATATCTCCGTCTGACCCATCGCCGGTACCCACTGCATCCTCAGAGGGGGCTGTCTCCTGCGTCGCACCATCACAATCACCTGCCGCCTTTGCCCGGGTCTTCTGCCGCACAACAGGCACACGCGCACCCTGGGAAGTGAGCGCGCGCGACTTGTACCGCCGAATCGCCCCGAGCAGAACCTCCAGCCTCTGGGCTTTCTTCGTCCCCGTATGCGCCTTGATTGGGACTTCGAGATCAAAGAGGCGATGGGCATCGAGCTGCTCGTCTATCATGGGGAGTGTGAACTTCTTCTCCTTGACGAGACCCGGGTCAAGAACAATGGTGATGGACATCACCCGCGCGAGCTTCTCTGCCCGCGCCCGTTCCTGCTCCATCTCCTTCCGCCGCGTTTCTTCCGCTCTTTTCTCATCCACCTCCATCTGCTCCTCTTGACGCTGCCTCTCGAGCCCCATTGCCAGACGCTGGCGCGCTTTCTTGCGGATATACTTCTCATCCTCCTCGGTGAGCATACGGTCCATGAATTCCTGCGTATTGTTGCGGTGGAAGATGAAGCGCGCGTTGAACTGAAGCAGTGTCATGCGCGGCTTGCGGCGCATCTCCTGGCGGTACGTCCCGAGGGCTCCCTCGTTCACGTCGTTCGTGGCTGGAATCCACAATTTCTGACGATCCTCCACCGTCAGGCTCGCTATCTTGCCGCCATCAGCAAACTCGGCGGCGAAGCGCTCGAATGTGACCACCGCGGCCTGCAGGAACGCGGCAGTCACCTTCTCTGCGTGCTCGAGGCGCGCTGCCAGCACCCTGACAGCAACCATTGCCTCGGGAAAGAACCAAGGCTTGCTGTCGAGGGAGCCCGTCTTGTGGGTCGCCTCAGTTCCGAAGATGAGCGCGGGCTGCTGGATGAGGTCGCGCATATGCGTCGGGATGCGATGGTGTAGGTCGCCGAGGTCAAGCATATTGACGTGCTCGGTGCCGGGACCTCGTACTTCCCGCATGTAGGGGTGGCTGATAGCTTGGCCATACACGGTGAGTGCGACGAGCTCACAGAGGGTGCTGTCGTCGTGCAAGGCATTCCAGAAATTGAATTCGATGTTCGTCCAGCCCGGCTTCTCCTTGCGATCGCGGACAAACACCAGGAATTGCTTGAAGACGTCGAGATAGGCGAGGAGCACGGCAGCGGCACTACAATGACTTTGATAGCGGGTGTTGCTCGTGTCTGGGTAAGCAACTTCGTGTCCCACCGTGCGTCGGAAGAACCACCTGAAGATGTCCTGCTGACCCTTCTTATCGTCTTTGTTCCGACAGATCAATCCACCCAGCTGCGTCGCCTTCACCCCGCCACGGGTTGAAGCCTCGGTAGCACGCGTCTGCGCAGCTGTCGGGTGTGGTGTCTCGCCCGAAGCAAGAACTGCTGCGTTGTCCTTGTTGGGCAGCAGGACAGGGCCCGCCAGGTTATGCGAAGCCCAGTACGCCTCCATCCCCTTCGCGCCACCCTTGACAGTATTGAGGTCCTTGTGCATGACACATCCCGCCCACAAGAAGCGGTCCATCTCGTCCTTCTCCGCAACAGGGAGCGCCTCGTACGCCTTCCCACCGAGGACTGTGGTAAGTGCATCCATGATCTCGATGTCGAGCTCGTCCTGGTCCCCTTCTGACATTGTTTGCCAGGCGATGAGGCCACCGAGGTCCGCGATGCGCTTCAGCTTCGCTTCGAGGAAGAGATTCGCGAGCTCTGGGACAGGCATCTCGAGCCTCGCCTTCTCCCCGAGCTTGAAAGAGTTGACACGGATCTTCCAGTCGAAGTACATCCGCTCCGCCTTTCGCACGTCTGAGGCGTGATCTCCGTTGCAGGCAACCATCTTGGTGGCAAACTGATCCGAGTCGAACGACTGCCCCGAGTTCCCTGCAAGAGGACTTTCTGTGAACGTCTCGGCAATAGCCATGATCTTCTGCTGTGTACCCACGACCTGGACTTCGGAGTGATGGGAGGTCGAGTGGGTAAGACCGAGGGAGCGCAATCGGTGAATCGGGTTTTGCGCATACTGGTCGTCTATGCCCTCTGCTGACGTGTAATCAGGGACACGGATGGCCGTGAAGCGCGAGTCGTAGTTGACTTTGAGGTGGGAGGTACTGTCCGAGCTAAAGGTGAGGTCTGGGATGTCTGAATAAGCTAACAGTTGCGATAGATCCATGGTAGAGCTCACGTTCGGCGCGTGCGTGCTCGTAGCCGCTCTGCATCTCAGACGCAATGAGGCCCTCCGTTATGATGCACCGCACGGTCGACTGCGCCATACGCCGCTTCAGCTTGAAGCCATACGCGCCCCCCATCGCCTGCAAGACCTTCCCAACATGCTTCTCCGCGCAGCCGCTCTGCGTAATCAAGCGCGTCAAGCTCCTCGCTGCGCGCGTGAACAGCCCCTTGTTGAAGAGAGCATTCTCGCCGCGCGTCTGGATCGCTTTCTCGACGCGTTTCTCAGCTGCGACAATAGCGCGCGCCATTCCCGCATCAAGACGGTCTGCCCGCTTCTCGGTCTTCAACGTCCTCGCCACTGCTTTCTGAACAGCGCTACGGAGGTCCCGAATGTGCCCGCGGTCACCTCTGCGGCCTCTTTCGGAGCTCTCGTATGCCTCCTTCCAGAAGGAAGCGTCCATGGCTTTCGTGGCGAGTTGGACCTGGAGGGAGGGGATCTCAACATCACGTAGTCGTTGAATCTGCAGCGCTAGCGTGCGCTTCCCGGCTTCCGTGCGTCGGCGACCTTGCTTCTCGGTCTTCAACTGTCGGTTCTTCCCTTTGAGCTGCTGCGTGACCTTCACGAGTCGGTCAGACGTTCGCTTCAACGACGTTTTGAGTTGGCTGATCTGTTTCGTAGGGTTGGCATTCTCCTTGCCGTGCGAAGGTGGAGGCGGCAGGCGTGGGGCTGAGCCTCGTCGCAAGTTGGACAGGGATTTGTCGGTCACCCTTTTCCCCTTCGGCTGTGCAGTATGATAGGTACGCGGCATGGTGGCTTCACAACGGCACGCAGGGCACGTCCAATGCTTGGTGGGGCTGTTGACTGATTTGGAGGGGTATCACAGCTGCAGGGTTGCGTGTAGAATGTGTTGGTGATGTCGTACTCTATCTCCGATACCTATGGTAGGGGTGGACGCGCAGGAGCAACGGTAACCTCGATTATTGCCTCGGCGCAGTGACGCGATGACGCGTGACGTAACGCGTCGAAATGGGCAATGCGTGACAGATAATGCCATTTTACGCTGAATTTTGAAGAATGTACCTTTCGTGGGGACTCAGCACATCAGGCAAGTAGCCGTCATCGGATTCACGCGTCCCGTAACCTTTGCAGTGAATGGTCCGGAACGATTTCTTTAAGTCTGCCTCAGTAATATATGAAGCCTTTACCAGTGATCTCGTATGGTGTAATAATGACCTTCCAGCTGGAATAAAAAGAATCTGCCCGATCCAACTGTGCAGATATATCATGGGACTAAGAATTTGCTCTGAGCATGGTACAGTTCGAGGCATAGCGGGAGGAAAGGTACTGCCTCACTCCCTTGGGGGCGCGAGGCCTTTGGTAAACAAAGCCAAACGCGACTTCGTATGCGGCAGTTCGCGCTCCCCACACAGAGCGAGATCTGCAGAATGCGAAGAGACAGAACGAGGCAGAAGACGGACGTGCATGAGAGGCCGTCGTAGATGTTGGTACAGAGGTATGGCTGCTCGTACACGGCGGAGCGCGCGCCGCTCTGAGGCGGCGTAGCTTCGGCACGACGCAGCTAGCTGCACCGTGCGGGCGCCATGTAGGGAGCGTCATGGGAAGGAGTGTCGGTCCCGGTGGGGGGAGGATTTTGGAAGGAATGGCGTGTTCGCGGTCGGTGCGTATATCGGAGGGGGAATTTGAGGGGCACAGGATGGATGGAGGGTCACATCTCTGGCCGGTAGGCGCTCATCTTTGAGTGCATCGAGACTTAGACACACATGATATTGCCCAAAAAGCAGCCGCGGCGCTAGACACAAGTCAGCAAGTCGGAACGGGCTCATCGTAGCACACGGGACTCACGCCACCGCGCAGGCGGGCTGCTTGCGCTTGCTCCTGAGCGCTTTCAGCCTTCGTAGGGGGGACGAGGGTCATGGTGCGCAGACCGCGCGGCTGCTGGGAGATAACAGGAAGCGGGTTTCCAGCCCTATGATTCACGCTATCAGAATCCTTCCCCCCGGCCGAACAAGGTCTAACTCACCTGCTAGGCTTCATGTCATGGCAAACGGCAGCGGCGGGAGCGGCAAGCATACTGAGCGAGGGTGGGAGGGAGCAAGGGGAGCGGGAACGAGAGATGGAGGGGGGAACGCGGGGAAGGATGGTGAAGAGGATGAGTGCAGGAGCGAAGAGACCTAACTGTGCTTCTGGAGCTCACATCTGGACTGGACTGTCACTTCTGCCTCCGCGCTCCCGATCCGCTGTGATTGAATTGAACTCGATCAACTGCCCATAGCAACCACACTGACCACAGTCGAAGAACGCCCAGGACGGCAACGGGGCCCCACGGCGCGTGGCGGGGGCCTACAAATGGTCTCGAACAACGTCACCTACCAGCACCTACCGCTCGAGCGCCTGAGGGAAAAACATCGAGTCGAAAACTGATAGCGAAAGCCGAGGATAGAGCATGTACAGCCAGCATTGCGAGGGGTATCATACAATGTCCAAGTCCCGAAAGCAAGTAGTACGTACATCACGACGACCTCTCCAGCTCTAGACCGTGCAGCTCGATCACGAACATGCTGTAGTTGCGGTCGGTCTTTCCCTTCGTCGAATCCAAGCCGCATTGGAACTTGAGCATCGTCTCGTACTCGTCGAAGGTGAAGACCGGCTTTGACCGGATGCTCTCGAGCATGTCCTGCGAGGGGAGAGCCATGAGTCGTGGACCATCCACCGGATTACGGGCCAACGCACCTGCGGCGACATGAAGTACAACGCAAAGTACTTCTTCGCGCGCTCGAACTCGGTGTTGTATGGATCGTTCGCAATGGTTTTGATTCCCTGCCGAAGGGCGAACATGTTGCGGAGCATCTTCTTGATACCGAACGCTGTAGGTTGTCGAATGAGGGCAGCCTTCGAGATGATAACATGTTCCATGAGATGTCCGAGGCCAACGAAGATGAACCTGGCAGCCCACAGGTATCAGCCTCGCATCTAGATGGCCAACATGATAAACGTACTGTCGTTCGTGCTTGGGCAATGCCGTAGACGCGAAATCGTCGATCTCGCCCATCTCGATGTTGAGCTCATTGACGTGCGGGTCTGGTTCACTTGCTTCATGTTCGATATGGTAGTTGCCCTGCTCTCGTCAGTAGACTGTTCATACGACGCAGAATAGACTTACAGAGCGCAACGCCGACTCCAAGTGGTAGATAGTCCGGCAGTGAATATCCACGCGTATGGTGTGCAAGATGAGCTCCGACAACTGCTCATACGTCTTGAGCAAGGCATGGAACCGCATATTCATTTCCTTCGACAAAGGCAAATGCAGTCCCTCGGCCGGTGGCGGAAGCGTCGGTAGGGAAATCGACATCGCGGACAGTGGAGGCTCGAGGGTCATCGTAGTTGGCGATTGGGTGTCGTCGTCGTCGGATGTCGTGTTCCAAGAGCCAAGCTGGGCGGCGAACCAGGACTACAATACGTGTTGGCGAGACATTCGAAGTACGAGACGGAACAGGTGTACGTACCACACTCCTGTACAGGCTCGCAAGCGACGCAACCGTCCTCGTCGACGAAATGAGGTCCTTCGCCGTAATCTCCTTGTCGCACCACTCGAGCTCAACGTTGACCTGCTGGCGACAGAGCTGCTGCTGTTTAGTAGCGAGGTTGTCCTATACAACATGCGTCAGCCGTCAATTACGTTCAGCGCGAGTTGCACATACCGCCGTCGACTGCAACTCCGTCAAGCAGGTGCTCATCTCATTCCGCTGCGCCCATTGTGCCGCTAACGCGACCCGCGGGGCTTCGCCTTCCGCACCCGGCGTAGACACGAGACTCTGGAACCAATCGCTACAGCGCTGGTAGAACTGTATGATGACGCCCAGGATCAAGCGTGAATAGTTTTCGCGGTGGAAGGGTGTGGTCTGCAGCATCACGCATAGCGAGTTGATAAGCGCCATGAGCTGCGTCGCCGACTTGATGAGAGGCTCTGAGCATAGGCGTGCGGATGCGGGGTCGGGTTGGAGCGCGTCGGGTCCTACATCGTGTCAGTAATGCGTGGAGATAGCTGAAGGCAGCGATTTACCATTGACAGCATGCGCAAACAGCTCTGCGACCTTCTCCTCAAGCTGTGGCAAGTACACCTTGAGCACGAAGTCATCAAGCACTGTGCTCAGGGTGCGCGCCAACTCCTTGCCTGCAGGAAGATTGTCCTGCACCCGTTCGAGGTACGCCAACGTAGGCTGGAACAGTACGCTGACATGGAAGGCATCCGGATGGATGAGCAAGCGATGGTGCTGACTTGCACCTGCGCCGAGCACACGATCATCGGCGCCGACGATGGATAGAGCAGCGTGCACGGTGGACTCGGAGCCCTGTACGAGACCTGGTACGGTGTCCTTGAGCACGCGCGTGAGCTCGTCCTCGTGCGACTTGAGGATCTTATTGGTGAGCTTGGAGTCGATGTCGGCGAACCTGAAGATCGACTATGGCAAGCGGTTAGCACATCATATCGAGTCAGCGCGATGCAATCCACCTTGCTCTTATCCCGCGTGTTGAACTTGCTGTCACGCAGCATCTCGTTGATCGAGGATATTGGGTTGCGTCCGGAGGCCGCGCCTTGCTCTTCGTCGGTAAGATAATCATGGAGCAGAGTGCGAATCTGCATCGATGATTATTAGCGCGAGTCGTTGCCAAAATCATGCCTGCCCACTTCGGCTTGTATCGAGCTCCAAGCCTCATTCAAAGGGAAGAGTGTACCGGGCTTCGCACCCGACGAGTCCTTGAAGTCTCGCCGCTGACAGACAATCAGTTACGAGTACAACTCAACCCCTCTTCCACTCACTGATCCGATCCGGTTCGCCACCTCATACACCACCCGCATCCCCTGGCTGACTGCATCCAACTTCGAGTACAACGTCCAGAAGAAGTCCCGTAGCGTATCGTGGTCGACTTGCTTCGCAGCCGACTCAAGTGCTGCTAGCCTCAAGTGTGCCGCGTTGACCAGGCCGCCCTTCAGTACAACACCAGGTGCGCCTCCTGGTCCACCCACCGCCGCTGGTGCAGCGAATGTGTAGACCGCATCCGCGCGTGCGGGCCCGGCACTGAGCACCTCGCCACGCTTGCCGTACTCTGCCCGGTCGGACACCTCGTCGAGAGTAGACTCGATGAGCGAGAACACCTCGCCCTGCACACGCTGCCCGACAGCATCAAGCGCGCTACCCAGCTTGCCCAGCACAGCGAGGGATTCAAGGAGGGTCTCCATGTACGCGAAGGAGTCCGCTTCGGGGTTGCTGTCTGGTGTGGAGGTCGAGGGAGTGAGTTGGGTGATAGCAGAGATACTGCGACCGTGCGACAGGCCGTCGGAGGTTAGTCCAACGGAGCTGAGGTCGTTGGGGTCGTCTGGCGGATCGTTCGGCTTGATAGCGAGCTGCTGGAGGAAGCGGTGCAAGCGCGTCTTGCGACTTGTGCGGGTTGTGGGTGTCGTAGGACTACCGTCCTCCTCGATGGTAGACGGGAGGTTTTCGTCGTATTCCACCTTCGGGACTGAGGAACTGTCAGTGACACGCAAGTGAGCGCATTGTGAAGGAACCCTTACAAGTCTGCTGGCCTGGAACGTAGGATGCCCAGCGGCTGTCGCACCAGAACGACTTGAGGTACAGATGACTTTGTAGCTCATCGGCCAGAATATCCCTCAGTGCTATCTCCTGACTGCTCAGATAGCTGCGCAAGTCCGCAACAGCGCCTATTTCAAGCATCTCCTGCTTGTTGATGATCTTCAGACTGCGAACAAGTAGAACGGACGCCTGCAGGAGGCGCTTCTCCGACATGAGGGTCTCCAATAGATCGGGGACAGACTTCAGGTGCTCTCTAAGAGTCACTGAACATGAGCAAGCCATACGAACAAAGATTGAATACACACATCTGGTCCAGCAGCTTCATCATTTCCTCGAGCATCTGCCCTCGACCCCACAACTGTACGAGGTCCGCGCGCTTGCTGCCGAGGGAATCCTTCACGTCAGTGAGGGCAGAGCGTGTGTCGGTAATTTGTGTTTGTGTGGCGGTAAGGTGGGAAATGAGGGAGGCATGATGGGGGAGAGCGGCGGCAAACGCCTGATAGTGCTCTAGAAAAGTTCGATTGAATATATGTTTCTGATAGAGAATTGAAGACGCACTATCCACTGATCCCTTCAGTGCCTTGGACAACAGATCCTTCGTCCTACGAAAGGCTCGAATATCCTTGCCGACTGAAGATTCGTCTAGTAGCTCGAGCGCGAGATCAACGTTGTTGAACTGCGACGTATGTCAGTAGCTACGCCATATTGAAGATAGTAGGGAGCTCACGTCTGGATCGGTCACAAACTCCCACTCCTCCTTAACCTGGTCCAAAACAGCTGGCTGTGGATCAGTCCGCTGTCAGAATAGTGATTAGGCGCGCACCATCTATATCACCTGGCCTCGCTCGTCCATTAACGCGTCGTCCAGGTGCCCGATCTCGTATTCTCTGTTGTCGCGCGCGTTCCGCTTCTTGTTCTTCTCTTCGTTGCCTCTCGTACTCGTAATCGTCGCTACCGTTCGTCATGGCGCGTCTCCGAGTTCCCGCCGAGGCAAAGGCAGACATCACAGTGCTAAGCGCGACGGGCGATGTCGTTTCCCCATCCTGCGAACTGTCCGTTGTACGTGTACGTTGTGGAGACCGAGGGTTGATGGGTGGGACAGGGCTCGGTCTTCCGGTGTAGCTCGATGTTCCATTGCTGGCTACGCTCTCCCGAAACGAACCAGCGGCGTAGGCCTGCGACGTGTCGCTGTACTCTGAGACGCGCGCTGCGCGGTTTCTGAGCTCCGAGCGCTGGGGTCGGGAGGGTCCCGCGGATGCCTGGGATCTGGGCGATGTGGAGACGCCGCCGTACGCATTGCTGGTCGGTGTTGTGGGTCGGTTTATCTGGAGTGGTCGGGTGTTGTATTGGTTCGGCAATGGTATTTGGACATCGGAGCCTGCATTGGAGTACGACGAAGGCGAGCGCGCGCGCCGCGAATACGGTGTTCGCGACATGGCCGACGGTGTGAAGTTGCGAGCAACGCGGCTCTGCGGCCCGGACGATCCTCCTTCCCGCCATCATGGCCCTCCCGTCGTTCCTCAAGCCCATCGACGAGAAGGACGGGTACCATCGCGTCTTCTTCAAGCATGAAGAACCCCTGGAAGACGTGTATGGGCTATGGTGGCCGGCTGACTCTGCGCAACCTCCGGAAGGCGTACTGCTCTTTGTCCCAGGTTAGGCGGGTCGTCTCCCCTTGAATGACCCACTCAATCTCGTAGGTAACCCTGGTGTCGTTGACTTCTACATAAAATTCTTGGCCGAGCTTCGGGAGAAGAATCCACGATGGGCTGTTCTCGCTCACGCGCACATCGGTCACAGCCCAGGCTTCACTTCGCCGACGTCGGCCTCTCGTTCTGGCTTGTCGTTCCAGATACAAAGTGCTACGGACGCTGTCGACATCCTCAAACCCCACTTTGCACGGATAGTCATGATTGGACACAGTGCCGGTAGTTACATCTCGTTTCAGGTGCGGGAACATGCTCGCTCAGCACGAGCAAATTCTTGACCGGCGCCGGAAGGTCTTGAAGCAACGTCCAACATCAGTTGACGGCCTCTTCTTGCTCTTTCCCGCCCTTTGTAATATCGCAAGTACTCCCAGTGGTCGCGCTAGATCTGTGAGGACGCCTTCGTTTATTCAATGTGTCCACTCAATGCTCACTGCCTGCCGATGACTGTTCAATCACCGTTTCCGACGCGTGCTATTCTTCCTGTAGTGGCTTTTCAAACCTCCCCTTCCTCGCATAGTGTCCTCTCTCGCCCACCTCGCTCGATGGCTTCCAACCGGTGTCCTTCGCCTTATACAGAGGGGATACCCTCCCGACGCACTGGCTGTCCTCCAGGGGATCATGAGCTCCCCTGATGTGGTCTATGCGATGCTTAACATGGCAGGCGAGGAGATGGATGAAATCCGCGAACTTGACGTGGCCCTGCTTGAGGAGCATCGGCACCGTATATGGATGTTCTTTGCAGAGAAAGACGACTGGGTTGGCCACAACCGTGAACTCATCCTACAATCTTTCGACCCAGACCCGGGTTCTGTGCGAGTGGTCCACGGTGTGCATGGCATCCCCCATGAATTCTGTATCCGTAGGTCTTCTGCATTCGCACCTGTGTGCTACGCTGATTTCCCCTCCAGATCATAGCAGTGAGCTGGCTGCTACATGCCACGACTGGCTAGCTACTCTGCAAGAGCACGTTGCACAGTCTTCATGAGCTCTTTCCTGTAGTACAGTAGATGGTAGCCATTTATGTAGCAAAGCGCGCAAGCGCTATGTTCACCACGTGCTCTGAGCGAGGATTGGTCGAAATTCCCGAGATATTTTTCCAATTTGAACATCGCGACGCGCCTTTGAGGGGAAGGCAATCTCAGATGAGCCGACCATCAACACGCTCTCCCCCAGTCCAGCCCTCTCCTTCGTTACCAGATAACACGATACTAGAGACCCGCCACAAGCTCCCCTCACCCCCGGAGGTCGTCGTACCTACACTGAGCAAGGCCAGAAGAGCCCTCTTCTCGTCTATGGCCGAGAGCGCGGCGCGCGACCAGCAAGCTATGGAGGCCCTTGACAAGATTGATGAGGTCGTGGGATATGTGAAGGACAACGGCGTCGAGTACTACTATGGGAGAAGAGAGGGTGGGATGATACGCAGGGTATGTGGTCAGCTGCATGTTGCGAGCGGGCGCTTACTCGCGTTCGACGCGTCCAGTGGGAATGCAGGCTATTCAAGGAGAAGCACCAGCACCTTATAGATGACTTTGGTGCGTGTGGCGAGCGTGTTTACTCGGTGTCTGTGGCTAATTAGCGCGTAGAGCGCAAGAAAGCCAACGGCGAGCTCGATTGGTTCGACCCGACCTCCACCACTATGGTGCACCCGAAGTCGCGCTTGCGCCTCTCTATCCATCTACGCGCCACTCCCTCTGCTAAGTCTGACGCCGGGGACACCGAAGCTGCGTTCTCGGAAGCCCAGGACGAACCGGAGGAGTCGGATGACGAAGACGACGCGGCGGACGATGAAGAATATGGCGAGGACGGTACCCCCGAGCGTGCGACGCGCCGCAGTACGCGCAACGGTGGCGCAGACAAGCCACGCGAGCTACCGTTCAGCCCACGCAAGACGCGCTCTCAGAAGATATACACGATCGACTCGGACTCGGATGGGGAAGGGGAGGGTGCAGTGCAGACGCGTCGCTCGACGCGCTCGAAGAAGGCCATCAAACTCAACCTCGACACCGACTACGCAGACTCAGACGCAGAGGACAGCGACGAGTACGTGACGACGTCGAAGCGTGGCAAGGCGGTAAAGCCGAGGGTGAAGCGCGCGAAGGCGGCACGGCCTGCATACGGGTTCATTCGCCCAATTGCGGACATTGACCTCGACCCGTTGTCGGATGAGGAGACGTTCCAGTTGCGTCAGCACCGGCGATTGTGCGAGAAGTGTCATCTGCAGCCCGCGCACGAAGAGGTGGAACGCCTAAGCAAGAAGAAGCGCAAGGGTGGAAGGAGGAAGAAGAAGAGTGAAGACGAGTTTGAAGACTCAGACGATGAGGTCGAGCGGGAAATGAAGAAGGGTGGATGGGTTCGCTGGTGGGTCCTGCAATCACGCTTGCCCTCGCTCGTCGCTGACGCGCACATGCAGCCTCAAATGTGCTGTATCTGCCCATTTCGGATGCTTAGCATCAGCACAACGCGACGAGATCCTCAAGGCTGCGAAGGAACGCGACACCGCGCAATGGATACAGGACAACCCTGACGCCGATCCCAAGGACGGACCCACCAAGCGCAAGGGCTTACAGATTGACGAGACCACCGACTTCATATGCGGTCAGTGAAGTACATCTCGCCTGACTTGCACTGACGCCCCTGTAGGTAGCTGCATGAAGGGCGGGATATGCATGAACTGTAACGAAATGGCCATTCTTCCCGGCGGTACTCTCCCCACGGAGCAAGGCAAAACCGAGGACGTCAAGATGGCCGACCCCTCAGATGACGTCGAGATGGCAGACGGGACCAAGAACGCAACGGAAGGCCCCGCAGAAGAGTTGTTATTCCGCTGCCTCACCTGCAAGCGCGCTGGTCACTACGAACATTTGCCGCCGCCGGAGATCGATTCCTCTCCTGCCGAGACCGCCTACTACTACCAAGTCGACACCCACTGGCTTTGCGATGACTGTCACTCGTTCATCGGCAAGACTCTCGACAAGATCATTGCGTGGCGGCCTTATCCCTCGAACGCTATCCAGCCATCCGAACCGGTCAACTACAAGGATAACCTACCTCGGGAGTACCTCGTCAAGTGGGAAGGTCGCAGTTATCGGCGTACGGAGTGGGTCCCGCATATGTGGCTACTGTCGACATCGCCGGCCAAGTTGAAGAACTTTCTCGCTGTGGGGACGAAGGTCGACTTGTTGGATGAGGCAACGGCGCGGAAGAGGGCGATGGAAGAAGCCAGCGAACATATGTCGGACGTTGAAGAGACACCGGGGCCTGATGCTAGCCTCACTCTGCCAACCAATCAAGGCATCGTGGATGCTGAATCCCGCATACCTAAAGGGTGGAAGACGGTGGACCGCGTGCTCGACTTCATCTTGTGGAACCCGCACAAGCCGGCGAAGGGGAAGGGCAAGGGTAAAGCCGCTCGTAAGGGCAAGAAGAAACGTGTACAACGTATCGAGAGCGACGAGGAAGAGGAAGATGATGAAGAAGTCAAGGAGATCCGTGAGAAGGCCTTCGAAGACGGCGAGGAGCCACCCGAGTCGGTGACCGAAACTCTGGAGGAGTGGGAGGCCCGGAACAAGCGCAAGTTTACTGTCGATGACATTGACGACGTGGTGTGGGCCTTCATCAAGTGGCAGGACCTGGGCTACGATGAAGGTGCGTTTTAGGCTTTTGCGCTTGTTGTGTCAAGTACTCAAATCCTCTAGCCACATGGGACGCGCCTCCACAAAGGGAAGACTCCGGATATGACGACTTCAGGCGGGCTCTGGAACGCAACCTTCTCGCCCGAACGGTGAAGGTTCCAAAGAAGATGCCGCAGCACGTAGAGGACCGGAAGAAGGATGGCTTCACGAAACATCGTTTGAAGCAGCCCACGGATCTGAAGATTGGTCAAGACCCCGCTCTCAAGTTGATGCCTTTCCAGGTGTGTTTCCAATGACCGTTCTTGCATTACTCGTACTGAATAGTCGTGTAAGGTCGACGGCTTCAACTGGCTGTGCGACAACTGGTGGAATCATCAGCCATGTATCCTTGCCGACGAGATGGGCCTGGTGAGCATGCTTCTTTTGTGCTGCTATACATGCTTAGATATGTCAGGGCAAAACGGTGCAAGTCAGTAGCTTCGTCGGCAACATTGTCGACAAGTGGGACGCCTTCCCGGTGCTGGTTGTTGTACCCAACTCAACGCTCACCAACTGGGTGCGGGAGTTCGAGCGTTGGGCTCCCAATCTACGTGTAGTACCGTATTACGGAGAAGCCAAAGCGAGGCAGATTATCCAGCGGTACGAGCTTACACATCCGAAGGCTCCGCCTGGTTGTACAGAGGCCAAGTTCCATGTGTTGGTTACCTCGTACGAGGCAGTCACGCACAAGACTGACTTCGGTGGTGTCTTCAAGAAACAGCCTCGCTGGGAGGTCGGTCTTGATTCCTCAATCGCCATTTCGAATGTGTGTATAACAAATATCCTGCAGGTTCTAATCATCGACGAAGGGCAGCGCCGTGAGTGATTATCTGCGTCCGTCCGACATCTGCTCACTTTTTGCAGTCAAGAACGACAAGAGTCTCTTGTTCACGAAGCTGAATGAGCTCAAGGCCAAGCATCGAGTCATCATGACCGGCACCCCATTGAACAACAACATCCGCGAGCTCTTCAACCTCATGAACTTCCTCGATCCCGACAACTGGAGCGATCTCGAAGCGCTGGAGACCGAATACGAGGAATTGACGGAGGACCTGGTCAAGCAACTCCACGACCGTTTGCGACCTTATTTCTTGCGACGTATCAAGAGTGAAGTTCTTACTTTGCCACCAAAGGTATGCGTCCTCGCGTGCATCAACGACGGCTTCTGACTTTGTGTCATAGAACGAAGTCATTGTACCCGTATCGATGACGCCGATCCAAAAGGAGTTGTATCGCTCGATCCTCAGTAAGTGTACACGAGTTCTGAAATGGCTGCGCCCTGACCAGTTCTACTCAGGTAAGAACGTCGATATCCTCAATGAGCTGCGCAATGGCGCAGGCAACATGAAGCAGCATGGCAGTAGGAACGTCAAGAATATGCTCATGCAGCTCCGCAAGTCAGCGCATCTTTCCTCCCCGCAAAGCACCGTTACTCACTCGAATCAGGTGTCTCCAGCACCCATACTTGTACGACGGGGAAATCGAGCCCAAGGGATTACCGCCGCAAGAAGCGCATCACAAGCTCATTGATGCTAGCGCAAAGCTGCGGTTGCTGAAGTCGCTCCTGCCGAAGCTCAAAGCGCGCGGCCACCGCGTTTTGATTTTCAGTCAGGTAAGGCGTCTTGTTCTCCTATAGTCGCTGTGACCCGACCAGAGTTGCGCAGTTCGTTATCAACCTCAACATCATCGAGGACTTCTTGGCTGGCGAGGGATACAACTTCCTGCGACTAGTACGTGTGATGATCTGTTTCCATTGCTTGTGTTCCTGACGTTTCGTGCAGGATGGTAATACCAAAGGCCTCGACAGGCAGAAAGCGATGGACGAGTTTAATCGCCCAGACTCCGAGACGTTCATCTTCATGTTGACGACTCGCGCTGGAGTGAGTAGTAGTCAGATTGCATGTGTGCGCATCTCACTCGCATTTAGGGCGTCGGCATCAACCTCTATGTGAGTATGGCCTTTTTGCACAAGCGATAGCCGGGCTGATTGAACGAACAGAGCGCAGACACCGTCATCATTTACGACCCAGACTTCAACCCTCACCAGGATCTCCAGGTTGGTAGTCTATCGCTCGTTCGTATCTACCGCTAACCCCGTACAAGGCGATTGCTCGAGCACACCGATTCGGTCAGCAAAAGACTTGTCTGGTCTTCAAGCTCATGGTGAAGGATTCCGCCGAAGGTACGTAAATGCTCGACCATTCAAGGATGATATCTGATTCCATTGGCCTTGCAGAACGTATTATCCAAGTCGGCAAGAAGAAACTCGTCCTCGACCACTTGATCGTGCAGAAGATCAATGACGATGATGAGGCTTCGGAGAACGTCCAGTCCATCCTAACCTATGGTGCTCAGGCGCTATTTGAGGAATCCGCCGAGCAGGCTGAGGCCCGCAACGTCAGCTGTAGGCATTGACTGTGGTCTGGCCGTCTACGCCCCGCTTACCAACTTCCTGACAGACTCGGACCATGATTTAGACAAGCTCATTGAGCGTACGGAACGAGAGGGAGAGGAGGAAGTTGCGCCGAAGGGCGGTGGGATGACCTTCGCGTTCGCCAAGATCTGGGCTGCCGACAAGGAAGACATGGTCGAAGTCAACGACGCCGAGCAGGACGACTCATGGGCGCAGGCTCTCGAAAAGATCAATGCGGAGCGCGAAAAGATGCGAGAAGCCGAGATCGAACGTGGCGGACGTGGACAGCGCAGAGCAGCCGCCATGGCCAAGCCAACGTACTACGTCGAGGATACGCCGACGAAGGCGAAGGGCAAGGGGAAGGCCACCGACGCTTCGTCTAGTTATGGGTCTGACCTTGACGACGACGCTATTGTGACCGACACAGAGACGGGCGCCAGCGCTGTCAGCACGCCAGGTCCAGTAGATCCAGATAAGCTGCAAGTGCCCAAACCCAAGAAACGCAAACGCAAGCATGTCGAAGACGGACTACCCAGCACGAGCTCTGCACCACCACCCGCCCATATAGACGACCCAGATACGTGCGGCCTCTGCAACCAGGTCCACGGCGTCGGAGAATGCGCCCTCGAGCAAAGCCCCGAGAATATGTTCGAACTCCGGGAGATGCTGATGAGCAAGGACCTCGATACCGATGAGCCGTTAGTGGACAGAGTAAGAACAGCGGACCTCGTGGTGTGTTCAAGCTGACAAAATCGCCAGCTATACGCTATCAGCCTATTGGAAGAACGTATACACAAGATGAACCTCGGCCACAAGCTCGTCGGTGAGTGAAATTTTGCGTACTAAATGTAATGTCTCTGACAGCCTTTCAGGTCAACCACTCCACTATGTACCTCCACGCAAGCCGCCTCCCCTACCGTCCAAGCACGCGTCTTCGCCTTCCGCGCCATTGCCTGACAGCACGGCCAAGAAGGGCAGAGGGCGACCGCGAAAGTCGGAGGCCAACGCTGTTGCCGGACCGTCGAAGCGACCGCAATCGCCGAATGCACCTGCACCGCCCGCAAAGAAGGTCAAGGTGTCTGTAGACGATGAGCTGTGCGGCCTCTGCGAACCTATCGGCGCGCACACCTACGGCAAGTGCCCTGTGGTCGCGCAAGGTCCGAAGAGGTTAGTCGTTTCGTCGTATACCCAGCACATAATGGCTGACGATGTACGAAAGGGTCTCACAGGAGATACAGCGACTAGATGCGGTAGCGGGCAAGGCCGCCGTAGTCAACAGCTTACGCTCGATCCTAAAGAAGCAGAAGAAGGCTGAGCTTGCGAAGGCAGCGCAGGCCGGCGCCATTGAACTGTAGTTCTGCATCACTACGACACACACTTGCATCTACCTTCTTATCTTGTTGTATCTATTCCACCGTACCCTATCCTTCGCCACTTCTTGGAACTTTGTAATGCTGAATTTCCATCTTTATCCTCATTGCGGCTCGTTTGAGGTCTTCGCTAGACAGGTTCAGAATGTCCGAGGACGCAGTGATCTACATACAGTACAACAGCACGATAGACTACCTAGTGTACACACATACAGGGCCTTCACGATGGACTTGCCACAAATCTAGTCATACCCCTTCCCACTCCGCTGCTTTTGCCTCCTCGGCTTCTTGTGCTGCTTCTTGCCCGTCGGCAGGTCGCCCCCATTCGCCGCCAACACAGACGCAATACGCGCGCGACGGCCAGTCAAGGGCGTGCCATCGTCCGCGACCATGTTCTGGTGTGGGTACACCCGGTTGCGCGAGAAGCCAGTCGTGCCCTTGCCGGCCACTGAGGGCCGCGCCGCCATGGCCTGCTGGTTAAAGAAGTCGTCGTCCAAATTCTGAGGGCCAACGGGCGCGCCGGGGGTCGCGGGGTTGTTCATGGCCACGAAGGTGTCCGCGTTTTTGCCAACGCGGGTGGTGGGGGCGCGCTTCTTGCCCGCGGAGCGGCGGAGGGCGAGGAGCTTGGACTGCTCGTTGTAGGCGGCCTCGGAGACACCTGGCGGCGGGTGGCAGTACAAGAGCTTGGCGGTCACGTAGTCCTTGAGGATATAGCGGGCGGCGCGCGCCTCGTCCGGGTTGCCTTGACCAGAACGCATGAAGCCACGAGCGACTGGAGGGTGCGTAAGCACAGAGACGGGCAAGTAAGAAAGAGAGGACACGTACTAGCGTAGGCCTTCAGCAGCGTCTCCGCAGTGAGATTCCCGTCGCCTCCGTTCTGATTATCGAGAACATCCAGTTGCAAACCGTACACCGCCTCCAGAACCTCCTTCGGAACGCGCTTCACCACCAGCGTCATCGGGCCAGTATGCTCGCGCAGCTGGTCAATGGGCAGCACACCGTCGCAGACAAGGTCAGCCTTGGTTGTCGCGAACTGCGGGAAGACGAGACCCGGACAATCGCAGAGCATGATGTTCTCAGAAAGGTTGATCGTCTGGAAGTGCTTCGTCTTTCCCGGTGTCGCCGACACGCTGACCTTCTTTTCGCCAAGCAAGGAGTTGATGGTGCTGGACTTGCCGACGTTGGGATAACCGACGAGACCGACGGTCAGACGAGTGGGGGTGTTGCCTGCGAGGTCTTTGAAGTCTGCGTTGTGTCAGTTGGTGACGCTCAAGAGGGGGCAAATGAACTGCATACCTGATAGGGGAGGCGCACATTTCATGAATAGGTCCTCCAACTCGAGCACAGACAGCACGCGCGCCCTAGGATCCTGACCATCGGCCGTGTCTTCCTCTGCGGAGAAGTAATGCTCGTCATCGGATTCTGACGACTCCGACGCCGACTCGAAGCCCTCATCATCCGACAGCATCTCCTCATCCTCGTCCTCTCTGCCCTCCTCCTTCCGCGCAGCCTCCTCCGCTGCAGCAGCCGCAGCCGCACGTGCCTCCTGCAGCGCCGTCGCATTGGCAGCCGAGAAGAACGCATACTGGATGCCCTGCTTGTCAAAGTAGTCCGCCCACTCCCTCCGCTGAGTCGCAGTCAAGAGATCGGACTTGTTGATGAGCAGCAAGCTTTTCCGTTTGCCAGGCCCAGAACCCGCTTCCCCTTCACTCCCCTCGACATCGCGCACGTAATCCTCGAGATCCTCACAGCGGAAGCGCAGTGGGTTGCGCGCGTCGACGATCTGCACCACCAGGTGCGAGCGCTCGATTACACGCCAGAGTTGCCTCCAAACTTCGATATTCCGCTCAAAGGGGGTAAGGAGAAACTGGTCCCGATCTTGCAAACTGTGGGAATCAGCAAAAGTACCCGGTGTCGCTCGAGGGTAACGTACTCAGCAACGCCTCGCCTCCATTCCAGAAATGCAGTCTTCTCCTGCCTATCCAGTTGAGCGGTAGTCATGAACTTTTTCCAGGGTGGGCGGCGGGGGACTCGCAGACGCTTGCGGTTAGCATCTTGTCTTTGGACCGCTTCCTTCTCTTCTTGCTCGCTCAGTAGGTAGGGATTTTGGGAGGTAGACGCTTGCTGGATAATCTTGACATTGCGCTTCTCTACGTGAAGAGGTCAAATGGGCATGGGGGGACATGAGGGGAGTGCGCACCTGCGGTGAACTCGGTACCAGCGAGTTCGGCGGTGTTCAGGAAAGCGTCAAGATCCTTCTCTTGGGTGATAGACTTCAGCTTCGAGGTCGAGTCCAGGTCCGTCGTGTACTACAAAGTGTCAGTAATGTATCATGAAAGGGGGGACGCCAATTACCAGGCCAGTCTCCTGCATGCGTTTAGCATCTTTAGCCTTCTTGTTGATGATGGCGCGTCCGAGACCACTCGGGTTGCGATCAGGACCTTTCGTCGGAGCCTGCCAAATGTCGTCAATAAGGCATTCCCCCTCGCTGGCGGCCTGCTCACCATGTTGGTCGACGATGGGGGAGGATGAGTAACGGTGCAATCAGCCAATCTTCGATCGACGGGCGCTAATTCATGCCACGTGGGCTCTCCCACGTTGTTCATGTCCGTCGCGTCCCTCTACAGGACATGCCATCGCGAAATACGCCGCTTCCCAGATAGCTATCTGAGGTAAGTCGTGTCACTTGTATGTTGGTGTAGCCAACTCTCTGTAGGGAATTCTTTCTGCTGAAGTTGAGGGATGATTGCCATACTATCCTGCACACGAAGGGCAACGATGAGTTACGCTCACGCAGACTGAAGCGTCTGGGGAAGGTGCGCGCACATTCCAAGTGGTCCAATTCCACCTGTTGAAGAGTCATCACGCAGGAAGCTAAGAGATTGCATGCCGCAAACCAAAGGAATGTCGTGGCGTACGACAAGCTTCTGAGCATAGCCTACGGCAGGATGGGCAAGCTCAAGTACGAGCTCATGGAGGTATGCCCGCTCTCCTTTCCATGTGCACCCCTATTAACAATGCCAGCCCCTTCTCACAGACCCTTCCGCCCCACCACCACCTCCTCTCATCCCCGGCGTCGAGCGCTCCCGCCCCCCGGTTTACTCTCGCGAACTCAAAGCCCTCCTCACCAGCGGCATCTCCCACACCACCCGCCCCCTGCTTCCCGAAGACATCCAGCGCCCGAAAGTTCTTGGTGGCAGGGAGGACCCCAAGTCCGAGGAGTCCCGCATTTACGGACCCCTGAGCAAACGCCGGGAGGTGAATCTGCGAAAGAAGTTCTTCGCGGAGGAATGGAAGAAGGTGAATGCGCCGCTGGAAGTGGTCGCGGAGAGGCCGTTGCAGGAGAAGGGGACAGCGCAGGATGTGCTGGACAGGGCGGGCATACGGGGCTTTGGCTTCCAGGGTCTCGGGCTGTTCGCGCATATCGAACGGATGGCGGGCAAGCGGAAGGTCGAAGACGAAGCCGGGACGACTGCGACCCCGGCGAAGCAACCCTCATACTGGCTACGACGACGTTATCAAGTGCTTCTCGGCCGTATACCCATCCTGACGGGGTTCGTTCGCACGCAAAAGCCCAACCAGACTGGGAAGAACCTCACGAAGGGCAAGGACGCTATATCGTACTCCGTCAACATGGCGGACTACGCAGTCAGACCCAGCAAATCACGAACACCGGACCAGATGCCAGAATTGACGGCGGACCATCTGGCCTGGTACGACTCAGCGGAGCGTACCAGTACTAAATCCAAGTCTGGCAAGCGGGCCAAGTAGTTGTGGAAGTACACTCGATTTTGCATTGCTATCCCATCTCCAAGCGCTGTAATCCGTACAGTGGTATATCCTGCCGTACACCCATTTTCAAAGCTTCCTGTACCCTTCAAGATATAGAGACAAGGCCTCTCAAGCATCCGGAAGGTTCGGGACCACTGCCTCAGTCCACAGAGGCTGGTCGGTACCATCGTCGTTCGGTGTCAGTGTCAAGATGTACGTCGAGTCGAAGGCACCCGCAGACCAGGCCGTGAAGCCGACGAGCGTGTCCGAGTTCTCCTTGATGAACGCGAGCTGCTCCTTGAAGCTGCGAAGAGTCATGAGCAATGTGGTTTTACGCAGCGGGACAGAAGGCCGCTACTCACAGCTGTTTGCAACTATCCGTGTTCCCGCCGCCCGACTCGGACAGAAGCGCCTGGCGGTTGCCGTTCTGCTTCAAGAAGTCGACGAGCGCCTGGAAGGTGTCGATGTTGTTGGTGACGCAGTCGTCGTGGGTACCGCTGTTGTCGGAGTCGAGGTACTTGTGGACTGGGGGAGAAAGGTGAGACAGAAGATCGACTGACACCGACAATCGCGTTAGCGTTGTTGATAAGGTTAGCGTTACTGACCATCGAAGATGAGAAGGCTCTTGTCCTCGCTTGCCGGGTCCTCGACATCGACCAGGAGAGGGCCGGCCTCCGTAGGCAGGGCGGCGGCGCTGGACCAAGACGAGCCTGGGATGAGGATGTACTGCGACGTTGCGCCTGCCTCACGGATTGCGTTGACGACGACCTGCACTGTGTCGACCCAGTCTGGGACGGAGTTGAGGTCGTGCGGCTCGTTCATGATGCCGAACTGGGTGAATAAGTGAGTTTGGGGGTGATGAGGTAGGTATAGGAAGGCTACGTACAATGATTTTCTCATTGTCAGCGTAGCGCTGCGCGATCTGGGACCAGAGGCTGGCGAGGTCCTCGTTGGCAGGGCCGCCTTGACCGACGATGGCGTTGTTGAAGCGGGCGTAGTTGTGCTGAGAAACATATTTGGTAGGCAAGGATGATACAAGGAGGAGAATCTTACAAGGTCGAGGATCACATACGGCGAAGTCGACGCACTCAAGGCGGACTGCACGGTAGCGTCATACCGCTGAAAGAAACCCTCGTCGATAGAGCTGCCGACGGTCGGGGTCATGAGCTGCCATGCGAAGGCTGTAGAGCGTTAGCAACTGAGGCAGTGAACTCGAGTCCATAGACGTACGGATGCGAAAGATGTTGACGCCCTCGTCGGCGAAGTGCTGGTACTGCCACGATGGAGGGTCGGTACCCGGGCCCTCAAACGACCCATCGGTGTAGACCCTGCACCCAAGTCAGATACAGGACTACTTCGAGGTATCTTCCGCGTACGAGAAGTCATATCCGGCAGTGTCTGTATTGCGGGGTGAGTGGCATCCCAATGCACCAATTGTGGCAACTCACTGACGCCTCCCAAGAACGGGATGGCCTTCGCGACCGTAATCGCCGTCGCGACGCTAGCAATGAGAAGAGTGCACTTCATGGCGAGATCGGGATGGCCTGTCCTTCCCATCGCCCAGGCTTTTATACCCTGCGGCCGTGAAGTATACATGGACGAAAATCGGAGTATTTACGGCTGTCGTGAGGCCCTTGTCTCGCCATTGAAGATGCGCATCGCTCGCGTTGGAGCCAACCCAGCATTCAAGCGCTTCTCGTTGCTGGAGGACGGAGTTTTCGCGCTAAAGGCGGGGAAATAGAGTACCACGAGCTGCGTCCTCGGTCGAGGAGTCGGACTTCTGCGCTATGACGCTATGTAGATCGCGATACAGGTTCACACAGAAAGGCTGCAGTGTATTTTCGCGGGATAAGCATCCTCGGCGCTGGTGGATGAGTTGAAGAGGCGACCGGGGCCAGGTCCGGACTGCATCCGGAGCGAGCACGCTGTCGGCGCCGGGGGTGATGCACGCCACACCGCGCGTCTAATTAGCGCCTGTTCAGCACTCCCACCACCGGAGGATCCCGCGCCGCGCGCCGTCATCTCCTCCCAGGCCTTCGCCATCAGATCAAGTCACCTTACTCAGACCATGGCCACCAAGCCCGCACCAGCAAAGGCCGCCTCGCCAGCGACGCCCGACAAGAAGCCAGCACCCGCGGCCGCGACGCCCCCGCCAACCAAGGCGGCAGCAGAGCCCGAGGCGCCCACCGCACTAGCCTCCGACGACGAGGATGATGATGAGAAGGAGGACGAGGAGAAGGTGAGTGCGACCAGCAGCGCGCGCAGGTCGTGGACTGATCGCCCGCAGGGCCCGCCGGTGAAGATGGAGATCTTCAGACAGATCCTCGAGCTCGACGACGAGGACTCGCACGACTTCAGCCGGGAGATGGTCAGCGATTTCTTCTCGCAAGCGCGCGACACGCTCAAGACCCTCGATGGCGCATTGTGAGCCCCCGCCCAGTCTAAGGCACCTAGCGCTCCGCCCTGACGCACGCACACCTCACAGCACGTCCTCCAACCTCACCACCCTCGCCGATCGCGGCCACTTCCTCAAATCATCATCCGCATCGCTCGGCATCTACAAGGTCCAGGAGGCGTGCGGCAAGATCGAGCAGTACGGGAAGAAGGTTGCCGACGATGGATCCTCATTGGAGAAGGACGACGCTCTCAAGCTCATCGACGCATTGCTGAAGAAGGTCAAGGTAGACATCGACGCCGCGGAGACATGGTTAGACGAGTGGTACGAACGGGACGGCAACGCGACCTGAGGCACTTGCTTTCCTTGCATCCCATCCGCTCCCCTAGCGCCGGCGCATCGCATCGAGGTCAATTTGTACAGATAGGATGGATCGATTATAATTCCCGTGTACCATAATACCCCCTCAGCAAGCCGATACTGATGATTCCACCTGTACGTCGAGCTCATCCTCCACTCAATACCTCCTCACGTCCGCTTTGCAGACCGATGATTATAAAAGATCCGGTCTGTCCAGGTTTCGTGCGCTCGCATATGCAGCAATTGTATTGAGTACCAATTACACCCATCCCAACGCTGTAAAGGCCTGCCGCGCCGCAAACTCCTTCGCGATCTGCTTCGTCTTGCCAAAGCCTCTCCCCTTGGGTATACCGTTGGCTACAACGCTTGAGGTAAGCGGTTTAGGAAAGCATGATGGATGCGTACCTTTGCAGACCATAATCCAATGAGCGGTGGTCTGATTCGGGCCCATCTGGCCCTCGGTCTGTCGTGGTTTGAGCGACGAAGACGGATCTCTATGGGAAGGCCTACCTCGTACTCGACGCGAACACCTCGCTTGACTGCATGCTCATGAAAGGCAAGCAAGAACGTTCTGCCGTTGTTCGGCGGGGCTGGCGGAGGGGCAGATGCAGGCGCGGGTGGCATTACCATCGGCGGAGGTCCTACTGCATTGAACACAGGGGGCGGCGCCGCGGCTGGAATGAACTGGCTTGGTCCGGGCACGGGGAAAACAGCAGGTGGCGGAGGTTGTGAGGGTCCACTACTGTTAGGGGGATTTGCCTGATATTCTGGTGGCCTCGTTGAGCACCCTCTGCCTCTACTGAATTTCTGTTTCTTCTGCGGCGGCATAGTCGAGGCGGGTTCTGGCGGTGCAACTTCTTCTGCATAACTCTCTCCATAAACCAATTGGCCAAGCCAATTCTGCATCGTCAGTATGCCATGGTCGACGTAGATGGCACCTGCGACGGCCAGAAACACACGATAACGCTCCTTACAACGAAATCAGTGCGGTGAACGTATGAAAGGTAAATATTGCGCACAGGAGCAGTCTTGAGAGACGCATACGCTGCTGGCGCGCACCGTAACTTGTCCATGAGGCCGTACGCCACTGTCCATTGTTCTATCTTGTCTAGCGTCAGTAATTCTTCCCTCTTCGCCTATCAGGTGTGTTAGTACGTATACAACTGATATGCGCCATTTACGTACCACCATCTCGGCGTCAGTCAGCAACGGTAGTTGTTGACGAAACAAGAGAATGGTCATCGTGGTGTCCAGCACGGACAGTCCAAGAACAGCAAGCTGAGAACCATCAATGATGTGTCCAGGCCGACTCAGAGATCTATGTGTGAACGCCTCGAGCGCGCTATCGCCAGAAAGTTTGGGTATGGGTGGGAGCGCAGCGGGACTCTTCGCGACTTCGCGTTCCTCACTGCGTGCGCGCTTTCGGGACGCGCTCGGAGGCAGGACTGCACCGGACGGTGGCTTGATAGAGAAGTATTGATCGTCGGAATAGGGTTCATCTGCCGTGTTCCCTTCGTTGAGCTGGGTCTCCCCGTCACCAGGTTCCACCTGCGTCGCGTCGTCCGCCGCCAGCAGCTGAGCCAGCCGACCTATAGCGCCGACAGCACTTTTGGGATGTGCATCCAAAGCCGGGGCTTCAGGTGGCAGGTTGCCTGGCTCTGTCGCGCTCTCGACGGACGCCATGGTGGAACCGGGTGAGAAGAGCGAGTCGGGGCACGTGGAAGACGGATCGCGCCTTGGATCACTGGCCACGTGCGCGACGCGCTATTGTCCGGTTCGAGCGAGCCGATTATGGATGCGCACCTTGCTTTCCTCCTCCATCTTCCCTCACGTCGCAAACATGCGTTCGCCTTCCGCCTCCCGTAGACGTATCTCAACGAGCCTGCGCTCGGCCTCTGCTGTGAAGCAGCTGTCACAGCCTCGCCCTGCCAACTCGCGTCAGCGTCCTTCAACCCGCAGGCTAAATGCGAATGTATGCGCGCGTCTGGTGACGGAGAGGGACGGAAACAAGGAGTGTATGTAGCCTGAACCCTTCTCCTGTGCCTTCATCTGATGGATTGTGTAGACATCAATTTGGCGATGAATAGCAACAAGCCGGTGCTCATAGGACGAAATCCCCGCCTCTGGTGAGTTCATTCGTTCCAAGTCTGGAAATCACCTTGTCCAGGTGACTAAACCTCTGACCAGCAACTACCTTCTGTCCGACTTTCATGTCTCCGGCATCCATTGCAAGCTATATGCGTACGTCCACTCTTGCCCTCTACGTCCTTCATTGACGCCGTCCTGCAGTGTGAAATCTCCAACAGGAGGAGTCATCGTATCCTGCCAGGCAAGCAATTCAGCCCGCATACAATCGCATATACCTCATGCTTCTGCAGGACATGTCAAGGAACGGCATAAAGGTCAATGGGGACCACTTCAAGCACACATCGGTCATCCTTATGCACGGTGACGAGCTCAATATTCCGGGGTCGCAGAGTTCGTAGAATTTCTATCCGTCCTCCTTCGAGGAGCCAACATTGACGAACCCATAGCTTTCCAGTGCCTTCACGTCTGGAAAGAGCCTCAAGAGAAGACCAACCTGTTTGACCCTACTCCTCCGCCGCAGCGCGGCCCCGGGCAGATCAAGCACAAAGTAGGTTATTTATCTGACACCGTCGGTCGATCTGACCATCCGTAGAACATGGGCCAGTACATCGTTACCTCGAAGTGCCTGGGAAGCGGCGCCTTCGCGACCGTGCACCTTGCCATCGATCCTAGCAATCATCGCCAGGTCGCCTGCAAGACTATATGCGCGCGAAGAAAGAAGGACAAGCGACAGGTGCTATTGGAGGTCGAGATGCTCAAGCGCGTGCGCCATGTAGGTCTTCGACTGACGACAATCGATTTTCTACTCTAACGAAGTCAGCCTAACATCAACGAAGTCTACGACTGCGTCGAGTCGGACAAGCACTTCGTGTACGTGACAACCACTTAACCTCTTGAGTGAATAGCTAGTGACGCTGCCTGCAGAAACATCTTCCTCCAGCTTTGTACAGGCGGAGACCTCTTCACGTACATCACCGAGCATTCCGCGCGAGGGCGCCTCATATGCGAAGCCGAGACGAAGTACATCATGTACCAGATCTTCCAGGCGGTCAAGTACCTTCATGACTCGTTCATCTCACACCGCGACCTCAAGGTATGCTCAGTCGCCCTTTCTTAAGCGACGCGTGCTCACTTCCGTCTCTAAATAGCCCGAAAACATATTTCTGCATACACCAGGCGCCTATCCTCGTATCATGATTGGCGACTTCGGTTTGGCGCGCCCGAATGCAGATCAAGCGACGTTCAACGTCGTGGGCACCGTTTCGTACTTGCCACCGGAGGGCGTTCTTGCTCTCGACCGCAAGGTAGATAAGTCATCTTTCTTTGCGAATTCGAGCTCACGTCGCTTGCAGGATCTCACATATGTCGGGTAAGCCCTCAACGTGATGTCGCCAACTGAGTCGCTCATTTATACGCGTAGCCTCCCGTCCGATTGCTGGAGCGCTGGAGTCATCATGTATATCATGCTCACGTACGTGGCCTCTTCGAATGGCTGTGGACAATGCGTCTGCGTCGACAAGCCTGACACTTCATTCGCCACATACAGTGGCTGTCACCCCTTCGACAACGAACGCAACGACGCTTCCGAACGCTGGATCGACCACATCCAAGAGTCGCATGAGGTCGAGAACTCGCAGCAACCCTCCCAACAATATCTCCGCGGCGAAGCACGTCTCAAGGCGAAGATCGCTCGCGGTATGGTCGAATTCTCGCACGACTGGATTGATTTTCCTGCTGGTCAGTGGCTACTTCTCGATTTTCCCCACGCTTTCGGCTACTCCCTCTGCGATCACTTACCATCCTTAGCGCACGAGCTCGTTTCGGACCTGCTCATCATGGACCCTGCTCAGCGCGCCACTGTCGACGAAGCCCTGACTAGCACCTGGATCACCTCTCAGGCCGACATCCTCGATCAGATGTACCGCGAACGCGTACTTTCAGACGAAGACGCCCTCAAAAAGATATCTGCTCCTGTCGCGCCTCCTCCTGCTCAGGTTCGCTCCTCGTCTGCCTGACGGTCCTCTGCGCCATTGTTGGTCGCTGAACAAGCCTTCCTTCCTCGGCGCTCTTCTCGTTGCTTTGTCTGTGCTATGCTGTACTCACTTTCGTCCTCTATGCTTTCTCGTTGCTCACCTGTCGTGCTGGACCTGCTCTCTCTGCGCCAAGAAGTCTGCAATCTGCCTATCGGTCTGCCGTACTAGAAGTCTCGACTGTCGCTCACGGTATCGTTATGATATGATACATACATCGCTATACGGAATACATCGTTTCGTCCCTTCTCTTTCTGTTCCTTCTTGCGCCTATGCCTCCTTCAAGAAGTTCGCATGGACTGCGAGGGCGTCAGTCAAAGTACAACTCAGAGTGGCCGGATACTCACAATGTACATGATCAGACGCGAAGGTTGAGATCTGATAGAAGCAGCTGAGTACGCTCTCCAAGAGTATGGCAAAAGACCACTCACGAAGTAGTAGCTGTGATCATAATCGTCCTGGCTACGCACGCGGACCTGGACTTCGTCATAGCCCGCATCTCGGGCAGCCTTCAGGAAGTTCTCCGGCAAAAGCTGGCCCTGCTTGTAGAAGTTGTCCCCGGTACCCTGGCGTCCATTCAGCTCCCACGTCACCTCCTTCCCAAGCCCCAGGCTACACGCACATAATCGATAAGGATGTGCACGGGGTCCTTGTGCTTCGCGACGAGCTCCGTCGCGTCATAGGTCGCCTTCGCCTCCTCCGTGCCGCCCTGGAGGTAACCTGAGAAGGCCTTCTCGCCCCAAGGGCACTTGGTGGGGTTGGCGATAGGGGCGAAGGCGGATGCGGAGCGGAATTGCTTGGTTTGGGAGGCGAGGTACATGGTGAGCGCGCCGTGGCCACCCATGCTGTGTCCCATGACGGATTGCCGCTTGAAGTCCTGGGAGGCGAGTCGGGGGCGTGCGTCTCGCGCGCGAAGGTAGGAGAACGTACGATGGGTAGACCGGCCGCCTCGATGACTTGCGGAAGTTCAAGCGTAACGTGCGTGAGCATGTTATAGTGCTTGGAGTATTTGGGGTTGGTCGCGTTCACATAGAAGCCTGCGCCCGTCCCAAAGTCCCAGTCCGCGTCCTCGCCCTCGATGCCCGCGCCGCGAGGAGAAGTATCAGGGAATATTATGGCGATGCCTTGGGTAGCAGCGACGCCAAGGAACCCGCCCTTCTGTGCGCTTCCAGACGGTCAGTCGCTCGGGACGCGGTAGGAGCGCATCTCACCCATTATCCTCCGTGCAGGTCAAGCCAGCAAGATAGAAGAGCACAGGCACTTTGTGCTTGCTGGCGATGGGTGGAATGAAAAGGTTGAACTGCGCATCGAGACCGCCGAGTGCCGCAGACTATAGGGTGAAGCGCGCAAGGTGGGTCCGAAGGCGCAGATGGGTTGATATTGTGAGATCAGGTCGAGGGGGAAACATAGAATACAGCGGACCTTGAACTTGTACTTCGTGAGCGTCCCCTCGAACGTCTTGTTGGTGGATACGGTCTCGAGCTTTACGGACATCGTGATAGACGCGGACAGACTGAGATGGGCGCCAAGCGGGCTGATCGCGAATCGTCGCGTGCGCCGACGTCATCTCATTTCGGCGCCTCGCGTGGCTAACTCCGCCGCTTGCTCCCGTCTTTCATGCACGGTATGCGCGTCCGTGCAAGCCACGTACTTCGTTGACCACCTGCGATATCCGAACAACCTGCGACGCCTCACAAACACTTACGACGGTTCTGACTGACGCCTCTATCCTCTGCTCACTTTGGCTTTCGTGGCATTCAGCCGGTGGCTGGTATTTGTGGCAACCTACAGTGACCTTGGCCCGCCCGTTCAACATAACTCTGAAGCAATCTACAATATCAGGACGCCAACATGGACTCCGCTACTCAAGAGCTGAAGCCTATGACCGCCGAGGACATACCGAGCCTGGCTAACTTCTACTGGACAGTAGCCATTTGCTGGTTCCTTTATCTGACCTTTCGGCGAGGGGATCCTTACGTACGTCTCACTTTCTATGCCACTTTCGTTCCCTTATTGAGCGTCGGTAGCTGGCAGCCTTGCCCACTGTGGGCTACTCATGGTTTCCGCTGTCATACATCAGCGCCTTCCGCTTTCTCGTCGACGCCGACTCCATGGTCAAGGAGGGCTGCTCGCTGGTATGTTTGTATAGTACGTGCACGTTCATTGTGCTAAATAATGGCACAGTATAATGATAAGCCATTCAAGATAGCCAACCTCAATCGATGGATCGTGGTCGTTAGTGGCAACTCGCTCATCGAGGAACTTCGACGTGGCGCTGGGGACGTTCTATCGTTTTCGCAAGCCTCTGAAGAGGTGAGATCCGAGTTCGCTTTCCGTACAGCTGTGTTGAATGCTGGACTATAGCTGGCCCAAGTCAGCCACGTATTTGGCGAGAGTATCGCCAGGAACCCATATCACGTCCAAGTCCTGCAAACACAGCTAACACGCAACCTGCACTCTGTTTGTGGCGAAATGCGAGACGAAATGGTAGCTGCTTTCAATGATTTGATAGCTCCGTCGGGTGAGTGGATTGGACTTCTCGCGCATCTGGATGCTTGACTTCAAGGGAGCAGACCACGAATGGAACACCATCCCCGCTCTGGCGAGCATGACGGAAGTCGTCTGTCGAGTCACCAGTCGAGCCTTCGTCGGATTGCCCTTGTGTACGACCGGCCATTTTGCTAGCCTGCGTCTGTCGCTAACTTCGCACAGGTCGCGATCCCCAATATGTCGCTCTTTGCACCGGCTTCGCTAGGCAGGCGGTCAGGGCTATCATTATTCTTAGCATCACCCCGCCCTTCCTTAGACCGTAAGTGACCTATCCGACGTACGAAGAGGGAGACTGTGGGCTGATCAGAATGCCAAGGCTTACTGCGCGCATCATCTGGCATCTGCAGGGCACCGTCACTCGGATCGAGAACTATCTGAGGCCGCTGGCTCGCGAGCGATCTGAAAGAGGACGCGACAGTATGACGATGAAGGAATTCGTGAGGGTCGTCTATTTCAGAATAAGGCGTTGAGGTGCTGACGGCCTATACAGAACGACCTGATCATGTGGCTCATGAAGGAATACAGCGGCGGCGAGAAGGACAAGTTGCACGACCTTGCTCTCAGGCTCATCGCTTCCAATTTCGCCGCGATCCACACGACTTCGATGGTACGTCGAACTTGACATGGATTTTCTTTGCCCGACCCTCACAATCACTCGCAGGCCTTCACGCACGCTCTGTACGATCTTGCGGCAAACCCCGAGTATGCAAAATACTTGCGAATGGAGATCCAGGAAATGATCCCGAGAGGTGGTTGGTGCAAAGATACCATAGATGGAATGCACCTTCATGATAGCTTCCTGCGCGAGACCATGCGTATGCACGCCTTGCGACAGCGTAAGTTCCTAGCGCGCTACATCTGTCAGTACAACGTCACCTAACCATAGTTCCAGTGAGCATCATGCGCAAGACCCTCCAACCCTTTACCTTCGAGAGCGCAGCCGGCGGTCCAGTCACCATCCCCGCCGGGGTCCTCGTCTTCGCTGCCACCCCCGCCGTCCACTTCGACCCCGCCGAATACGGCGACAACGCGCACGAGTTCGAGCCCTTCCGCTTCGTCCCGACCTGGTTGAAGCGCTACTACGGCATCCCCTACACTGTCCCTCCCGGCACGGTTGACACGACGGAGACGATGGAGGAGATCACTGACTCGCACGACGAGGGCAACATCTTGATCCCCACCTGGCCGCGCAACCATTTGGTCAGCCCGTCGTCGAACTTTTTGGGATGGGGCGGGGGGAAGCACCAGTGTCCGGGACGCTTCTTCGCAGCGGTGGAGATGAAGATGATGCTGGCGTATATCGTGGGTCGGTTCGATGTGCTCTTGGAGGCCCCGGATGAGGATGAGAAGCAGAATGAGGATAGGAAGAGGGCCAACGATGAGAAGGCTGCTCAAAAAGAGGAGCCAGCCGGTACGGAAGGTGGCGGGGAGCCCAGTAGTGCGAAAGCCGGCGTGGTGAATTGGGCTTCCCGTTCCATGGCGTTTGAGAATGAGGGTGGTGCTCTCAAGTCGGGCCCTCGACCAGAGGATTCGCGGGTGGAGGCCAATTGCTTCCCGAATCCTTGGGCGAAAGTTCGTATTCGACGGCGTGAGCAGTCGATACCACGATGGGACCAAGTGAAGGGTTTGTACGAGTTCACAGCGCCGTAGCAAGTGATATTACCGACCTTTCTTGAGGCTTTCGACAGGCCCTTTACGCGTTGAATGACCGCCACCGAAGAGTGCAACACATGCAGATTATATAGCATAGACGACGAGAACATGTATGATTTTCTTGGGTGTACGGTATAGCGGTCAAAGACAGTATGCGGTGAAGATCATTAAATGAGTCCGTAGGTTAGCAGTTCAAGGACGTTCTCGCTGAGCCAAGGTTCTGAGGTACGGCCGTCGAGTAGCTTACAGGCCAACGTTGATGGGCGTACAGCCAACGTTGACAAGACCGTTCTTAGGGATGGTTAGTGAGAGAGGGTAGTGCAGGAGATATGGCACTCACAAACTGGGTCCCCTCGCAGCACACGGTCTGAGTTGAGCAGGAGTTGCCCCCAACGCCAATCACGCTGACGGGAGAGCAGTTCACACCGCTAATGGACACATCAGCAAGTCGACGGCTCACTGAACCAGGCTACTCACGCAAGTCCGGTGAGGCTGCCGAGGTCAAGGCCCAGAAGGGCGCCGACGATGTTGGTCTGATGCTTGTCCTTAGTCTGCGGGCGTGCGTCAGCATGCAAAGGAATGAGATGAGCGAATGACCACTCACGTCGACCAGGGTGTTGCAGCACTGGACGGGACCGCTGTTGCACTTGGAAGCGCCGCCGCGGGGAACCGCAGTCGCAGCCGCGAGGACGGGGAGAGCAAGGATGGCGAGCGAGAAGCGCATGGTTGTTGCTGGTGAGGCTGAGAGTGTAAACGAGGGATGTAGATGCAAGAGTTGCTGAGGAATGGCAGCAAATTGTCGTGGCTTTTATACTCGTCCAGAGCCGATCATCACGTCTGTACAATGACTTCAGAGAACGGGAGCGGCGGTTGAAACTGCCTGCAAAGTACCGTCTTCGGACGCGACTAAACCTACGGTGGCATCGGTACATAGGTCGGCGCGCTCAAGCGTCGCGTTCTGGGGAGTTCATACTGCTTCGTGCAAGTATATCTGACGCGTCCATTGTATTCCCCAAGGTTTCTTGCCAGACGGAACGGCCGGACGTCGAAAGAGGTTGGCTGCGGATGAGTTTGTGGCGCCAAGTCCGCGCGCGACGAGCGATTCCCGCAGGCAAACTTCCAACAATGTATAGACCTGCTCGGCAGCGAGGAGCGTGCCAGCGAGTAGATGTCAAGTAGATGCAGTTGTTGAGGTACCCGCGCTGCTGAGTGGGTGGTACAGCCAGAGTTTCTCTCCGCCGTGCCCAGGCAAGGCTGTACCCGTCATTCGCGGCGTTTCCGGGCAGGCGAAGACGCTGGGTGTGGAGCTGGGATGTCACGGACCTTGAAAGCGAGCACGCCGCGGAGCTGCCCAACTTCCAAGTGTGTACATGAGAGACAGCGGTTACTGCTGCTTGACGCAGGCCGGCGGCAGGCAAGATGTAAATAGTCGTCAAAAGCGGCAAAGCAAAGAGGTATAGATCGCCACAGTAAAATAAGGATGACGATCCTCCGCTTATGGGAGAGCGTACATGCGCAAGGTCTTTCGCTAGGGTGTCCTTCGCCCGATGCTCATCGTCGTTCGCGGTGAAGATGGTCGTGAGAAACGTTGACGGATTGGGCCGAGTGGGGGAAGCTGCGGGGTGCGCGGGCCGACGTCGCGCTGACCGCATGGTGCGCGCATCATCGAGCGATCGTTAGCGCTGGACATGTCCCCGTCCCCCAGCCCGCGCCCTTCGTTGTCAGAACGCCTAGAGGGCCTGATATCCAACAAGAAAGACAAAGACATGAGGCCCAGAAAGCCAACTCTCCCTCGCCTTCCTTCCAACCACAATGTACACCATACTCCAGCGCAGCCCACACTGAGGTGGCTGGGCACTCGCGGCAGCCAGCACTCGACGCCCTCACCTTCTGCACCACCGTCTCCGTTGATATCGTCTCTGGACGAAGCGTTGCACGAAGAGCTTGCGCTACCGAAGCCGCCACCACTGGCGAAGCTTCCGGACTCGTTCTACGCGTCGCGGCAACTGACGCGGCGACCACCCTTCCTCGATAACCTCACGCACTCCACCCTCCCGACCGCCTCACTAGTAGGGGAGCAGCTGGCGGAGCATGACGGTCCCCTGCGCTCTCCCCCTACGAGCTCGTCGCTGGACAGCCTACGCCGTGTCTCCGAGCGCGACAGGCGGCGCAACTCCACCGAAGAGTCCCAAGACTCGCCCTCACGCTCCAGCGGCTGGTGGTTCTTCCAGCACAAAGATGACATGGACAACATGCTCAACGAGGACGATCGCGCGGACACGGTGCAGGAGGAGCAGGATAACATTCGGAAGAAATGTGCGTGTGCTGTCCAGCTGGAGATGACGATGTACTGATGCATATTGCAGACCGCAGTCCAAGGAATCCGATTGTCTTCTGTCATGGGCTGCTCGGCTTCGATAGCGTGACGATTGGACCGTCGATCGCGCCGCTGGAGGTCAATCACTGGAGGGGGATCAAGGAAGTACTGGAGGCGAACGGCGCAGAGGTCCTGATCACTCGCGTGCCCGCCACCAGCTCGCCAATAGATCGCGCCAAGGTGCTGGAGCAGAGAATATCGGAGGTCTTCCCTGGACGCGCTGTCCATCTAATAGGTGCGTTCATCTCGCCACCCTGTGTGTTAGACTTGAGCTTACTTGTGATATATAGGTCATAGTATGGTACGCGAACATTACCGCGCTATGTCTGTCGAGCTAACATTCGCTTAGGGTGGCATCGACTGCCGATATCTCACGACCCACCTCACCTATCGCAAGTTCGACGTCCTCTCCATCACCACCATCGCTTCCCCCCACCGCGGCTCGGCCTTTGCAGACTATTTCCTCGAAGCCGTCGGGCAGAACAACTTCCCTTCATTCCTCGGCCTCCTCGACTTGCTTCCCAATGGCGGCGGCGATGGCAAGGCGTTCGAGTTCCTGACGCTTGAGAACATGCGCAAGTTCAATGAGCAGACGCCCGATGTTCCCGGGGTGAAGTACTACAGCTGGGGCGCGACGTATCAGCCCGGGTTGATCGACACCTGGAAGTGGTCGCACGCGGTCGTGCTCGAGAAGGAAGGACCGAACGATGGTTTGGTGTCGGTCGAGTCGGCCAAGTGGGTGCGTGGTACTTTCGTACCGTCTGCCTGGATTTGAGTGCTCATCTGTCGCACAGGGAACCTACCTTGGTACGCTTGAGGGCGTCAATCATCTGGATCTCGTCGGATGGATCAATCCGGCGCGGTACAAGTGGGCCGAGATGATGGGCAAGGAAATATCCTTCCGACCTGCCACATTCTACCTTGGCATCTCGGACATGCTTGCGCGAGAGGTCGACGGTCAGGGAAGGGAGGAGGAAGGCCCAGTGGGCGAAGGCGAAGGCCAGCAGCGCGCAAAGGAACAAGCGTTGCACAGCATGAAGGGCGAGGGTGCACGCCTCGGTGATGAGCACGAGGAGCGGAGGATGGAAGAGCGTGCGGAAGAGATGGAGGCGACCGTCGATCTGCCGAGCGCAGTGGTGAGGCGTGATGGCGATAGGCTCTCAGCACAGAGCACCTCTGCACCTCCCAGTCCCATACGTCCTTCGAGCGCGGCAAGTTCGCGGTCGGCGGAAGGTTCTTCGAAGACCAGGAATCCATGACAGTAACCCGTCGGTCCAGGGCGTCCTTCATCGCATTTACGGCACTGTATTCTAGCATACAACTGATACCCTAGTATACCTTACTCGTACACGATTAGTACTTACTGACGATAATCGTTGGCAATATGGATTTGGGCGGTACTCACAAGTGAAGACGCGAGCTCGGAATTCACCGAAGTTCAACATTGGCTGCACGTGGGCTCGGTGCCTAAGTTCGCTCATTGACAAGGGGAACTGAAGCAGCATGTTGCCCTCCGTTCTTCCATCCAAGCCTGCTGTTAGAGACATCTCGAGCACGAAGGAGGACATCGAGAAGGCTGCGAAGCTGGGGAAGGCGACGAATCCGGAAGAGTAGGCCGCTTTCCACTGAATGCCGCCACCTTCGGTGTAGCTCACGCAGTGCACGATAGAACCGCGCTGTTCATATGCGCCTATGAAGGTGGGGGACATCTAAGCTTCTAGCGAAGTGAGCTGACGACACGCAGACTGCAATCGGCTGTATCCCAACAGGGAGCGCTTGATGAACCATCGTAGGCGGGACCACAAGACGGAGGACGACGGGGACATTCTGACCTGGAATGAGTGAAGGGAGGCTGTTTTTATGCACGTAGAGTCCCTGAGAGAGAGTGCCCATGTGGCTGGTGTGCTCGAGGTCGCAACGTGAAATATCAGGTTGTCGTGATGGAACAAGGTCTCCTGTCATCCACTTCCCACCACCAAGCTGCCGACCGCGCGCACCCCACGCTCCTTTGAACTTCATATCGTTAGCGTCGGCGTGCTGCCACGTTCAGCGAGCCACTTGTTCCTCGCCGTCAGCGCCAGTGACCAGCAGCGGGCCAGCAGCGGATACGGGGCCCCCGACAAACAGTGTCAAAGCAACGATCACCTTTCTCAACGGAGGCGCTCTCAGTTGTATTCGCCGCCGTCGTGCTGCGCGACGCCCACGACGCCCCGACGCCGCCGCCGCCGTTCTCTACCCCCTAATCTCTTTCATAATACGCCTGCGCTAGGCTTGCCCCGCGGCGGCACCATTTCTAGTCACTTCCCACACAGCACCGCCGACCATACCGTCCATTCTAGGCGGCCGGACTCGCAGAATGTCCTTCTTCTCTAGGAAGAAGCAAAATCACCCCCCGCCGCAGCCGGCGCCGCAACCGCAGCAGGCGCCGGCGCATGTGACGGTCGCGAGCACGCCCAGCGCCGCGCTCGCGCAGATGTCCGCGGCCAAGGAACAGCAGGTGCAGCAGCAAGTTCAACAGCAGCAAGCCCAGCAGCAGCACCAGATGGCCGCAGCGCAGCAGACCCGCCACAACATGTCCGGCAGCCTGCGCGGCGACCCCACGGAAGGGTGCGTACTTCCCGCTTGTCGCGACGCGCCTGGCTTACAGATTGGCGCGTTGAAGCAGGTTGACCCCGACGCAGCAGCAGCAACTACAGCAGCAACAGGCGCGTGCCCAGGCACGCGGAGGGAGCCCTAGCACGCCGTCCCCTGGCGCTCCCCCTCAGCAATCCGCGCCGCAGCAGCGCCCTGCGTACCCGTGGAGTGTTCGCCGCCTCCAACTCCCACCACCCATAGTCCTCAACAAGCCTGGCATTGTGCCCCCCACCTCACCCTCACCCTCCCCATTCCCGCGGTATGGACATGTTGTACCGACAGTGTCTACGTCCCCCGCCGGCGACATGTACATCTTCGGTGGTCTCGTGCGCGACGCGGCAAGGAACGACCTCTACATCGTATCGTCGAAGGACATCTCCGCCACACTCGTCCAGACGGGCGGCGAAGTCCCTTCTCCGCGTGTTGGTCATGCAGCAGCGCTCGTCAGCAACGTCATGATCGTATGGGGAGGTGACACTCGGCAAGACGCGTCTCAGCCGCAGGACGACGGGCTGTATCTTCTTAATCTTGGTGCGTCTATTCTGCCGACTCATATCGCCTTGGGCTGATATCTATCACAGTTTCTCGCGAATGGAGCCATGTATCAACGCACGGTCAAGGCCCGGTAGGCCGCTACGGCCATGCCGCCACCATGGTTGGCTCCCGCTTCTTTGTTTTTGGTGGCCAAGTCGATACTCAGTTCATGAACGACTTGTGGTCGTTTGATCTCAACTCACGTCAGTCACTTGATTGTATCGCTGGCAAGTCGGGCTGACGTTTCGCAACAGTCCGGACGCGCGCGCAGTGGGAGCTCTGTGAGCCGAGCTCTGGCGAGAAGCCGCCGGAGCGCACCGGTCACATCTGCATCACTCACGGCGAGAAGCTCTATATGTGCGCGATCATCTTTCTTCGCACTATAGTTGATCTCACTCCTTCTTAGCTTCGGCGGTACTGATGGGCAGTATCACTACAACGATACGTGGTCCTACGATACTACCACACGCCAATGGTCGGAATTGACTTGTATCGGCTTTATCCCTTCCCCGAGAGAAGGTCACTCCGCTGCTGTAGTCGACGACGTCATCTACGTCTTCGGTGGACGCGGCGTCGACGGCAAGGATCTCGGGGACTTGGCAGCGTTCAAGATCTCAAGTACGTATACTCGTTAATTGCTCTCGAAGTTTGTCTAACCCTCAATAGATCAACGCTGGTACATGTTCCAAAACATGGGCCCTGCACCGTCCAGTCGTTCAGGCCACGCCATGGCATCTGTGGGCACCAGAGTATTCGTCCTTGGTGGCGAGTCTATGACTACCAAGTCTGAAGACCCCAACATGCTTCACGTTCTGGATACTAGTATGTCCGCATATATGCATGCCAACGACGTGTTACTCAACGAAGAACAGAACACATCAAATACCCCGACTCCAACAAGGGTCCTCCACCTCAGAGCGAAAAGCCTGCGGCCGGCAAGCGACCTTCCATGGTGCCTCCGCCACAGCAGATGCATCAATTGCAGCAACAGCAACAGCAGCAGCCCGTACCGGATGGCACACGATCAGTTTCGCCGAGAGGCATGGTCGACCCGCAGCGGGCGGTATCTCCACCAGACCCGCGCAAGACGTCGCCAAACGGTGTCCCAATTGCGGCTCAGATGTCAAACTCCCCAAGCGAAAGTCCAGTACCTTCGGGGTCCCGCGGCAAGCCTCCTCAGAGGCCACCTCGAGCGGACCACGAAGACGACGTTCTCAGCGACGAGGGCATCGACACCGGGACGACGGACGGGCACATTCGTGCCCGGTCGCCCGAACATCGCGAAAGAGCGAAGTCGCCTGAGCAGCGCACGAAGAGCCCGACGCAGCGTGCCATCTCGCCCACGCACGAAGGTCCGAACGCGCCCAGCATGATGGGCGTCTCGATAAACATGACCAACGGTGTGACGGGTCGCCAGTCGCCTGCTATGGCGGGCGGTAAGCCGGCGCACCATATGCAGAGCAGCACATCGAGCTCGTCAATGCTGAATGGTGTTCTCGCTCGGTCGCATTCGCGCGGGGACTCAAAGTCGGTGAACGTCGTCAACGATCTGCTAAGCAACCTGAAGGCGAAGGAGGCGGAGCTCGAGAGTGCGAAGCGACAGATGGCATGGATGAAGGAGGGCCTGACGAAGGCTTCTCGTTCGGGCTACTTCTACGCGGACCGCTCTGGCAACGACATCCCCACCGATGTTCAGGATTCTCCTCAAGCCGATCTGGCGCTCAAGTTCAAGCAGTTCAAGGCGCACATGCAGGTACGTGTGGTTCATGGGCATCGTCCTTCACAATGCTTACATCGGCCAGACGATGATGGTCGAGCAATCGCGACAAGCATCCGAGCGCATCGCCGACGCCGAGCGCGTCAAGAACAGCGCGGCGCAGGAGGCTGCGTACTACCGTGCAAAGCTCAGTGCCCTCGAGAATGGCCGCGAAAGCGAGGCTCAGAATATGGAGCGCGAGCGCCTAAAGGACCTGGAGAAGAGCATGTCTACGTTGATGACTGAGCGTTGGAACCAGGAGCGCAAGATCAAGGAGCTTACCGAAGCCCTGAGCCTGCAGACAACGCTGTGCGAACAGGCCGAAGCACGAGCAGCGGACGCGTCTCGACGCGCGGAGACCATCCAGGAGTCCCATGACCGGAACGTGCAGCGCCAGCATGAGCTGCAGGAGCGCAATGAGACACTCGAAGTCCAGCTGCGCGACCACTCGCAGAGGTTGCTTTCCAACACCTCGACGCTCGAGCAGCAGGAGGCGGAAGCCGCCGCGTTGCAGGCGCAAGTGGAGGAGTTGACGCAGTCCCGCGATCAGCATCTCAAGGCCCTGGAACGGGTTATGGAGACCTTCCGCCAGACGCAGAAGCGCGCGGACGAGTTCGACGCCGAGGAGAAGCGCTCTCGCGAGAAGATCGCCGCGCTGGAGTCCGACATCGTCGAGCTACGGGGCGAGCTTGAGGCGAGGACGACGGAGGTGGAGAACGCGAGGGAGAAGCTCGCCGATGTGGAGAACCAGTGGGCAATCTCGCGTGAGGAAGCGGACAGGTTCCGCGCGTTGACGACCACCAATCTTGGTCAGCTACTCGACCTTCATCGCGACATGAAGGCAGACGAGGATCGCTACACGAAGGGGCACGGCGAGAAGGTCAATGCGATGCAGATGGAGATCGAGCAGTTGCGTGTTATGATGAAGGAGGCGTCTGACCGTCACGGTGACGCTCAGCGGAAGCTTTCGGAGGAGCGCCAGCGCGTGCGTGAGCTTGAGAAGGAGACTTCTCAGCTCCGCGCACAGCTTGTGGGTCTGCGAACCCAGATGTCGAACGTGCTTGCTGACAGCGGCGACCTGCGGCGCGAACTGTCCGACAAGGACGTCGAGCTGGAGGAGAAGTCGAAACAAGCATCCGAGGCTGCTGTCCGCTTGCGCATGTTACGCACCTACCTCACGGAGCACGGCATCGTCATCAACGAGGAGGACGTGCACTCAGCCTCTCGTACCAACGGCGTCACCTCCCCCGATGTGGTTGCCGAGCTCGAGACCAAGCTCGCGGAGCGTAACCGGGCCTACGACAATGCTCAGCGCGAGCTGAACCAGGTGGCGCGCCGCCACCGTGATGCCGAAGCGCAGGTCAGCGATCTTGCGTCGCAGATCGAGCAGCTGCGATCATCGCAGTCACCATCGGTTGGTAGCGCAGACTCCGATGCCAGGTTGGCTGAAGCTGAGCGCCGCTTTGAGGAGACGGAGCGTGGCTACAAGCAACGTATGGCGCAGATGGAAGAGGACTACCAGTTGGCTGTTCACTACGTCAAGTGAGCTCCAAATGACTTGGCTTCGTCAAGGCCTGTGCTAATTGGTTTCAGGGGTACCGAGAAGATGATGCGTCGTATGAAGGACGAGCTCACCAAGCAGAAGGACAACAACACAAGTCTGCAGGCTGAGCTCGAGGTGGCTCGTAACGCGCGGTCTCGCGCCAACGGCCGCTCGACGCCGTCCGACGACGATGGCACTCGCAATCAGCTTCTTGAGTCCCAGCGACAAGTGCAGCGCTTGCATCGCGAGAACCGGGATCTGCACGCCCGCCTGGAGTCCTTCGAGTCTGACCTTGAGGCTCTCCGTGACAAGCTCGTTGCTTCTCAGCGGGAGTCTGACGACCGCCTCACCCAGGTGGAGGAGCTTCAACATGAGGTCGAGCGTTTGCACGCGTCCCTTGAGGTGGCGCGGGGCGGCGGTGAAGAGACGCTCTTGGAGAAGCTCAGCAACGAGAACACCACGTTGCGGCGGGAGAACGAGCAGCTATCGCATAAAATCGGTCTACTTCTGGAAGTGGACCAGCCAACCTTCGGCCGGCGACCAATATCTGGCATCTCCGCGCAGCGACTCAGCTCGTCCAGTTCGGAGAACGCCCTTGCTTTCGAGCATTTGTCTAGCGAGCTTGACGACTGGCAGCGGCAGCTCGCATCTTCCATGACCAACCGACGACCACTCAGCGAGTATGAATCGGAACCGCCTGCAGTAGAACGGACTCGCTCTCCTCGATCGTAACTTCCATGCCTCTCTTCGTCTTCATCTCATTGCATATACCCTGCAGTTCGTCGTCACGTCGACTGCCGGCCACACTCGCTTGGATCTGTTCGTACTTCGTAGTATCTTATAGTCCGTTTGTTTGCTCTGTTCATTATCACCGCGTTACATATATGTCGATAGCTAACTATGCATGTGGGTTCAGTATCACTGACTAGGCACTGTTTGCTCTCTGCGTCCACTCGATGGCCTTCGCCTTGACCTGCTCGGCACCTTCCTCGTCGCCCAACCGGTGCTCGAGGTCCAACCATTTCTTGAAGAAGCTCTTTGCCTTGTGACTGGTCATCTTGATGGCAAGGACTCGGTTGAAGAGATTTCTATAGCGAGAAATCAGTTTCGAGAAACACCGCTCAACGGAAAATGCCTACCTGAGGCTCTGAATGTTCGACTGGGTCGCCTCCATATCCATGTAGATGGACCAGATATCCCATCGTTTCGGATGAATGCTGACGATGCCTTCGAAGAGTGTCCTTCCACGCTCGGGGTCGGCCATCTTGTACTCGAGCTGCGCGAACTTGGAGATCGTCTTGATATCTGTGCGAATGTCAGCCATGTACACATTATCAGTACTGCTTCGCGGCTCACGTTTACGCTTCTCAAGGCTCTGAAGAGCGCGCGGCAGAAGTTTACGCGCCTCTTCAACTTCGCCTCGACGAAGGAAGAACTCGCCGTACAGTGTCCAGACCTTCGAGCTGTGACCGAACTTCTTGGCCGTCTTCTTGAACTGTTCCTCAGTTTTCTAGCAACGATGTTAGCGCGAAAGAACCTCGCGACGGCTAATGAACGAACGTCGATCTTGCCTGACTGCTCGAAGATAGCGGCCAGACGCAGGTGCACCGTCTTGGAGTCGTTCGCGCGGGCAGCCTCCTTGAAGGTGGCGTCCAGACTGTCATCCGTTCCATAGGCGTTCTCCAAGTTGAGCAGCGCAATCCAGACATTCAACTTCTCGTTCTCCTCGCGGAAGTTGATCGTCGACAGTGCCCTCCTTGCGAGTGCGCGGGCCTTGTCCATTTCGCCGAGTTGCAGCTGAAAGGACATGTACTGGATCCAGAGATATGACGAGTTCGGTGAGCCTAGCAGAAGACGCTCGAAGTCAGCCGTAGACTCTGGCGCCTTCGTATGCATGTCGGCGGTGAGGTCCTTCTCGATCTCTTTGCGCTTGTTCCGCTTCTTGCGCTCGGGCTGCTCGGTTTCGGAGTCGCTTCCGTCGGACGATTCAGCGTCAGACTCAGGCTCGGCGGCACCAGTATTCCACTGGAAGCCGCCAAGGAGCTCAAGAGACTGACTGGCAGTGTTGGTGGCGGATGCTGCCTTACGCTTCGACGACTGGGCGGGAGTGACCTCGGCAGGGATATCGATCATGATGGCGTCCTCGTCCGCGTCGTCATCGTCCTCGTCGTGTTCCGGCGCATCGCCATCCTCTGACTCGTCGTCGACGGCTTGCTCCTGCCCAGGCATCTCTTCGTCCTCTTCGTCAGAGGTCTCAGCGTCGACGTCGCGGATGATGCCTTCCTGCTCCTCTTCATCGTCGTCTTCCGCTTCTTCATCCTCGACGAAGCCAGCATCGCCAAGGCGCGAGGGCTTGAGACTCAGCGCTATGCGGCGATCCGCCAGCTTGAGGATGCAGGCCTTGACTTTGTCGCCAGCACGGAAGCCCTCCAACGCGGCATCGACGTCGGCGTCCTTGTTATCGGTAAACTCGGTCTTCCGACACAAGCCCTTCAACTTGGAACGCTGGATCTGAATGAGGAGACCGTAGGGCTCGATGCGGTTGACCGTGCCGTCGACAACTTGGCCCTCCTTCAAGTCGGCAATGGTCAAGGTGGAGGACTTCAGTGCCTCCTCAGAGCGGAAGGTCATCTCGATCTTCTTGGACTCAGCGTCGACCCTATTGAAAGTGAGTGAACGTTCAGTCACGGAAGCGATAGGTGCTTACTGAAGGATGCGGCCCTCAACGACCTGATTGACCTTGAAGCGCGGCTTCCACTCCTTCACATACTGGGGACGGATGAGAAATCATCAGCCTCTAAGGGACAGCCACTCACGTCGTCGAACAGCTCCTTGATCTGCACACGCGCATCAAGCCCGCGTCCAACAGTGACGAAAAGTCCGTGATCAGCGACGCTCTTGATGAACCCGCGGACGGTTTGCCCAACGTGCAAGTCGCTGATCTCGCCAATCTCCTTATCCCGAACACTCCGGTCAGGCTGAGGCGACACCCGCGACGGACGAGTCGACAAGATGAGCTGCTTGTTCTCCCTGTCAATGCCAACGATAGCGGCCTTCACCACAGCGTCGACTGCTGGAAGTGGCTGCCCCTTCACGTGGTTGAAGTCGTCCGCAACGTCGCTTGGGTGCAAGATACCCCGCACCTTCGCCGTGACCTTCACCAGCGCGCCCTTCTGGACATGCCGCGTCACTCGGCCAGTTACGACCTGCCCGACCTCTGCCGTGTCGAGAGTAATCGCAGCTGGCTTAGCAGAAGCATCCGCGCCCTTCGTCGCCTTGGGCTTCGATGGCTTGCCGCTGACAATGACGAAGCCCTTTTCCGGACTACGCTCGACGACAACGAGGTCCGGGAGCACCTCTCCAGGCTGCAGCGCCGTGCGCACCTGCGCCGCGGAGACACCACGCAGCATAGCGACGTTGGCGAGCGAGACAAGTGCGCGGACGCCCGAGGGCTGCAGAGTGAGCAACGCATGCTCCTTGTGAACCTCGGTGACCTTGCCGGGAAGGATGTCGCCAATCTCGACAGCGGTGAGGGGGACTGGCTGCGAAGCGCCGGCAGCTTGGCGGATGCTGGCGACGATACGGCGCTGTTCGGGCTCAAGGGAGGTCAGGCGAACCTTGACGGGCTTGCCCACGGGGAAGGAGTCGGCGAGGCGTTGATCGGGTGACTCGCTGCAGAATGAGATGAGACAAAAGAGAAGGATACGAGACGACAAAACGTACACAGCATCTTTCGCAGGTACAATGGCTTTCAGGTTGTTGTAGAACTCGACCATCAAGTGTTTGTCGAAGACCTTGAACACCACCGCATGCGTCACCATCCCAACCTGCGCGTCCTCATATCGCGCCAGCACTGGTAGCGTCGAATCAATGAGCGTCTTCTTCGCCGTCAGCGATATCCTCTTCCGCCCCTCATCAACCACCAAGACGCGGCACTTGATGCTCGCGCCTGCCTTGAAGCGCTTCCCTGGCTGCTTCAGCGCAATGTCCGCATAATGGTTCGGCCACACCACGCCATCCATGTTGCCCGAGAGCGAGACGAACAGAGCAGAGTCTGTAAGCTTCTTGATCGTACCCTTGACGATCTGCCCCGGCTGAACGTCGCTGACCTGCAGGTACTTCTGCTCGAGGATGGAGGGCTTCATAGATAGCTGGAGAAGGCCGTCGAGGGGGAAGTAGCCAGTGACGCGCGCGCGATGCGTAGAACCAATTTTGTGCGCGCCAGCAGCGGAGAGGGAGGGAACATGCTCGTCGGAGGTGTGGGAGATCTGGGTTTGGATGTAAGCTCGCTGTTACCCAGGTGAAGAAGAGCGCAGCTTACATGGACGAAGCCTTCGACTCCCGGCTCGAGCTGTACAATCAACCCCCTTTCCGGCTCTACCCTCACGATCTTCGCATTCTCCACGGTCCGGCCAATAGGGTATCTCTCCCTAAAGTCGGTCATGGTGTTATCCGGGTTCTTGATTTTTCTCGAATCGAGCGCAATGATGTGCTCGTTCAACGCCAGAGCAAGCTTGGGCGGTGAGTCGGAGTAGTTGTAAAGGACGCGAGCCTTGATCTTCTTCCCAACGTTCCAGTCATTCGATGAACCTTGGCGCAGGTGCACTTCGTCGATAGTGCCATCGAAGAAGCCGATGACTTGAAGATTGAGGCCAGTGGGCGAGGCGGCGGTGATGAGGGATTGGACGAGGGTTCCGGGAAGGACTGCAGCGACGTTGGTGACTTCGGTGGCCTGAAGGATGGGTGGTAAGTACAAGATAGTTGTGAGAAGCCTGTTTACGCACGAAGGACGAAGTGAACTTCGCAGGGTCGGCGGTCACATTACATGTACGGCCGTTTTTGGAGAGCTTCAGAACCGTAGCGTTGACAAGACTGCCAACGGGCAGCTTGGCGTCCTCGTCGTCGGTCGAAGTGGTCGGTGCATCCTTGAACGAGAGGAAACCGGACACATCGGGGATACCCAGGTCAACGATGTACCCGTGATCCTCGACGCTCTGCACGGCAGCTGTGAGAGTCTAGCAAGGTTCAGAGTGGTATATCAGAGCAAGGTAGTCTTAGACTCACGAAGCCCTCCTTCAGGTCGCCTTTCTGCACGCCCGCGTTCACCTTCCCCGGAACGAGGGAGAGCTCAACTCTGCGGCTGGCGCGCACCACCTCGTCCCGCGAGCGGCCGATACCGGAGAGGTCGGTCGTGCCGGGAGCGTGCACGGTCGCTACCACGGCGCGAACGTACTGACCCGGATGGAAGATATCGTCCAGGTCCGGGACAGCCGTCTGGGCCGGAGCGTCTTCGTCGTCGCTCTCGTCGACATCCATGGCGTCAAGAGCAGCAGTGAGCTGAGTGGAGATGTTCGTGATCGGTACATGGCCGAGGAGCTGGTTGGGAAGTGACACAATGAGGGCGAGAGGTTGGACGGAGATGATCTGGCCGAGGATCTTCTGGCCTGGGATCATGCGCTGCGAGGGCGATGAGCAAAGTGAAGACAGGGATCTCTCATGCAACATACCTTGTAGTTCAAGTGCTCGATGCGTATCTTTCCCGACTTCTCTGCCTTGTCGGCCTTGGGCTTTTTGGACTCAGACTGCTTGCGCTTGCGCTTCTTGGATTCCTGCTGTCCCTCCTGCGATCATGTCAATAACACATTTAGCATGCGTGCTTATTACACACATTGAACAGCGCATCGTTGGCCTCCTTGACAGCCTCAGCGCGGATCGCCTTAACCTCGAGGGGGGTGAACGAGGAGCCTCCGCCACGGGGGAAGTCGACCTCCTCCTGAACGAGTGTGCTGGCCGGCTGAGATGCGGTTTTCTTCGCAGATTTCTCAATCTTCTGCGTCTTCGTCTTCTTTGATTTCTGAGGGGACGAGGAGTCCTCCAGGGTCCTCTTTTGTGCGACCATCGCAGCTGAGGGAAAGGATATCCAAACTTTTTGATGATCGGGGGAATGATGTGTTGATCGCGGGCCGCGTGCTCATCCAGACGCCTTGTTCTCAACGTTCGTGTCATGGGTGCGTGAAGACAGCCACTGCTACCATGCTCTCAAACTGACATTTTGTAGATTACCAGGTTGGTGCGCTACACGTATAGCTTGAAGCAGTCAACTTACGCTCCCCAGAATCGAGTAGGAAGCAAGTTTGGTGGAGGAGGTGTGGCAGGTGCCTCGGAGAGCAATGTCGACCGTAGGGAACGGCTGAGGAAGCTGGCGTTGGAGACAATCGACCTGGCTAAGGTGCGTACTCTGCCCCCCTCTACTGACGCCTCTAACATGCGCTCAGGATCCTTACATCCTGCGCAACCATCTCGGCTCCCTCGAATGTCGACTTTGTCTTACTCTTCACACCAATGAAGGCTCCTACCTTGCGCACACTCAGGGCAAGAAGCATCAGACCAACCTTGCTCGCCGTGCTGCGCGTGACGCGAAGGATGCCCAGCTCATGATCGCGCCGACGCAGCAAAATGTGCAGCGCAAGGTCTTCCTCAAGATCGGTCGGCCGGGTTATCGCGTCACGAAGGTCCGCGACGTCGACACTGGGAAGGAGGGTCTGATGGTGCAAGTCCATCTGCCTCAAATCAAGCCGGGGGTGATCCCTCGGCGGCGGTTCATGAGCGCGTTCGAACAGAAGAAGGAACCGCCAAACAAAGCCCACCAGTACCTCATTGTGCGTGTCATATCCCTATGTCAAGCTGTGAAAGCTGACATATCCTGTTAGGTCGCGGCCGAGCCTTACGAAACCATCGCATTCCGCATCCCTGCCCGCGAGATCGAGGACGAGACCGACGACGCTGGGTACTGGAACTGGTCGCACTGGGACCCCGACACCAAGCAGTACAGCTTCCAGTTCATGTTCCGCGTCCTTTACTGATCTATCTGTTATGCCGTACATGTTCGTCGATCTGCCCTTGTAATTCCATGCACCTTGGACGCTGAAGTCAGGTCAACCTCGGCGAACTGCGCGAACGTACTATGATCATGATTTGTCACTCCGGTAGTCCGCGTCGATCTTCTCCCCTTCACAGCCTCGTTCCTCTTCCCCAGCCCCCTCCTCGCTGCAGCTCGTGAAATGCTGACATTTTCTGGGCGCAACAAAGGGGCATTTCGGGCTTGCCCCCGGGTTCCCCGCACGCGAATTTCACCTCGCTTCACCTCGCCAAGGTCGTGATGACGCGCACTCATCACGGATATAGCGGGGTAGGTCCCGATGCCATGTGCAACGCTTCCTCCCAGGCCCAACCCTCCATCCTGCATCTGGTCTGGAGGTCAGCTGGCCCCCGACCCCATCCCTTTTTCTGGTCGTCACATCGGCCGGTGGCGGTGATGTTCTCCGCTATAAAAGCAGGCGCCGTGTGGGCAGCGGAGATCGTCCTCTCGGCAACCTCGAACGGTACAGACTACAGCATGGCGACCTTGAAGGGGCTTTTCCTTGGTGCTCTTCTCAGTGGCCTGGGCTATGCGCAGACGAACGAGCCCGTTTCGGGAGATTACTCCGGGGCGTTGAGGCCTCAGATCCATTTTTCGCCGCCGACGGTACGTCTTCCTCGTTACCCTCGACCAGCATGTAGCATGAGGCCTCACACGTGCACAGGACTTCATGAACGATCCCAACGGCTGTTTTGTTGACGCTAATGGCACCTGGCACCTTTACTACCAATGTGGGTTATATTTGCCAAAGCGCCTCTTGGCTCGAGATACTGACGAAGTATCCTGCAGATAATCCGACTGACTTGGTGGCGGGAAACCAGCACTGGGGCCACGCTACGAGCAAGGACCTCTATCATTGGGAGAACCAACCCATCGCCATCTATCCGCCGGACAACACCAGCCAGGTCTTCAGTGGCTCCGCCGTCATCGACGTGAACAACAACTCCGGCTTCTTCCCCAACCAAACCGACGGCGTCGTAGCCATTTACACTCTCAACACGCCCGATGGTCAAGTCCAGGAGATCTCGTACTCACGCGACGGCGGCTACACCTTCACGACCTACGAGGGCAACCCCGTCATCAACATCAACTCGACGCAGTTTCGCGACCCCAAAGTCATTCGCTACGAGGACTCGTGGGTCGCGGTCATCGCGTACTCGCAGGAGTTCGTCGTCGGCATCTTTACCTCGCCGGACCTCATCCACTGGACGCACGCGTCGAACTTCTCGCACCATGGGCTGCTCGGTCTGCAGTACGAGTGCCCGAACCTTGTCAAGATCCCCGTCGACGGCTCGGACGAGGAGATGTACCTCCTGACAATAAGCCTCAACCCGGGCGCGCCGCTCGGCGGGAGCGTGACGGAGTACTTCCCGGGCACATTCAACGGCACGCACTTCACGCCCGTTGACGGCGCGGCGCGGCTGGCGGACTTCGGGAAGGACAACTACGCCGGGCAGTTCTTCTATGGCGTTCCCGAGGACGAGCACCCGGTCTCGATCGCGTGGGCGAGCAACTGGCAGTACACGGGCAACGTACCGACGGGGAAGGAGGGCTGGCGCAGCGCCATGACGGTCCCGAGGCGGCACTACCTGACGCAGGCGCCGCGCATCGGCTGGGACTTGGTCCAGGTCCCCGCTGACCTCTCGCCCGTCCTCGGCGCTCAGCTCGGCTCGAACGACGCGCTGGCGAATGCGAGCCTGACGGTCGACTTCGCCGACGTGAAGAGCAACGCGGTGGTGCTCGAGGTCAACGTGACGGGCTCGGCGTTCGACAACAGCTGGGTGAAGTTCGCCTTCCGCTCGGCCTCATCCGGCGAAGCGCTGCTCGGCGGTTGCCTCTTCGGCGGCGTCGACATCACCTGCTACGTCGACCGCGGGAAGACGCTCGGATTTGAGGACCCCTTCTTCACCGACAAAATTTCGCTGGGGCAGATCATCAAGCCTTCCGGGGAGTGGACCGCGACCGTCATCTTCGACAGGAGTATCATTGAGGTCCTGCTCGATGGTGGCCTTTACAGCGGGACGCAGACGTTCTTCCCGACCGAGCCTCTGACGATCCTCGAGGTCAACTCGAGCAGCATGCCGGAGACTGCACAGGTGGCCGCTCGTGTCACGGCGTTGAAGAGTGGTTGGGACGACGAAGCGGCAGAGGGGAAAACGCAGGAGAATGTAGCAGTGAACGATGAATTGTAGCAGTAATTAACCAAGATTATCACCAAATGAAGCTATGGCTTTCATACTTCGTCAATGTGGGTCCATGGATGATGCCGATTGCCTTCGTTTCTCCATCCAGCAGTTCCCTTCACCGGTCACTCGGTCCGCAAGGCGCAGCGCACCTTCCATTCAATTGTCACGACACTCGCGAAGGTCGTGTGAGGCCAAGAAATAGGCCTTATCGCTTCATGTCCGCGACCGCCATGTCGGCCAGGACAATAATTTGGCTGGTCTTCGCGGCTCTTGCTCAGGTTGTGCATTCAGAGGGGCTGGCGTACGGGGAAGACCAGCAACCTTTGGTGTCTACCCCGCAGACTCGTGCTTCGGTTTTGTACCACCTGCAGCCGGGTGCAGATGGATTTGCAGTGCATAAGATAGCAGATGTGCTTGAGGTGTGTAGACAGGACGATGCAGGCTACCTTCCCTGACGGTCAGTAGCACGCGAACCTGGACGTATGGCACCTTTCCCCCGAGCGCGGCGCGTATGTCTACGTCCGGGATGCAGGAGAGGAGCGCACGATGGAGAAGATACTGGACCGCGTCAACAGCGCTGCAGTCGAGAGGACACCCATCTCTGCGCCACCTCCCCCGCCCGCCGATCATGCTTACCCCGCAAGCGCCTTCCCCTGGAACACCTCCCTTTCCCACCTCCCCAACAGCACGTACCATAACACATATCACTCATACCTCGAGCTTCATGACATGCTCTATGCCTTGCACGATGCCTACCCCGATGTGGTCACCATCGTCGAATACGGACGCAGCAGCGAAGGAAGACCACTTCTCGGAGCCGTCATCCAAGACGAGGAAGTCCCTTCGGATGAGGAGAAGCTGCTTAGTTTCTCTCATGCGCACTCGGGTGGTAGGAAAGGGGAGGCGGATACCAAGCTGGCCTTCGTCATCAGTGGCGCGCAGCATTCGCGAGAGGTGCGTTCTTCCCTGTATTCCTCGCGCGTCAATACTGAACCAACCCCTCGAAGTGGATTGCTACATCTACTGCAAGCTATCTCGCGCATGCCCTTTCCTCAAATACCAGTGAACCTGGAAGTCTGCGCAGCCTGCTCAAGCATTTCGTGAGTCCTATTGCTACTGCATCCGTGCGCACGTTCCTGACTGGCTGCAGGACTTCCACATCATACCCACACCAAATCCAGACGGCTATGTATATACGTGGGAGCACGACCGCTTCTGGCACAAGAACCGCCAGCCTCTCGGTCTCGGGGTGGAATGTACTGGCATCGACTTGAACAGGTAAGGCGAATCGACCAGCCCCCTCATCTATCCTGTAACTTGACGACTCTACAGGAACTGGGGCTACAAATGGCGGCCAGTCACCTATGGCGACGTCGACCTGTCTTCCTCCGACGACAATTCATGGCAAGGCGAGGCGGACCTGAAGAAGAAGCACAAGAAGCCGAAGCCAACACCGAACCCGTGCTCTGCCTCTTTCCCCGGCTCTCGACCTTTCCAGGCCCCCGAAGTGAATGCGCTGGCGAACTACGTGACTGCGATTGGGAGCGGTGTTGGGGGCGCGCCTGGCCGCGAGGTACGCGTCGACCGTTGAGTTTGTCCGGAGGCGTCTCACAGGTCGTTCAGATCGGTGTCTATATCGACCTGCGGAGCTTTGGGCAGATGTGTGCGTACCTATCCATCTGCGCGTCCGTATACTCGTCTGATGCTACTGTAGTGTCTACGCCTTACTCCTTTTCTTGCCAGCGCATGCCGCGCGACAATGAGGACCAACTCGAGGCCGCGATGGGCGCGGTCAAACGCATGAAGGCCGCGCACGGTATGGGGTACAAGACCGGACGCCTTTGCGAGCTATTGTACAAGTAAGCGGCTTCCCTGCGCTCAGTTTCCGTCTTCTCTAACGCTTCACAACCTTTCAGCGCCGGCGGCAATATCATGGACTACATGTACAAGCGCGAGAGCATCAAGTACTCCTACTCGTTGCATCTCAGGGATACCGGGACAGTAAGTTGCCTCGGTCTATCGACCTTCAGACTCTCATCCTTGTCACAGTACGGCTTCCTGATTCCTCCCGAATGGATTCGCCCAGTCGGCGAGGAGACGGCGCAACTGGTCACCTACCTGGCCCATTTTGTGGCACGGCAGCGGCAGTTGCCGGATGCGCCATGAAGGAGTTACCGAACGCGCCGTGAAAGCAGTTGGCGAACGCGGCATGAAGGGCAAATCTCGACATGTGTAGATGTTGGAGGTGTTCTGCATTTTTCCTGGGCTCGCTATCCTGGCGTCTAAGGGTATTAGCTGATCTCCCTGTGTACTTCTAGATTTTGACTCGAAACGAGGCTTTGATTTACCCGTCGCGGAAGGTGCCGTGCTGAGAGCATCCCAAGCATGGGGTAAATCACTCCCATCGCACATGCAATGTAGCTCCCTACGAGCCGTCAATAGTGCGCTATCTTTGTCAGATTGATGGTGTTCGGTACCCTGTCATGACCTGACATCCACTTCCCCCGCCTCGCTTCCGATCTCACGAACATGGACCCGCACCCACGCCTGGTGGCAAACTATGCCTCTGGCATTTGCCTCTTGTCTCCGACGCTGTCAAGACGATGCATCTACTCCAATTGCTTTTCCTACCCACAGTGCTCGTCGCCGCGACTCAGCTCGACACATCTTACCCAGTCATCGTTCAAGTCAATCAGACGACAGTTCGCGGACAGTACAATGCCAGTCTAGGCGTGGAGACCTTCCTCGGCGTCCCTTATGCGACATCTGAACGCTTCAGGCGCTCAACCCCAGTGGACTACACGAATAATGATACGGTCGATGCGAGCAGATTCGGAGTTGCCTGCCCTCAGCTTCCTAGCTCAGTGAGTCGGTCCTTTCTGTACATCAGCTCCAACGCTCACTACTATCCAGGGTCCTCTGGGCGTTGATTTTGGAGGTAGGATTTGGTCAGCCCTTTATAACTTGCTGCGCTTCTCATACATCCTATCGACAGTCTACGGCATAGCAGAGGACTGCACGACGCTGAACATCTTCCGACCACAAGGAACCGCTGCGAATGCATCGCTTCCCGTCATGGTGTGGGTACACGGAGGGCAGCTGACTGTAGGTGCTGCTTCGCACTATCCTGGTCACGAGATGGTCAAGTTCTCTGCGTCTATCGTGAGTTTCTATCCACGTCAGGCTTCATGCTCTACAGTATACTGACCATCGTTGTGCAGGGTATGCCCCTCATACAGATCGGCATCAATTACAGGCTTGCTGTGTGGGGCTTTCTGTGAGCTTTGCGGGCCCTTGAATGACATAGTAGGGCATTGTGTGACCTGCTTCAGCGGAGGAATAACAGCCTCCGAGAAGGGCGCGCAAAACCTGGGGCTGTACGACCAGCGCGAGGCGTAAGCTATAACTACCTTCCTTGAGAAATGCCACCAAGTCACTAATGCGATTGTATTTAGCCTTCGATGGGTTCAGAGCTGGATAGATCGCTTCGGTGGTGATCCGACCAAGGTCACCGTCTTCGGGCAGTCCTCTGGCGCGTACGTGAAGTCCACTAGCACAGGAGCTCTCTTCCGACGCAATTATGCGACTTTCGCAGGATCTCCCTCTCTTACCATGCGCTCAATGTATCTACGGACCTCTTTCGTGGGGCGGTGAGGGTCTTTGTTCACATCTTACAGTTGACGCTCAAATTACCTGCCAGATCTTCGAGTCCGGCTCGACGACCTCTGTCTCCGTCGTCGACGCACCCTACTACGACACCGTCTACGATGGGACGGTCAGGCTTTCCGGCTGTAGCTCAGCATCCGACGCTTTCGAGTGCATGCGCACGGCGGATTACGAGGTTCTATACAACGCCTCCGTGGCGCTCGCGGCAGACAAAGAGACTTACGGGACCCGGGTACGACCTGACGATTATTTCCCCTCCCTATCCCACAGATCTGTTGATTCCCTTGCAGGTATGGGGTGTCACCATAGACGGCGAAATCATTCCAGACGCGCCTTCGAAGTTGACGGATGAGGGCAAGATGTGCGTACACAATTCCTGAGTTCGTCACCCCAGAGACACTGACTTTACTTGACAGCGCACCCATCCCCTTCATCCAAGGCGACGTCCGCGACGAGGGCACTACCTTTGTCTATCCCAACACCATCGATAACACCACCGCGCTATGGGATTTCCTGCAGCAGAACTATCACAACTTCAACGTCTCCCTCTTTACGAACGACACCTCCAAGGCGCAGTTGGAGACGCTGTACCCCGACAACCCGGCACTAGGGTCGCCGTATGACACAGGAAACGAGACGTTCTTCGGGGCCCAATTCAAGCGTGCGGCGTCGTTGTACGGAGGTACGTCAAGTCCATATGCTGAATACATCAGAGGATTCATATTGGCTAGACATACATTTCCAAGCGCCGCGCAGAAGATATATAGAGGCCGCGCACGAGCAAGGAATTCCGGCTTGGTCATATCTTTGGTCCCAGCAGCCTCCGGGCGCAGAGGAGTGGGAGGGCGGTATGTGCGCTATTCTCCTGTCAGAATTTTATTGAAGCATAGCAGTATTTCATACCTCAGAGATCCAGTATGTCTTCCTCAACGACGGACCTGTGAAACAAAGAGACTTCGCATTACAGGTGCAGACGGCGGCCTATTGGTGCATCAACTGCGTTGCTGAGGCATACACCAACTGACCATAACGGTATAGGATCTCCTTCGCCTACAATCTGGATCCCACCCACCCTGGGTACGCTCCTTGGCCGCAGTATGGCTTCGAGAAGAATACGATGAACTTCACCGCCGCTGGCTCTTCGGTTGTGAAGGACAACTACCGTGAAGAACAGATAGGGTACGTCCGAGAAGCTACTTGCCTCAGTGGTCGACGCTCATGACTGGCCTCTTGCAGCTATCTATTGTCCATCGCTAACCAGCTCGTACCTGGCCGAATTGATCCTCAACAAAATTGAGCTTGACCACTCATACCTTTCACGTCGCGCAATGCACATGTTTGCTTAGGTCCAGTGATCCGTTCGTCCTTGATGCGCTGCAATGAATAAGCCCTGCGCCTTCGAACTTTAGTCGAGCATCGAGTGATTATCAGCATAACATTCCGGCCACCAATCACAAAAAAATCGTCAACGTATCTACAAGGGTCCATGCGAAGCCAGTCGTCACGGTTCGTGAGGGGTAGCAGGCCGGAAGAAGCAGACGAGGGGAGGAATTTAGGTCGAGGGGAGAAAGTTAGGTCGAGGGAGTAAGTTAGGTTGCAAGTATCTACGTGATGTCGATGAGACGATACGACTAATCATGAAGGAGGAAATGCATAAAAATACAGGGAAGCGTCCCACATGTGTGCCGACCAGGTAAAGAGATGAGACGCAAGAGGATACGAAGATGAGGACGAGAGGATGCGAGAGGTGCGAGGAGGAGGAGGAGGAGGAGGAGGAGGAGGAGGAGGAGTAAAAAAGCACCAAAGCTTCATCGAAAGCGTAACTGGCATGACACAACATGAGTAAACACATCCCAACACGAACCAGCGTCCAGCGCTGCGAGCAGACATACCAAAGCCCCATCTTGCCGTCCGCCGTCGCCCTTAGAAGATCCCCCGCTTCTTACTCAGCACGCGCTTCTTCGGCGGAGGCGCGGGCTCCGGCACCTTCGCCGCCCTCCCAAAGCCAAGGTCCACACTCACGGGCGGCAAGCTCTCGTGCCTCGGCGGCGGCGCGCTGCCCTTCTTCCTCAGCTTCCTGTCGTCCTCAAATAGTCGCGACGACTGGCTGCGGGCGATGGGTGCAGCCACTGGGGGCGCAGGTTGCACTGAGGGTGGCGCTCGCTGCATCGAGGGTGGCGCGGGCTGCATCGACGGCGGCCCGAGTTGCCTGAGGTGCTGATGCTGCATGTGGCTGCGCGCGGGAGGCGGGCCTTGACTGGACGCTGGCAAGTGTCGCGGGGGCACAAAGCGCGCTTGCTGGATGGATGCGGTGCGCGGGGGTGGATGCACGCTGCCGGGCGGGCCCCCACCGCTGAGCGGCGAGGGCATGACGAGGCGTTGCGGGACGTGCGAGGGACGCGGGCGGCCAGACATGCCGGACGAGGAAGTCGACACCGAGGGCGCGTACTGGCTCGGTTGTTGCATACCCCAGGGCTCTGATACTCGCCGATCTCTGCGTTCCGGCATAGGCATAGCCGAAGGCGGAGGTCCATGCGCCATGGGTACCCTCTCCCTGCTTGCATTTGGGTACTGCGTGAAGCCATTGACCGGGCGCCCAGGTGGAGGAGGCCGCATGAAGCCTGACGCTGTTGGCTGAGGAGGCGGATAGTACTGCTGGGCAGCGCGTGGATCCCCTGTAACCGTCGCTGCTCGTTGCATATGCTGAGCGCCTGGTTCCGGTACTCGCTGCTCGAAGAGACCATGGTTGACACCAACGCGTCTGGGTTGCTGGGCGGGCGGCGGCCCAGCTTGTACCATCGGACTGCTGGGCTGCTCGCTCCACCGGCGCGGCTGGGCCTGCTGTATCCGTTGCGCGCCTCCGCCAGGCATAAGCGACGCTGGTATAGCAGGCGGCGTATCCTCCATTCCGCCATACGCATCCTCCTCGTCCCCGTACTCCGAAGGCTCCGACTCTTGTTGCTCTCGCTCAGGCACTGTGAGATGCCCGGTCTTCTCAGGTCGTGAAGGACCGGCAGGTGGGAACATCTCGTCGTAGGCTGGCGGGGGAGCATTAGGCGAAGGGTTGCGAACAGTCTTGGGCGCCCGCGCTGGCGGTGGCGGGGTGCGCGAGCTCGTCGGAGGAGTACGTGAGGGGCCAGGCGGCGTACGTGAAGGTCCTGGTACAGGAGGCATGCTGGATGAAGATTGGGTCGGGGTCGTCGAAGTCGAGCTCGCCGTCGCTGAGACACTACGAGACGTCGGAGTCGGCGGCGATCGCGAGGGCATTGGCGCTGTGTTTGCGTGCGGCATGGGAGGCATGGGTGGTGGTGGTGTACGAGAGGGCAGGCGCTCACGCCCGACGTTGGCAGGAGTCGATGGTGGACGCGGAATTGGGGTTGATGAAGGCGGGCCCATCGCACTGGGGAGCTTCGGCGCCGAGGGCATACGAGGTATTTGCCTCGGAGCAGGGGCAGCGAGCGAGGGACCCGCTACTTCTGGCCTGCTGGGTCTGCGAGCCATGGGAGGATTCCATGTCGGTGGTTGCTCGCTTCCCCTGCGCTTGTGTGGCTGTCCACTGCCCGTTGGAGGCAGGTCAATCCCTGCAGCCCTTTGGAGTGCAGTAGTGGGGGGAAGCCCCGGCTGATGGAGCGCGTGGGTAGCCAGAGCGTAGGGGTCGTCCCGATGCAGACCAGTCGCCTCCTTCTGCCCCGGCGCCGAAGCACTCGATGGAAAGAAGTTGGCGCGAGGTGGCGGCTTCGCAGGCATGTCGATGTTAGAGGGCGTAACATTCGAATGGTACGGCGCATAGGGATGGAAGTTATGTGGTAACACCTGCCCTGGAGACAGGTTTAGCGACGCGCCGAAGGGTACAGCATTCCCCTATACCAGAATCAGCGAAGAAGTCCAAGAGTACGCATGCAACACGCACGTTTGAGGGCGGAGACGAGGCCTTCTTCACAGCTTTCCTGATTGCGTCGTATGGTCCCCCGTTATGCAGGTTGACGCCGAACATGTTCGACTCGTCCAGCTCATCGATGCTATCCAAGGCTTTTGGCTTTGGTGGTGCAGGTGCTGTGGTCGATCTAGGGGGAGCGGAGGGGCGAGTGTTGCTGGTATCAGCGCGAGGAGGACTGCGTCGCTCTCTGGAGGGCATATTGGGCTGAGAAGCGGTCTGACCAGGCCGAGATGGGTGTACGGTGACAAGAGGGATATCCGCAGATCGAGACGGTTGCTTCAGAGCCGCAGACGACGAATCGTGGCAGTCAGCAGACGTGGGAGGCGTGACGGTCTCTGCAGAACTTCTCGAGTCGGCGGACTCGCCGGATGAATTCTCCTCAGCTGACTTGCGTGGCGACGGTGCGGGTGCGGGCCCGTGGGAGTGCGGCTTGCGGACGACGACGAAGGAGGATGTGGAGGTGGAGGAGTCTGTCCGGCCGTGCGCTGCATACGGGTTGTCCGCCGGCGATGACGAGAATGCGGGATCGTTTAGCTGCTCCGGCGAAAGACTGAGGGCGCGCGGTGGGGGTCGAGCGGGAGGCGGGGCCGCCGAGGAACGGTGCTTGAAGAGCTTGAGCATGCGAGGAAACGAAAGAGAAAAAGGAGAGAGCGAGACGGCGAGGACCGAGGCGGCGATTACGACGTTGAAATTAGAGTCAAAGTACAAGTGTCGAGGGCAATGCAGCTCCGTCCGCCGGCTGTGACGGAGGGACAATAGCGGCTCGTCGACCACGTGCGCGCGGAGACAAGGGACCGAGGGCCCAGATTCTTGTCAAGTACGCAATCAATGACGACGTCAATGGACCCACAACAGCAAGTGTTGCCTTATTCGGTAAAAAGCCATCTTACAACCGCAATCGAAGGCGCTGAGGAGACCATGAAGTATGCGGACAACAACGAACGTGCTTTTTCAGAGGCCACGATACATGCTACGGTAGATTATAGAGTCCTAGATAGTTCGCACAACGAGTCCATGCATACTCAGAGGCTGATGGGCGTGCAGCCGACGTTGACGAGACCGTTCTGCAAAGAAGGACAGTAAGCAAAACGCTAAGTGGCTCTATAGATGGCGAACCTGAGTAACATGGTCGCAGCAGACAGTCTGAGCGGTGCAGCTGTTGCCGGTGAGAACGCCGACGACGCTGATGGGCGAGCAGTTCAAGCCGCTGAAAGAAATTGAGCAACCTTCCACGGCAAAATCACAGAGAACCTACACAAGGCCAGTGATCGGGCCGACGACGACACCGAGGAGACCACCGAGGAGACCCTGCTTTTGCGCGTTCGCGACCTATATGACGAGTCAGAGGCAGCGTCTGAAAGTAAGAAGGGCAGTACTGACGGTGGTCGTCTCGTTGCAGCACTGGACGGGGCCAGAGTTGCACGCCTGGCCGGCGCCCTTGCCACCGCCGGGAACGGCAGCCGCAGCCGCGAGAGCAGGGAGAGCAAGCAGAGCGAGCGAGAAACGCATTGTGAAGAGTATGAGTGAGAAGCGGGGTGAAGAGCAAAGACGCTGCTGGTAGGAGATGCGAATGAAGCTGCTGAGGCTTGCTGAGGAAAAACTGCTGCCTCTGCCCACCTTATATACCTCTCCGGGCGCCCCATTTTCGAACTCCGTCACCCCTTCTTGCTCCGTCCCCTAGACCTTCTCGTCACCGTCATCGGGTGTTTGGTGAGTTGCTTGCCTTCCTCAAACGAATATTCTTGTCGCTCAACCCCCAATATCGCCGCGCGGCAGGCACAGAATGTCCCCGTCTTCATATTAGACGGCTTGACGGAAGCGAACACGACGTTAGACCACGCACTGCTTGAGGATAACCGACTGCTCATCATGGTCAACTCCACGGCTGGGGCTCGTTGGCCGTGTGCACGAGGAGGAATGGTACACGATGAATTTGGCCTGCGCGCGCTCCCATCGTCCAAAAGCTGGTCAGACGAGCATCTCCTCAGCCCAAGGAACGACATTTTCCGCGACCCGAGCGGCGCACCTTTCGTAATATCCTCCGCATTCCTGCGCGGTACCTTGGGCTGGACTCAATTACTTGCCTGCCTACCGAATTATTACCCTGCCTAGCGAATTAAGTTGCCGCCACTAGGGCAGGCAAGTTGCCGTCACTAAAGCAGAAAAGTTCACCGTCCGCGCCTGTGCTTTACGTGTTCCATTAGCACCCTGTTCGCCGGTTTTGAACTCTTCGCCGGTCTTGAACGACATCTCGCCGGTCGTGAACGCCTAACCCATTCATTCCTGCTCGGCTGTAGCGCGCTACATCCGTCCTCCCCACTCCACCCGACCCATTGACCAGTGTAGGCCGCTGAACGCTGTGCTCCGGCGGATGCCATTACCCAGGCTGGAGAGCGGGGAACGGTACGAGCACGGCGTTCGACGGTCTGGACCTGCGCCGCGCGCGTTGTTAGCACGTATCGGGGGGACCTGGGGGCTTGTTAGCTCATACCGGCGAGCCTGGGACGGCCAACTTAGCCTTGGTTGGACGCGGATGTTGCGCGGAAGTTTCCACCGTCACTCTATACTTTTTTCGGGGTGCGGCGAGCTAGAGGTTGCCGCACATGGTGCGAGGCTATCCTGTAGTCGGGTATGGTGCGAGGCTAATGAGCAGGATGAGGGTTACCCGCAAATCATCGAACACGGAGATAGAGAACATACCTTCTGTCTGCCTGCTATGGCGTTCATCTCGTCGACCGCAAGTCATAGCGGACTTTCGTCAGAGGTAGGAATGCAGACGAGAGACATATATGAAGCTGTCAGAGACAGGTGACGCTGCCAAGACCGCATACAAAGCGGAAAACTTCCATGGTCCAACAACTACCCGGCAGACGATAAAATCGGACGAACGGTTGCCCAGGCGCGCCACAAATGGAAGCCGCTGCCACCCGCTATACCGCTGCGATTCGGGAATAGAGGAGACCGCGATTCGGGATGGAGGAGGCCCTTCGTGTCAGCGGGTGCCGGTGGGCGTCAATGGGGGCAATGGATGTCAGGGAAAAGGTTACTGGACAGAGATGATGACGAAGAATGTTCTCGGTCATCTCTTGGGAGGTACGGGTGGCAAGTAATGTTGCCACAATATGGCAGTAAAGGCCCATGTTGTTGGCCCTCGACGCAACCTTTGGCGTCAAGGCTCCATTGTTTTACGGGTTGGCGTCAGGACGGAAAGCTAGCGGGGCCGCCAGAGCCCAACTTCGCGGCAAGACACAGGGCTTAGCGTTGGGGACGGCGATAGCTTAGCACGTTGATCAATAAGGACATCATCAATCAAGGTGCTAGCATTCGTTGTAGTCAGTTGGACACCAGCAAGAGTTCATGAACAGAGCAATGGAGACGTACCCATGTGCACGGCGGCCATGTACTGGCTGTACAATGTATGCCGGTTTTCCAGCTGGAACTTTCGCGAGGGAGCAGTGTCGAGGACAGAAATACTCGCATAGCCTTCACCACCACCACCACCTACGCCAGTACGTCAGCCTACGGCATCATACGAGTGGGGGACCTCACCTCCGACCACAAAGGTTCACGACCGCCAGGCCTACGGTGAGCAAAGACAGGGCCATTCCAAAAGAAACCCACCTACCGCCACCAAGGCCCAGACTTGACGCGTGACGCGCGCGGCAAAAGTCGAGGAAGGTCAACACCAAGTCAACATCATCGAAGGAGAACTGAGTTACAAAAAGCAAAGCAAGGAATTGCATACGACTCCAGAGTCTAGCTACCTATGTAGTTGTGAGAGGGACATGAAGGGCATGTTGGTCCAGGTGAGGAACTTGTTTTCTAAAAAGCCAGCCGAAGACCAAGTCAATGGTCCACAGCGACTATCTAATGAATGCAATGAGATAGCGAAAGAAAAGACGAAGAAAAAGCCCATGAAGATGTTCGTATGTATATGCGCATTGTTGGATTGTCATTGGACGAGAGAGCCATGTCATAACGGAGTGTACAGTGTTAGATATCTGCGTACTTGAGAGGGAGAAAATGCCTGGTTGGATGCGATGAAAGCGAATAGTAGATAGTTGATATGAGCGAGGGCGACGGGAGCACCGCCTGACCTGGAGAGATTCCGCATACTAAGTCCCTTGTCCTGATTCGATTCTGCGTAGCCGTCCGCCCTCGTCCTACGTGCGACGAATGGTGGGCACGGTACGCTTGGAAGCGGGCATCGGCAGCCCGCTCGAGCGTCCAACCGCCGGGATCCTAGAAGACGGGGCAGGTAGCTTGGACGACACCGCCCGTGGCACCCCAGGACGCGTGATGGGGTCCTTCGCGGGCACCGGCGCAGGAGCGGAGGACACGCGCGGTACGGGACGCGCATGAACAGATGCCTCAGCACGGGCCACTGGGCGAAGAGGGGCGGACTCCATCCGCGAGGTAGGCCGCATAGGTGCCTCCGCGGGCGTGCTCGCAGCGGGTACCTTGATGCGCTTGGGGCCGGACCCACCAAGCCTGAGCGTAGGCACCGGTGGGGCAGGCGCGTCGCTGGTAAGCAGCCTGCGGGGACCAGAAGCCTGCGCATTGGAGACGGAAGACCTACGCGGCGGCTTGGAGGTAGCTGGGGCCGCTGACGCGTCCTTGACCGCCACTGCAGCTTCCTCCTTCGTGGAGGACAGCGAAGAAACCGTGCTGGAGCGTGGCTCCTTCCTGGTACGCTTCACGATACGCAGGGCCGGGACGAGAGCGGGTGGTGCCATAGATGTGCGACGACCACCAGGAATCTGCGGCGTGGCTACAGCGGGCTTTGCGACAGGGCGAGATGCAGTAGCTGGGGCCGTAAAAACCGGCGCACGGACAGTTGCAGTCGAGACTGGGTCTATTCCCCTCGGTCAGCATGGAACAAAGAGGGCATATGTACACGCATACCTGGCGAAGGCGCACGCGACACTGCAAGTGAAGGCGCCTCAGTTGCTGGCGATTCACTAGGTGATGCGGGGGCATCGTCGAGAAGCACAGGCGGCGCGGAGTCCGGATGAGTCGTCGGTGCCGCAGGAGGCGAAGGTGACGTAGGAGTGGCAGGAACCTCATCAACTGCTTCTTGACACCAGTTCAGTTGCAAGTTTCTTAGCAAGCAAAGCCGTCATACCTGTGATCTTGGGCGACGCGCGGGGAGTCGACTTCGAAGAGGACGAGCTGGACGGAGATGGGATGGGAGGCGGTACTACTGCATCGAATTTGAGCGGACATGTAACTCAACAGAAGGAGCACGCACCATTCTCATCATCCTCCAGAGACTCGTCTAAGTCGGCCAGAAACGACTCGCCCTTACTCGTGTTGTGCAAGAAGGATATCTTGTCATTCATCAAGTCGAAGCTTGCGTCCGTCGACTCGAAGTGAAGCTGGAAGGACGACTGAAGGTCGAGAGACATGCGGTTGGAGGTGTTCGACGCGAAGGAATCTCGAGGGTTGGGACGGAGGTTTGGCGACGGCCGCAGCGCAGGTTGCGGCGATGCGGGCTTCGGCTCCGGAACGTCGTTCTCGTTCTCCTCGACATCCGCCTCGTCACCGTTGTCCGACTCGCTGTCTGCAGCAGAGACTTTGATCTCAGGGCCGAGCTTGGGCGAAGGCATAGGGCTGCCTAGGGCAGGCGAAGCCGGCTCCTGCGAGGCAAAGGTACGGCCAGAGGCGTTCACTCTGTCGATCACGGAAGACAATGGTGACTTGGCAAAGGCCTGCGGCGTGCGCGGAGAGAAGTCCAGGACTTCACGCTTGAAGATCTTGCTTCGGAAGACGGGGGTCTCCTGCTCGAGCTGGAGCTCGCCGAGTGGAGTGCGCGGTGTGGACGGACCAGAACGGAGGCGAGGCTCCACCGGTGGCTGAGGCTGTTCGGTCTCGGATTCAGCGCCTTCCTCATCGTCCTCTGGCATGGTCATGGTGAGGAGATGCTGGTCTTCTTCATCCGAATCGTAATCCTGCACATGGACCTGCGAGAGGTCCAGCGTCACGTCTCCAACATCCACGAGGCGAGTCTTGAGCTGCCTGGGCTGAGTTGGGCTGCAGTGCGGCAGCTTGTACGTGCGCCCAAAGATGGCGGTCATGCCGAGGTCCGCGTTTGGCGGCTGCGAGTTCTCCTTGTCCGAGTCGGACGAGCTGCCGTCGCGAGGCGGCGTCGACGGCCGCGCGAGCGGATCGAACATCTCGAGAATGCTCGGGCGCGGGCGGTTCGACATCGTGTTCGTAAGTTCGTGAGAGAGAGCAGGCAACGATAAGCAACAAAGCGGCGAGATGAACGTGGGCGTCGATGGTCAAGAGAGAAATCGTTCCGGTGGCACGTGTGCCGGCAGTGACAGTGACGATGGGGTGACCGGCCGCGAACGTGACATGCCGCATGACCGTGTCGGCAATCAATAAACAAGTCCGTTCTCCTCCAACCGCGTCGTTCGCGATGGCAGACGTAGCCGCAGTCAGAGCAGAGATCAAGGCATGGGAGCGCGCATTCAAGCAGAACAATGGACGCCACCCGACTGTCGATGATATTCGCAGTCAACCCTCTGTTGGTGCGTGATACTTCGTGTCGCTAGGCTCGGTCACTGAACGCGTCGCAGCGGAGAAATACAAGCTGTACAAGGCGTTGACGAAGGGTTCCTCTACCAAGGCATCCCAGTCCAGCGCAAAGAACACTCCTACCACCCCGCCTCGCGCGAAGTCCAAGTCCACCTCTGCAACCATGCTTGCATCGACTTCTCGTGCCGCGGAGAGTACGGCACCATTACCCGCTTTCAACCCCTTCTCGCCGCAGAAAAAGAAGTCTACGAAGCCGCAAGCATCTCGAACAAGCAATCCTTCGCGTACGAACTTGTTTGCTTCCCCGGTGAAAGGGAAGGCAGCGAAGACAGCTTCGTCGCAGCGATTTCTCTCTCCAGATCCATTCCCTGAGATTGCACCCTCGATAAACTCGATACGAGCACCCCTTCTATCTCAGCAACTCACTCCCGAGACCTCGACCGCCGTATCTCGAGCGCGGAAGCGCCTCCGGGGTGACCCTGTGTCGCCGTCCCCGGACAAGCGCAGACGTCTGACAACGACGCCAATGCTTGCCCGGTCACGGCCCGGCGACAGCGACGACGAAGACGATCCCATGAGCGGCGACGCGTCTTTCGTGGACGACTCCCCCATGAAGGCCCCTGCCGGCTTCATGAAGCTCTTCGACGAGCAGAACGGCGGAAAGGGCGAGCTCAGGCGTACCTCTTCCTTCGCGCTCTTCGGGGCTGCAATGAAGAAGGGTGCCACCGACTCCGAGGACGAGATGGATACGTCAGCCGACGGTCATGTCCCGCCGCCAAAGCTTCGTTCTGCGCCCAAGTTGGCTGCGAAGAAGTTCACGAACGGCCATGCAAAGACGTTCGGCAATCCCATGCACCTGGCCAAGGACAACCTGTTTGCAGAATCAGGACCTGGCGACGACAAGCCTGCTGCCCCGAGTAAACCTTCGCGGGCTCAGAAGAGATCGTCGTCGCGCGCAGTGGAACAGGTCGCAGCATCACAGCCTCCGCCTACCGCTACGCACGCGGAGACGATACTCATCCCACCATCCCCGCCTCCCGCCGACTCACATCGCAAATCATCGTATATGAACGCCAAGGGCAAGGCCGCTGCCAAGTCAGCTAGCCGGAAGAAGGCGAAGGTCGACGATGAAGACGGGTCCACCTCCGATGCAGAAGACGAGGTCGTGGTGAAGGTCTTCAACCGGCACCCTACACACGCCCCGCACGAGGACGATGATGATTTCGACGGGTTTGATCCGGCTTTGCTGCACACGAAGCGCAGGGGCGCCTCACCTCGCGCCTTCGACATGGATGACAACGGGCAGGTGGCGGAGGAGACGCTGGAGGTGAACCTGCCAGAAGACTTGCGGCGGATCCTCGATATCGCACCGGAGGAGCGCACAGCACGGGAGGAGCGCCGCCTGGCAGAGGGGCTGGTGTACGGCAGGCGCGTCGGTCATTACGACCCCAAGGCAGGCGAGATTTGGGATGTGGGGGAGGATGAAGGGACCGGGGATCGGGCTGATACGGAGGAGGAAGACTGGGAGGAAGGGGAAGGTGTTCCATGGGCTGCAGGAGAGTTGTAGCGATATGAACGATTTCATGATAATTCCCTTGTCTGATACTCGGTGGCTTTCATTCTCGGCGAACACAAGACCTTCAAGAATTGCCGAACCGAGATCCTGGGAACATTGCAAGTATCTCCGCCAATTGCTTTGCCTCCGAACAACGCGTGGCGAAGTTGAACATGCACCGCGTGACCCCGGCGGCACCGGCTGGCCATCCCAATGAGGCATGCCTTGTTCTGAACTCTCATCCTGGACTCCGCCAACAAACAGTGCTTTCTGCGACACACAGACCCATCTCGCCAGCTCGCGATCGTCGCTATGAATCACTCGTGAAATCAGAGTTGCCACCACGATAATCACGTTCGAAAACGGTGCCTCGAGGCAAACGCATGTCCCCTCCTTCATAAGACACCAACCGCATACATATACAGATATCCATCTTCCTCGGCATACCAAACGCCCTGCGCACGGCACGTAAACGCCCCGCCGAAGTCTGTCATCTGAGGCGGCACCCAGCCAGGCGCCGGGACGCAGCTGCCCACTTTCTCCCCCATATCTCCTCTCCGCTTGTCTCATCTCCTGCAGGGTGCGGCGTGTAGAACACCCCGCGGCGTCAGTATATATCGATTCTCCGCGGTTCTGCGAACATGTCACTCCTAGGGAAGCTGCCGTTTCCCTTCAGCCACTCGTCGTCCTCTTCAGCCGACGCACCGGGACCGTCTGCGACGCCCGAACGCCGCCCGTCGAGACTGCACCAGCGCCTGTCGAGCATAGGAAGCATCGGAAAGAAGTCTTTAAGACGCAGGAAGAAATCCTTGTCGTCTTCAGAGGCCTCCTCTTCATATCACCCGTACGCCGTCTATTACCAGAACATGCTGCCACTTCTCCGCGATCCTGCCGTTTTGAAGACGGTGCTCGAGTCCATCCTCGAGATGCCGGGAGGGAAGCGTATGCTGTCGCGCATGGCGCGAACCTGTCGTGCGCTCTCGGACCCCGTCCTCAACATGTTGTGGAAGGAGCTTGACTCCCTGATCCCGCTGCTCGGCCTTTTCCCGGGGTCGGTCCTGAAGAAGGCCCGCAAGCCTGGCTTGGGCATGGTGAGTGGCAGAAAAAATGTTGACTCGAACCAATGCTGACTTTTCTGGTAGCAACGCGCCCCGCAGCCCGAAGAGTGGAAGAAGGTGCTCAAGTACGGCGAGCGTGTGCGTCGCCTCACCTACATCGAGAGCGCCGGGAACGTCAGCCCAAACGTATTCCCCATCATCGAGCAGCATCGCCCGCGCACGTACATCCTCCCGAACCTGCTCACGCTCGTCTGGCGCGTCGAGACGCCCGCCGGCCTCGACCGCGCCGCGCTCTTCCTCAACCCGGAGCTCATGCATATGACGCTCGAGGTCGGCACGCGTGTCCCGCAGCTGGACGCGTTCCTCGCGGACCTGTCCCGCCGCACGAAGCTGCTCTCGTTCTCGTTCACCTCGGCGACGCCGCTGCCGGACAAGTTCACCGAGCTGCTCGCGCCGCAGGACGCGTTGGAGCGTGTGATGCTGTCGGCACCGGGGGCGCTGTCGGCAGACGTTGGTCGGTGGGCGAGTACGCTGCAGCACCTGCAAAGCCTGCGCCTCGATCTGTCGGAGCGCACGCAGGCTGCAGCGGAGGGCTTCTTCGACGAGGTCCCGCGCTCGGGCGTATCGACGCCCGCATCGGCGCATACGGACTCCGGTGTCTTCTCTGACGATGAGCGCGACACCAAGGACCTGAGGAAGGACTCCGCTCGGCTGACGGCGCACGCACGACCCAGGGGTGCCTTCGCCCGCCTCCGCCACCTCCATCTGACGGGCCAGGCTGGTGCAATCGCTGTCTTCCTCAAGCACATGACCAGCCCGCTCGTTCAGCTCGAGCTTGTCATCGAGGATCCACCGGAGAAGAATGCCTGGCGCGAACTGTCAGGCGTCATTTCCGAGCGATACGCCAGCAGCTTGGCGACTCTGCGCGTCTCTGCCACGGGCGCGTCCCGCTTCACCGACCTACTACGCAACACGACTCGCGACCCGCCGTCGAAGCACCTGCCGCTACAGCACCTCGGCCCACTCTCGCGCCTCGCACGGCTCGAGATCGACCTCCCTGAGTCGGTCATCTTCACGCGCGCAGACGTCGAGCACGTCGCGCAGATGTGCCCGCGCCTGGAGAACGTGAAGCTGTGCCCCTTCGCGCGCTTCCCAATTGGCACGCGCGCCCCATTGCTTGGCCTGAACGACCTCGTGCCGCTCACCACGCAGTGCAGGCGCCTGCAATCGCTCGCGGTGGTCATCGACGCCCGCAAGGGCTGGTCGGAGATCCTCGAGGACCGCAATGCGACGTCGACGTCGCTGCGCCACCTGCACTTTGGACACTCGTGGATCGGGGACCCGCTCCCAGTGAGCGTCGCGCTGAGCCACCTAGCACCCCGCCTGGAGGGCATGCGCTGGTTCCACGATCGCACGCGACCTGGCCTGCACGAGCCGCACGCGCGGGCATGGCAGCAGGTCGCGGATGGGTTGCCCATGCTGCAGCACGTCAGACTGACGGAGCGCAAGTGGGCGGACGACGATGTGCGGACGCTGCACAGCATGTACCAGGACGAGCTGGTCGAGGCGTACGACGAGGACTATGAGAAGATCGTTCATGTAGCAGCGCGCGAGATGGCGGAGAGCGGGGTGCAGGTCGAGCCCGAGAGGAGATCCAGGGGTGTCTACGTCCGACCATCCCAGGCATCGACGGCTGTGGACGCAACGCCGGTCACGGTATCCACCGGTGTCAGCGCTGTCGTCCGAAGCCGGGCCCAAGAGGTTGATGCAACACCACGGACCAGCGTTGCTTCCATCGAGGCTATTGTGGCGAAGTCCTCGCAGTCGGTCGCGACCGAGCCTGAGGAGCCGCCAGCGGTCTCCCAGCCACCTCCGTCTCCACCACCAACCAGCTGGCCGAACGCCCTCCTTCGCCGATCTGCTACTATCCTGCCCAATCTCCCTGGCCCTCGCCAAATCATCGCCGTCCCGCTACACCTCATGAACCCCTTCTTCGTCATCCCCGCGATGCTCAACTTGATGTCTTTTGCTTGTCGCTTATTTATTCTGTATCCCCTCACTCTCCCAATCCGCGTTCTCCACGCCGTGCTGCGGCTTTTTCTGGTTCGCGGGCGCCGCGTCCTGGGCAGGGATCCACGCGCCCCGGGAAACGGCCCACGGCCTCCGAACGGCAGACCCGATGGCTTGCTGAGCGGCGACTCGAGGTCGCCCTCGGCGCCTCGCTTGGGCAGCCGGTTGCCCTCGCTGGATGGGAAGCCGCGGGCCTCGGTCGAACTGCAGGACATGAAGACGGTCGAGGTGCCGGTGAACGTGAACGGGGCGGACTGTGTGGAGCCGGGGCTGAGGCGGACGACGCCGTACGAGGAGAGCTATGAGATGGACACCCTTCATGTCGGTTGATGTTGTTTTAACGCACGTATTTATCACTTACGCATGCTGTATGGCCATTAGGACGTTACTGAGTATGATTATGACTTTCACCTTCGTGCAAGGACAGAAAAGCCTGCAAGTCCACGCGATGGTATAGAGAGTACATCGAGGAAGGCAAGAAAGTCTGTACACTTCGCGTTCGGTGAAGGAAACATGAGCGTCGAGGATGAGGACGTGCTGATCGCTGAGCGCGTTCCCGGACCGCGGAGCCCGAGGAAGGAGGTGATGGTAGCCACGTGGGCGACGCGTCACTTGGGCACGTCCTGCTTGTCTTCACCATCCATCGCGCCTAGCGCCCCTTCCACGAACACCACACGCGTCTTGAACTCCCCTCTCACGAAATACGCGATGTCCGACAACAAGAAGCAGGAGCGCGACTATACGCCAGAGGTGGATGCGCTCCTTCCAGAGGCGGAGGCGCTTGTGAAGGTGCGCCTCATCGCGTCTCTTCTTGACGCATCGATTGAATGAAACCTGCAGAGCGGTAAACTACAAGAGGGAATTGACAAGCTCTTTGTGTTGGAGAAGCAATCACGAAATGTGCGTGATGTTCAGCGTTAGGGGAATATATCTCACTGGGTTATAGGCCTCAGACGCCAAGTCCACGACGCGCCTAGTCAAGGCGATCGTGCAGCACGCTTACGATGCGCGCACCTTCGAAGTCCTCAACAACAGCATACAAACATTGAGCAAGAAGCACGGACAATTGAAGTCGGTCATTCAGGCGATGGTGGAGCAAGTGATCGCCTGGCTGCCTGAGGTCAAGGAGCGTGACGGCACGGACAAGTGGTTGGAACTTCTCGAGACCTTGCGGACGGTCACCGAGGGGAAGGTGCGCTTTCCATACTTCCACAATGCGTACATGTCATTGATCAGACACCCGCCTGTAGATCTTCCTTGAGACCCCTCGCGCCCGCGTCACCCTCCTCCTCTCCCACTACTATGAGGCGCAAGCCAACGAGACCGCCTCCGTCGAGAAGCGGAAAGAACTCCTCATTAAGGCCTCCGAGATCCTCTCCGAGCTCCAGGTCGAGACCTACTCGTCCATGGAGCGCCGCGAGAAGACCGAGTTCATCCTCGAGCAAATGCGCCTGCTGATCTCCGTCGCGCGCATCAAGGATGCGGAGTCGGCGAAGAAGGAGGAGAAGGACGCGCTCGGGGGCGGTGAGGGCGAGTGGGTGAAGGTGCGCGTGGGCGGGCGGAAGGTCAATGAGGAGTTTTTGAAGGAGAAGGAGAATGAGGTGCGTACCGAATTTATGGCACCTTAATCGGGTTGCTGACCTCTAGAGCAGGACTTGAAGCTCAAGTACTACGACCTCATGATCCAGCATGCGTTGAACGAGCGGGATTATCTGGCAACCGCAAAGTACTACGAGAAGGTGTGGCAAACACCTTCAATCAAGGACGATGTGAACGACAAGGGCAAGGCTGTAAGTTCTAAAAGCTAGCATTAGAGATCTTCCTTACTTACTGACTTCGCCCAGGCCCTCGAACACATCATCTACTACGTCGTACTCGCACCGCACAGCAACGAGCAATCCGACATGCTGCACCACCTCTACAACAACCCGGCTCTGCTCAAGCTTGAGATGCAATAGTTCGTACCCTGAGGTCCACCTTACGAACAGAGCACTGATGTCCCCTCAGCAACCTCGCAAAATGCTTCGTTACACCCGAGCTCATGCGCTGGCCGGGTATCGAGTCGCTGTATGGCACCTTCCTACGGCAAACAACAGTCTTCAGCAACCAGCAACGCTGGGAAGACTTGCACATGCGCGTTATAGAGCACGTACGTCCTCTCTCATGTTCTCTTACAAAACAACCTCTCACACCACCTCAGAACATCCGCGTCGTCGCCATGTACTACACTCGCATCACGCTAGAGCGACTCACCTCCCTCCTCGACCTCTCACCCGAGGAAACCGAGAAGACGCTGTGCAGATTAGTCGTCGGCGGCACTGTGTGGGCACGCGTGGACCGACCCGCGGGGATCGTGAACTTCCGCGCGAAGAGGACGGCGGAGGAGGTGATGAACGATTGGAGCTCGGATATGCAAAAGTTGCTGGGGCTGGTGGAGAAGACGTGGATGGGAATGAATGCTGCGCAGGCGGCACAGGCACGGGTGAAGGCGACGTCGTCAGCGTAGGCTCGACATACTGTATTTTATTGTGCATATTCCCTTTTCTTGACGCTGACTGGATAAGGTGATGCGAAGGTTCAAGCGAGAGATGTGACGCGGGAGAGGATCCCAGGATGGATTAAAGAAGGGTAAAATGGTACATCTAGCCGTCTCCCTATGCGCGCTGGGGCAGCATCGACACGTAGTCTGCAGTGGGTGCCGAAGCTGCTTGCGCTGCGTCCGCTGCCGTGGGTGGCGCGATGCCCAGTGCCGACGTAGGTTGTGATATCGCAGGGGAGTACGTCGGCCGTACACCATCCCGCCACAGCCGCACGTACTTCTCTCCGCGCGTCCACTCGACCGTGCCCTCGTACCGGTCCGCGACGGCCTTCCAGCGCTTGCGTGCAGCCATTTCGCCCTCGTCAATTGCGGCGGCGCGCTGCCAGCCCGCGAGCCCCCTCTTCATCTTTTCGAAGACGTGCTCGATCTCGGAGTGCCCGAAGATGGCGCCGAGGGAGCGGGCCTCGAGGGCGGCAACTTGCACGGCTGTCTGTCTCTCACCGCGGAGGGCGCGGAATTGGGCGACGGAGCGGCGGTAGGCTTCTGAGAGTGGGAGATCGTGGTGTACGTAGAGGTTGAGGGCGAATTGGACGGCGCTGCGGGGAAGTCAGTAACGGAGCAAGAGGGAAGGTATGTTGCAACGCACTCTTCTGCGCGCGGGTTGTGCCCCCGCTGGCGGAGCCGTGTCCACATTTTTCCCGTCACGGGGTTCGGCGCCGCTATACGCTTGCCCTCCACCAACGTCGTCGGCCGGAACGTCTCGAAGGGATGGTCGCGGAAGAACTGCCTGCGAATGTCGTCTTCAAGGTAGTATATAGTCAACGGGTGCGGTGTCGTATTCGGCTGCTGCTTGCTCCTATTGCTGTAGAACGCCTCCACGTCGCGCGGCTTCGCGTCGAACTCGCTGCGCGTCGCGGGCATCTTGCCGGGCAGCGGGAGCGGGGGGAAGGCGAGCACGGACTGGTACCACTTGGGCTCCTTGTCCATGCCGCCGCCGCGCATGAGGCGCGCGGCCTGCTTGTGCACCTGGTTCGCGAACCGTCGCGCGTTTACCATCCCGCCGCCGGTGTCCTGGACTCGACGTTGAGTGCTGTGATCGAGAGAACAAGTCCGAGCTGAATACGGCACTCGCCGGGCCGTGCCGTCCTTCGCGCAACATGTGCAAATATGGACACCAAATCACGGCTTTCTTTGGGACTTCCTCTCAGCTCCTGCCACCTGGCAGTCTGTCTACTGTGGGATTCAATACAATGACCGGGATAGCACGCCTTCCTGTTGTGGGACTTCATCGTTGCTTCGCGCCATTGCAGCCCTCCCAGGCAAGTCCAAAATTAGTGCGATTTCGGGCGGAAGTTCTTCGCGCGTCATTGTGACTCACAATCCACGGCATGTACCCGACGATAATTGTCTATCCTAAGGAGTATCTTCGCGCTTGCTCTCTACTTCCACGCTGGGCTCAGCCTGTCCCTTCAAGCAGACCACTTCTTGTTCTTACGACACCGCATACGACAAGTCCCGAACATATCCCCGGTCTCCTCTGGGTCGTCCCACCTACCGTGACCTTGTGCAGACATGGCCACGTCGGATACTGAAAAGCGCGACGTGCCACCCAATGAACAGAACATCACCACTCAGGAGGGTGGTCAACTGCAACAGGTCAAGACGCGTAGTACTGCTCCTCCGCGACCTATCAGTGTGCAAGAACCCAATGAACCGTACAGCGTATACACGCGAGGTCAGAAATGGGCCATAGTCTCCCTGATCTCGCTAGGTGGTCTGTTCAGGTAGGAAATCAACAAACGAGCGTCATCGCCTGCCTTGCTGAACGCACTATGATTTCGGTGTTGTAGCCCCCTCAGGTGAGCGAGATACAAGGTTATAGAGTTCCGAAAATGAGCTGCGTTCCATCACGCAGCGCCAACATATACTTCCCCGCAATTCCAACGTTGGCAGATGACTTTCACAAGTCACTCGAGCTTATCAACTTGACGGTCACCATGTACATGATCTTCCAAGGCCTGTGTAAGTCCACTGCATTGCCTCCATATTCCGACTTCCACCTTGCTCACATCACCCTCGCAGCGCCCACATTCTGGGGCACCATGGCCGACCGCTACGGCCGGAGGATGATGTTTGCCGCCTGCCTCATCCTCCTCTCGCTATCGTGCGTCGGTCTCGCGCTAACGCCGACAAACGCCTACTGGCTGCTCATGGTGCTGCGCTGCGTACAAGCAGCGGGGTCAGCGAGCACCATAGCGTTGTGTGAGCGGCCCTCGCTGTCGAGATATGAAGTGGCATGACTGCTAACGGCGCTTAGCGGCGGGCGTGGTTGTCGATATCGCGGACGTGCATGAGAGGGGAGGCTTCTTTGGAGTGGCTAATTTGGGGCCAATGGTGGGTCCAATCAATCTTCTCAAAACTGTCGATACTGACGTCCTGCATAGATTGGGTTAGTCTCATTCCTTTGTCTCCAACTCGTGGGCCATTCACCTCGCGTGCAGTCCCGCGATAGGTCCCGTACTAGGTGGCGCGCTTAGTGGGGGTCTCGGTTGGAGGTGAGCATTTTGAGCAGTATGTCATTCTCGTCGCTCATGTTCTACCCTATTCAAGATCCATCTTCTGGTTCCTCTGCATTGCATCTGGGGCTTGCGCCCTCGTTATCCTCCTGTACGTATTCCTCTCCTTATTACTGTACCAGCCTCCTCACCACACCCCCAAGCTTCCTCCCCGAAACCCTCCGCGCCCTCGTCGGCGATGGCCGCTACCGCGCTCCCCACTACGCCCGCCCCTGGCTCCCCTTCCTCTACCGCGGCACCGACTCCGCCCGCCTCTCCGGCCCGCGCCCCAAGTTCCGCAACCCCCTTCGCCTCCTCCTCCAGCCCGACATCCTCGTCCTCCTCCTCTGCAACTCGATGATCAACTCCATCCTATACGCCGCGACGACGAGTACGGCCAATCTGTTCCCGGATATCTACCCGTATTTGGGGGATACGACGCTGGGGTTGTGCTTCTTGACGATTGGGGGCGGGATGGCGATTGGGACGGTGCTGGTGGGAAGGGTACTCGATGCGGATTATGCGAGGTATGAGAGGAAGGTGGAGAAGAAGGCGAGGTTGGAGGGGAGGGAGGCGGGGTCGGGTCAGTTTCCGATTGAGAAGGTGAGGAGTATGGTGATTGCTGTACTCGTGCGCCGGTGCTGACAGCGCGAAACAGGCCCGCTTGCGACTGGTCGTGCCGACCTTCATCATTCTCATCATCGTCACTGTCGGCCTGGGCTGGTGCTATGAGGCGCGCACGCATATTGCGGCACCGCTCATCCTGCTCTTCCTCAATGGGATGATGACCATTGCCCTCATGAACATGACACAGACGCTCATCGTCGACCTGATGCCCAAGCAGGGCGCCTCCATCACTGCTTGTGTGAGTGCTCTCATCAGGCTTTGCATCGTTGACAGCGCTATTGACCTTCATTCCCAGAACAACCTGCTTCGCTGCCTCATCGCAGCGGGCTTTGTGTCTGGTGGGCGCCTTCGTGGCTTCGCTGTATTTTCCTTCACTGATTCCTCATCAGTTCTTGCCCTCATGTTCGATAGCATGGGTCCCGGCTGGACCTTCGTCCTCATCGACGGCATCGCCGTTCTCTTCTACCTTCCCGGGATGCTCTACGTCTTGAAGGTCGGGCCCAAGCGGCGCCTCATGCGTGCAAGCGCGTGAACGAAACAAAAGACACTCGACGATTGCACGATAGCCATGGGAACGGACTTTACGAGACGTCAACGCGTGTAAGTACATTTGCGCATAGCACAGAGATTCGACTATAAGAGTCCATTTGATACCAGCAACTGGGACATTTCACGGGGAAATAGAGCAGTAGACCTGACCTACTTACATTTGCGCAAGCCATAGAGAATTTTGCGGTTCCTTCAGTCCATGTCAATGAGAAGAGGAGTCGACTCCACGTGCGGCGCCCGCCGTTGACCCTCAACGTCAGGTAAGGCAGGCTGCCGCCTCATCCTATCCCGCACGGCCCCGCTCAACCAGCGTGCCGCTCCCACGGTCGCCTGACCTCCCCTCTGCACACCCCTCGCCACCTTGCCCGGTGCCCCAGGCAACTTCACCACCCATGGCGCGCCCGCCAGCACCCAAATCAGAATAAGCGGCAACCCATGCCCAAACGCCCCAAAGCCCGTCCTCCTCTCGCTAAACGGATGCGGCACCGCAATTGTCCGCACCCACGAGCCCCGCCCCACCTGCATCGACTGGTCCACGCCCTCGCCCGCGACGCCGCTCACGCCGTTCTCCCCGCCGTCGCACCAGATGATCGCCGCGCCGAGCTCGCGCGCGCGCTGGGCGCCCTGGGCAAACATCATGCGCCCGATGTCGACGTCCCAGGTGTAGGCGGGGCCGAGGAGGAGCGCGGGGCGGGTTTCGAGGTGGGCAAAGGGATTGGGGGAGGCGAAGTCGAGGCAGATGGAGGCGGAGAGGGGGATGGGGCGGGTGTAGGTTGGCGGGAGGCCCCATTCGCTCTTGGGGATGTCGGAGGGGCGGCGGAGGGGCAGGGTAAACATCTCGGGAGGTTCGGTAGAGGGCGTCATGGAGTACGATTCGGCGACTGGGGGAAAAGGTCAGCGTAGGTTACTTCAAGGGCCGAAGGGGGAGCATACTTGGTACGAGGTTGCGCTTGAAATAGAGCAAGTCCGGCTCAGAGGAACGCGCAGAGACCAGTGCAAAGCCGTTCCGCATATGGTCCTTTCCGTTCTCCCGGTATGATTCCAGGAAGCCTATACCGACGTAGGTTCCCTGCGCCGCCGCCTTCACCTCCTTCAGCTTCTCATTCCTGTGCTCGACGCTGTCAAAAGAAACGGCGCTCTCTGGCCAGAGCAGGATATCCGTGCGAGGGACAAGCTTGCGCGTCTCAGAGATGAAGTCGTCGAAGGTTGGACGACCTGGGTGATTGTAGCGGCGATGCGATGGAAGCGCACATCCTACATTTATCGGTGTCGTATCGTCTGAGATCAATGGCAGAGGGAGGTCGGTGGAAAAGAAGGACGGGACGGCAAGAAGGAGCAGAATGACGCCTGCGATTGCCGCTGGCCTCTTCGATTTCTCCTTTTCACCCATGTACCAGATGCCTCCAAACTCTGCGATCACGACGCCCCATGATGCAGCAAGGATGTCGATACCTGCAGGCCCGAAGAGCGGTTCTAACCAGGTATATGCCTGCGCAGGTCCAGCCGACGTTGGGAGGGCTAGTCTCCCTAGAGGGCTGACAAGCGACACCACATATATGATTGTGGACCATACTGCTGGTAGCAGGGTGAAGCGACCAATTGTAGTGGATCCGCGGGCGCAAATGTAAATCGGAAGAGCAGTCCCCGCAAGCAAGATCGCGGAATCCAGTAGTGACATAGCAAGTAGCAGAAAGACTCCCGATGCAGGTGTCGATAGTGCACTCTCCGCAGAGCTGACACGAGCAAGGGTGCCCGCGACGGTGAGAAGGATGAACAGCAGCACCCCATTTCCGCGCGATTTGTGGATGTATACGGGCGCGTAGAACGTCAAAATCGCAAGGGTCGCCGCCACAGCATAGAAGCTGGGCAGCACCGACATCGAAAAGACGCCAAATACAGTCGATCCAGCGAGCAACGCGGCCTCCATGGTGGGCAGAGGCAAGCCGTGGACGTAAGCACCCGTCTACTAGGAAATGGAAGCAAACCTAGACGGCGATTGCCGCCATCAGTCGGACCGGGCACCCGCCAGCGCGTTTCGCGTCCCGCGTCGCGATCGGCTTGCCTTGTTTCCCGCCTTCACGATGCTCGACGACGGCGAGGATGCTGAGCTCCAGAACCCGTTCCCCGCACCGCCAGCGCACTATGTCCGCTACACTACCCACAACCTGAAGTTGCTCGCCCTCATGAGGGAGCGTGCTCAGGCGGAGGACGCTGCAGACGTCGCGAAGCCTGCGGATGGCGCCCTTGTACCCCCTCTCGAAGATCCGACGCAGGCTGTGGCAGCGCAGTCAAAGCTACTGTCAGACCAGCAGGACCTCCCGGACTTTCCGCTCTATCAGCTCGAGAAGCCGCGCGTAGACTGGATAGAAGAAGACAATACTTTCACGGTGTTCGGCGAGACATGGCCTGTACGTTCACACTTGAATACTACAAAGTGATCAGTCCGAGCCCTCTGTAGATTAAGAACACCAAGATTATGTCGTTGGCGGAAGCAGGCATCGCCCAACTGTTCCCAGACGATCCCAGTGAAGGTCAGCTTTCCTTCCCCCTTCGACTATCTCGAACGATGACAAAACTTATACCCCCTAGACCGCCGCCCCGCCATGCTCTCCATTCTACGTTCCCTACTTGTACAGTACTCCCGCCTCACCAAGGCTGTCACTATTCCTCCTCCACGCGATCTCCCTCCAGGCGCGTCATCCGAATCGCAGGAGATGATCAGCTGGATGAAGGTCCTCACCCAGAATCTCATGGCCACTGCGAACGAGCTTCGACCTGTTCAGGTACGCACTCGTACAGTCTGTGCCGTACATGAACGCTGAACGGTAGTGCAGGCTCGCTGGAACCTCGAACTAATGATGAAGCGACAAGTAGAATTGCGTAGAGAGGAAACTGCTGCTATACACACGTTAGTAAATCTGATGTGTCCGTTGGTTCCTAAGCTCACCGTTCTCTGTAGCAAATGCGACGAGATTGAGGCGCGCCTAGCAGCACTGCGAGAAGCAACCCAGAATTTACATACGCAGTCAGCAGCGCAGGTACGTTCGTGCTCAATACAACATCCTAATGCGGCTCGTAATTATCTAGCAGTCACCTACAGCCGGGTCGGCACCTTCGAGCGCGGTAAGCCTTGTATTCGCTGATGTTCTCGATCTCATTTCTGACCATTCATCGTAGGTCACGGGCAGCATCAGTGCAGAATCAGTACTTCGTTGGGCTGAGGAGGTTTGAAGAAATTTCGGACGCTTCTAGCATTTCCCTGTATCTATAGCATCTTGTATCTTTATTCGCTGATTGCAACTCACTGTAATAAGACGACGAGCGCTAAGACAACGCGATTACATCGAACCCGGTGCGTACAAAAGCAGGCTCGAAGCTGTAGAATACGGTCTCCGCTGCTTCGTCTCTACGCCGGTCGTAATACCCTCAATGCGCTCCTTGCTGCTGAGCAAGCGCATTCCTCCGCTTCTCTCGCCACCTGGGGCCGGTGCGCAAGATGTACCATATGCACGGTATAAAGAGCACCGTGCACACACCACCCAGCAGGACATACGTCCATCCGGGCCCAAGAGCGTTGAGTAAGAGCTGGATGACGGAGACGAGGGCGGCCGCGATGACACAGCGCAGCAAGTTATTCTGCATAAGACATTATCAGCGCGCGTGGGTCAAATAACAGGAAGATGAGCGTACGCAGGCGGTCATCGCAGCGCCATTTCTCGGCATCAAGTCCGCCAGCAGAGTTTGGACCATGTTCATGATCATGATCACGAATGCACCGACTGTGGGATGGTCAGCCAGGCTTCAACATGAGCCAAGTCGGACCACGTACTAAAGAACAAGAAAATCAAGGGTCCGGCGATATTAACCCTCGCCTCCAAGCACCACCCGAAGCCGATGCACAGGGCGATGTATGTGGGGAAGGCAAAGCTGATCAGCCTCATGCGAGCCTGGACTCAAGCGTCAGCCACGCCCGCCGCATCCAGTATCGCCAACACTCACCCTCTCGATCGGAATTTTCGCCTCCAACTCCGCCCTCGTCATCTGGCCCACAGCATCTCCAAGCACCTTCTTCTGCCATCTCCTATAATCCGCATCCAATATCCTCCCAAAGATGAGCGTCATCACGATCATCCCACTCCCAATCGTCAAGAAAACGCATCCAATCGTGGTCTCGGTGAGGAACGGGTACGCTTCATCGAAAAGGACGGAAATCGACGTCGTGACCGCGTAGAAGAGGGCGTACACGGTGGCGTAGGCGAACAGGAGGGCGAGGATGTCCGGGTTAGTGAGGATAAGGAGGGGGTTTTGGAAGGGGACGGTGCTGAGGTCGCGTGGGGGGAGCTTGGGGTATTTGCGACCTAGAAGGGGAATGATGGGGCGCGAGCGGGGATGTGGGAGGTATCTGCCGTTGTCGACGATGAAGCGGAGGGTTTCGGGGAGGAACCTAGTCGCCGTTCAGCGTCGTTCGAAGATATGGAAAGAATGATAACGCACAGAGCGAGAACTACGGCGCAGACGCCTGAGCAGATGCAAAGGAACCAAAACATAGACCTAAGAAAGCTGGTCAGTATCACTTTCTGCTTGCTTTGTCAACATCACCCACCGCCACCCCAGGCCTTCCGTCAGCGCACCACCCATGATAGGTCCCAGGGCAGGCCTGCATGATGTTCAGCCTGGTTTTTACCCTGAGGGGATTATAGGACGTACCCGACTTGAGGTCCCAGGTTGCATAGGGCGAAGAAGGTTCCTCTCTCAGCAGGCTCCGCGATATCAACAATGACACCAGCGGCTGATAATATGGTGTGAGCTTCATAGATCATCCTCCAAAGAGAGCGACGTACCTAGCGCAACCGTACTAGCAGAGCCTGCCGCTTGGACGCATCGGAGCAGCATAAGTAGCCAGTACGCCGATGTTGGCGTGAGCGCGAGGCCGACACATGACAGCGCAAGTAGCGTCAGGCAAGCAATGAACGAAAGCCGACGACCATATCTGTCCGCCAAGGTGCCCCAAAAGGTGGGCGCTGAGGACGTGGTAGGTCAATCGATATATGCGAGCTTCAACAAAGAAGGCACCCTCACAGACTCCTTGTAAGACCATGTAAATTGTCACCGTCAAGTTGATGAGCTCTGCGCGATTTCAGCAAAATCGGGCAGCCGCGGGTGGCAAGCGCTAGCGCCCACCTATCGATTTGCCGAACGCGTCCGCGATAGTTGGGATTGCGGGGAGGTACAAGTTTGCACTGAGAGAATGAGACGCCCGAGCATGTTCAAATGGTGCGTGCCACATACCTCAACGGACTGAAGGTGGCCCCCATCGAGATGAGCGCGACGATGATCCACTTCTCGTGCTTGGTGTAGATGCTGAAAGGCTCTTCCTTCATGGCCCCCTTCTCCTGAGGCGCAGAAGAGGGAGGTTCCTCGGCCGCCCCAGAACCAGTATCATCTTGCACTTGAGGTTCATCGTCGGGCTTCTCAGCGATAGTGATATCCGAGTGTGCTGTGGACATTGAGAGCGGGATGCCGACGAGGGGGATACAAAGACCTGAGCTTCCGTCGTGCCATCGAGCGCTCTTATATAGGGCGAGCAGAGGGAGCAGCGGCAAAGTCAACTACTTCACGCATTGTGTACTCATTTGCCATGGTGGTGAAGTGCATGACGCGACGCGATCGACGGTTAACTCGCCGCATCAGTGCACGTGATCCCGGGGGCGGACCCAAAATAAGTCCTTCCTGAAGGGGAAGTCTTTGGGTCCGTCCGTCACTGCCACCATGAAGATAGTCGGAGGGCAGAATTTGCGCACCGTCGCTTCTATGTAGGAGCATGCCTTGAGGTTGCACGAAGAAAAGAAAATTGGGATGTCTTGCTACATAGCGCAAAGCAAAAATACAAAATATGCGAGCAGTGCGAGCATGAATACATGAGATGCGTGGCAAGGGCGTAAAGGGAGCTGATCGTATGTGGGCGTCTGCGGAAAGTGCATAGAGGGTAGTAAGAGTACACGGAGTATTCCTGCGCACAAGACATGAGCGAGACAGAGAGAAGTGATGAGTAAAACTAAGAAGTGAGGATAGAGGATCCATGAGAGTACTGAAGATAGTCATAACTGGCCAGCGATCAACGCGGCACTATGTGTACTGCCTGGGTTCGAGGGGGAATTGTGGTATCGGGTAGTCGTTCCACTGCCCCTCGCTATCCAGGAATCGGCGTAGTCGCGCGACCTTTGCAGAGAAGTTAGCTCAAGAACGAGATGGAATCACGGAGGGAAACACACCTGGCTTGACAAGTACATGACGATGATCTGCATTTCAATATCCAGCTTTAGTCGCATGATCTCTTCACATGTTCGTAGCGCTTGTGAGCGTGTTGCGACAAACATGTTCCCTTGGAAGCCGAGCTCTTTCAGCGCGTCGATGAGTTCTGAAAACTCTGAACACCAAGCGAGGACGCCGAGCTGTGGGCACGCGTCGGTGGTGCGATCGGCAAGGGTACCTTGTTTGCTCACTTGGCCGTATTGTTTATATCTTGCGTAAAGTACATTCGGTGCTGATCGCAGAGCAAACTCGAAGGCCTCGTTCTGCTCGACAACGGCTGGTGAGGGGTTGTACATCGCCTGCGGTGGTGGCGGCGCCTGTCATCGCAATAATCAGACCTCTCGATCGAGTACTAGCCACAACTCCTACTCACCTCTCTCGGTGGCGCATCCTGGAACCACTTCATTCCAGAATAGTCAAAATCGCCGCCGATATCGACGACATCATTCCGTTTACTGCCCGTGAAATCCATCGTGCGTTGTGGCTGAAGCAAGGGCGAGTTCTGTCGGGTCTCAGATAGGATCGTCACGTAGGCGTTCCACAGATCAGGCGAGAGCGTGATATGCGGCGGGCTGTCGTCCTCGTTGGGGTCGGGCGTAGGGAAGTAGACGCGGTGCTGGATGTAGCGTGCGGGTGTTTCGGGTGTGTCGGCGACGGTGGGGGAGGTCGCGGTGAGGTCGCTGGTGGGAGAAGGCGTGGAGTCCTCGTGGCTCGAGGGAACGTCCTGGCAAAAGGCATCAGATGCGTCCCGTGATAAGGGCATGACCATAACCACAACTCACGGTTCGAAGCAGGAGCTCAGAGTGGACGATTCCGGTGCGCTCGCAGTACGAATTGCGCCACGAAAGGCGGTGGATGTGGAGCGAGGCCCGGGAGACGCGGGGTGTGAGGGACTGGGACGAGCGTCGGTGTGAATCAGACCTGCAGAGGAATGATTCGCGGGGTGTTATGAACTCCTCGCGTGTAAGGTCGAGGGGAGAAAGTGGCGGTGAGTCCTCGTGTGAGGTGACGACGAGCTTCGGTGGGATGGGAAGCGGCGGGCTTCCTGGTGTGCCGGGTGTTGATGGAGTTGAAGGCGGTGTTGGGTTTATAGGTCGCGATTCCGGTATGTCGCGCGATACGGTCGTTTGGGAGGACGAACGACGAATAAGGACGTTCCTACTCAACCAAGATGGAGTTGCCGGAATGAAGGATGCTCCTGAAGAGGTTCTGGAGATGCTGAAGATGATAGGGAAGGACGGGGATGCTGTGAGACTGGCGGGATCGACGCGCTCAAAGTCGTCCGGGTGGCTAGATTCAGGCTCGTCCGAAGTTGCGGGACGGTCGACCTCGTGTACTGACTGAGGTTCAGGCAGCTGGCGCTCGGAATGGGCTTCAGACGACGGGGGACGGACACTGCGAACGCTGTGATGGGTGCTGGTCTTCTTCGCTGGTAAAATAGCGGGAAGACAAGGGGGTTGTTCGGGGAGATGGGTGGGCGGAGCAGGGAACTCGAGGACTACGGATTGAGGCTTGCGTCGGCAGCTGTATGAACGGCTAAGCCGGGTCTTGATACGTGCTAGTAGGGACCGCGGGCGCGGTTGGATCGGCGGATTATGTTCCTCGACCTGAGTGAGATTGACGGTGAATGATGTGCGCGAGGACTGGGCCGAGCGACGCGGGGGATCTTGCGGGGTGGGCGGATCCTCGCGATCGACGAGCTGGAAATCGTCGGTGGCTTCTGTCTCGGTATGCGCGCGGTCGCGGCGGACGAGGGCGCGGGATGAGCGGACGAAGGCCGAGCCTAGCAGGGAGCCGCGGAGGCGCCTAGCGAGTCTCGACTGGAGGAGCTTGGGCTGCTGGAGGGACGTCGTGGCGAGCAGGTCAGTCTTCGACCTGCGGTGCGGGAGAGCGCGGGGAGAGTACCTTTTGAGTGATTCAAATGCTGCAGCGGGCTGGCAGAAGCGTGGGCAGCGGCGATTGCGTCGGCTAGGGTTCTGCAGCCGGCGATTATCGCGGTCAGTCAGGACATTTCAGAAGCGATTGGAGCATGCACGCACTGCGGCTAGGCTCGGGACACGTCTTGACGGTAAATGACAAGCCTCAAGGCTGCCTCCCTCGTGTCCCATTATGCGCCCGATCACGGACCGTTCCTCCGGGCCCATTGTTCCCGCAAGCGCTCGAGATGTATTCATTGTTCATAACAAACCTCTCGAACATGCTTTGCTCGCTCATGTTTGAGGGATCTTATTCTACTTTATCATGCTGGAGGATGAAGACAACACAGGCTTGGCTTGTCTGCATTGCATCTAAGCATAACGCGCAATGCAAGACCGATGAATCGTATTTGCTAGAGATGTAGCGGTCGCGGACGGCCGACAGCACTGACAGAAAATACGCTGCCTCGAAGGGCTGCGAGTAAGATTCACCGAACTCTTGCTCTGTCACTCGACAGGTGCACGATGATGAGAAACAAATATTCACCGCGCCCCAACGATCTACAAGACTAGATGAACCCTACGAGTTAGACATGAGTCGCGCGCGTCCTAACTAGAGAAGCGTCGGCTTCGCCTCCTGTCGACCTTGCTTGCCGGAAACACGAGTAGAGTAACAGTGGTTTGAGTGTGTCTGAGTCTTGGGTACCCAACTGCTTATATAAGGTGCGAAGGTACGAAAGGCGATCGACTCGCGCAGAGATTGTTCGGGTGAGATAATCACAGTACCTAGTGAGTACATGCAGGAACTGCGCATCATGTGCGCGAGTGCACCATGGGAGCCGTTGGCCACGTCGACGTCGCCAAACGCAGCGGCAGCAATGAGGCTTCCGGGTCTGCGCATCGTAGAAATTGTAGCGGCGCGAGACCCGCTGTGCCATTGCCTCGGCTGAAGCCGAGGGAAGCCTTGAGTGACCGTGAGAACCACGAGCATCTGGAGAAATAATAGTGAAGGAGGGAAATTGGCCGGCTCCTGCGTGTATGATGAAAGCAGAACCCTTTGTGGTCTCAGCAACCTCGAGCAACGTCGCCTAGCGAAACCACCTCCTCTGCTTGCCTAGGTCGAGGGAGGGGGAAGGAGGCGGTATCCAGCACACAAACCTTGTGTAACACTGCTGGTGTTACTACGTGACAGATCACGTTACCCGCACTATTTAGCTGACGCTTCCTCGTATTTTACAGGACTCATCAATGTCTTTAGCTACCATGTTCTGCAGAACACGGCCGTCACCTATTATCCTCGCGTGAGCTTGCCTTTCTAGTGAAGGAGCCCGCTGGCTCCCTTACACCTTGTCTGCAAAATGCTCCATAGTAGACCTTAGTAGACCTCAAACCGCTGGATCAGTAGCTTATTGACCACCCTGCTAGCCGCAACGTCAAAAAGACAATCTTCTGGTCAGAAATGTAGCGCTTGCGCGGCGCGAAGAGAGTCTTCTTCGTCGGCGCAGACTCTGCGCGGTGGGTAAGCGAGGAGATGGGGGAGCTGAATAGGGACGACCCAGACACGGTGCGCCGCGAGGACACGGTCATCGTTCAACTCGACGGCTGATGTAGAGACAAAGAGCCAGATACAACGCGCAAACCGCCAGGCTGCTTTGGCGGCAGCGTCGTAGGGGAGAGCAACTTGGAGCCCAATACTGCGGTGTGCCCAAGTTTGCCATGCCCCTTCCGAGTCCATTTCGTTGGTGTGTATATCTTAGGGAAGTCATTTGGTTTCCAGTGACCTCCTCATAAGGACTTGTTGGCTAGTAACACGGATTTCGAAGGTTTCTTCGACCGGCTTTGTGCCGTGGGTCCTAGTGTGTACGATCCACGTGACTGAATTTGTATAATCTTGTGGGTCCGTCCTTGGCTGGGCCCCAACGTCGATGTTTGCCTTCGTCGTAATTGTCTGTAGCCTAGTGCGGGATCACATCGAGTATCTTGAATCCAGTAGCTATCTAGGTGTACATGTGAGCTATGAGGGCTGGTACTTGCGCTAGGCGCTGGCCGCCTGTTGCTCAAGCTGCGTCGCTTAGCCGCTATAGTCACAAACGAGCGCGTGTATTCGATGTGAGTCAGTATATCCGAGTATCGTGAGCATGCAGGAGGATAGAACAGAGGAGCATTGAGTAAACAATGTGAAGGCGTGAGCCCGTGGTTGAGGAGTACAAGAAAGGAAAGTGATCGGAGGGATCTCGATCCAGCCAAATTCGTGTGTTTGGACTTGTGTGCAAAATAGAATCCGATCAGACAATAAGACCCCTCCATAAGACCTTGCAAGCAAGGTAACGCATGGTACTCCAAAGTGATGCCAGGCCTAGCAACTCCGGGACGATTGGCGTATACAAGCAGGTAGACGGGCGAGTTGCACGCGGTCAAGGTAGAGTTTGACGGGCAAAGTAGCACTAGTGTCTCACTTTGAGGGGAGGCGTTGTTTCTGGCTGCGCTCTGCGCCATGGCGGATAGACTAGGCTGATACAGCCCTGCTGGTCAAGGTTCGAAGCAAGCAAGGTGAGCGCTTCGGCGCACCGACCGCGTGCGGCATGAGCCGCATATGATGGCTGATTTCAACGAGAATTCGAAGTCACCGGCACTCGAACCTGGTCCTTACTCATGCACGTGGCCAATGCATTGGTCGTTAGTCCGTACTCCTGAAGGCGTCGTGATATTCGACATCGCCCCTCTCATGAAAATAACCGTCACGATTCTTTCCGGGGTCTCTCTCAATATTGGGGTAGCGTGAGCAGCCTGCAAGAGACTATTCGGGAAGGGACCTACATGCACAAACAATGGTCAACAGGTGTGTTTTGTTTCGTGTATATCGGGTACGCTGAGCCTCTTGAAGCGCAAAAAAGCCACGAGTAGGCATATTAAGAGCGCTCCGTATATCTTACATTATACGGAGGGCCCTGACGAGTTATCCGGGCGCATGAACAAGATCTCGCGGAAATTGCCGGCTATCGAAGGGGGGTCCGCTTCTCAAGCCTTTCGTTGTTCAATGAATAGAGGATTCATTTCATTTTGGAGGCGTTACTGAAATAGATCTCCTGGAATACGGCGACATCGACTCGAGCTGCCTATCGCCTTCGGAGTACCGACTAAGGAGCTCGAAAGGACGTGGGATACTAGTCGCGGCACCCGACAGAGACGACTTCGGTCTTCGGCACCTGCGAGACTATGAACCTCGCCAACCCGACTTGAGCGGCCGATTTTAGGAGAAAATAAAACGTCATAGCCGCACCACGACCTCTACACCGAACCAGCCGGCTACAACCAGTCAGGAAACTACGGCACACACGAAGACCGCCGTAGAAAACCGACACTACAGAGCACGAAGCGGAGGTGCTCACAGATGGGCTCGCGCGCCTTGGTACTATGTGGTTACTTGCTGCGTGAATAAAGTGCAGACACAAAAAAGGTGTTTGTCACGTGCCTCCTAGATCAACTGTCACCTCGTGTCACGTCACAAAACTAGCTTGATTACGGACGGCCATCATCCAATTCATGCATGTCTCCCTCCCCGAAACCCTTGCAGCCAGACGGCACCCAGTCGTCCGACTACTTCGAGGACGACTCCGTCTTCTTAGAAGCCCTGAGAACAGCGGTGCTGCCGGGTGATCCGGGGTATGAGGCCCCTAAGGCCCCTTCAAGCGCGCCACCTGCGTCTGCGAACCCCTTGAAGCGCCCTCGTGCCGACTCAGAGCCTGAGGACTCTCAAGTAATCACGAATGATGAAGATGACACATACGCTCCCTCGAAATTCGACGGCTTTGGAGACTACATGCGCCGCAAGCGTGCAAAGCTCCAGATACAGAACGCAGAGTTTGACTCGGAAGCGCCCAAGATATTCAAGGATTTGGCCATCTATGTAAGTTTACTTGGTCAATTACCGAAGCTGCATTGACTTGATCTCGCTATCTCATAGATCAACGGCTGGACACAGCCCTCGGTTCAAGATCTGCGTAAGCTCATTGTGCAACACGGCGGCGTCTTCCAGCCGTACCTGGACAAGAAGGCTATCGTGTAGGTACTTCTTCTCGAGACTCTTCGAGCATTGCTGAAACCACGTACGATAGAACGCATATCATTACGAACTCGCTTACCCCCGCTAAGATAGCGGAATTCAAGCACATGAAGGTCGTCCGGCCCGAGTGGCTCGTGGAGAGCGCGAAGGCAGGAACCGTACTCCCATGGCGGGATTACATGTACGTCCCTCACCAGCGCGCGGAGCAGTCGCAGGGCGCCGCCATCGCCCAGCGCACCTTACATAACGGCTTCGCATCCACGCGTCCCAAGTTGACGCCCAAGCCCTCGCCTACGGAAGCGCCAGCGGTGCCGGCCATAGTCGTTGACCCACCGGCCTCGGATTCGCCTGACGCAGGGCCCTCCGACCCAGACGCGGACAAGTACAAGCCTGAGTCGACGGACCCCGTGAAACCGAGGGTAATCGACGATGCACCGGCATACGCGCGTTGGTCATCCAACTTGCACGCGCAGCGCGCGATGGCGGACCCGGAGTGGCGCAAGGCACACACTTCGGCTGCGTCCGACTTCATCGATGGGTATTACAAGAATTCACGCCTGCATCATCTGTCGACATGGAAGGCAGAGCTGAAGCGGCTCGTGCAGGAAGCGCAAGCACGCGCTGAGGAACTCATCGAAGGCAATGCGGACGCTACCCGTATCGCGGAGGACATCGCCCCCAAGAAGGTCTCGAGCGACGAGGACGGCGCCGATCCGCTCCAATATAGTATGCGAGCTGCTGGATTCGTGTTGCGCTCGCCCTCGAAGAAAGGCAAAGGCAAAGCGCGTGAAGTGCCTGTGGACCGCGTTATCATGCATTGCGACTTCGACTCCTTCTTTGTCGCCGCAGGCCTTATCGGCCGACCTGAGCTACGAGGCAAACCAGTCGTCGTCTGCCACTCTCAAGATGGCGGGAACTCGAGTACTAGCGAAATAGCAAGTGCAAGCTACGAGGCTCGCAAGTTTGGCATCAAGAACGGTATGAGGTGAGCAACAATCTCATCTTCCAATGCCGGTAGTTGACGCAATATGCAAGTCTGCAGCAAGCGCGTACTCTATGTCCTACTGTCCGGACTATACCGTACGAGTTCGAAAGGTTCGCCGGTGATTACGTTATTCCCTTCCTATGGTCTGACGGGAGTGTAGGTATAAGGAGTTCTCACTCAAGTTTTACACGATCCTTATGTCGCACGCGGACGACCTGCAAGCCGTGTCTGTTGACGAAGCACTCATCGACGTCTCTTCGACGGTCCACCAGTTACGCAGTGATGCGTTGCCGGCTTCTGATCCCGCGAAAGACCTTGCGGAGTCTATTCGTTCGCAAGTTCGAAGCGCTACAGGATGCGAGGGTGCGTTTCTGAGGCCTTACTTGCCACACTGTCTGTATTCACACATCTTCAGTCAGCATCGGTATCGCGCACAACATCCTCCTCGCCCGCCTCGCGACACGTCGCGCCAAGCCAGCCGGCTCCCACCACGTCTTCCCAGAAGACGTTCCCGAGCTCATGTCCGAGCTGGATATCGCGGATCTCCACGGGTTTGGGTGGTCTGCGCGCAAAAAGGCGCAGGAGAAGCTAGGCTCGTCGCGTCTTAGCGACCTTGCGCGGAAGTCCAAGGGTCTGCTCATTGACACGCTCGGACGCTCGACTGGCGAAACATTGTACAATGCCATCCGGGGTATCGACGAGCGGCGGTTGGAGAGCGACAAGAAGCGGAAGTCTGTGAGCGCGGAGATCAATGTAGGTATCTTCGTCAAAGTATTCGCAGGTATACTGACATCAACGCTCAGTACGGCATCCGTCTGGAGAACGACGAGGAAGCCCGTACCTTCATATTCAGGCTTGCGCGCGAGGTGTCGCGCAGACTTGAGCAAGAGGGAGTTATTGGGCGGTCGATTACGCTCAAAATCATGAAGCGAGATCCCACGGCGCCGGTGGAGCCTTCGAAGGTATGTCTGCGTATTCAAATTCTTGAAAATTTTCGGGCTGGGCTCACATATCGCTCAGTTCCTCGGACATGGTCCCTGCGACGTCTTCAACAAGCAGGCGGCTTTGGCCGGTCGCAACGGTCGCGCCACCAGCGACGCAGAGGTCATTGGCGAGCATGCGTGGCGTATTTTGGAGTCGTTTCACTTCGACGCGAAGGAGCTGCGCGGCATTGGCATCCAGATACAGAAGCTGCAGTCACTTAACGAGGCCGACGACGCGGAGCCAGGCCAATCGAGGCTCAACTTCGCGACCGTCGAGGGTGGCAACAAGGCAGACCGAACTGTCGACAGACAACCTGTCGATCAAGAGGCGCCTTCTGAACTCGCCGCTGGTCCATCAAGGAAACCAGAATCTGCCCCTGAAGCTCTGCTCGATCTGCCTCGATTCTCCCAAGTCGACAAGGATGTTCTCCAGGCGCTACCTACGCAGATTCGCGATGAGCTCACTGGCGAATACAAGCGGCGATCTGCGTCTCCCGCGGTCCTCGCTCCTGAGCCCCCTCAGCTTGGCCGGCCGCGCGCCAGAACACCTGTTCCTCTGTTCCCCAACAAGCCGAACGGCAAGGTCACCAACTTCGCGCGTATCACCCACCAGCTGGCGCCGCGCACTACGAGGTCCAGCATTTCGCCTCGGAAGAGTATTTTCGCACCCGGCAGAGGCGGGCCTGGCAAGGTCAGCGCCGCCGAGCTCGAGAAGCTGAAGATCGACCCCACGATCTTCGCTCTGCTGCCGCCGAAAGTGCAGCGCGAGCAACTACTTCGCGCGCGGCTGGCCAAGAGCGGTACCGAGATTGACAATTTACCTGAACCGCCCCGGAAAGTGCTTAAGCCTCGACGTCGGGCGACGCGCTCTGCGTCTACCCAGGTGTACGCCCCGCCACCGCAAGCTCATGTCCTTGAACCTGCGTCATTGAAACATCAAGTGAAGGGTTGCTCCGACAAGCTCGTCTTCACAGATCTAGACGAGGTGCAGGGCTTGCTGGAACGCTGGGTCGTCGGCTACCGGCACTGGCCTCCGAAAGAGAAAGACGTGGAGCTGTTTCGCAAGTACCTCTTGCAATGCCTGGATAGCACAGTCGTCGGTGACGAGGGCCTCGAAACGGCGGTCGCGGTGATGAAGTGGTGGTTGGTGCTGCTCAGACGGCAATGGGAGCATTGCGAGGGCCACGAAGATGATGACGGGCTAGAGACTGCGAAGTGCAAGGCTGGCAGAGCTTGGTGGGCCGTCTTTCGCGGCGTAAAGGGTGAAATGGATCAGGCTGCAAGGAAGCGATTCGGTGGCTCGCTATCGTTGCGATGAAAATCAGAGACGGCGATATATGCCAGCGGCGACTCGGTGAGTTCCGCTTCTTACATATGAGCCTGGACACGCTCTGACCGAACGCTAGCCAAGCACGGCCTTGTGGCACGCTGGGATCGTGCACAACACGCTGTGCACGCATGTTCGCGCACGATCTTGAGAACACTTCAGCCTTGCCCTTTCACCATCATCCAGCCATACCGGCCATTGGACAAGATGGTGGCACCCCCGCCTTTTACCCCCGGCGACGAAGACTCCATCCACGAATACCGGTCCAGGATGAGCTATCTGCGCCAGGCCTCCCGTGAGCGTCCTCTTGCCGCAGGCATAACGTTCGTGCTTTCGCTGCCTCAGCCGCCCTCGCGCTCAGTGCAGCTAGTCGAAAGGGCCCGCCACGTCCCTAGCTTGCCCTACGGGAAACCTGCGGTGTACACTCTAACCAGACCCTTGAAAGAAGGCTTCGATCTCCGTTCGCAGGTCTGGGTCGCCACTGCCCTCGATGAAGACTCTCAGGTCACTGTCGAAGTAGTATTTAAATTCGTGATCCCAAGTCTACTGCACTACCCTGATCCCGGTTTGACCGAGGGGTTAATGCGGTGCGGCGCATATCGACCCCCTGCTCAGCTTGTCGAAAGAGAGGTCGCCTCTTATATGGCCCTTGCAGACCTCCAGGGCGGCACGCTACCGTATTTCTTGGGCGAGCATCAGGTGAGCCGCTCTGCTCTGTCAATCCACGTCGGTGTTGACTGTATTCAGGTGCTCGTGCCGTGGATGGAAGAAGGGAGCATCCTAGCGCTGGAGTACATCAAAGCGCCTACACTGAAGGCTATTCAGGAAGATGTGGACTCTGCCGTCGGAACCGCGATATACAGAGACTATGCACAGTACTTTGCCCTAGTGAATACCCTTTCCCCAAACTTTCCGAACAGTTGCCTAATCATCCTTACAGTTCGAGTCTGCCTTGCGGACCCTCAACTTTGCCCATCAGCGCGACACGTTCCATTGTGATGTGCGCGAGCCCAACATTTTAGTGCCTGAAGGCAACAATATCGCTGTCCTTGTCGACTGGTCAAGCGAAAACGTCTTCAGCAAGGAGTTATACGTCGGCATTGATGTGGTGGATCTGGCAGTCGCCTTCATACACTGCGAAACACATCAAGCGCAACTGTGTGAAAGTCTCAGAAATCACTACCCTGATATCTCTAGGAGGGTTTTCCCTTACTTGGTCGGTGACCACTCGTAGTATGTTCTGCATGTATCGTACAAGTATATCTACATCTGCGCGCTGGTCATGTTTTGTGGCGTTGATCGCGTCCTTGAATTTCGATCCCAGAGTCCTCTATTTTGCGACTTGATCCTCAAAAAGATGAGCCCTCCCGCGAAGATTAGCAAGAAGCAAAAGAAGGCCCTCGCCTTCCGCGAACGAAAGAAGAGGGGCGACAAGGGGCGTCCCGAGCAGCTCGACGTGCCTCAGGACGACATCGAAGAGCAAGAGGCTGCAGAGCATGCCCAGCCAGGCCCTTCTAAGGATCGCACTGGCAAGCGCGGGGCGGATGCTGGAAAGGGGGGCAAGGAACCTGGTGAACCGTCTGTCGTGGCGCCGACGGATGCGGGTGAAGCTACAGATCGCGAGGTGGCGGCTGAGGGCGCTGGCGCAGGGAAGACGAAGAAGGGGAAGGGGAAGAAGCGGGCGGTGGCAGACGGTGCGGAGGGGGATGCCGCTGCTGCTGCTCCCAAGAGCAAGAAGCGAAAGCGGGAGGACGATGCGGTGGATGGGGACAAGGAGGAGTCCGCGCGTCCGGAGAAGAAGGTGAAGCAGAGGCTGATCTTGTTCGTTGGTGCGTACTGGTACTTCCCCCTCCTCCCACATCTTCTCACGTCGATCACAGGCAACCTCAAGTTCAGCACAAGCAAGGAAGCAATACAAAGACACTTCTCCGCCTGTGGTGCGTGCAAAGCAGTACTCTCTCGCGTGCTGTCCTTACGATCTCTCAGAACCCCCTCCCGAAATCCGTTTGCTCACACCCAAAACCACAAAGCCTGGCGCTGCACCCACGAAGTCAAAAGGATGCGCCTTCCTCGAGTTCCAGAACAAGACAGCGCTGCAGCAAGCGCTCAAGCTACACCAGTCTGAGCTCGAGGGGCGACTGATCAACGTCGAACTGACTGCCGGGGGCGGTGGCAAGAGCGAGGCTAGACTCAACAAGCTCAAGCAGCGGAATAAGGAGATGTTGACTAGAAGGGTGCGTACGCTCCCCTGCCATCCGCTTGTTCCTTCGACTGACCCATGCATCAGGACAAGAAAGCCGCGAAGGGCAACGACGGAGCCGTACCAGAACGGCCCCAGCGCTACTCCGCCACATCCGGCCTCGAGCAGGCACCCCTGAAGAAGCGCACCTGGTCCGTCCCCGACGCCGACGACGACACCACCCACCGCGGCGGCAAGAAGCACGTCAGGGGCAAAAAGCGCTCCAAGGCCTTCAGCACTGGCATGAACGCCATACCCATAGGCTGAGCACACGATACCCGTATTGTAGTGGCTTGAAGCACGACCGCACGACCGTCATGAGCTAAAAGATGGATACCATTAGGCTAGGCATGCATGCAACACGCGCATAATGTGCATAAGTGATAAAGTAGTCCGTCTGTGAAGGTAGGTATCGCGAGAGGTGGGTAGTAGGGGACGCAGGTCCAGCTGCTATGTCACGAGAATAAAAAGCAGGAACTGCGGTACATGTTAGCGACTGAAGAGCACAAGCAGGGTGGTGAGACGTACGAAGACGATCAGGACGCCGAAAATCTTGAGCATGAGCCAGCGGTTGCTCGATATGCTTGCGTAGTACTTGAGCAGCTCTCGTTGTGCGCCGCTGACGTTGCTCGCGATGTCCATCGTGTCGGCGTCGATGCGCTGCACCGTTTCGCGCTGCTCGGCGACCATAGTGGCGAGCTGAGTGAAGATCTGACCAAGTTCGGCGATAGTCGACTCGATGGATTCTATTGCGGTTGACCGTTGCTGGATGTATGAGTCCTGCAGGGCTTCTTAGCGCGGATTGCGGGAACGTCGTAACATAGGATGCGCACCTGCTGCTCGACCAGTTGCATCTGCTGGAAGGCACCACCGTTGTGGCCGCCTAGACCCTCTTCGGCAGCGTCAAGGTCAAGCGCGAGCAGGTCACCGTTATGATGCGCGCGTCCCTTCCCCTTCGAGTCGAAGCGACTGGCGCTCCCGTCGCCCATCGGGTCCGCCCGGTGCGACTGATACAATAGTGAACCTGTGGCGTATGAGAATCAGGGAGATAACCGGGGGGAATAAGGTACGCACTGGAACCGGACGTTGAGGAAGCTGACGTGGACGCGGAATACATGAACTGCTCTGTCCGGTCCTTGGACTCCTTCATGTTCTGCGTAAAGCGCTCGTCAGTAGGGCCAAGGGATGATAAGTGTACAGCAGTACGCACTTGAGTTCGGATCTCCAGTACGTCCTTGAATGTCATGCTGGTGTTTGCAAGCTTGCTCTGCAGAAGCATGACAACATTGTTGTTGTGCTCATCGACCTGCTTCGCGCGGCCATGGGAGTTGTGCTGCTTAACGTAGGACTGCAGCGCCGCAATTTGCTTGTTGATGTTCGCTATGTCCTGCTTGATGATGAATGTCAATTCCTGAGGGGGTAAAGTCAGCCGCCTCATTTCTCAATGACTCTAAGGTTTTGGCGCACGCTGATCTCGACTGGTCGGTCGTCGAACAACGTCTTCCGTTTAGCGACTGCGGACACGTTAGCGCGTTGAGCTCGACAGCAAACGAGGAGACGCACGCTGGGCAAGCTTCCCCAGCTTAAGTGACGTGCTACTAATGTCCTTCCCAATCGCACTGGCCATGCGTGCGAATTCGCTTTTCCCGCCTTGTTGCTTGCCATTGAGGAGGCGCTGGCGCGCTGGGGGAAGTGACGAGCGCGTGCGAATGCTCTCGACGCAGGAGCGAAACTCGTTCGTGCGGTCTTGAATGGGCATCTTGCGATCCTTTTCTTCTGATTAACGGGCTCTAGATAGGGCTTCAAAGGAGCGGTGAACGCGGGCAATGGAGGCGGCGAACGAGGGAGCAACGTCACGCGGGCGTGACCTGGGGATCAAGAAATCACGCGAGGCGATGGGACGGATGTGCGGCCCGCGCTCCGAGTGCGCGTCGCTCGTGTTTGTCAATTGACAGTCGCAGTCGCCTGACGACATCAGTGGTGGTGTCCTATGCGCCTCTTGAATCCCGCTGCCATCTTGAGAACAAGCCCCCTCCGCATTCTTCGACCATCTGCAACCTGCTCGATCTATAGGACTCGTCTAGCTCCCCCATCGTCCATTCGACACAGATCGAACCACACCTACTCTGCCCCCACCTTCAAGTTCAGGATGGCATCCTCGAAGGAGGTCTCTGCTGATCGCTCGCGCGTCTGCGTCTTCGGCGCCGGAAACTTTGGAAGCTGCTTGGCTGATCACCTCGGCGACTCGAACCACGAAGTCTTCATGTGGGCTCGCGAGAAGGAAGTCATCGAGACCTTCAACGCGTCCCATCGTAACCCCGTCTACCTCACCGATCATGCATTCTCCGAGAACATCACCGCCATTGGCCCTGACTTCCCTGACGAGGCGTTCATCGAGTCTATGGATGTGCTCATCTTCGCGATCCCCACGCAATTCCTGAGGTACGCGATCCGCGAGCGCTCCTGCGCGCGTCTTAGAACATTCCAAGGCAGAGCCTAGCCACCCTTCATCCGCGCTTCAACGAGAAGCATCATCCTTTGCTTGTTTTCGTCAACAAGGGTATCGAAATTGGCACGAATGCATTGACTTTGGAAATCATTACGGATACCTGCGGTCCCGCATTAGCCAAGGCCGCGACCTTCATCGTGAGGGGTTCTTCTCTTCCACTGAGTAACTAGCTTGACACCGGCTCATAGTCCGGACCCTCCTTCGCGAAAGAAAGTACGGCATAAGCTAGCTCACAGTTGCGTCCGGAGATTGATCTGCTCACCCAGTCATTCAACGCCAGCCGACCTCGGTCTCTGTCGCGTCCCTTACCGAGAGTGAAGCAGAGAAGACCAGTACACTATTCCATCAACCTCACTTCCGTTGGTACGTACTTTGTTCCATGATCGTTTACTAGGCTTGACAATGTATAGCTACACTGGCTCCGATCCCATAGGCCTCGAGCTGTCAGGTGCACTCAAGAACGTCTATGCCATCGCCGCTGGAATGTCGGACGGTTTGGGATACAAGAACAACACTCGGGCTAGTGCGTATTGTTGGACGTCATGCTCTCACCTGCTCAATTCCCGCAGTGATTATCACTCGTGGTCTGGCGGAGATGGCCCGGATTGGGACGGCATATGGCGCTTCGCCCTTGACTTTCCTTGGCCTAGCCGGTGTTGGAGATTTATTCCTCACCTGCAGCTCTTCCAACAGCCGGAACTATACCGTTGGATATCGCTTAGGCCAGGGGGAGTCGCTGGATGAAATCGTCAAGACCCTGGGAAGTGTGGCCGAAGGTGTTTCGACGGCAAAGGGTGCGAAGGCGATCGTCGACCAGATGAAGGTTTCGGCGCCCATCGCGGAAAGCGTGAGTGTGTGCGCCGTTCAATCGAATCCATCTAACATGCGCTATCAGATCTACGAAGTGCTCTATAATGGTGCGCATGACCGTCTGTTGACGCCTGGGATGAATCTGACTTTGCTGTTCGCAGGCTTGGGAGTGAAAGATGCAATCCGGTACTTGATGGAGCTGCCGCCCTCAAAGGAGCTGGACCTTCCGAAGGCCCCACACGGGCCTGCGAGTCGCCTGCTGCAGAAGCTAGGGTTGGACGAGTGAATAGGGCGTATGAGCTTGGTATTATCGATGGCCCCGATAGGTGCGGGTTGCGGCGGGCCTGCGTTCCGCGCGCTCGGCTGAGTCAAAGAGTGGACGCCCTAGCTTTTCGGGGGTCCGACGTAACCAATGATGTGTCAGGGATTGCGGGCGAAGTAGGGGTATAGCTAGCGACTGCAAAGACGAGAATTTCTGGACAATTTCTGGGCGGGGGAGGAGGGCAATACCCCCGCGAAGCCCCGAGGCACGGGAGACAATGCGAATGCCATTATTGGGCGCTGCGCAATGCAAGGCACGGATGTAGAAGTGGGCCACGCGAGCGGATGTATGTGATCGAGCTCTTGATCGGCCTGACCCGAATGAATTTTCTGGGTCGTTTGAAGTTTCCCCGGCCGACTTGCTCGTCCTCTCCGTCTTCCCCCGCCAGCTCCTCTCGCTGCCGCCCATCGCTCCTTCGACCCAGTCACTCCCCAGTGCTTGTTTGTCCGCTTTTGCTTGTACCTCATGGTCGCTTCTCTCGCGCTCGCTGCCGCCGAGGGCCGCCTCGAAGATGTGCGTGCAATCCTCGCGCAGGAATCCCCAGTCGATCTCGAGGCCAGAGGTGCGTCTGATCTGCGCCACCCCCGGTGCACATGTCGCACTGTCAAGGATAATTAAGTTGACAACATCTGTACATCCAGATGAGGCCGGGAACACGCCGCTTGTCGAGGCAGTCAGAAACGGACATCTTGAGGTCGTCAGAGCACTCCTGGAAAAAGGTGCGCGGTGGCGCGACAGCGGTCGTGCTCGTCTGACACGTGTTTGTATTTTAGGCGCCGACCCCTCTGCGTGTGCCGAGCCCGCGCAGCTTACCTCGGACCCAGCCATCCTGGAGCTGTTAGAGGCCGCGAAAAGCAAGCCGGAGGGCACAGAAGCACCGCAGGTCAACGGCTACCACGCTGAAGCGCCCGGGGAGATGCCCGCACCGTACTACCCCCCGCCCGTGCCGTACGGCTACTACCCTCCGTACGGGTACCCGCCGGCGCCTCAGCAGATGCCAGACGGCACGACAGTCTACCCTCCCCCTCCCCCTCCATTCATGCCGCCGCCGCCAGGCCCTACAGGCGCGCCCGGAGAGCCGCAGACCTTCCCGGGACATGGACCGTCCCCGGAGATCACGAAAACGATCCCCTGCCGCTTCTTCCCTGCCTGCAGGTACGGCCAGTCGTGCAGGTACTTCCACCCTCCTGCGCCATACTACCCGCCCATGTACCCGCAAGGACAGTACCCGCCAGCCTCGTTCGACCCGATGAATGGGTCGCCGTACGGCTACTACCCCGTGCCGCCCCCGCAGTTTTCGTCACCCCCGAATGGTGTCGCGCCGCTAGAGCAGCAGCCACCGACGCCATTGAGCGCGCAGATGCCTCCGCCACCTCAGCCGACTGACGGCATAGCGTCTCCACCAACAGGCCCGCCGGCCTTCATCCCGGGCGCACCGCCAGCGCAAGGCGTTCCCTACGCGCCTGTGCCAGCTATGTCGCCGCCGAACGGATACGCTCATCCAGGGCCTATCCCGATGGCGATGCCGCCCCCAGTACCTGGTCCGATGCCCAACGGTGTGCCTCCGCCCGCTATGTACCCGGTGCCTCAGATGAATGGTCATGCTGAACACGGGGAGGTGCCCGACGCGCCGGCGGCAGCGCCGCCTGTCAAGCCTCATGGTGAGGGCTACCCGCACCCGCCGCCCTTCCGTGACGGCCACCACCGGCGAGGGAGCATGCGGCGACCGTCTTTGGCTAGTCGGAAACCGCCGTGCATGTTCTTCCCTGCGGGACGGTGCAAGAATGGGTACGTCGTGTGCTCTTTTTGCCGAGAAGGCACTAACAGTGAACAGGGATGACTGTCGCTTCCCGCACGTACTCCCCGACGGAAGCGGTCCTGGCATGCACGCGCGTGTAGGGCCTCGTCCGCGCCCGCACAGCTTTGGCAACGGCTTGAATGGCATTGAGGAGCGCATGGGCGCCATGCAGCTGCGCGAGGTGAGTAGTTTTAACACGCGTCCGAACTTCATGGTCTGACTTTCTTCAGAACGGTGCTCCCAATGGAAATGGACACGTCGACAACCGACGCTTCTCCGGACCGAAGCAAATGAATGGCTTTCGCGGGGGCAGGGCGCCCGTGATGAAGCAACGTCTGCCCAACGCAGACGAGTTCCCCGTCCTCGGCGGTGGTTCACCCAACAGGAGCGCGGGCCCTGCGTCGCCCGCTGCGAACGGTCCCACCGCGGCACAGGTGCTCCAGGCGCCTGCTCCCTTTCGTCCTGCCGCCAAGGACACGCCCAAGACGGCCGAGTCGACCCAGCCGTCGCAGCAGGCGAGCAAGGTAAGCTACTCACGTGACCGTTCTGCCTCCGCGTTCACTGACACGGACCCACAGGCGCCCACGGAGACGCAAGGCAGCACCCGCTCGGATTCACCCGAAATCATCTGCAAGCCTCTCCCCATCTCCTTCGCAGCCGCCGCTGCGGCGCCCGACGCGGCGAAGGAGGTCCAGGTCTCGGCCTAAAAGTACACACTGGATGCCCGCCGCGCTCGCGTCCCTCGCCCACTGCCTACTATTTATTCCATCTCGGGTTTCTTCTGCGTTGTTTCCCTGTGTTCCATCACCATACTACCCCAGTATGTGTACATCTGTCTCTCTTTTCTCTACTTACGTGCGGCCTGTCGTGCGGCGTAATCCTCTTCTTTATTGCTGCTCTTTTTCTATCCTTATCTTCGTTTTGCATAATACTCCACAATCCTCTATCGTCGTGTATACTACGCCCTCGCCAGCCGCGCGCATCGACCGCCCGCCCATTGTCGTATACTCACACCCACACACACATACCGGTCCCGTTCGTGCTGCTGATCTCGCGCTCGATGCTACGTATCGTATCCTACCCATGCCCCATCTCACCGTCTAGCTACTTATGTCGCTGTCACTGACTGTCTCTGCCACGGACCCTCCCCGTTACATACTACTGTTCTCGGCACCTACGTGCGCATACGCCTGTTATTCGATGCCTGCTTTGTACCACCACGCACACGCACGACGACTGACCCTCGGCTCGACAAGCTCAGGACATCAGACTTAGCTAGTTAGATCCAAGCCATTGCATGGCGCGGACGCTTCTTCTGTTTGGTCCCCTTCTACACTCGTTTCTGCGATTCACGAGAATTGTATAACACCATGTACACCCTGTATATAGCGGGACCACATTGCGATGCGAAGCACCGACCTCTGCTCACGATTCATGGAAAAAGTACACGATTCGTCGAAAGCTACACGATTTTTTAGCACAGATACAACACGACTCTCGGCAAGTTAGAAATACATAGATCTGGTTTGGACTTTTTTGTCGCAACCACGGTACGGCTATGAGGACCACGACTCCAGGTTGCGCATCTCGACGCCCGGCGTGGCGGTCACCTCCCCGATGCGATACACGGTGGCCTCTCCGCCAGCCAGCGCCGCCGTCGCCGCCTCAACCTGCTCAGGCGCAACCACGAGCACCAGCCCGATACCGCAGTTGAACGTGCGCGCCATCTCGAGGGGCGCAATGTTCCCTGCCTGCATGAGCCAGCGGAATACAGGCGGCAAAGGCCACGCCGCAGCGTCGATCGCAGCGCCAGTGCCCTTCGGCAGCACGCGCGGGACGTTCTCGATGAAGCCGCCGCCGGTGATGTGCGACATGCCCTTCAGTAGCCCCTTCTGCGCGACCGGCAGGACCTGGCGGACATAAATTCGCGTCGGCGTCAACAACGCGCTCCCCAGCGTCGTTGTTCCATCCCACGGCGCCGGCGCGCCATACGCCACGCCTGCCCGCTCCACCACCTTCCTAATCAACGAGAACCCATTCGAGTGCGGGCCCGACGAGCTCAGACCCAGCAGCACATCACCAGGCTGAATATCGGGCTTGGGGAGGATGGCATCCCGCTCAACCGCCCCGACGGCGAAGCCCGCGAGGTCATAGTCGCCCGGAGCGTACATGCCGGGCATCTCTGCAGTCTCGCCGCCGACGAGGGCGCAGTTGGCGAGGCGGCAGCCCGCGGCGATGCCGGAGACGACTTGGGTGGCGACGGGGACGGAGAGGGAGCTGCAGCCGTAGTAGTCGAGGAAGAAGAGGGGCTCGGCGCCCTGAACGAGGAGGTCGTTGACGGACATGGCCACGAGGTCGATGCCTAGAAGGTGTGTCAGTTGGACTTCGGAAGAAGGGAAAGTTGGAGACACTCACCGACAAGGTCGTGCACGCCAACGTCTACCGCGACGCGCAACTTCGTGCCGACGCCATCCGTACCGCTGACAAGCACCGGGTCCCTGTACCCAGTCGCCTTCAAATCGAACACGCCGCCAAAGCCGCCGATCTCAGCGTCCGCTCCTGGCCGCCTCGTCGAGCGCACGCACGCCTTGATGTTCTCCACCAGCGAATTGCCCGCCTCAACGGACACACCAGCCGCCGCATACGTCAACCCCTCCGGCTGGTCCTTCGCAGCCTTGAGCGCACGATGCGCGATGTCACGTCGGTACGTCTTGCCGTCGAAGTTAACCTTATCGACGCCGGCGTATACGCGCTCAAGGGCTTCGGGGAGCGTCTGGCCATACGCGGTGACAGCGAGCACGCGACCGCCGTCGGTGACGACTGCACCGTCCTGCTTCTTCGTCCCAGCGTGGAAGACGACGGCATCCGGCGTATCGTCGAAGGTGATGGTCTTGCCCTTGGGATAGCTTCCGGGGTAGCCAGCCGAGGCAAGGATAACAGAGACGGCATAGCCTGGACGGATGTTGATGGACACACTGTCCAGCCGACGCTCAGCGCAAGCTAGCAAAATAGACGCCAGATCGGTGGAGTCCTCGAGCAAGAGCATGATCGCCTCGGTCTCGGGATCGCCAAAGCGGACGTTGTACTCCAACACGCGCGGGCCCGAGGGCGTAAGCATGAACCCAGTGAAGAGCATGCCCACGAAGGGGGACCCGTCCTTCCGCATCCCCGCGATCGTAGGCTGCAGACACTCGCGCATGATATGCTCCATGACCGCGGGCGTCGCGACCGGCGCAGGTGCATACGCGCCCATGCCACCCGTGTTCAACCCCGTATCCCCCTCGCCGATACGCTTGTGGTCCTGCGCGGCGGGCAAGGGCACGATCGTGTACCCGTCCGAGAACGCGAGGACGGAGATCTCGTCCCCTGTGAGGAGCTCCTCGACGACGACCTCGCTGCCCGCGCTGCCGAAGGCGTTGTCGACCATGATGCTCTTAAGGCCCTCGATCGCCTCCTCAGTGGTGGCGGGGATGAGGACGCCCTTGCCTGCGGCGAGGCCGCTGGCCTTCAGGACGACGGGGTGGCCGCAGGTCTTGACGTAGGTGGAGGCCTCATCGAACTGGGAAGAGGTGAAGGTGCGGAAGGCGGCGGTGGGGATGTTGTGGCGCGCCATGAAATCTTTTGAGAATGCCTTGGAGCCCTCCATCTGGGCGGCCGCGGCGGTTGGTCCAAAGACGGGGATGCCGACTGCATACGATCAGATGGTGCTGCTATGAGGAAGGGGGGATGGGTGCGCACCTTTACGGAAGTATGTCTCGACGCCATCAACCAGTGGCTGCTCTGGTCCAGGTAGAACGAGGGTGATCTGCAAACGTCAGTAATTGGACCAAATGTATGTCATAGATCGCACCTCATTCTTCTGCGCAAATTCGACGAGGCGGGGAAAGTCCCCCACACTAATGTTCACGTTGGTAGTCTTGGGGAGCGAGTCCGTCCCCCCGTTCCCCGGAGCGACATACAGCTGATCGACGGAGGGAGATTGCGCGAGCTTCCATGCGAGGGCATGTTCGCGGCCCCCGCTGCCGAGGATGAGGATGCGCGCGGCCATGGGTCGAGATCAGTGAGTATAAGGACTCATTCCATGATTGCCAGTTTGCAGAGCGATCGGGGAGATAAGATTAGATAGCGGAGGCAGTTTCCCACGGGCGGTGGGTGCGGCGCGCGCGAGCTGTCGCGCGAATGGGAAATGGCAATGGTCGTCAGAAAATATGTCACCGCTGGCTGGGCGCCGGGCAGGCCAAGGGCACAAGGGCATTTGCGGGCATGGACTGCGCCCGGGTGCAGCGGGGATGAGTGATCCGGCAGCCGCATAGAGAGCCCTGGAAGGCGGTGGACTTAGCGCGTCTGGTGACTGGGGGACTCGGCCTGCACGTGCGGTGGCGGAGGCAGCCAGTGAATTGAGATGCGCGGCTTGCCCTTGTACGCCGTCGAAACGTCGCCCAGAACGCAGCAAACGACGAGAAAAGGCGCCAGAAATTCACGGAAAAAGGCAACATCAACCTCATGGCGTCCTACGGATCGTTCGGCGTGGAGCCGTTCGAAGAGGCGGTTTGTTGATATTTCCAATCCCTTTATCCCATCGTATTTACCATCATCCCATCCCAGTCGGGCGGTCCTGGCAAGACGACCGCGTCGCCAGCAGATCTCAGCGCGTTTTATGCCGACATGGAGCGCAAGGAGAAGCAGGACAAGCTCGAGAGGCAGGCCTCAAAGGCCTCCAAGAGAAAATCTGGCTCTGGCCACGGTCTCTTCCACCGCAAGAGCACCAAGCGCGCCTCCGCAGTCCCCGCCGCGCCCCCGCCAGTGCCCAACCAGCTCTCCCCGAACGGCCTCCTGCACTCGCGCGACCCGTCACAGGACAGGTCCGACCTCGCCTCCCTCGCCACGCATCCCTCCACGACAGACCTCGCCGCGGCCGCATCAATCATCCCAGAGGTTCTCCCAGAGCGTCCCGACTGGTTCACGACCAACCACTGGGTCATCTACCCCGGCCAAGTCGTCAAGTACACCATCCACAACCCCGTTGGCCCCAGATGGTACCGCAACCAGCACCTCAAGCCTCCCAGCGTAACACGCGCCCGACCGTCGTCATTCTTTTCTCCCTCCTTTCCCCCCATGGCGACCGCCTCCATGCAAGAACGCTCGGAGGATTCGGCTGGCTTGAGCAGAAGTCCGTCCAACTCCCCTCTCCCTACACCGAGCTCTTCACAAGTGCGCATTGCCGCCGATGTCAATGGAAAGCCACGATCACGGAAAACTTCGCTGACCGCTGCCCATGATACGGTCGACCTGCTGGACGCGTCCGACCCCTACGGTATGAACTGGCACCATCAGTCGCCCTATGACGCGGGCATTACAGCCCCATCCGTTGTAGATGTTGATGTTCGTCTTTTCCTCCAACGTTCTCCCGCGCGTGCTAATTACAGCCCGCTAGACCCGGTCCCGCGTCTCTAGCCTCAATGGCGTGACCCGTCATCGCACAGTTACCCCCTCGCCTTTGTCGCAGTCGACGTCCGCTGTCCACTTGCGTCCGCCACCGGCGGCAGAACAGGAGGGCACGGGGCCCCGTATACCTCGCAAGCTCAGCAAGCGACGCGCGCCACTTTTCGGCGCTTTCCGCAAGGACAACAAGGACACGAAGTCCGCCACAATCGACGAACGCGGTCCCATTTCCATGCCCAACTCCCCTTCTGATGCGGAAATCCCGGACAAGGCTTCCAAGTCCGAAGTCAAGCTCCCCATATCGGCGTCCCTCACGACTCTACCGACGTCGGGTGGCGAATACCCGAAGCGCATGTCGATGTTGCAGGTACCGGCGGTCACCAATATCAAGAAAGAGCGCCGGGGCAGCGTGCTGGGGCGTATCGCGCGGCGTTTCAGTGTCGTACGCAAGCCGCAGCACGAGCGGCAGCCAAGCAGCTCCTCGACACTGCAGGCCCCCGAGCATGCGAAGGACGACAGTGTGAGCCAAGACATACAGGAGTGGCAACACATCAGTGCTGACGATGCCAAGCACGACGGCAGGGAATCAGGAACGCCAGCTCCGCCACCTGCAACTGAGGCGCCGACGCCCGAAGCAGCGCCGCCGCCAGTCGTGACGACCCCCGCGTCGCCCGTCGAGGTTGCGCCGCCAGCTGTTGAGCCCCCACGTGCGTTGCAGGACGCAGATAACCGCTCCTCAGTATCGATTGAGGCACCCTTCTCGATTGGCAGGCTGACTGTTGCCAACCCGGACGCGCATGCAGATTCGGGGAGCGAGGGCACACCCAGGAAGTCAGCTCCGGCGGAGTTGCCCGCTGAGCACCCGACAGCGAGGAAGCAGCACACCGCCCCCGCAGCGATCGAGACGCCTGCTGTCCATGCTGCAGCGGCTGCACGGGTCTCCCCGCCACCCGTTGACACGGGGCGGCCAATGTCCGGTAATTCGGCGAGTGCTAGTCAGCGGCCCTCGTCATCCGTTCCTCCCCAGCCGACTCCCGTGAAAGAGTCGAAGTCCCCGTTTACCCCCACCCATCGGAACAGCGAGAGCTCAGCTCGTCCCTCTAGGGCGTCGTATGAGAGCCAGAGGACGTCACCGCCGGTCCATCTTCCCCGCGCGAGCTCCTCTTCTCCAGATAAGCGTCATGCGGTCTCCCGTTCGCAGGACCTGGACACGTCGAAGAGCTCCCGTCGCTCGCATGAGCGCGAGAGGACAATCTCGGCGACGCGCCCCATTATCTCGTCCCCGAAGCCTATGATGTCTGCTGCGAAGCATGCGTCGTCGCAGTCGTCGCCTACCCGTGGCAAGCGCTCCTCGCACTCGGCGCCCCCGCCATGGGCTCCGCCGATCTCGTATATGGGCATGGACAATACGCCGCTGTCCACAGCGTCGGTGATTGCGAACCCACCTACGCCCCAGGTTATGCCTATCGTGCCACCGTCACCATCCACGGTCGCGCCGACCTTGCCCCCGAAGGACATTCCTGAACCCGAGTTCAAGCCTTCCGGCGAGCCTTCGCCGTCCTTGAGTGCCACATACACTCGGCACACCGAGACGTTCCGGCTGGTGCGCAGCGAGTCGGGGAGGGTGTTTGCGTCCGCAGACACGATTCAGGACGCCATGGGCGAGCAGTGGGAGGTGATGGAGTCACACAACCGGAGCTCGTCGAAGAGCAAGGGGAAGGAGCGTGACAGCACAGATGCGGTGCGGCGGCATTCGAAGGAGCAGCGCAGCAGCAAGCGCCGCGGGAGCGAGAGCCAGGTCACTACGCGCGCGATGAGTCCCGAGACGCAGCATGATACCTCGCGCACGGAGGAGCCGAAGGCGACGCGCCGCCGCTCAGAGGACCGTCACCAGTCGGTCGAGCGCGTGTCCGTGAACAAGCCGACGCCGCCTACCCCCGCTTCGCCCCAGGCGCGGCCCCTCGAGCGCGCCTCGACTACGAGGTCGGTGCGACCCACATCAGAGATGCCAGCGGCGGACGACCTGAACGCGGTCCGCGCGCGCGAGGCGTGGGAGATGGAGCGCCTGTTCAAGGCGAAGAGCTTGACGAACACCGACGAGTACAACTCGCGGCGCATCAGTTCTGAGGCGTCGTCGACGCCGCCGCGGCCGATCTCCAAGGATCTGGACGCGATGATCGCGCACGGGGACACCGTCGTTGCGCATGGGTCAAGCCACACGGCGTTCGTTGTGCAGCCGCTGCAGGGCATGGGCGGGCGGAGGAACAGCGCGTCGGCGGCGCGGTCTGCGGAGCTGCCCCCGTTGGCGACCAACCCCCTGCCGGAGCCGCCTCGCGAGTCGGACTACAAGCCGGCGCCGTTCCCAGTGATGAAGCTGGACACGAACCGAGCGCCCGAGCACTGGACCAAACTTCACGATGGGTTGACGACCGCGCACTAACTGTGCGCAGACTCTCTACACTAGAGTCCCCTCCTCTTTATGGTTTCCCTTACACATATTTACCCCCGACCCTCCACTGCCCCGGCAGCGCCCAGTCTGCATGTACTATGCCATGTCTATAGTTCAGACGCGATGCTCGGACCTACGCTCACTTGCTCGGTTACGACTACTACATATCTAAGTACATAGACCCAGATACCACGGACGCTGTCTGCGTTGTTCTAGTTTGCTATTTCACGATGATACACCTACTCTGCGACCCGGACATCTGGTGCCCGTCCCAAGTACATGTCCGCTGTAGTTTCCTTTTCTTCTTTTCCTGTCGGGCTCGCCGTCCAAGGTACGCTGTAGTTACGCTAAGGATACTGGCGCCGTTGCTCACGTAGGACGTGGGTACCTTACTATCTAGGTTAATGCACCATACTGGTTACCATTCCTGAACTGAGCAATAGCGAGCGACACAAGTCAAGTTACCGTAGAATTCTACTCTAGGTCACGCCACAATCACGTGGTGATGTTGAATGCCTTCTGCCTCATTTCATGCTCGTGTCTTTTTTCCTCACTCCTCGACTTCTGCAACATCATTCATAGGCTTCCAACTACATTTCTCGGTGCATTAAGTGCAAGATGACGCCATCCAGGCCGTTCGCTTTTGATGACAAGGAATCCCTCGATAACTACTGCGAGCGCATGGAGTGGTTCCAGACGCGGGCGACGGAAATTTTGCCACTCGACAAGGGCTTGACCTTTGAACTCGCTCTCGCAGCACCAAACGACATTGGTGGAGTAGACGCTCGGCGGTCACCCATCGGCCGTATACAAGCTATGGCCACATATGTTCTGGTGAAGGCGCTGCAGCAGGGTCCACAGTACCAATCACAAGTTTGGTTAGCGCGACCTACAAGCTCTGACCCTAGCACTACGATCGAGCTGGTCTTAAAATTCATCATCCCTAGTCATCTCGAGATGCCCGGCTTTGACGTTGTTAGCGAAAATTGTGTTAACCTTGCCGAGTATACGTTTCCTGACGACATCGTGGCATATCAAGTTGCGGCGTACCAGGCACTGGGCGACTTGCAAGGGATTACTGTCCCGTACTTCTACGGGGTGAATGAGGTGAGGCAACTCAAATGATATTCAGGACTAGCATACTCATGTTTGCAAAGGTATCAGTGCCTTGGGGCGAACCTGGAGTTCAAGTACTTGCTCTGGAGTATATACACGGGCCTCGCATGACAGAGGTCGCCACGGTCGTCGACTCCGAAGACTCAGCTCCTTCTGAGCTGATCAAGTATCGCGACTACGATACTTACCTGGCGTTGGTGAGTCCAACATCGTGATCTCCATTCGCTCGTTAACCTCACCTTGCCACAAAGCTCGAAACCGGCATCTCGACCCTCCTTCAGGCGCACGCGCGGGGCATCGTCCACTGCGACGTGCGCGATGCCAACGTCCTCATTGACGTCGCCCACAACCAGGTCGTCTTCCTCGACTGGACCAACGACGCCCCGCCCCATCTCGCCGGCATTGGGTGTGAGCACGATCCGAAACTCAACATGTCCATTGACATTGTGCAGCTCGCTCGACTCTTCGAATATCCATCTTTGCATGCCAAGCGGATCTATGAGTACTTCGACTCTCGGTTTCCATGGCTGGGTGTTTTTTGGGGGAGGCCGCGAGCGCCTGATGGATCCTTATTGTATCCTGAACTAAGTCTTTAGTGTCGACATCTGATATAGCAGTCAAGCATTGTAGAGTTTGCCGGAGTTCACTTGCAATCTAACGAGTATCATCTGTATACCAGCAACCACGTCGAGTTGAGGGGTAAGCGCAGATATTATTACAAGCTTTACAGTTGCGGTCCATAGGCAATAAGGCGATAAATTAGCAGTAGAGAATCGTATTTCCACGAAGGCATCAGGTATAGAAAATCAAACAACGCGACGCGTCTTCCACATGCATGAACAACTACCCCTTTCATGCAGCCAGCATCTCCACATCCCGCGGCCTCACCATGGGCGACGCCTCCAGCTCGTCAATCTCCAGCTGCTCGCTCCGCGGCGTGCGCATCTCCACATCGCTCTCGTCCTCCACAATCCGCTCGCGCTCGCGCTCCTCCGCCAGCCGCCGCTTGTACTGCTCGTTGATGCTCACCAGCAGCTCGCGGATCAGCATCGCGTGCCGCCTCTTGTCCGCGACGCTATTCTCGCCCGCCTTGAGGTCGATGCGCCCCATATCCCGCGCAAGCTCCTCGGACGACGCGCGCTTCTCGGGGCCCGGGGTACTCCCGCTCCCGCCCGCGCGCCCAGCGTCGACGTCTGACAGGCGCGGGTAGGCACGCCCGGGCGAGCCGCGCGTCGACGAGGATAGGTCGCGGATCGAGGGCAGGCTGACGCCCTGTTCGCGGCCCTCGCCGCGCGATGCGAGCGGGGGCAGCTTGAGGTCCGCGTCGCCCGACGTGAGCAGCGGGTACAGGCGCGAAAAGCCGCCCGAGCGCGGGCCCGGCGAGACGCTGCGACGCGAGGTGCGGTCTGCAGGCGCCTCCTGCACCTCCGCCGCATCGCGGGTGGCAGGACGGGCAGGCGGGACCGACTTGAGCGGCACGATAGTGCGCATGGCCTTGCCCGCCGCCGCATAATCGGCTGCGAGGTGCGCCGCCGGCGCGGGGCCGCGTGTGGGCCGCAGGTAGTCGAAGTCGGCGAGGAGCTGATGATCCGGCAGGTGCTGGTGCTCAGGTAGGTGGGGCGGTGTCGAAGTGAGCGGCGTGCTCACCGACGAATGCGGCGAGCTGATCTCGAGCGGCGGCGTCGGCTGGTGCTGGTAGTTGCCGTAGCCGCCCATGTTCGAGTACTTGCTCGCGGAAGCGCGACGGGAGTTGGAGTGATGTGAGATGGGTGCATGCTGGTAGTCAGGCATCGGCGGGATGGGGAAGGCGTCCTCGAGGTTGGGGTACACGCTGTAGCCAGAGGACGACGAAGACATGGACGAGCGATGCATGCCCTGGCCATTCGACGTCGCAAAGTGATTGGGCGGCGAGGGTGGGGGCATACCCGGCAGGCCTGCCAGCCCAAGCTGATTGAGGCTAGCGGTATCGAAGAGGTCAGCTGTGAAGTCGTCGAGCGCTGGGGCCTGCTGCTGGGCCATGTGCTGCTGCTGTTGCTGTTGTTGCTGCTGCGAGATTGGCACCGTCCGTGCAGCGACGCTCCGGCCCAAAGTAACCAAAAACTCGTTGACAGCAGACAGCTCCTCGGGTGTGCGGATATCGAACGACACAGAGCGCGGGTTGAACCCGACGTCCTGGCTCTGATACGCCGCCAGCTGGTTCAGTCTCTCCGCCATGCCTGTAGCAATGCATTAGCTTGAGTGGGTAAGTTTAGTGACGCGGACTTACGAGGATCATATGACGGGCTGACACGTCGCTTCTTCATGTCGGTAAAGAAGTCGTCCATGAAATCGTGGGAGCGTTTCTGCCCAGCGGAGGCGTGAGCTTCAGGACGCAGCACCTCCCACTGTGGCAGAGAGTCGTTCGGCATGAACATGTGGCTGGGTGGCGTGTGGTGGGAGTGGCTGCGGCGGTGGTGGTCGCGATGGTCCATCGGGGACGTTATCTCGGGCGAGGGCGTATGTACGTAGTGCGAGCCTCCTGTATGGTGTGAGACGGGACGCATTCGGCCGCGCTCATCCCACGTACCATCGGAGGATGAGCGGGAAGAGGGCATGCGGGCAGAGGGGACGTCGAGGTGCTTGCTCGAGTAGTCCTCCGGGGCGCGCGAGACTGAGCTGCCGCGGACGCGGGAAACGTAGGCCGGATCCTGGACGGTGATCGCTTTCGAGTGCTTGTGCTGCTGGTGGTGCTCCTCCGTGTGGATCTTCTCGTGCTTCTTCAGGTCCTGGGGACGCTTGAAGGATTTCTTGCATATTTCGCAGATGTGGGGCTTCAAGGGAGTATGTACTGGGCAAAGTCAGCATGAGACGGGGGATGGGAAGGATGGAGGACATACCTCGCATGTGGGAGGTAATGTGGTCGCGCTTTGCGCATGTGACGGTGCAGTCCTTCCACTTGCATGTGAGACAGAGGTTATTGGTGCTCTTGCGTCCGATGTGGTCGTTGCAGAGATGGTTGTAGAGTACCTCGGGGTCGCTGAAGTCGAGTGTGCAGTCGACCCATTGGCACCTGTGTGCGTCCCCGGAGCGTGCGGGCGACGGGGGGCGGTCCGAGGCCTGTGAGTTGGGGGCGGGGGCTGTCATGGGCGTCGGCGTGTAGACCAGGCGGGGAATATGCTGTCGGTCGCGAAAAGGGGACGAGTGCAGATGCGCCATCTATATAATCCGTCTCCCCCTTTCCCTGCCAAGAGCGCCAAGAGGCCAAGCCAGACTGCACAGCCACGCTCTCGAAGCGGACCTCTCCGATCAATTGCCTAATCGGGTTGTATCATTCTTTCCGTGCCTTCCCACGCACCCAAAGCCTCCGGACGGCCGTCGCGCCCTTGACTTGCGCTTCAACGACTTACTGGCTATTTTGCTGATATTTTCTGCTGCGACGACGTCCGAAAACATATCTGCCCGCGGCAATCCCTTGGCTTCGGTCCGGGCTCAATCCGGGCTTGGTCCTCTTGACCGCCAAGACCTCTTGGCACAATCTTCCACGTCCGTGCGTCTCTCATTCGCACGCGCCAAGCCGGGCCTTTGTTGTGCTCTATTTGCGCGTCCGGCGCCTGTTGAGACTCCCGCTCGCTCCGGGAATGCGCTGCTGAGACACGTCCTGGCAGTGCAGGTCCTTACCGCTTCGGTGCGCGAGGAGTACCTGTCCAGGGCACCTCGCAATGATGACCAGCCAAGCGAAAGAGACCTGTATTCCTGCCCGCGGCAATTATGGCTCCATCCAAGTGATCCAGCAACCATACAACCCACCTCAATCGTCGAGGAGTATACACTTGGCAGAGGGATACCACCCGATATTGTGGATTTCTCGACGGCGACGTGGATATCGTGCGAACGCGTTCAAGCCATGCGCTGAACTTGGCAAGCCATCGCCGGCCGCCAGAAGACTTCGTGTTGCTGCCACGATATTCTCGCACCTCTGCCATGACATTCTCGCGCCGCCGCCACGACGACTTCGCACTTCTCGGTTGATCTCGTACTATCGTCACCGTAAGGCTTCACCACGGACGCATACCTGCAACCGGACTTCACCTATAGGTATTTACGCCTTGGGCTATACGGCGATGTCATTATGTGCGAATTCGTCTTACGCACCTCGGCTTTGCTTGCTGATGTCAATTCCATTGCGACCAGTGCATACTCTAGTCGCTTGCATAGCCGAATTGAGGTGAGGATGTATGCGGAGGTATACGGCCACCCAGCGAGCGAGAGTACGACTAGCGAGGTCGTCGAGAGCGCCAACAGGCGGCCATACAGACCGCAACTTTCTGGCGTATAGATTCGGGAGGCAAGTGGCAATCCAACGCATGCCACAAACCATGATTGGCCCTGGCGAGGTAAACACACAATGAATGAACGTGCGGGCAGTCTACCTCTTGGCGAAGTCGAGGTTGTGGGAGGCGTTGATGACAGAGGTGCGGATGACCTTACGATGGAGATGCGGTAAACCCTGACAAGGAGTCCGGGGTCTGTAGGCCAGCCTCGGTGCGCTATGCCAAGTCCTCCCTTGCCTAATTCCAACTGGGTCACTCGTTGCCAAGCCCTCCCTTTCATGATCGCGCTTACCACATCCCTGATAGCCTCAGCCCATAAGGATCGGCGCGAAGGGCTTGGGTGCGGGGGAAGGCGGGGAGGCGATCTTCGTGGGTAGGGGGGCGCCGTGGGTAGAGAGTGCTCCGTCCCGATGAGAACCAGGTCGCTCGAATGAAGACGGGGGCGTCATCACCTGAATGAAGGGCTCATCGCCTGAATGAAGGTCTCGTCTTCTGAATGAAGAACTCGGCACCTGTAGAGCTCGAACTTGGCGTCACGATGAGATGGGACGCGTCCCAAGCCCGCTGGGCACGGCGCTAGACGCATGCGGTATACGATGCCGCGGGAAACTATCACGAGCAGAAGGAGAAGCTTGCACAACGATGCGGGTGCTCAAGGAGCTGGCGGGCCTCCGGAAATAGCGCCGCGCCTGAGGGAATGCCATGAAGGTCAAGATGCCGGGGAGGCTATCATAACGCCGCGCTCAAGTACGTGCAACGCCGCATAGAAAAATAGGCCTCGACATCCTTGGGGGAAGATGCGACATAGGAATGTGTCTCCTCGTTCTCCTTGGCTTCGAGACAGCTGACGCGAGGAGGGAAGTGGAGGGCCTGCCCAGCGCCTATAGATCTCGCCCAGTAATGCGCTAAAGCGGTCTAGCACCACAAACGACCTGTCCATTACGCCCAAATCTGCCAAGAGATCTTTATGACAAGAGAAAATAGCAGTGGATGTGCCAAGTACAGGGCTAAATGGGGCTGTCCTATTTGTAGAGTGGCGGTGAAGGAAGTATGGCCAAGTACAGGCGAAGTCGCGCACCAGGAAAAGACGGAGTCGCGGTCGCGTACGATGCCCAGTGAAGGATGGTGTAACCCTGCAAGTCAAGACCAGTAGCATAGCACAAGAACTCGGAGGAGAGTGTATTTACGACGGCCAGAGCTTGGCGACATGACAAGTGCGTATTTTCGAGAGGGTCTATGAGGTTATGACAGGCGCTAGGAGAGTACCGGTGAGTCACACACGCTGTCGAGAAATTCTTACGACGGTGAATTCCGTTTTAACAGGCGCTAGGAAGTTGCCGGTGTGTCGAACCGCGTGGTAGAGCATAGAAGAGGGAGAGCACGGGACCGGTGCAAGGATGCAAGAATGACTTCGAGGTATTCATGGCCGTTGTGCGCGGTTATAATCGAGGTACGGTGGGTGCGAGACACACCGTGTGTATCGCGTAAGGGCGCGCTTGAGAAAAGGGCAGGAACAGCGAAGTATTGTGTGGTAGCGCGAGCAACAGGTCAGAGGATCGAATTGACTTGAAAGGTGGTAGGAATTGCGCGATACGAGTCCAGTGTTGAATTGCAGGAGAGTGCATGCGACTCTCATGAGCCGCCGCCACAGGGCGTACTTCTTATATGGGCGCGTATCGCCAGCCAATTGAGCAAGGTACAGCACCCAGCGTTGACAGAGAGGGGTCTTAAATATGCAGCAAGATTCGCGCAAGAATTCTGGCCTGATAAGGCAATAAAGCATGGCAAGCTCAGCACAGAGGTCGTGGTCAAGTGCAACACCGAACATGATGCCAGCGGCCCCGCCCCGATCGATCGCCCACCCACGTGGAACGCCATCAGCAATAATCCATTCCCCTCCCTTCAGCCACCTCTCCATCCATCTATCATGGGTCGCCTCCGCCGTTCTCGCGCGCACCACGCCCGGCGCGATGTACACCGTGCGGCAAGGACAAGAGTGCGTATGGGTTTTGAAACGAGGGGAAGGTTGTGTTACTGACGAGAAGCATAGGTCCGCTCGAAGGACCTTGACCAGATTCAGCTTATAGACTTGGATCCCAAGGTGCGTTCTGAGGAGTTCATGCACATTGGGACACGTCCCTTATGCCCATCTACTCTTGTCGTACTAACGCACCTTTGCAGAACCGTGCCAAGCTAGAGGCCCAGGAGCTCGACTACGAAAAGCCCGGTCTCGCGCAACATTACTGCGTCGAATGCGCAAAGTCAGTACTCCTCTCACCCTCATGAGACGCCCTCGTGTCCACCATTTACTCCCCTTGGCCCTTGTCCCTCTCCTCCGCGCGTCCCTCGCCCTCGCCTTCACACCCATCACTCCTCCCTGCGCATCCACCACCTCCCATCCCTCTTCCACCTCATCCTCATCTCCACTCATCTAACCCCCTATCTCAGATACTTCGAAACCGACGCCGCCCTCCACACTCACTGGCGCTCCAAGCTCCACAAGCGCCGGTGCAAGCGCCTTGCAGAACCGGCCTACACCATCGAGGAAGCCGAGGCTGCCGCTGGTCTGGGACGCGATACACGGAGAGCGCGCGCAGTGCCGGAGGCAAGCGCGGAGATGGAGACGGACGCGGCACCAGCTGCTGGCGGGTCAGCATCATAATGTGCGCTTGTATGCTTGTCTGTGTTCATGTCATTATCGCCTGTGGATATCCAGCTCTCTTCGATCTGTAGCCTTTCTGTAGCTCTATCTTCACCTCCTGCATCCGACCGAACACGAACAACACACGCAAGCCAGGATCGTTCAATACTTAGAATTAGATCACTACACTTCACAACACATAAAGACGAGGTCATAAGGGTAAGTCGTAAGTACATGGGCAACACTAAGGGCGGTAGGTATACAATACGTGGAGGGGATCCGAGGCGTAAAATACGATAGAATACGAGAAAAAAGAGTAGAAAAAATAATACGACGGAAAAGAAAAATGGGATGGTGATGAATATGAAGCACGGTGATTCCGAGTGAAAGAGGAATGGATAATGGGGACACGCAAGGTGGACGAGGAGGCGCAGGAGTAAGGTGGTGAGATGGAAGAGGAAATGATGAAAAGAAAGAAACACGAGACATGCAAGCCACGGCAAGTATACACAACAGCACGACAGCGAGCGGGACGGAGAGCAGCAGAGCAGGGCGTGACGGGTGCGAGACAACAGTGCAGACGAGATGAGAATGGAAAGACCACGACACCGCTCTTCACCGCTATCTCTCCCCGAGAGTGAGCCCGTTCACCCGCTCCCCTGCTCCTTCTACTTCGGGTTCCTCGCCCTCCTTGAGCCACGAGCGCACGACGGGGCGCAGGATGGGGCTCGCCAGGCCCATGGAGGCGCGCAATGTGGGGCTCGCGGTCATGCCGACCGGGCGAGCGAAGGATAGGCCGGAGCTATAGGAGCTCGGACTGCCGGCGAAGATGGTTGGGCTGGTGTAGCCATTGGGGCTCCCTGCGAGCGAGTTCATGCCGGAACTGCTTGACGAGCTGGAAGAGGCATGCATGCCGTTGCCATTGCCGTTGTTGTTCGATGCCTGGCTACTTGAAGGATTGGATGTTCCGGGACTGAACAACACGCTTCCGCCGTTGGTGAGCAAGCCACCAACGGTGGGACTGGAGGCTGCGGAGCTGCATGAGCTTCCGGGTATGCTCTTTGGTATGGCAAGCGGCATCCGCGGCGTCGCGCGAGGCGAGTGGAGGTGTGGGGAGACGCCGCGGGCAGCAACGTAGCCGCGCATGAAGGAGGATGGAGAACCCGCGCGGCCGATGGATGGTGATACCGCGCGGCGCTTCGCCGATGGGTATGGATCGTAGCGGTCATCGTCTAAGGTGTTATGTTAGTAAGTGGTCGACAAGAGAGGCAGGACAGTGGACCCACGCTTTCGCTTGTTAGACCGCACTGTGCTTGATGTGGGCGGAGGTGTTGAGCGCCACTGCTGTGCAGGGGTCGAGGCAACTGACATCGAGGATACCGACGGCGAGATGGAGGGCTGCAACTGCATTAGACAAGCCCTCTCAGCGCACACAGGCGCACTCACCACGTCCACGTCCATCAGGCTGCCCGCACTTGGGCTTTCAGACACCCGCATCGCCGGGTCATCCCCGCACACACTTCCGGCGGGGGTCCGCGGCTTGCCGATCGGGATCGGCGCACTGGCGGCCATGAACGCGTTGTCCTCCTCGTCGGAATCGTCGTCGCTCTCGTCGCCCTGGTCCCCGTCCTCGCTGGGCGCCTCCTCCGGGAAGCGCCCGCGGTCGTGCGCGTTGCGCGGGGATGGGAACGCCGCGAGCTCCGTGCCCGACGCGACGAGGCGCTGGAACACGGCCTCCCCGCGCGCCTCGCTTTCTTCGGGGCGCGCCTCGGCTTCGGAGAGCAGGTTGAGCAGGCGCGGCGGGCGGAGCTGGGGAGGTGATCTATCAGTGGGGTGGGTCACAGGCGCTAGATCGAAACGCACTGGGTGTGAGAGGCGGCGCAGCTTCTGGGGCTCCGAGGCCTCGGACGCGCGGCGGCGGGGAGGTGTGAGGGGTGGCGAACGTCGTCGTGCGCGGCCCGGGGCGGCTGGGGGTGGTGGGGGCGGCGGGTACTCGGACCCACTGGAGGGCGGCGTATCGGTGCTCATGCGGTCGCGGTCACTGTCGGACGCAGCGTCTTGCGTCTGCGGCACGCGCAGGGTGAACGACTCCGCGAGCGGGCTGGAGAGGTGCGAGGCGAGGATGCTCTGGCGGCGGGTCTTGGCGAGCGGCTCATCGCGGTGGTGGTTGTCGGGCGATATCGCGGAGGCGGGTAGTGCAAAGTCGGACGACGAGGTCGGGAGGGCCGGCCGCGCCATGGTGGTGGTAGTTGGGAGAGAACAAGTTGTACGAGGGCAAGAAGGGCTCGACGCCGTTCATGATGGCGCCTCGATCGCTTGCCCAGTGCTATTTCAGGCAATACAATTGGGGTCTCTGATGGCATGCGGCAACGCCTACACGCACCCGTGCACAGCAAGGGCACAGGGCAATATACCGGGCAAAGGGCTTTTTATTGTTCTACCTCGAAGGCCTGAACTTGCAGTGGCGGGCTCCCTCACAACAGTTGTGGACCTTTTGGTCGTTGCTCGCACGGCGATAACGCGCTCCACGAAGAGACCAGTCCCAGACAAAACACGCGTCACCTACCTTCACGCCTCCACCGACAGAGATCCGCACCCGACATGTCGCCGCAGAGGAGACTATCGTCCCGGATATATTGCACGAGTAGAGAATATACACACGCTTTTGGTCTTTAATAAACCAGATATTTAGTGGCCAAGCGCCAGAGCCCCAGCGACATACGTGCCAGTTGAAGCAAGAGCTGTGAGAAACGGTCAGAACAAGCTCCGTGGAGATGACACCTCGAACGTGGCACAGATGAATGCAAAGAAACCGTGCGGGCAAAAGCGGGAACGTCGGAAGCAGCGGGAACGTGGTGGGGTGAGTAACGACGGGGAGGGATACAGTTTGGACGAAAAGAGCAGGAAGAGACCCAGCTAAATGGCGACGTACCCAAGAAGCAAAGCGAGCCAATCCAACCGCCGCGGGCCTGACGCTATGCGCAAAACCGTGTCAGTTGTCTGCGGTGAAGCAACGTAAGGACCGCCGAACGAACCTTGGACGGGTCGCCCGTGATGTACCCGAGCGTGTAGAGTACACGCCCGACAGTCCAGAGGCCGAGAGCGCCGGCAGCGAATGTGGGGTACTGTTTGAGTTGTGGGAAAGCAAGGGGAGGACGTCAGCTACTGTTGATATATGCGGTTCTTTTCAGTCCACGAACCTTGAGGGCAGACAGAGCGGTGCTGTACAAAAAATAAGTTGACCGTAACAGAGACTAAGGACTCTTCACTTACGCAGTGCATATCAAAGGCATCTGCTCAAGGGTGTTCTGGTGCGCGCGCTGAGTGCAGTTGAACTTCTTGGCGAGGAACGAGGCCTCCTCCTCTGCCTTCTCAGCGTACACTTTCATTCAGGTAAGCAAAAAGGCTAGGAGGATCTGGCATATCCCACTTACGACGAGGGTACTGGATGCCTGTGCGCCGATGAGTACAGGCGAAAAGCTGAATGGTGCGCGTACGTACCAGCTGCTTTCCGGGCACGGCCGACCTGATATGACCGTTAGTATGGGCCAGAATCGAGTATGATGACCATGATAGGGGGAGGGGATGGTATTTTGCATGTGTATGGACATGACTGGAGGGGGCCGAACTCACAAGAAGGGCCTGCCAGACTTGCAGCCAGATCGTCGACGCAAATGCAGCGCCAAGGTACTGGAAGCTGTACAATCGTGTCAGAGCTCCAGCAAGGGACATCAATCCACAACTACGTACCCGTCAGGGAGGACAAGGGTGAAAGGCATATTGGGGGAGGTTATGTGGGTTGGTTGCGAGGCTGTTGGATAGTCGTGTGCGAGCAGAAGGGAATAGAACTTGTAGAATCCAAGCGTGCTGTCCGCCCTATATAAGCCCCCGCAAATTGAACGGATATCCTCCCGCAGACGCACCGTACAATCAGACTCTGGTCAGAACTCGCACGAGAGCGAATGCGCTGGAAGCACTGACGCGCGTGCATTCGGCGGCGCCCGGCTAGCCATAACCGAGCGGACAGCTCGCTCGTTAAGGTCCCCATCGCCCCCTCTCCCTCCACCAACTTTCAGCGATGTCCAGCGGCCTCTGCATCGTCCTGGAGGGCGCGAACAAGTGATATGGGCGGTCAAGCGCGCCAAAGCGAGCTCGCCAGCGACGCGCTCACTTGCGCCATCCGGGGATCGGGCCGGAGATCCGCGACTTGGCGCGATGATTGATCGGTAGCAAATTTGATCGCCATCGCAGAAAGTTGGACTTCGAGGCGTAGACACGGCACCGACGTTCCCCCTTGCCCCCATATCTACGTATACACGATGTCGAAGAGAACAGCAACGACAGAGACGCTCAGTGAGGGGCAGCCGTACGCGAAGGCCTCAGGGAGTGGGCCGAGGCGGTCGATGGGGACGACTGATGAGATGGGGGAGTTTGAGGATCAGTGGGAAGATGAGATCGAGAGCGACGAGGAGGTGCATGATGCGGGGGAGGACCAGGAAGATGGTGCGTACTCACTATAGGGGATACTTCTACCCATCTCATGTGCTGGCAGGCATGGACGTCGATGGTGCCGCTGAGGACGAAGAAGCACCAGCACCTGCGCGCACCGCGTACATTCCTGGATCGCACACCCTCGGCGCGGACGAGATCCTCGAACCAGACGACTCCGTATATATTATGCGCCATACCATGCACGTCATGTGGCCATGTCTCTCCTTCGACGTCCTGCGCGATAACCTAGGGGACGGACGCCAGCGCTTCCCCGCCACCGCGTATATCGCCGCCGGTACACAGGCCGATACGGCGAAGAACAATGAGCTGCTCGTCTACAAAATGTCCTCATTGCATAAGACACAGCGCGATGCGGGTGAGTCTTGAGTTCCACTGGTAGTATCTCCATATTAATCACGCTCTCCAGACGATTCCGACAACGATGATGACGACGAGGACGAAGAGTCCCTCGATGAAGATGCCGTCCTCGAATACCGCTCCGTCCCCCACCTCGGCGGAATCAATCGCGTCCGCGCCCAACCCCTGCCCGCCGGCACCGGCCTCCCCCCACCCTCCTCACCCTACTACACCGCAACCTGGTCCGAAACCGGCAAGGTCCACATCTGGGACGTCCGCCCCCTCATCGAATCTCTCGACGTGCCAGGGTACACCTACGACAAATCGCGCACCCACACGCCCGCCTTTACCCTCAACTCGCACGGCCGCGCCGAGGGCTTCGCGATGGACTGGGCCGCGTCTGGCCCGGGGGCATTGCGGTTGTTGACGGGTGATGTGCATGCGAAGATCTACCTGACGACGACGTCGCAGTCGGGCTTTACGCCGCTCGGGCAGCCCTTCGCGTCGCACACGTCGAGCGTGGAGGATTTGCAATGGTCGCCATCTGAACCGACGGTGTTTGCGTCGTGTTCAGCTGATGCGAGCATCCGCTTGTGGGATGTGCGCGCGAAGGGGCGGAAGAGCGTCGCGGCTTTGACGGATGCGCACGAGAGCGACGTGAATGTGATTAGCTGGAATAAATCGTCGAGCTATCTCCTCGTATCCGGCGGTGACGATGGCGCGCTTCGTGTCTGGGACTTGCGAAGTGTCAAGCAAACCGGGTACGTCCGTCCCTCGAAGCCTACCTTCACCCCTACTCACCTTTCTTGACTCAGCCCGCAACCCACCCCCGTCGCCGCCTTCAACTGGCACAAAGCCCCCGTTACCTCCGTCGAATGGCACCCCACCGAGGATTCCGTCTTCGCCGCCTCCGGCGCCGATGACCAGACCACCCTCTGGGACCTCGCCGTCGAGCAGGACGAGGAAGAGCTCGGCGGCGCGGACATGGCCGAGGGCGACGTGCCCCCGCAGCTCCTCTTCGTCCACCAGGGCCAGAAGGACGTGAAGGAGGTGCATTGGCACCCGCAGATCCCGGGCGCCGTCATCACTACCGCGTTCGACTCGTTCAACGTGTTCAAAACTATCTCTGTGTAGAGTTCTCTTGTATACCTGCTAGCTATCGCGCTGTATTTTCTATCGACATATGTTGTTTGTGGCACAAGAATTTGTGGCACCAGGCTTTCGCCCACTGCATTCCGCCGCCCTGAAAGTAATTGTGAGCACACGCCAGGCTCGGGCGGAACTGCGCCAAGCCCTGCCCTGCCCTGCCTCGTAGCGGATGCATTTATTTTCGAGGAAGGTAAAGCCTCGTGGTGGCCCTTGATCCGAATTTGGGCAATTCCATCAAGCCACTGTTTGGTCGTGTGTTGACGCTCTTTGATTCTCATCTCTTCGTTCATTGCGATTCACGCCATCGCCTCCTGCTCCTGATCCTGAGAGGAATGCCTCAGTGACATTCTGCATGGGCGGCCCAGAGTAACTCCAGGCCTTCGGCGAGCGATTATCCCACCTCTCAATTGCAGAGAAAAGACTGAGACGGATGTCCCCTGGCCGGGGGCCGTGAATATCCGTTTCAAGTGGGCCAACGAGAACGAACATCGACAACGGATATGTGCAGGTTGGTGCACGCAACCTGCATATGACATCGTAGTCGTTGATGATCTCAATTGCAACTGACTGTGCAATTTTCGCTTTCGAAGCAGGTGTAGGAAACTCGCCAACTCGGCCTAACGAAAGCAACGCTCGCAGTGACGCCAGGAGCCGCCGACGTGCGCCACCACCATCCCCCGCGCCAATCAACGTTGACGAGTACACCAGTCACCTCGCCGTCGAGCGCCGGGTACGCGACCAGGCCAGGTACGCAGCGGTCGGGATCTAATCTCGGTATCTAATCATGCACATTAATCTAATCAGATTTTGATAACCCGCAGCTTCGCCCCTGAGGTGCGCGAGATCGCAACTCCCTCGATCCGGTCGTATAAAGGTCCTGGTGGGTGCGAGTCGGCGCCGAGAGGGAATCCATCCACCTCGACCCCACTCACCTCGCTCGCACATCATGAGGTCGAACTTGCTCTCGCTCGTCCGGAGAGCACCGGCTAGCGTCGTCGAGCCGACGACCCAGGATCAGGTCGTTGGCGTGGACCCATCAGCGGACGATGTCAAGTCGGAAAAGGACCTCGAGTCGAGCAATGAGCCAGCCCACCCACCGAGTCTCCCCCACTCGGATGAGCCTCAGGCTCACGGCCTCGATGGGTTGACCGATGCGAACGCGCAGCCTGGTGTCAAGCAGGCGGCTGCCATCACCCAGGTCTGGTCGAAGACGTCCTTGATCATCGTCTACATCTTGTACGCCTTTCCCACTTATCTGTCTTCCTACGACTTACACGTCCTCGCAGCATGTTCGGCCTGTACATGGTCAACGCTTTCCAGTCGTCCATCACCTCCAATCTATCCGCTTTCGTCACGTCCGACTTCCAGTCCCACTCGCTGCTCCCCGTTATCGCCATCGTGTCTAACGTGATGAGCGCGGCTACCTACATGGTCGTGGCCAAGGTTCTCAACTTGTGGGACCGTTCAGTCGGTCTCGCCGTCATGACCATGTTCGCCACCCTGGGCTTGATCCTCTCGGCTACATGCAAGGATATCGGCACCTACTGCGCATCGCAGGTAAGCATGGTTATTGGCGATGAAACATATAGACACAGCTGACCCCACTCCAGGTGTTTTATGGCATTGGCTTCTCGGGCATGATTTTCTGCGTGGACGTGATCACTGCGGATACCTCGTCGCTCAAGTCTCGAGGGTTGGCCTACGCCTTCACCTCCTCCCCGTACATCATCACGGCATACGCTGGCTCCAAGGCGTCTGAGCACTTTGCCGAAACCAATTGGCGATGGGGCTTCGGTATCTTCGCCATCGTCCTTCCGTTTGTCGCTATGCCCCTCTTGGCCACGCTGCAGTACAACAAACACAAGGCGGCGAAGAGTGGACTCGTCGTAGAAAGGGAAAGCAGCGGTCGCACGCTCATGCAATCCATCCTTTACTATACCGTTGAGTTCGACAGTGAGTTCTGCCTCCTCCGGTTTTGTCGCCCAGTGCTTACATCGCAGTCCTCGGCATCTTCCTCATCGCCGGCGGCCTTGTCCTCTTCCTGCTCCCCTTCTCCATCATTGAGCAGTACGGCGACTCGTGGCGCTCGCCCGGCTTCATCGCCATGGTCATCATCGGCTTCTTCACCCTCGTCGCCTTCGGCTTCGTGGAGAAATATGTGGCACCGAAGCCCTTCATCCCCTGGGAGCTCCTCACGAATCGCACCGTTCTCGGCGCGTGCCTCATCGACTTCACCTACCAGATCTCGTACTACTGCTGGGACGACTACTACTCCTCCTTCCTCATGATCGTCTTCGACACCTCCGTCGCTGAGGCCGGCTACATCGCCTCCATCTTCGACGTCGTCAACGGCGTGTGGCTCATCGGCGTCGGGCTGCTCATCCGGCGCACGGGGCGCTTCAGGTGGCTGCTGATGTGGAGCGTGCCGCTGTTTATGCTGTTCCAGGGCTTGATGATATATTTCCGGAGGCCGGGGATGAGCATCGGGTATATCGTGATGTGCCAGGTGTTCATGGCTATCGGCGGCGGCGCGATTATCATCTGCGAGCAGGTCGCAGTGCTCGCGGCCTCGACGCAGAACAACAACGCCGCCATGCTCGCGCTGCTCGGTCTGTTTGGCTACGTGGGCGGCGCGGTAGGTAGCGCCGTGTCCGGCGCAATCTGGACCAACACCCTCCCTGGCGCGCTCCAAAAGTACCTCCCCGAGGACGCGTTGGCGGACTGGGAGAACATCTACAACGACATCGACGTCCAACTTAGCTACCCCGTCGGCGACCCTGTGCGCACTGCTATCCAAGCAGCGTACGGTGATGCACAGAGCCGTATGCTGATCGCGGGTACCTCGATCATGGCGCTCGCGCTGGGCTTCGTGTTCTTGATCAAGAACATCAAGTTGTCCGACCTCGAGCAGGTTAAGGGTGTGCTTTTCTAGATATTGGGCATGGGTTTTAGGTGGTCCCTTCATGGCATAATGTATCGTAGATTTCTCATGTATTCCTGACTCTCTCGCGGTGTATATTCACGCGGGGACTTGGCAACAATTCCCGCTACCATTCCCGCTACCATTTATGGTAGTGGGTTTTGGGGACGGAACGCAAAACCGCTCTTAGCCGAGACTGACGGATTTTGAGGACTGTCACGTGCACATCACATGTCGGGGCCTTCAAAGGTCTCGACCACTCGGCATCTGCCGTAGTAGTCAGCTTTCCCCCTTCCTCGGCGCCATCCCGCGTCAACCCCGTGTCAAACCTTCAGCGTGGCGCGAGCAATGACTAGCGGTCTCTGGTGGTATCTTTCTAGCAACATGTCAGAACTCTCGTCGTCTCAAGGGATGTTCAGTGCGGCATCGAAGGGCCGATGGGTGCAGAGCTTTTCCATCGCTCTGGCTTCCTCGGATTGCCCATTACTCACTAGCAAGCAGCAGTGAGAAAAGCTATGCTGAACTCTGCGCATTTTTGGGCAAGGGCACGCAAGGGGCAGCAGCTCTGTTGTGTGGATGGGGAGGGAGCGATGCTGGCGCGGTCATGGGCCGGAGAGGTCCAGTGTACGACCTTGGGCCCTTCGCTTGTCAGCCGGGTCTAAAGTACGTGTGAAGCACGATATCCTGCCAGTGGCGAGGATGCCTTTTGCTTCGTTGCCTGGTTTCAGTATTCACTTGCCTGAACTTGCAATGCATACATCTTCGAAAGTAGATAGGGCATATCTGAAGCCATAACGAAGTCCTCAACGGTCTCAATGGTAGCGGGCTTTGCCGTGAAACGGCTTTTCGAGTTATTTATGGTAGTGGGTTTTGGGGACGGAACGCAAAACCGCTCTTGGCGGAGACTGACGGATTCTGAGGACGGTCACGTGCAATGCACATGTTGGGCCTTCGAAGGTCTCGATCATTCGGCATCCGCCGTATACGGCTTCTCTCTTGCGCTCACTTCTTCGCCGCCATCTGGCGTCGATACCGTGTCTGACTTTCAGCGCCGCGAGAAAAATGGCTACTGACCTCTGGCGGCACTGTATAGCAGCAGCTCAGAAGTCTCGTCATCTCGTGGGATGTTCAGTGCAGCGTCGATGGGCTGCTGGGCACAGAGCTATACCAACGTTCTGGCTCCCTCAAATTGCCCGATTCTACTGAATGGCGGCGGCGAGAACAATCATGTGAAGCTCTGCGCATGGCTGAACAAGGGCACGCGACGGGCAGCTGCTTCATGGTATGGATGGTACTGGTGAGGGAGCGATGCTGGCCTGGTCACGAGCCGGAGGGCTCTTGTGTACGACCCCTTTGCTTGTCCGTGAGCTCAAAAGTGCGCGGGAAGCACAATTTACTGGCGAGGGCATTTTTCGCCCGCTCCGTTGCCTGTCATTGCCTACTCGTCTGGACTTGCGATGCAAAGGTTTTGAGAAATTGAGTAGAGCAGAACTAAAGCCATGTCGAAGTCCTGAATGGTAGCGGGCTCTGCCGTGAAACGGCCTTTCGAGTTATTGTCGCGGGATGAGTTCAGAGACGCTGCAGACCTCAAGTCCAGCCTGCCAATGGGAGGGTTTAGTCACGCGACAGTCACGAAGTTCAACTTTCGGAATTTGCCGTGGCCTTGGACCAGTAACTTTCGTCCACGAACCCACTGATGTAGCCGTGTCTATCTCCCGTCCTTTCAGCAGAGGTCCGGGACGAAGAGTTAGGTCGGCATTACGATGCCTGCCTTTCCCTTTAGCCATGATGTACATCGCTCTGCATTCCCAGCAAATCAGAAAGGGTACTTGAAGATGCACAGCTGTGTACTCTATAAGAAGAATGCCGCAGTCGTTGAGCTCTAGATGACCTTGATAGCTATCCGATACATGGCCGTCCTAGTAAGTCCTCTAGTAGAATCCAGAGTTGTTATTCGCCTTCGGCGCGCGAATCTATAGCCACAGTCAGATAGGTCGCACGCCCGATAGCACAAAAACATACCTTGGTGATGTTCTTATGGATAAGATCGGTCATGACCGCATAAAGATCGCGAACGTCAGTCAGGTTCTCCCTCGCTACGCGCACATGCTTCTCGTCGTGCTCGCGGAGGGCCATCTGAGCGAGGTGTGAGCATACTTCAAGATGCAGGATGATAGCGTACCGTGTAGTCCTCGATATTCGGGTACTTGATGAGCTTGGAGCAGATCTTCGCCCGTTCGAGATGGTGCTGGCGAGCGAGGTCGCGGAGGTTGTACGCGCTCTGGTGCACGCGGTCGAGCTCGTTGAGCACCTCTGTCCAATGATCAGTAACAAGGAATCCAACGGCTGAGAAGGCAGTCACCTGTCTGGATCTCGACGCCTGATGGAAAGTGTTAGCGCGCCACAATGTCATGGGCAACAGTCTCCTCACCAAAGTTGTCCCCACTGATCATCAAGCACATGAGTACAAGTACGGTATGCGGGAGCGGGACTTACTCTTCTATCCTGTTAGAAGTTCGTCAGCACAGATCTCCCACAGAAGAGCTGCGATAGCACATACTTGGGCATCGTCAACGTGATCCATAGCTTGACTTGTTCCTGCAGACGCATTAACCTGCAATGCCCTCCACCTCACACGAGTAGACCTACCACCAGCGTGCCAAGCTGCTCGCACTCGCGCTTGATAACATCGTGGAGGCCCAGCAGGCGCTGATTCGCGGCCACTGATTGAGGATAATACACCGTTCCCGCCGGCACGGGCACAGCGCCGTCTTCCTCACGCTTCCGCTTCTTCGCCACCCCGTCCTCCCCGGAAGGCGGGCGTACAGTGGCATCGGTACCGGTAGGCTGGGATGGGTGGAAGGGCGAGTTCACGGACGAGGCAGCCAGTACGGCATCATTGAGCTCCCTGTAGGTGGTCAGGCGTATGATGAGGGCCATCAATGGTCATACTGACAAGATCTGGGAGGTGTTGTCAGGCAGTTGGGCAAGTATGGGAGTGTTATCACGCACCTTCTCCGGGAAGACATGAAAGACGATGTGCTCGCCGGTTTCCGTGATCTTCTTGCGGAAGTCCTGGACGCGGTATGAGTCGTGATCGCCACAATCCCAGTGACGATGGGCGCACCTCGATCCTCGCAGCGGTCTTGCTATCCATGTGTTCTGCCATTGTACGAATTGTCAAGTGGAAAGTCAGGCAGAGAGTTAGGTGGCCACAGGAAAGGTATGTGGGGGCGCAAGACAAGAAAGGGTGATCGAAGAATAGACGCCCGCGCGCTTCGTTATAAGCAGACGCGTGACGTAAGTGACGCGGGACGCGTCGCGCTGTGTCGCGCCCTGGTCGAAGCATACGATTGCCACACTCAAATACCTATTGTATGTCGGTCTGGGCACGAAGAATAGGACCATCGCCACCGTAGACCTCCGATGGAGGCACTCATACAAGGAAGAATAGCTATTCTCTCGGTGGCAGTTGGCTACAGCCAGTGGTCATCGCGAATGAGATCCAGATGCTTGAAAGCATCCGACGATAGCAGAGCAGTAGATTACACTATGATACAGGAACGTCCAATACAGAATATATGTATAGTCTATGACCTCTTCAAGGTCAACTTGAGCTTCGGCCCGCCAGTCTGCGACGAAGACCCCATATCGTCGTCCACATCCATCGCACTGACTGGCGGACTGGTCGCAAGCGGCGAAGGCACAGCAGCAGGGAAGCCGAACGCAGGACCGCGGTTGAAGCCCATACCACCTGGTGGCGGAGGGCTCGTCACGCTTGCTGGTCCCGCATTGTTGCTCGCCGGCGTAGGTACAGGCATCGGCGGCGTCGCACTGTTGAACTCTGCCCACCTCGGGCACTTGCGGTTCGTTTCTGCAGACAATCATTAACACCACAATCGCTCCCTCTACCCCCAACCACTCACTCATATGCCCAATCTGCCCACAATGCCCACACCGACGCGTCGTGTCCGGCTTGATAGGCCGGTTCAGCTGCATCGGCGTGCCGCCCTCCTTCACGATCTTCGCGTTCTTCCGGTGCAGGCGCCGTTCCTGGTTCTTCTTCATGCGCGCAATCTCCTCCTCGAGACGCTTCATCGCACGCTTGTCCTTCTCGGCGTCGCCCGTCGGCGCGAGGCTGTCGGCCATCGTCGACTCTTCCTCGAGGATCTGGCGGCTGCGGATGTAGGCGCGAATGACGGCGGGATCGCGGACGATCTCCGTCTTCCAGACACCGTCGATCTAGGCGGTTGATGAGCGTCGGACTCTTGCCACCGTACTACGATACGTACCAAGCGTTTGATACGCATAACCTTCTTGACCGAGTCCGGGGCCATGCTGGCCTCCCGGTCATCCGAAGGCATAGGCGAATCCCTCATACCCTCCGGACGCTGTTGGGCGGCAGCGGCGTCGCGAGCTTTGCGAGCAAACTCGCGCTCGTCCTCCTCCGTGAGTGGCGGCTCGTCCTTCCGGCTCAACGAGTCGAACTGAGCCTTCCATATCCGCTCGACTTCGCTCTTGTATATTTGTTGCTGTTCCGCAACATTGTACCGATGCGCAGATTTGGGCCGGCTCTCTGCTTCCGCTGAGTCTTTCGTCAATACTTTTTTCTTGTTTAAGAAGGACGAGCAACTCACCAAGCTTCTCTTCATAGTTCTCCCCCGCCTTCACAAAGATATCCTTCATCGATATCCTTATGAAGTTGAACGCCTCCCCGCGCCCAGACGGATCACCCTCCCCATGCAACTTCAGCATCGCCTTCGCCTGCGTCGCCAGAATAAAGTTCTTCGTCGTGATCCACGGCGCAAGCTGCTGCTCAATGGACAAATTCGACGTGTCGTCCGAGTCCTCCGCCGTCTGCGTGTACCCGCAGTCCGCCAGATGTCGCTGCCCGACCTGCATGCTCTCCATCAGGACGACCTGCTCGGGCGTGATCATCTTCAGCATCTCCGCGTCCGAGGGGATGGTAAGGTGGTCCTTCAACCGCCAGAAGCCCTGGTGAATGCCGCGTCGGTGGTATTCCATGAACTCCTTCAGCCGCTGGCGCATCTGCAGCTCATTTTGGTCGGGGAAGTACTTCATGAGCCGGTGGATCTTTAGACGCTGCTCGTCGCTCTTGCGGAGCAGCTTGAAGGCAATGATCTGCAGGCGGTTCTTGATGGTGCTGGTGATCTTGCGGGAGTGCGGACCAGGAACTTCGGTAACCGGGTAGGTTTGCCCAGCCACGAACAAGTTCTTGATCTCCCGCAAGTAGTAGGTAACTTGACCCTTGTAGGTGTGGCTGTTGACATAGTTAGATTCTGGCAGGCGCCGGAAAGGACTCGTGCTTACCGAACGACAAGGAAGTCAGTGTTGTAAGGTTTGTGACGGAAGAGAGGAGCGCGGACGAGATTGTTGTACAGTGCGGGTATAGCTTGACCGGGGTATACGTTGCCGAACTTCATGAACGGCGAATCATCTTGGGGTTCGAGCACGAATGGTACACCCAAGTCGAACTTCAAGACTCTTCAGTAAAGGCCCACCAAAACAAAGTCAAAGAACACTCACCTTCGGCACATACTCATCCTTATCGTCCTTCTTGCGGTAGTAATTCACCAACGTGCTCCCCATACCAAAGTTGGGCACCACAGGCGGATGCTCCTCCGAGTATTCACACAGTACGAAGTTGCTCGTATCGCGCAGACTGAGGTCAGTGGTTTTGTGCAAGCCTTCGGCAACGTTGCCACCCTTGCCAAGCTTGCGACCTGCGCGGTCCTTTTTCTTCTTTGCTGTGCGCACTTTGGAGAAGGTGAGCTCGATGTTGCTGGGGAATTGCAGGGCGGGGCGGTGGAAGGAGCGAGCTTCGGCTTTGGACAGGCGCGTCTTGTACTGCAGGTGAGAGTTAGTATTGTATAGGAGCCTTCCAAGAGAATGACGTACGAAGGGCAGCTGCAACTTCTGCGCAGGGTAGGCATGCTCGACCTGGATCTGGCCGAAGGTTTGCCGCACGCGATGCCGCTCTTTCGACACCTCGTAGTACTGGTCGTTCGAGATGTTAAGCTTGTCCCGAACTTGGCTCGGATCGAGCCTGAAGCGCTTCCGTGGCCGCGTTTGCTCGACTGTCGACGAGTCAGCCCATGATACCTTGCAGAAAACTTATGCCACGCACCCTGCCTCTCCTCTGGCACAACATCGTCTTCGTGGTTGAACTCCAGTTGAGTGAAGTCGCGGAAAGGCTGGTGCGGACCCCAGATAATGCTCTGCGTCCACGCGCCAGACTCCACCTTGTCATTCAACCGCGCATTCAGACTAGTATCGGCGTGCATATCGAAGGCTTTCGAGCTGTGGGCCGTGGGGCCACTCTCTGGGTCGTATACAATCTGGTCTTCCCAGTTGGAAAGCAGTACGAGGTCGAAGGTGCGATCGTGTAGTGGGAGGTTGACGGCTGATTCAGTGCCGTCGCGTTCCTATGAGGGTGTTAGCGACGCGTAAACGCACAGGGAAGTGAGAATGGGCACCTCAAGCGCATGTCGCAAGTCCGACTCAATGCTGCCTGCAGAGACCACCTCTTCGACGCGCTTGTTCTCCACTTGTCGCTTCGTATCCCCCACGACTAGATCGAGGTAGTTCTTCGGCACCTCGCGTTTACGCGCGTATGTCAACTCAACTACGCGCTCAGTCAGCTCACCAGATCGACCTCAGTGGGACGTACACGCACCATGAAACGGCCTCCTCGCGATCCTCGACTTCCTGATCGTCTCCCCCCTAAACAGCTCCGTGAAGTCCAGCACTTTGTTCTTCTCGAACGTCGGGAACCGCTCGTACACCGTCTTCGGTCGCTCAACCAGCCGTTTAACGACCTTGACGCGCTTTTGCTTGGGCTGGGGCTCAGCAGGCGGTGCGTCTTGAATCTGCTGTATCTCCTCATCCTCGTCGTCTTCGAAAGGGCCGTAGTCATCCTCGTAGACATCGTTGTATATTTGCTCTGAGGAAAGCGCGCCTGCGCCGCCGCCGAGGCCGAGTTGGCTGGTAATTCCAGCACCTCCGGGAAGGGATAGATCACTGAGCAAGCTGTTGAGAGAGAAGCCCGCGAGAGCGGAGACCGCATCGTTCTCCTCGTTCCCCGCCATGACTGTCGACGCGAGGGATGTGATGGACGAAAGTCCAGCGCGAACGCCACATTCAGCCAGCTGACGTAACGCACGTGGTATTAAAAGCCCATTGTGACTCACAATGCCGACTCAGCGCAAGCAAGCAGGACATCGTCGCGTTGTGCACTATCTCGTACTGATCAAATATTCTGCCTTCCACAAGATGTCATTCTAACGATGTTGTACACTACGTAGCTAGATCACTGTGATTAGGGAACGTATGTCTAGGTATAGTACGGAATCCTCCTTGCTGTGATGTTCGTACACCTCCTTGGTCATTGAATGTGATACACCGACAGGTCGAAGCATCTATCTTGGCTGCAGCGACCACCGGTACAACAAGACGTTGCGTCATTAGAAAGTCTCCGCCTGCACCAAGTCGGCCGCGTTCTCGACGATGTCGTCGATATTCCACCGCTTTGAGGGCGGAATGCCATGCTTGAGATCGAGCCAGTCGCCAATCTGTGGGTCCAGTCAGCCAATAAGCCTCGCAAGGCAACCTATCGACACTGACCTGGTCGCACGCCCGCAGGACGATATCCATATCCTGCTTCGTATGCGCTGCAGACACGCAGAAGCGTACCCGCGACGTGATGAGCGGCGTCGCCGGGTACGACACCACCACTGTCAAGATTGGGGTCCGCGCGCCCCATGCATTGCGCACCGCATCGTCGCCACCAGCCTCCTGGCTCTCACCAGCTGCCGCCATGCACACCATCCGCCCGTCGATGCCCCGATTCCACCCGTCGCGCCACTGCAGCATCAATCGGTGGAACTGCACCATCTTGCCCGGGCTCCAGATGATCAGCGGCACCACGGGCGAGTCGTCGTGGCCGCAGGTGATGAAGCCGAGCGCGTTCAGGCCACGGGATAGGTAGCGCGAGTTGAATGCGAGACGCCGTAAGCGGACGTTGCCCTCCAAACCTGTTGGAAGAGGTCAACAATGTGCAAGGGTGATCGGTGACTGATACGTGCCGGTGTAGAACTTGAGCTCCGTCGACGGTGACTTGAGCGCCTCGCTACCGCGGAGCTGGGCCTCGACGGTCTCTTGCAGCCAAGGGAGCCATTGGGGCAGGTATGAAGCAGGGATGGGACCGGGATGAGCAGGAGCCTTGACCAGTTGTTGCGAGTGCTTCTTAGGCGTCTGCATATCGGGAACGACTCCCATGATGCTGGCCATGCTGGTGATGATCTGGATGAGGACGGGCGGGGTCATTGCCTCAGCGTAAACGCCGCCGTGACCGTTGACCTTGCGATGAAGATTAGAACTCAGGGGAATGTACAATGGAGAATATGCGTGCTTACCCTGAGATACTCGATAATCTGGTGGCTGCCAGCGATGTAGCCTCCGGCAGCGCCGAAGGACTTGGTAAAAGTGCCCATCAAAATGTCCACATTGGTCCCAGGAATGATCTCTGCGTTGTCGTCGTCCGCGCTGAAACCAGGCTTGGGAACGCCCCGAGGCCGTATACCGTAGTAGTCGCAGACGCCGCGGCCGTGCGGGCCGAGGGCGCCAATGGAGTGCGCTTCGTCGACGAAAAGGTAGAACTACGCGGGATCAGAATAATGACTCAACCGAACAGGGTAGTGTCTGACCTTGTATCGCGTCTTCAATGCCATGATGCCCGGGAGATCGACCATAGTACCCTCCATACTGTAAAGGCCCTCAACGATAACGAGGATCTTGCGCCAAGGCCTATGCGTCTATAGTTGTGTTGGTGGTCTTGTCTTGCATGTTGAAGACGAATTATACCATACCTTGTGCTGTCCTTGGCTGATAGCATCGCGGAGAACTCGCTCGAGCTCCTTGATGTCGTTGTGCTTGAAGAGCCTGACGTGAGCCCCAGAGAGGCGTGCGCCGAACCTGATGGTGGTTTGAGCGACCTATATTTGATACGATAGCGAGCGAACTTACCTGATGCTGGAGTGGTTGAGTTCATCAGAAATAATAAGACAGCCTTTCCCAACAAGAGCCGGGATGACCTGCATGGATGAGCTTGAATTTGACGGACGTCGAGAAGGCCTGCATACCGTAGAGTTCGTAGCGAAGCCCATGGATGAGATCAGCGAGTCCTCCGTACCGACGAAGCTGAATGATATGAGAACAGGAACGCCGACGATGCGAAGTGGCTTACTTCGCCACCAGGCGCTCGGCGGTAACATGCAGTTCACTAGAACCTCCCTCGGCGCGGGTTCCACATGTGGAAATACCGTATCTATGGAGGCCGGCCTCGACACCCTCAGCGCAGCCTCCCTGCGCCTGAGCGAAGCCAAGATAGTTGTAGGACGAGATGTTCAGGGTGCGCGTAGTCGTGCCGGTCAGAATCTGGCTCTTATTCCAGTCAGGGCTGTAGCGATCGAGGATCCGTATAGTGCGTCCAGCGACGCCAGTAGAGGGCTGGTTGAAGCATTCCAGAAGACGTCTCTTGAGCCGGCGAGTGTAGAACGAGTCGAAGTCAGCGGTCAAAGGTGCAAGCCCCTAGAGCGTTCAAGACCGTGAGATCAAACGATTTCCCGGCTGCTCGAATGGGGCGACGCACCTTGCCCTTGTCGTGCGAAACTGTCTCTTCGCTCTTGCCATACACACTCCCATACCGCATCCGATCCATCCAGTCCGCCAAGTGCCCGAGCGCGATCACGAAGATGAAGGAGATGTACGTCGACAATAGGATGTAGTACGGCGGGTCGGCGATCCCCTCAGAGGGCGGCGTGCCGCGGTAGCTGCTCTCGTAGCGCCACCGCTCGTCGTTGCAGATCCCGTACTCGGAATGGGGAGTAGCATGTGCGTCAGCCTCCTTGTCGCGCGAGAAACCAAGCGGGTCGGCGGCGGAGTCCCACTCGCTGCCATGGTCTTCGGACGCACACGACGGGGAGACGGAGGTCTTCGACGTGCTCGCGTAACTGGCGTAGGTGGACACGGACGCGACAGAGCTCGCATCCGACGACACGCTCGGCGCGCTGTGGCGCGCGCCCCCCGACTCGCGACTGGCGATCGCGCGTAGGTATTCCTGCGCGCTCGTGTGGGCGCGCTTGAACCGCGACGGGGTTGGCGTGGCGCGGGGAAGGGCCATGGGAGACGCTGGCATCGCCGTAGGTGGAGGAGAAGGACGAGGCCGAGGGAAGACGGAAGGCAGTTATGTTCAGCGATTCGTTCCCTTCCTTGAGGTTCCTTATTCACCTCCGGGCGCGCGTGCGGCGCGCGTCGGCAGCCTCGGGTTATTTATGGGCACAGGTTCAGACAGCATTCCAATTTCCCGGTTCGCGGCCGGCGAGTATTACGGTGACTCAGCCTCTCTCTTGTCTCAAGTACCACCGACATCGAACTGACATACAGACTGACGACTAGTCACCTTCTGACCCCTCGTCTCCTACACGATTACATCGCCAAGCCCGCCCTCTGGACGAATTTCTACGACACAAATGCGCCCCTCTCCGATGCTAGCCTCGGGACGGAGGAGAGACTAACGGATTTATCATGAACCACTGTCCTCCGGTCGACGGCGCACGAGCACCCGGCCGCTGCCATCTGCCTCAATTTCTGCCTGTCGCGGCACCCGACGGCGACCCTCTCTCTTGACGACGTTCATACAAATGCAACTCCTGCGGTAGGGGGTCGCGACTCGCCAGAGCAGGCGCCTGACGCCCAACCTGAGCCCGACGTCCATCGCAGGGCGGCAATCACCCGCGCCCTCACAAGTCTGTTCTCCCGCGTGATACCGCCGCATTCAATCCCTCCCCGAACCGACCCGGGTATAAGCAGAAGGCTCAAGGAAGGTCTGCGAAGGCGGGTGCGCAACGCGACCTCGGGGCCTCGACGTTGAAACAAGGAGGCTCTTGACGTTCGTTCGCTCGATCTCTCCCACCCATCAGCATTCTGGACACTGCTATCGCCCTGTACTTTCCCACCTGCCCTTCGAATTTTTGGTCAACACCCAATGGTGGCGTTCCCAGGTATCGGCGCTCGAGGGACGAACTTACAAATATGGGAGTCCAGAACATCAAGTTCAACCATGGATGCACGTGATACGGCGCCCAAAAAACCCCGAAGTCAGTACTTCCAGAACAACCTCGCGAAACATGCTTTACGACAGTGGACACCCTAGCAACAGCAGTACGGCAGCTGGTCGTCGCTTACGATAGTCGTACTCAATTCGACGTCTGAAAACGCCCGTCTGAAATCGCCCGTTGCTCGTTGCCGTGCTGCCTCGACGACGGTTGCCAGAGAGCGACGGCGGCGTGCCTGGCGGGCGGGGCACGCGATAGCTCGGCAAGTGCCGACGTGGGGGTAGGCGGCGAGCAGCGACAACATCGACGTCGATGAACAGGGCGTCGTCTACCCTATTGAAGGTGCTCTCATGGAATCCCTCGCCGCATACGTCGAGAATCGCCCCAGAATTCGGTCCAGGCAAGAGATTATGCCAAAAAGTGAAAAATTGGAGAAAAAATGCGTTATCAGTGCTTGTGCTTAAGCAGACTCACTCATACAACAATTCAACTCTAATTTGAAGCTTTTGAAAGTCTTGCACGCCGTTTTACCGCTACAATTCCCATCTACGCGCTGCTGTGAGGGCGAGCACACAAGTTGAACACATCACGTGACGTTATTCGGCAAATTCCGTAAAGTGTACCCGCATACGACGGGCCTCCGGGATTGAAGGAAGGGGTATGAGTTCTTCACGAGCACTCGTCATGACTTGATAGGGATGGAAAGGACGACGCTCTGCTCCCCGACGTCGATGTTGTCGCTGCTCGCCGCCTCCCGCCCCCACGTCGGCACTTGCCGAGCTATCGCGTGCCCCGCCCGCGGCCCGCCAGGCACGCCGCCGTCGCTCTCTGGCAACCGTCGTCGAGGCAGCACAGCGACAGCAACGCGCAGGATTTCAGACGGGCGTTTTCAGACGTCGAATTGAGTACGACTGATGTGAGCAAGTCCAGGTCAGTCAACGAGGACGCTGCACCACGTCAGTTTGCCCCCAATTCTCGACGGCCAAGCCCACACTCACGTCCACGACTCATCTTGGGTCAGACCGCTCGCCTGTTCAGAGAAACCTCGTTCCCTATACTTCCTTCTCCCTCACATCCAGCGAAGATGACAATAAATATATACTCGACGTCTTACGCCGGCTATTGTACAAAAGATCCTAGGTCCTGCGTCGGGATCGCCGTCCCAGGTTACACGGATATACATGTGTCGTAGTATGAGCAATGGAAGTCTAGAGGATGGTAATGTCACAGTGTATGCACGAGAGGGACCAATGCAAGAGGATATACGATGCACGTGTGGATATACGGATGCACGGTGTGGATATACGATGCACGGCGACACACGAAAGGCGAAGAGCGCCAGTGCAAGGGTATATGCGATGCCAGTGCAGAATGAGGATGAATGATGCGGGAACCAATGCTATGACACGAGGCGTGTATGTGCGGGCGAGACGAGCGCGTCCGTAGGTGCTCCGCATGCATGAGAGATGATGATATGTGGGGTATGAGGCGTCAGACAACGGGTAACTATCTATCGTGAAGGGCGAAAAGGAAGGGGTGATAAAGGTAGCGTACTCGAAGACGAAGGAGGGTGGCGGATTACCGAAGGGGTTGGCGGAGAGGAAAGGCGAAGGAAAAAGGGAAAGGAAGAGAAGCGCGAAATTATGGGGGTGGGTGACCATGAAAAATCGCAAGTGGAGGTAGAGGAGGGTAAGGTAGGGCAGGGGTTTGGGTCGGTGGATAGTCGATTAAAAGGCGACTAAGGTGTCATGAGAGGGGGGTGGGGGCATAAATCTGTCAAAAGTTTCATCAGAAAACGGCGCGTCACAAATGTCAAATGTACTCACGGCATAATGGGGCGTATCTTCAGTGGAACATAAAGGGAGGCATAATTTGTACGTGACGTGAGTGGTAGAGGACAGGCACTGCCAGCCTAAGCATATAGTGAGCACAATGTAGGACCGGATAGAACGACAGAAGACGTACAACAAGAAACCAAGATGAACAGCCATTTACTTGCCGCCGGTGAGGAAGGACAGTTGTACGCTGCCTACGCCAGTGATGAATACCTTGGCGCGCAGTCGACACACCTGTCGGACGTTAGCCCTACGAACGGCCCGAATGATAGCAGAAGACTCACTGTATCGGCAACCTCCCCGGACTGGAAATGTACATGCAAGTCGCCGTTAGGCATGCGCAGGATTTGGTTGACGGAACCAAAGCTCTGTAGAGCATCGTCAGCAAGCCCTCGCCACAAACGAGAAACAACATTTACCTCGCACCAGCGCCTCACACCATCGAATCTCTTCACGTCGCCAGCCGTGATTCCGCTAATCACCAAAGTCTTCTTTTTGTGTCTCGAAAACGACACACGGGATAGGGTAGAGGGTCTTGAGTTAGGTCCGTATATCACGTAAGGTTTGTTGAAATCGTCCTCCGCCTGGGGTAGGTGGATGCACGTCGCCGCTTCCTTGGCGGCCTCCCGAACTTCGCTATTCGACAGCCTGGACACCGACTTGGGTGCGAATGGTACACGAGCGGACCCGCCGCGCGTCGAGCCGGAGCGTTGCGACATGGATGAGTAGCGTTCCGTGCGCTCTGAGGGTGCGTCTCCGATCGTAGGTGGCGACTCAGGGCCCTGCGACCACCCGGAGAAGGACATGATGGAGCTGGCACCGTGAGATTTGGAGCGCACGCGAACAGAGTCGACGAAGAAAGCCTTCATAGGCGTGGCTTCATCTTCGGACGTTGGAGCTGTAGACGTACAGGTCGTGTGCGAGGACATGCTCGGCCGCGAGGGCGTATACGCAGTGTCAGAGGGTGGGACGGAGACCTGAGATGCTGAAGGGAAGTGACCGAGGACGCTAGGCCGTGCCTTTGACAATGATGGCGCCATAAAGTTCGTAGGCGGACTAGGCACTTCAGCTACTGACGCGCTAGCGGAACGCTTATGGCTATCGCGTGCGACAGTACTCGGGAATCGTGTTGACGGGCCACCTCCGCTAGGCATGCGAGAGAACAGCGACCGGCGTGACGGGGTGGAAGGAGGGCTCGTGCTTGATCCAGGTGCGGGCGAGTGGGAATTGCGGAACGGGAAGTGGAAGCTGCGGAAGGACGCGCTGGGTGAGTGGAGGAGTTTTGAGTTCCGGGGGCGCGGGCTGTTGGGTCTAGGTGGAGACTATATGGGACGCGCGTGAGAAGAGCGGGCCACATTATGTGTGCGCCATAAACGCACCTCGCAGTCAGAGGAGACGCGCATTGAAGCCAGTTCGTTAACGATATCCTCGTCCTCGACCATGTCGTAGCTGTCGACGGTCACGCGGGAGGCAGCATGTGGTGCGAGGTGGCCCGCGGCGCCGGGGTAGGGGAAGTAGGCGTCGGCGTGCGGAGCTGGTGAGGGTGTACGGTCGTCGGTGAGGTCGAGGATGTTGCGCCCGCGGACGGAGTGAGTGCGCTGCTGCTCGTTGATCCACTTGTCGAGCATGCTCGAGCGCTTGCGGCGCGGCTGTACCCGGGCGGGCACGACATTGAATGGGTCTTCCTCTGGTGTTGTGTACGGCGGGTCGTAGGTGTCAGTCATGGTGCGGCGGAAACTACTACAGCTGCTGTTAGTGGCAAGCGCTGTGAGTGTATGCGCGTACATACGCACCAAATGTGCAAGGCGGGCGTTCAGGGTGTCGTGCTCGGGGCGTGAGGTGAGTGGTGGGAGGTACACGGGAAGTAACGCGGATTGAATTTCGGGGCTCGCTGTACGGGTCGTAACGGTGGTAATATACAGCGGATGGATGGCCGTCGGGAGGAGGAGGAGGTTTAGGTGAGGGCGGCCAGGCACATGAGAGGAGGAGAAAAACGCGTCGGAGGCGGGAGCAGGTGGGGAAGATGTGTTTTGAACAAAGTGCCTCGAGGCAACACGTGACAATCAACTCCCATTGTTTCCGCGGCAACCGTCGGCGCGCCGTCATCGCGACTTCATTGACCGGTCACAAAGGCCAAGCGATGTGAATAGGGAAGCCCTGATACGAGATAGCACACAGCAGAAGTCACTAGAGACGCCCCCAATGGACAATCTACGAAACCAGATTGGTCCATCCCTCCGCGCACGTTGCCTGCCGCCTGTTCATCCCTCGGCACCTGGCGCAACATGAGGCAGAACGAGGCGCGCCAGATGGATAAGATCGTGCGCGATCGTACGACATACCAGCCGCACAAGAAGCTGAAAATGTCGTCCAGGAGCGTGTTCAGCCTCAGTGCGTACAACATGGGGGCCGACAAGAGTCATCTCCCATCCTCCCATGCGCCGTCCAGCCAGCGAGGATGCCTTCTAGCCTCGAGTACCTATTCAAGACATTAGAAGGTTCAATAAAGGACATCTAGTACAACATACTAACGTACCAATTCGGTCGTCGCTGGCGGTGCTAGTAGCCTCCTGCCACCTAACCTTGTCACAATCAACGAGGAAGGTGATCCTCGCCTTGATTCAAGTTCTCTATGGCGCGCGCCGCTATATCCTTGAACAGCTTCGCTGTCGGCGTCTTCTCGTACTTCTCCAGCAGCTCGAATGCAGCGGTCGGAGGTTGCGTTTCTGCGCTCGCGCCTTCCATGCCTCCCGACTCCTTCTCCCGTTGCTCGTTCTCGCTCTCGGCCACAGCAGCGGCATCCAGGAGCGTAACGAGCTCCGTGTCCACAGGCAAGCTTCCCAGCAAACGAAGCCCTTCCCGCTTCGCCATATCCTCCCCGCCGCCCGTCGAGAACACGTTGCTGACTTCGCCGCAACATGGGCACACGTACCCGCTCATGTTTTCAATGAGCCCGAGTACGGGAAGCCCAACGTTGCGCGTGAAAGACAGGCATTTCATCGAGTCCGTGAGGGCGACGATTTGTGGCGTTGTCACGATGACGGAGGATAGTTTGTCCCTCACGGGGGCGAGATGCTCGATGAGGGATAGATGCTCGTCGGAGGTACCTGGGGGCACACGTAAGAAGGACGCAAGAGTATCGAATTGGGGAAGAGATGGCAGGGATATGGATGGTGATGAGAGGGATATGAAGCAGATGGATGTGATCGTCTGGGAAGAGAACACCCATCGCATGGGAAGTAGCACTCACCAGGCGGTGTATCGATGACCAAGTAGTCCAGATCCCCCCACCTCACATCGCTCAAGAACTGCCTGATCATCCCATTCTTCTTCGGCCCTCTCCAGACCACGGAGTCCCCCTTATTCTTCAGCAAAAACCCAACACTCATGCACGCTAATCGGGCCGCCGTGCCGTCTGCGTATACGGGTACCCAGCCCCCCATACTCTGGTGGACGCCGTGTCCGTCTACGCCAAGCATGCGTGGTATTGACGGTCCAGTAAGATCGATGTCCAGAACGCCCACTCGGGCAGTAGGGGAGGATGCGTAGAGGTTGAGTGCGAGCTGGGATGTAACGGAGGATTTGCCAACGCCCCCTTTGCCGGAGAGGACGATGATGATGTGCTTGACGGTTTTCATGCGTCGCTGAATTGGGTTCTCTGCTTCGGCGGCCATCTTGAAGCTAGCTGGATCGGAGGGGGAGAGAGAAAGGGGATGCAAAGTACAATGGAGCCAGGATCTATGTCAGCAACTCGTAAGCGCCCGTGCAGACACCATCGGTCACGAACACATGATGTGACCAATACCGCGGCCTAATTTGGACGCGTCGACGCGCCTCAGCGTAGAACGCTCAACGAGGATGATCACCCAGTAGTGCCCATGGCTTGAGGCAGTAGGAAGAAGAAAGGCACTATAGATACAGAATGTCCGAAATATCATACGCGCAACAGTTCTGGCTTGGTGTTCTTGGGTCGACTGAGTTAGCCTGCGCGAGTAGGTCGAACAAGGGCGACTCACCATCTTACACAAACGCGCAAGCAATCCAGACAGCTGTATAATGGTCCCTACACCCTCCAGTATACGCATATGCGTGAAGCCGATTTCCTATCGTACGTCAGCACGAGAACTGCGAGATGCGTGCTGGTCATCACGTACCTTGATATATTCCAGTTTTGTGTACTCCGGAATCCTGTATCGTGTCAGCAGAAGCCCCCTTCGTATTCGGGCAGGTTACGCACTCGTCAAAGTTCTTCACCACCCTGAACAACGTCACTACAATATCCACCGCACTGTACCCCTGATCCCACAGCTCCGTCAGCTTCACCATCGCACCGTCAATATCGCCCTTCAAGCAACATCGGATGATGGTCTGAATGGTGATGGGGTGCGGCTGATCGCAAACTTTGAAGACGTTGTCGCCGGAGACAAAGCCAAAGCCGGACCAGGTAGATTGCAGGTTGTTGATGGCTTGCCGCATGTCGCCTTCGGCGGTGAAGATGAGGGCGGTGAGGCCGTCGTCGTTATATTCGACCTATTTGGGTGTCAATGAGGGGAATATGAGTGGAAGAGAATGGTGGGCACCTTCTCCGCCTCGCAAATCTCCAGCAAGCGCTTCAGGATCTCTTGGTCCTTCAGCTTGCCGTACCGCAAAATAGCGCATCGACTTTGTATAGGTTCAATGATTTTGTTGCTCATGTTGCATGCGAGGCAGAAACGGGTGGTATTCGAGAAGATCTCCATAGTTCGTCGCAGCGCTTGTTGGGCGCCTGCAGTCATGCTATGTGCGAGTGAGTCCACACTCGTGTCACAGTAGAGTAGATGCGCGCACCTGTCAGCCTCGTCCAAGATGATAATTTTGTGCCGCCCTGGTGGCAAGGTGACCTTCTTCTGCGCAAAGTTCTTGATCTTGTTTCGGACGACGTCAATTCCTCTACAGGCGTGTCAGAGTGATACTGCACTTCGCAGACTTCTCACACACCTCTCATCCGAGGCATTCAGTTCCAGAACACCCTCCTTGTAGGCGGGACCTAGTAGCTGATGCGCAAGACAGTGTATACTCGTTGTCTTTCCGATACCGGGCATTCCCTAGATAGTATTAGCACATCATCTCCACAGAATTGCAAGGGTACGCACTGAGATAATGATATGCGGGCAGTTTCCGTCCCGTGCGATGACCTTCAACCTGTCGATCGTGTCCGCATTGCCGACCACATCGTCCAGTACTTGGGGTCGGTATTTCTCGACCCTGTTGCTCATCAGCACGCTGTCCATTTAGACTAAGTATCACGCACCAAGGGAGCTCATATGGCGCATCCGCTGGCCCAGTGGCTTTCGCTTTCGACGAAGACGACATGTGGGGAATCGGGAAGAACTACGCGTCCGTTACGTGACCGAGTCGCGTCCAAATGTGACGCGTCGTGAATTGTCGGGTTTTCGGTCCGGCTTGCCTGGGATCCCCCTCGTCGAAGACGACGATGAGTGCGCCTATTTCGCGGTTGAGAAGGACTTTGCCATTAGGTGAGTTGCATGCCCAGTCATTCATATACTCTACTGAACCCCTTTGAGCCGCCAGGGTATGTCGCCGAGCCTACGCTACGGCGCCGAGCACCACTAGCCTACCTCCTCCGCGACTCAACTACAAGAACATCAGCGAGAATGTGGTCTACAAGGCCACGAACGCGATGAACCGCAAGTGTGGGGTCACCCTTGACGATGTGCAGGACGTTGCACGCACGCACAAGGAGGTGAAGGCCGTCACGAACCAGCTGAATGCTTTGCGGAACACTCGATCCATGATCGGGGAGCGCATACGGCGGGCGGCGCAGCAGAAGGACGACAAGGGGAAGGAGGAAGCTATGATTGAGGCAACGAATGTCAAGAAGGAGATTGCGACGCTCGAGGACAAGCTAGCGACTCTGGAGCAGCAACTGCTTAGGCTCGCGCTGGCTATTCCGAACGACACGCACCCGGACGCACCACTAGGACCGGAGGATGCAGCGGTCACACTCTCTACACATGGACCGGAACCCATTCCAGCTGACCCGAGACGAGATCATGTTGCCTTCTGCAAGAAGTTCGGCCTGCTCGACCTCGAGAGCGGCGCCACCGTCTCCGGTACCTCCTGGGTCTACCTCACCAACGAAGCCGCCTTACTCGAATTGGCGCTCACAAACTACGCCCTCTCCATCGCCGTCAGACATGGCTTCACCCCCGTCATGCCCCCTGACGTCGTCCGCGCGGACGTCGCGTATCGCTGCGGCTTCCAACCTCGGGACGATCAGGCGTCCCAAATATACGATGTCTCCACCCCCACTTCCTCCTCTCAAGACCTCATCCTAGCGGGTACTGCCGAAATTCCCCTAGCAGGCATGTTTGCGAACAAGATTTTCCCGTCTACCTCCCTGCCGCGTAAGGTGGTAGGCATGGGACATGCATTCCGAGCTGAGGCGGGCGCGCGCGGGGCGGATACCCGCGGCTTGTATCGGGTGCACCAGTTCTCGAAGGTCGAGCTGTTTGCGGTGACCGACGCTGAGTCTAGCGAGGCCATGATGGCTGAGATGGCCAGCATCCAGACCGAGATACTGCGGGGCCTCGGTCTCTCACTAAGGTATTCATACCACTATTCCCCAGATCACTCTCGTTGACATCATCCCGCAGAGTCCTTGACATGCCCACCGAGGAGCTCGGGGCGTCCGCATACCGCAAGACCGACATCGAGGCTTGGATGCCTGGCCGCGGAAAGTGGGGCGAACTATCCTCCCTCTCCAACTGCACAGACTACCAATCTCGCCGCCTTCATATCCGCTACCGCCCACAAGCCCTGGCAGCAGCAGCTGGCACAACTACACCAGTTCCCGCGGGCGCCCTTCCCTTCGCACACACCCTCAACGGCACCGCTGCCGCCATCCCTCGCCTCATCGTCGCCCTCATCGAGAACGGCATCACCTTCGACGAGGCAGGCGAAGCTATCGGCCTCGCTCTCCCCGAAGCCCTCAAACCCTTCTGGCTCCAAGCCTCTACTCCCCGAATACCCATATCGTGGACGTGACGACGGGCATTGGGCGGACTGCTATAGCGTAGATATAGACTGTACAAAAGTAGATATACATAATCGAACCTCCCCTCCACTGCAGAGAACGGAGCAGAATAATACACAAGCAAAAGCAAGGCAATAAATATTGGAGTGGGCTCTATGGCCTGGGGATCATTTGTGGCGCGCGGCGCTCAGTACTTCTTCGACGAGCCTACGGCCGCCTCGTCGGCGAAGGGGTCGGCGAAGGGATCCTCTTCGGTGTCCACGAGGGTTCCGGTGTTGTTCGCGTTGCGGAAGCCGACTGCCGCGTCGTCGTCAGAGTCCGAAGCTGACAGGTAGTCTTTCCTCGACGCAGACGGCTCCCGGCGGTTGTGCGTCTCCTCGTCCGACGACTCGTAATCACTGAAGTCGGATAACGAGCCCCCGTCGTAAGCGCCTGAGTCGCGGTCGGCCGCCGCGGTTGGCCTCATCGGTGGTGGCAGGTTACTTGACGTCTGGCCCAGGCTCCCGAAGGTAAGGTCCTCCAGGTCAGGATGGAGATGCGAGGACTCCTGTTGAGGCTCCTTGCCCGAACGTTTGGCCCGATCCACTGCAGCTCGTTGCTGTTGTTGCAGTCTTGCAACTTCGCTCTCGGGAAGGGATATCTTGGTCCGCGCAAGACCGTCCGTGATGGCGTCCGCGGCGCTCTCACTCGTCTGCGTGTCGGGTGTGGACAGCTTGTCATACATCTCGAGCGCGCCGATTATGCGATCGTTTGTCTCGATAAGGGTGCCGATAATTTCCTCGTTCTCGACAAGCTAGGGGAAAAGGTGAGGAAAAGGGAGACCGACGATGATATTCACCTACCTGGATATATCGGACGATCTGTTTGCGGATCGTCTTCGCCTTCTCGAGGCACTCCTGAACTCGCGCATTCTCCTTCAAGCTCTCCTTCTCCGGATTCACCAGCTGAGATCCAATTAGCCTGACGGACCTTTCGCGCAGATGGGTTCGCCTACCGTGATAGCGTTGACGAGGTTGCTACTGGCCTGCGAGGCCTCCACGATGCTATTCAGCACCTTCGGTTTCTCCTGCTCGAAGTTGAAAGGTGCCCTCCGTGGCCTGTTCTTCTGCTTCCGCCTAGCCCTCTCCTCTTCTTCTTCCTTGCGTCGCCGCTCCTTAGCTTCCTCCTTCTCTCGCCTTGCTGCTGCCTTGGCCTCCTCCTTCTCCCTCGCCCGCTGAAGCTGAACTCCGTAAACCGGATCAGACTCCACGGTCCGTCGCTCTGTTGGCCTGTACTGCTTGTACAGGTTGGCGACCATGTTCATGGAGGGGTCTCCCTTAAACTGTTCGTGCCATGATGCGAGGACGAGGAGCAGCTTCTTCTTGACCTTCTTGTCGGTCATAGGATCAGTCGCAAGATGCCTCAGCGCATCAGTAAGTTGTCCATCAGCGAACGTTCCTACGCGCGATCTGAGTTTAGAGTGCGTGTTGCATGAGTGGAGGTGAACGCACTCTGGAATTTCTGGCCACAGTTCTCTACCAGTGCCTTGAGGAGCTAGGATAACACGTGAGAACTAAGCGAGGGATGGAAGACGGCAGCGCACGCACCACGAGGGCTCTGTACTGCTGGTGAGGACCTCCATGCTTGATCTTCTTGCGCAGGGCACGGGAGGCTTCAGCCGGTCTAGCAGTATCACAATCAGCCACTTCTCTCGGATTGTGGCGCGCTACGCACCCCGACGCCTGCAAGTTGATCGAGTCCACCAACTCTGGGATACTGCACACTGTTCAGACGCGCTTGAGCACCTCACTGCACTCCACTCTCACCCATCGTACGCCTCGTCATCGATCGTGTTCGCCGTCAGTATATCGACCCAATCTGTGATAGACGACTGCGTCGATCCCGCGCATTAGGGTTGCGTCCTGGGAACGAGGATAACGAGCTGCGCACATGGGGTTTCTCGCGCGAGAAGGCCTTCGCAAAGGTCATTGCAGCCGCCATGATTAGTGGTGGTGGGAGGGAGAGAGGGAAGGATGAGGGATAGCGTGTGCCTGATGACGGGGGAACTCAACCGGTGCTCGTGACGGAACTGCCCCTATCGCGTGTCCGGATTTGGCTACGTTCATTATGCGCGGGTCCCAAAGCGGTACTTAGTTATTGTGCATTGTCGTGGAGATAGATATGGCAAGCATGACAGAGGAGGATGAAGCAACGTCAAAGGTATGGAAGTGGAAAACTGTAGCAGAGATAGATGCAATGATACATATTGCAGCAGGGCGAAGGAACTTGATAGCGGTTCGGCCTCAAACAAGTAACTAGGGCAGATAATCAGGAGGAGAACGAGGAAACCATGTCAGACAGATGGTGCGAGTATAGATGGGAAGCGATAAAACAAAGAGAAGCAGACCGAAGCGACAAAGGGAATAGTAGGGAAGAAAAGCAACGATATTAGTAGGCGGACTGAACGAGGAGTTCGACTCAGTAAATCCAGTCGTGACGGAAGCGTAACAACTTACAGAGTTTGAGAAAGACTTTTCAGGCAGACAGTTGCGAGCCCAGATGCTGAAGGTCAGCGGCCGTCTGCGCAGGACCTTCGGGAGAGGATATAGCGATAGATTCGAGGAACAGTTGGAATAGCGATGCTTCAAGCAGTGTGACAGCAGGATCAGGGAGTTCGGAAAGCGTAGAAAGATGTCGAATAACAGCAAGAGTCTGCGCGGCTTTCATCCAGCGCTGGCTCATAGTCATAGAGGAGATCGTGTTCGTAACGGTGATCGTTGATGGGTGCGGGTGAAGAGGATCATCCACTTCCTCGGCGCCGGCGCTCGGGGATCGAGAGGCTGTAGAGGTCGGCGAAGACACATGTGATATCGATGGGTCACGAATGAGGTCGGTTGTCGATGCTTGAAGTTGCGACAAGGCATCCTCCAGCACTTCAAAGCTGGGCAAAGGATCCGCGCAACCTCGTACACGCTCGTAAAGTTCGGCGAAGAGAGAGACCGCCTCGTGCAGACGCTCGTGAGTAGAACGTGTATCTACCGGCAGCGGCAGGTCAAGTGTCAACGCTTGATCGGAGGGCGAGGAAGATGGCTCTCTGGACAAAGAAGCGTTGGCAGAGGAAGGACTGGCGCAAGAGGACGATGGAGAGGCAGACTCGTCAGGCGCGCGCCGCTTCCTTCTCCGCTGCCGAACACGATTATCATGAGAATCATGTGAGTGGCACGGCGCGTCTAAGCGATCTTGAGCGTCACAGGCAAGGAAGTAAAGGCGAACTTACAAGCAACATGAACAGCAGAGTCCTCGTCAAAGATCCTGACGTTGATTGACGCATTGCAGTTACCCTCGACATTCTTAAACCGGTGTCAGACCCAAGTTCAGATAATGTGCGAAACCTACCTGGTGGGGGGCTCCCGCGCGTTGGCTGCGATATTGAGCCCGCCTCGTCGCCCGTTGACGAGAACAAACGAAGAGTGTGTGTCTCTGTGGAATCACATTCGAATCGAAAAGCGGCAGAAGTACATAAGGCCTACCCAAGGAGAGCCCTTCCTGGTGCTCGTATATGTAGTACGCTGAAAAAGGTTGCTCAACATTCATGCGCACCCTGCACGGGCAGCCCGCACCTTGATATACGTCACATCTAATCGGACTTCCTCGGCAGCCTTCCACTCCTCAAACTCTTGCCAGCTATCAAAGAAGTGCGTAGCCTTGGAGAGCGCGCCGGGTCGCTTTCTCGGGGACATAAGCTTAGCCATGAACGCTTCGTCGGTGCATTCGTACTCGAGCTGGCCACAGCGCTCGCGAGCTGTAGCCAGATCGACAGGAGGTGGAGTGCCCTCCGCTTCCTCCTTCGAGTGATCTTTCATGTCGAGTGCGTCCCCTTTGAGCGTGGGTGGTAGGGAAGGAAAACAAAGGGCGTTCCGAGCCGCCCGACGACGACGAAGTCGAAGTCAACAAGGAACCAAAACGGATAGATCCGCGCGTGACAAAAGCTCGATCGCGCTTGTCACATCACAGTCTTCCCTTTTCGTCGAGCGCTTGTTCTGTTCCCCTCACCCTCCCATATTCCTACGTCCATCATGACCCTCCGCAACAACCTCCACCGGCGCAACCACAAGGAGCGCGGTCAGCTCAAGCACCGCGAGAAGCTTGGCTTCCTCGAAAAGCACAAGGACTACGTCCTCCGCGCGCGGGATTACCACTCCAAGCAGGATCGCTTGACACGCCTGCGCCAGAAGGCGGCAGAGCGCAACAAGGATGAGTTCTACTTCTCGATGAATAGGGAGAAAACGAGGGTGAGTGTCGTTTGGTGTGGTATGGTGGAGTCGAGGGAGGAGTGGGAGAGGGAACGAGGACAGAAGCAAGGGGAACGAGATGCTGATCGACGCTTCGCAGAGGGGTGTACACTTGAAGGACCGGGGGAACACGTCGCTACCTGTGGACTTCGTGAAGGTTCTGAAGACGCAAGACGAGAACTACGTGCGGACGATGCGCGCGTCGAATCTGAAGGTGCGTTCACAGGACACCCGCCGATCAGTAGTATACTCACCTGTTGCTCAGAAAATCGACAAGCTGAAAGCTCGCCTCATGTCCCAAGCCGATCTACTGAAGCCAGACATGGAGGACGAGGACGACCTGGACGAGAACGAGCTCGAGGTCCTCCGCAATGCAGACATCTTGCCAAAACCTTCTGGGAAGAGCAAGGGGAAGGCCCGTGCAACAAAGTCACGGCACCTTGTCTTCGTTGACTCCCCTCAGGAGGGTGCGTACATCCATGCACACTGCACTTCAATGGTACTGATTCTACATCAGCCCGAAAACTTGCTTCCGAAGAGAATAAGCAGTCAGAACCCTCGAACGAGGAGAAGATGGACGTCGACGACGAAGAGCCCGACCTCGGCTGGAAGGCCGAGTCCTCTTCGAAGCAAAAGCGACGGAAGTCCGCTCCCACCACAGCCGCTGAGGACGACGAAGCAGACTGGTACGACGAAGAAGAACACGACAACCCAGGAAGCAGCGACCGATCCCGCATACTCAAGGAATTGTCCGCCCGCCTCGTCCGCGATCGCCAGCTCCGCTACGCACAGCGCGAGTTCGAGATGCAGCGACTGCTCATGGGCAAGGGCGGGCGGACAAAGCTGCGCGGGGCCGAGCGCGTCGAGGCCAGCGACGACGAAGACAGTGACGATGAGGATGCCCTGGACGCCCGCGGCGGCCGCCCGCTCAAGGCGAAGGCATCCACCGAGCCCAAGGCCTACAAGCCCCGCATATACAAGTGGCGGCTGCAGCGCAAAGCCTGACCGGACGCACGACGAACCTTCCCTGCTATTCGTCCTACCATGTACAATGCGACTGTGATGACTGGTGTCCATTCCCATACGAATAATAGGGTGTGTGATTACTGTAGTCCGTTTGTGGTGATGTGTGTACTACTGGGTCCGTGAGAGTAATATACCGCACAATGCGCGTATAATATCGCACTGATGTCCGCTGCTTTTATACAAGCATGAACGCGCCGGCCAGAACGCCGCCGAGGGCAAGCCACGACGCGCCCTTCATCTGCAGGAGGGACACGGCGGAGTCGGAGTCTGACGAGGACGAAGAGGAGTCCTTCGGCTGCGCGACACTCGAGTTGTCGTAGGTGACGCCGTTGAGGTCAGCCGCGACCTGGAAGACGGAGCCGCCGCCATACTCGTAGAACTGCACAGGCATTAGTTACAGCTCATGGAGAGATGCTAGGAGAAACGTACATCGACGAGCATGAAGTTCGGCGCACGGCCGTACTGGCTAGTGCACGTCTCAACCTGCGTACCGAGAGAACCCGTGCCAGAAGCAGCGTTCGTCGTGTCCGCGTTGTCCTTGTCAGGAACCGGGTTGCCCAGCAGAACTTTGTCCTGAGGAAAAGTCAGCATCCAGTCAAGACCGGAAGGAACAGACATACCAAGAAATGGTTGATCAAGTACATCTGCGTGGACGTGTCGCCCTTCGTGCGGTTGACTTCACAGTCAAAGGTGGTATCTGTCACGTCGTATGCAGTCTCCCAAATGTTGGTGAATTCTGATATTATCGTGAGCATCGCAGTCCTTCCAAAAGCCACGATGCACTGACCATCGACAAGGTAGGACACAGAAGAGGTATCGGCCTGGTTGTCGAGGAAAGTGACCAAGCGCTTGCCATCATCAATCATCTCCCCCAAAGTCGGCCAACCCGACGCGGGCAGCGTCGAGCTCGACGGTGAGTACGACACCTGGTCCAAGCCAGCCGACTCAAAGACCGTCGCATACTCCGTAGGTGCCACATTGTCGATGTTGACGATCAAGATGGAGAGGACTGCGTGGGTCGTCAGCCAGAGAACGAGTACGCTGTGCGATGCTACTTACCATCGTTGGTGTTGTCGTCCATCCATGACTTGACTGCGAAGACGTCAGCCGTCGATCCGGAAGGATCGACGCAAGCGCTTACCTTTCTTTAGGTAATCCTCGAGAGTGCCACCATTGAACAGGGACTAGACGGAAGTCAGTACAGGTCTGACTCGCAAGCAGACGAGCATACGCAAGAAGAGTGGCAGAGCTGCAAGGTGTTATCCTGGTTGTGAACCTGTAGCTGGAGCATGCGAATCCCATCCTTCAATTGTTGGGTGACTGAATGAGCAGTACGTGATCAGCAGACGAGCGCCGAGGGCCTGCCCAGCGATGCGCACCATCATAATCCTGGTTCACGGCGACTGGCAGAAAGTGTCAAAAGAGGGCATGGATGGCCGATCTTCGAGACGTACGGTTGTCCGTGCCCACTGCGTAGGAATCATGGGCGCCTACGAAGGAGACATTGCCAAAGCTCTTGTCGCATAACTGCAAGGCGAGTAAGCTACCTGCCCGCCCGCGCCTAAGTGTGAGCGCACCTCTGAGAAGCCATTGCAAGTCGAAGCTCGCCTAAGCGGTGCAGAGGCACCGAGGGCAATACCAGACGCAGACACGAGGGAGAGTGCGACCTGCGCAGCAGAGAGGGAGGAGAACATGGCGACGAAGGCAGACGATAGCACGACGATTAACAGAGACTTGTATTGAAGGAGCGGGAGACTAGAGATGATGGTGGGGACAGACAAGAAGGGAGGCCGAGGCGATGCTGAACCAAGACGCGATGCACAGTCGCCCTCGGCGCTCTCCTCCGGCCGCAGCCCCGGGGCCGACGATGCCTCCGTCGCGTCGGTCCAAGCGCACGCGGAACACCCTCAAATAGGTTTCTCCATTGTCTCCGCTGACCCTCGGCTGAGTCGGCTCGCTGCGCACCAGGGCTGGAGTGGCGCGCTCAGCCGGGATTTCTCGCACTCTGCCTTCGACCACAGTATTCAGGTGGCCCAAAAACAGCCCTTTGTGAGCCGAATATACTCATGGGAAGTTCGGCAAGCCACGGGTAACGGAAGCCATCCTGCCGCGCTTGGCTTTCCCCATGTCAGTCCTCCCCGCGTCCCCAGTCGTACTCGTGACGGGATGCAGTACCGGCGGGGCTGGATTCGCCTTGTGAGCGTGTTTCCGTGCCTGAACTTGAGTTTGCCAAGCTGAAGCGTCCTGTAGGTGCAAGGCGTTTAAAGCCAGAGGATGCGTAGTCTACGCCACCTCTCGCAGGCTCGAGACTATGCAGGGTCTTGAGAGCGAGCGCATCCATCTCCTGGAGATGGATGTCGCGCGTGATGACCATGTCAACGACGTTGTGACCAGGATTGTCGAGGAAGAAGGCCGAATAGATGTCCTCGTCAACAATGCGGGTACGGTTGCTGCTGGTGAGTTCATTATACTGCACCCGACTTGAAGAACCAGATCTCATGGACACTTATAGGCGCTCTCATTGATAACACGATGGATCACGTAAAGAGCGTCTTTGATGTGAACACTTTCTCTGTCGTGCGCCTCGCGAAAGCGGTGGTCCCAATTATGGCAAAGCAGAAGAGCGGACGTATCGTCAATATCGGCTCCGTTGTGGGAGACACGTAAGTGAGTTCCCTCCTGAATATTGCCCATGGCCTCACGGCGCCATAGGCCAACACCTTTCAACGGACTATACGCCGCATCCAAAGCTGCCCTTCACAGTTTCAGCGACGTCCTCGCCATGGAGCTCCGCCCCTTCAACATCGATGTGATGCTCGTTACCCCAGGCGGAATCCGCTCCAACATCGCCAACAACGGCGCTCGGGCCTTCGAGCAACCCGAAGACTCGCTCTACAAGAACTACATGAACGCTATCATGAGGCGCATCAACCTCAGCCAGAGTATGGGACCATGGAGCGCGGAGGAGTTCGCAGAGGATGTCGTCTCGAAGTGCTTGAGGAGGCATCCGCCGGCGCATGTCATCAATGGAAAAGGCTGGCAGGCGTTCCTACTGCTGAAGTGGCTCCCTCGGACTTGGGCCCTGTACATCTTCAGTTGGATTTACATGAAGCCAGATGCTTGATTGTCCTCGTAGCTACAGCCAAATGCAGGTCTTTCCCTGCCCAACGACGAGAGTAGATGCTGAAAGAACTTGCATCAGCTCAACTTGAACTTGATGCGTGCGCGCGACGCGCCTTAAATTACCCACGTGCTCGCGCGACGCGTATTGTTGCCCAAAGCGGTCGTGACGACCTTTGTTCTTCCCATTTAGGTTGCTCTATTCCTCCATCACATACGCAATCCGTCACCCATACGGACTCACACACGATGCCTCCTCGATACCCCGACAGTCTCTCCCCCAACATCACGCCCACCAAGCTCTCCAAGGTCCAAAAATCGCGCGCACGGCGCGAGCCCTCGGGCGTGTTCTCGCTGTTCCAGGCCCCGCAGATCCAGCAGTTCAAGGAGGCGTTTCAGCTCATTGACCATGATAAGGATGGGTGGGTGAGCGAGTCGGACTTGAAGGAGATCTTCAGTAGTTTGGGTACGTTGACGCGTCGATGGAGTGCGCGCCACATGCTGACCTGGCTTACTTCCTCCTTGCTCTCATCGACCTCCATACACCCAATCATCCCATCCCTCTTCCTACTTTGACCACTTCCACCTCCTCCAGGCATCCAACCCTCCCGCGTCATGATGGAAGAGCTCCTCTCCTCCCGCCCCGGCTCCCAAGGCCACTCCCCCAACCCCTCCGAGGACAAGCCGGGCATCAACTTCACCATGTTCCTCACCATGATGTCCGAGCGCCTCGTCGAGTTCGACACCGAGCCCGAGCTCATCGAGGCCTTCGAGAGCTTCGACGAGAACGACACGGGGCTCATCAAGGTCGAGGAGATGCGCAAGTGGCTCAGCGAGGTCGGCGAGCGGATGGATCAGAGGGAGGTGAGTGGGTGGGAGTGTTGCGGCGTGTTTGGGTATGTGAGGTGAGGTATATGGCTGACGGCCGTTTTGCCTAGATCGACCGCTTCCTCAAGGGCCCCTTCACGGATCGACAGGGCAACTTCAACTATCGCGAATGGGTCAAGGTCCTTCGAGTCAACGAGGATCCCGAGGAAACCCCTTCATGATACTCTGCCTTACCGCTCTGCGAGCACCCTCACGACGTTGTACGACATATCACGCTCTCATCATGGACGTTTACCAGTGAACACACGCTGTACAAGTTAATGTATACTGCATTCAGGCTCTTGCAGCCTGCCGAACGCTGCCATCTCGAGTGCGATCGCTCCAGAAAGAGATCAAGCTCGAGGAGACAGACTGCCTCGTAGAAGGCTTTGGTTCGCTGGCTTTGCAGCGCATTCGAAGGAGATCATCAAATTCGTTCTGTCGTGTCCCCGGGACGCGTCGTAGCTTCGCCCAGCTGTTTATTAGGATCGCCCCAAGCTCGGAGGACGACTGAATGAGATTGTATTCGTGACAGGGACGTCGAAGTCATAGTACAACGGATCGCATAGCATGAAAACATGGACAAGGGGAAGAAATTATATGTGTACGGGCGCCAGCAACAATAGGTGCCCGCGAAAGGGAAGACAACATGACGGTACAAACATGAAGGCCAGTATGGAAGTGTAAGGGGAATGGTATTGTATTGTATTGTATGATTATGCTGAATATCCGCTGGGTGCGTATGGTGGTGAATGCTCCAAAGGAAGTTCGCTTGACTAGGATTATACAGGGTCTTGGATAGGGAAACAGAAAAGAGAGATAAGGGAAATAAGGCGCTCAGAGATGCGCGGGTAGACGGAGAGCAAATGAAGGAAATGAGTAAACATGATGAATGAAGGAACACTGTGGAATCAGCCGCGCATAGCAGGGCGATTCCACTGACCCCATTCGCCGTGAGGCGACCTCCGAACGTCTACTGGGTTCGCACGTTGTTGGCCCCCCTCGACCGCCGGGAACTGATAGATGGGACCGTTCGCCGGGGAGTGATGTCCGCTTCGACCCTGCCGATGAGCGCCAAATGGACGATGCGCGCCGCGGTAGGCCTGATCCTTGCGTCCTGGACGCCGGTTCATCCCTGCGGCCGGAATCTCGAAGCTCAAACGGGATGTGGGCGCTCCGAGAGGTGGCGTCTGCGGATGCCCTGTCTGCGGCATGGCGGTCGGATAGAAAGCGGACGTGGGCCAAGGGATGGCCTGCGCCTGAACATGCTGTGGCGGAGGGCGGCCTGCAGCAGTAGCCGGCGCGTGAGGCGACTGGCCACCGTGAGGCACGATGTGGGGATACCATGACTGGGAAGAATTTGGATGGAAGGGTATCTGACGAGCCCCAGGAGGATGGCTCGACATATACTGGTCTAGGGCTTCTGGCTGGTACACAGGGATGAGCGTGCCCTGCCCGTCCTGAACAAAGCCAGTGGGCGCCAGAGGCGCCTGCCCCTGCCCGTTGGCCGCCGCCTGCTGTTGCACAGCAGTGGCCTGCTCAGCGGGGTGGCGCTGGTACGCAGGGTAAGGCACATAGGACTGAGTGAATCATGAGCATTGATCAACGCGTGCGGATGTGGTCACCTACCGCATACATAGGTGCCGACGGCCATACGACAGGAGGACTCGCAGTCGGTCCACTTGCATCGGATCCGATTGGGCTGACGAACGCAGGCGTCGCCGCATGCTGGCCGACGTGGTGCTGAGGGTACGGCGCGTAGTAGGGCATAGCATACTGCATAGGCGGAGGATACGGTGTCATCCACGGGCCAAGTGGCGGATAGTATGCGCCATTCGGCATCATGTATGCCGGAGGTGGGTGAGAGGGGACCGTCGAAGACGGTGCAGAGCCCAAGGACGAGGGAGGAGGGGACACCGCTGATGTAGGAGTATCATCGGCCCAGCTAATTGTCGGAGCATGAGCGGAAGGTGGAGGGCCCTCCGAGCGCGCTACAGATTCAGTACGACGAGAGACGATGGAGCCGTCAAGAACGTCGCTCGCCGTACGCTGATGTGAGCGTGCCCTCATATTGCCGGTATCATCGACAGTAGCCTCCGCAAAGCCGTTCGCCAGACCCTCGACGGTGCTGTCCCGAGAGCGACTACCGATGTAGTCCCCGAAAGGCAACTTGCCGGAACCGTGATCCATTTCCTCCATGTATGGATGTGACATGAAGGGCTGGCGGCCACGTCGTTGCTTCCAGGGGCTACGTGGAGGATTGCAGTCGCGTAGCTGGACACGAATGGCCCGTCCATCATAAACGCGGTTATGCTGGTAAAGGTTCAGAGCATGTCAATGACAAACTTTTCGAATTACTGACCTCTGCACTGATGGCTCGAGCCGGCGAGTCGTCATTGTTGAACTTGACGAAGGCGAAGGCGGCACGGGAGTTCGCTGGACAGTATGTCAGCACCATCGGTGATTCTGGTGGCCTGACGGGACTCACGCGGACGGACAACCTTGACGGACTGCAGACCGCCGTACTTCGCGAACAGAGTGGCCACGCGCTCCTCGTCCCAGGCGGACGGCCCATGCATTTCCAATCCGCCGACAAACAACGTGGTCGGGTCGAGCTCGCGGTCCTTCCCATCGTAACCGAAAGCCATGCCCTCCATGCACATTGTCGAGCTTGTAGGCGTGATGGGGAATTGAGTGCCGGGCGTCTTAGGCGTGATGGGCGACATTCCGAGGCCCGGCATTGGCGGCGACGGCATTTCTAAGACTTGTTCGTGCTCGTCATGATCTTCGTGCTGATGCGTCGCGGTGACTATGGGCTCGCGGGAGAGCTCAAAGGGAGATATGGGCCTTACGGGCACATGAGCATATACAAAGACAAGAAAGTAAGCGGACGTACAAATCGCTGTCATCCCATGCGCGTCCTCGCTCTCCACCATCCTTCAGGGGCGGAAAGTCGATGTCGCTCAACGCCGCCTTCTCCTTTCGCGCGACGTTGGACTGGAATGAATGATCGTGGCCATCACCCATAAAAGCGCCCACGGGAGAGTGAAGACCAGCGACTTCACGAGCGGGACGGTCATAGGCAGCGCGCGGACTCGACTGAACGTCACGGCGCGGGCTGAGCACATGAAGGGGATAGGATGCCGTGTTCATGAACTGAGGTTGACGAGGAGTGCCGTGGGGAGCACGATCAGACTGCGACTGGGGCTGGTGAGCCCACGTCACCGTGAGATGAGGTACACGTCGCAGTGTCTATACAAACAAAGTCAGGAAGGCACGATCGTGAAGCCAGCATCCACGTACCATCAGAGCGGTAACGCAGTCGTCCCGATGCGCCCACTTAATTTCGTAGCATCCAGTCTCCATATTGGGCAGACGCTCTGCATCGTGAGGGGCGGGATAGGATTGTTGCTCCGGATGCTCTGCAGACTGTCAGTATATATTCGAAGTGAGCCCTGGGTTGTTGTATTATACCTAACGTATCACCTTCCGAGCCCTTGTAGGGGCCGAAGGCCTCCAACTGACCAAAGAAAGTGGCCAAAGAGCGGATAGTCTACGACGATGGTAAGGCAACTCGGTCAAGGGATGTTATCAGGCGAGCCGCGCACCTCGGTGTCGAACGCAAGAGGGTGGAATGAAATACTATTGTCGGTGTATCCCTCGACTTGCTGCTGCATGGCCTTGCTCCGCGCCTCTCCATCCACGGCATCTGAGTTGTACTGCATGTTGTAGAACCTGTGGGCCTGTTAGCTTGCGTATGTGTGCGCTCACAAGGATCACTCACTTAGAAGTGCGCGACTTCCAGATGCGCATAGCGAAAGGGACCTCAAGGTCAACTAGCTGCTCACGCGCTGCCTGGTCCACCTCGCCGTCGCGACCCTGGAGGGAAGGTACGAGCTGCTTGGGTGTTCTGAACCGCATATAAGTGGATATATGCGCAATGCGGCGTGAGCTACGCACCGATAGGACACCAACAGGGTCCGGAACGCCCTTGCTGGCTCATAACGAAGAATACGACCCAGGAAGGACTTCGGAGGCGTAGAATGAAGAGTATTGATGAGATTAGTAGCTGCAGCTGCATCCTGTGGACAACAGTTTAGCCGAGGCGGCGGCGAGAGGTGCATACACGAACCTCGCACTGCACGAATGCGCAGACGCCACCCTTGGCATCGCGGACGACCTTAACATTCTGGACCTCTGCATGCTCCGACAGGTGCTCCGAAAGCAGACGCGCGAGCTCCGGTTGCTCGACGTTCGTCGGGAGACTGGCGGTGCGCATCAGCTGCGGTGCCCAAGAACTGCAGCGGGGTGGTTTACCTTCCTACGAACACACTGGCGTCGTGTGGCATTTTGCTCTCCTTCTTCGGCGTGGTGGTCATCGACGTGTCCGACGCCGGCTCGGTTGCAAAGTCGCGCTCGATGACGGACGGAGGTGAAGAGGGCGGAAGGGCGTCAAAGCGCGAACCCCAGGAACGGGGCTTTTGGACTGGTTTGGGTGGCATGGGCGGCTAGGATAGAGATGGGCAGCTAGAATGGCGTCCTCGGGCGTTGTCCGCGAGAAGGAGATGGTCGTGGTATGAAGTCAAGCCACACGGACGGCACAAAGTCGTCCGTCGAATAAAAAGAGCGCGGTAGCCAACTCTCGGAATTGGGAATATACTGGCATTTCCGGCATGGGATACGGCCTTTATTGCGGTAAGGTCGAGCTTCCGTGACACGTTCCCTGTCAGCGGTATGTCCATTTTGCACGGACATACTTCGACGCTGGCCCGGGGCGAGTCGACGTTCGCTTTACCGATAAATTTCTGCATCCGGGGGCAGCGTCCACCTGATGCTCCGGCAGCTCCCAGCGTCGAAACACGTTGGCCCGACGCCCAGATGGCAGAACACAAGGCCCCGCGCTGATCTGGTTACTGCGAACGTCGTTTGGCGTGTCTTCTCTGGCGTCTTCCTTGATTCACGTGGTCCAGAAAGGGGGATATGAGGCTTTTCGATGTTTGGAGTCAAGGCTGCCTTCGAGCTTCCACCCGACATAGCATGCTCCCGCCTCGCACAAGTCGAACTGCATAGCAGGCGGCAGAGCTCAAGATCGGCGGCCCAGGCAAGGAACGCACGGCGAAAGCCTTAGCAAAGGAACGGTTAACGGAGGAATGCGCGAGCCCAAAAGCCACTGAGGTTTGTTGACGTCTCTTGAAACACGGAAGCCAATCCAGCAGAGCTTGATGATATCCCCAAAGGCCACAGGATCGACGCGAAGCAGAGCGGGAAGTACGTAAACTGTTCGACAGAAGGCGCTAATCCATGCCCGGACAATGAGGCACGCGCAAGGAGACCAGAACGTCAACGAGTCGTCGTCCTGCTCGAAAAGACGCACGGAATACGTAGGCATATGTTGCGCGACCTTTCGAGGGTCCAAATATCGTCAAGGTCGAGGACAGACAGGCGCTATTGCACAGGTCAATTGTGGGTGAACAGTCATACCCGACGCCGCAGAAAGAGACCTTGTCGTCGCACAGACATGACCGGTGACGAGTTCTTGCCAGTAGGCGCCAATATAGAAGGCTCCACCAGAGCTTCGCGATCGGTGGCCATGTCCGCGACCTTCACTCGGTCCGGGCGCGCGATCCTCGAATGACACGGAATGAGATCCATCGACATGTTGGTCGTTGGGCGAAGCTCTCCTTCTCCTCGGATGCGTCAGGGATTGAGATTTGCAGCTGACTTCAATCTCCTATCCAGGAGTCAAAGAAATCGAGAGGGAACCCAGAAATCCTGGAAATGTAGTCGGCGTCCGGAGGAAGACAGAACAAAACGGGAAACAATGGCATCATCAGCCCGGCTGACCGGGCCGCATTAGCGCCCTCGCCGAAAACTTCCCCTTCGGTACTTCGACAAGAACGGTCATTGTGATCGACTAAACCAAAAGCTCCCCCACACCTGCACTCTCTTCATACGCGTTATCACTATGTCTGACGATGGCTTCGATGCGGGGGCGATGGAGGATATGGCGTATGACGGAACTGGGTGCGCACGGACTCACTTGCGGTCCATGTTCGACTCTAACTCGCGTGCAGCTATGGGGATGACGGCGCATTCGTACGTACCGACCTCCACGTATTCTGCAAGGATCATGAACATCTCTCTTACTCATAGGATGACGGCTTTGACTTGCTGGGTGACCAAGGAAACGGCGAGCAAGCAGGCGGCGATGAGGACGGCGGCGTGGCTACCTTCGGAGATCCTGAGGACGCACAAATGAACGGCATCAACGGCGTAACAGATCACGACACGAAGATGGGTGGCGTAGAAGAAGCGGAGGATAGCAGAAAGCCGAACGTTGATGAGCACGGCGAACGGCAACCCAACAAGGAGCGCGTCACAACACCATACCTCACAAAGTACGAGCGCGCACGAATACTGGGCACTCGCGCATTGCAGATCAGGTCAGAATACTTTCACTGCGCTCTTACTGACCGTGTTCACGAGCTGCTACCCACAGTATGAATGCGCCTGTGCTAGTACCTTTGGACGGGGAGACCGACGCGCTTCAAATCGCCATTAAAGAGCTGTCGCAGCGCAAAATTCCCCTCATCATTCGACGCTATCTGCCTGACGGGAGCTTCGAAGACTGGAGTGTTTCTGAGCTCATCACGGACTAATATACCTTCGCCTCCGCCCCTCATCGGTTCGCTTCCTCATTCTTGATTCCGTCACATCTTTTGCTTTCGTACTGTAATGCAATCCGCTCAAAACGTCACAATAAACATTGGATAACCGAATCCGTGGTCCGTAGCAAGATGCTGAGCGTGATAGAATGTACAGTACAGGTGGGCTCAAACTTTCGCAGACCGTGTCCGAGCGAGAGAACGGGTCGTGCGCCGAGGCTTGCTCAACTGACCGTCATCCTGAGCTCGTGCAGAGGGCTTAGCAGCGGTCAGCTTAGCCATCAGGGACAACGGCTTCTCGATGACCTCCTCGCTCTCCTCGTCTGACAACGCGAATGGATCGTCCTCCGGTGGCACCACCTTCGAACCGACGAAGAGCGTATCCTCGTCATCGCTATCGTCGTCCTCGAGCTTTGGCTTGACTCCCGTATGCTTCTTAGACGGACTCGATTGCAGGTCGTAATGGGAGGTGCGCTGCTGACGTTTGCTTGGGGACAGTGGCGCCATCATAGACGGCCTCGGAGGCTTGAAGTATTGCGGCGAGCTGAGAGCCATGGCGTCCGGATCCGCAGCCCCGCGTCGAGACACGCTGGGAGACTCTTCAGGACCGGGCTTGGGCCATGTACGCACGGCGTCAGGTGTGCTGAGAACCATGTCGTCGACCAGTGGAGGTACGTTCTCGCGTTCGCCAGCCGGCTTGCGAATATCTGAGCATTCGGAGTGAGCTATATGCGTCAAAAGGTGAGTGAAGCCCTTACCTTTCCGCTTGCCCTTGACACCTGGAGGTACAGCGACTGCGCTCTTGACAGTCTTGAACGGCGACGACATCGTAACGTCTCCATTCGCCCGGACAAGCGTCGTCTGCGACTCCCAGTCGGCAGGAAATGCACTCTTCCACTCCTCCATAGTCATCTTCACCCACGAGTCCGCATCAGCCTCGACGTGGTAGTCGATGATGCCGGCCCACTCCGCGCCCGGCGGCGTGCGGTTGACGAAGACGACCTTGCAGAACTTGCGCGAGGTAGCAGCGGCGTGAACGGTCTTGGCGAAGTCCTTCACGAGCTTCTTGAGGCCGTGGACCTTCAAGGAAGTGCCCATGATGATGAGACAGTCCGGCTTACGCCCGACATCAGAGGTCTGGATGGCGCCTATCTCGTCGCCAAGGGGGTGCGGTTCGTCATACAGCACGATAGCGGGGCGCAATGAGCCGACTCGGAGAGGACGAGCTGAACGGGCTACGCGCGCCTCTCCTGTGTCGAGTTAGTGGCAGCGGTAGATGGATTGCAAGCGCACGCACGTCTCTTTAGGCACTCGGGACAGTCCGGAGCGATCCCCTCGTTGAACATCTTCACGTACTCTGGGATACATGGCTGTTCCGCGCAACAAGTGATGCAGCGAACGCGGTGGATGTCACCGTGCAGTTGCACATTCCGCACATCCTTGATCCGGATCTTCGACTTTCCCTTGACAGCCTTGGCACTGTCGCTGGAACTGCTGAGAAGGCCTGCGCGCTCCTCGAGACCGTCGATGTTCTGGGTATACGAACGCAAGAGTTTCTTCTTCTCGTTGAGAGCTTTGATAAAGTGATGGGTAGGGGAAGGGGTAGCCTTGTCGATAGACTGCTTGAGCTGCGAGATGAAGGTGTAGAAGACCGCCGTGGACGTGGTATCGCGGAAGAGGGAAGCGTCGAAGAGATCGCGGCCCTTGAGAACGACATCCGGGTATTGTTTCTTCACGAGCGCGTACAGGCCATCGGACGAGCGAAAGTCCTATCGAAAGTTAGCTTATAGTCGAAGGCTAGTGGCAGCCACATACCGGGATTCCACAGGAACACGAGATGCCAGCGCCTGTCACGACGACAATCTTCGTGCTCTTCACCACTGCTCGTGATAATTCGTGTAAGGCGCGTCGAGTACGTCCATCTGTATGGGCGTCCTCGAGGCGCAGCGTGACCGTCATGGTTTGGACGGAGGTGGCCCCGCGATGATGGACGGGAGCAAAGCGTTGTTGGATTTTGGTTTTGTTTATTCGACGCGTCGAAGGCTTGTCACGTGGACGTGTCCTCGGTCCGACATCCCGGAGACGCGTCTGTTGACTGCCGTCATCGCTCACAAACCGCTCGCGCTCTCGACAACCTTGAACGAAAAGCTCAGCCTCAGCCCCTATGTACGCAACCAGCAGAGGGAAGCCGCGGCTGTCACACTATCATACGGTCTAGTTGGAGAACTACTAGACTATCCCTAGTGTTCAGAAATAACCCTGCCGAACTTCCCTCTCCGAAGTCGGCGTACGCTCGTAGTACCATACAGTGCCGTTGCTCGTACAGGTCGAATTATAGGTCGTGTCAATGGGCTTGTACGTGCCGTACTGCTCCGTCCCGTAGACATGGGAGTAGTACCAGATCTCAGAGAGTTGCGTGCCGTTGTGGGAGCAGCCCACATAAGGCAGCGCACCGGTCTGCGACTTGAGTGCAGCATGAATCTGGTCGAGGCTGTACCCAGTCGAGTTGGAGGGAACGATGCCGTTCCTACATTGGAAAGTCAGTTGAGGCAAGCTTCCGAGAGGGGCTATACGTACGACGCAAGAATGTCGTATGTGGGATACTGCTTGAACGCACGAACAACAGCGTCGAAGAAGTTGATCACGTCCTCATGTTCTTGGTAGGAGTCACCGTAGCATGCGACATCGAACGTGGAAGTGCAAGTGGCGTGCTTGCCAAACTCGTGAGCCCAAAATTCGGCGTTGGTACCGCCCTGGTTGATCCAGTAGGCGTTCACTGGAAATCACGGTCAGGAAGAGCCCGGTGATCGTAACGACGAACACACTGTAACTCAGGAGGTCATCTCTGCCAAAGTCCTGCACGAACGTGTCTACGCCCGGACCGTCGTATGCGGGGACCTCCGTTCCGTCGTCAAGTTTCTTGGGGGATGGATTCGGATCGTACTGTCGCGACAGATCGCAATACGACTCGTATGTTCTGACGGGGATCTTCAGCAAGTGCTTCGCTGCGCTGAAAGATCACACGCACCCATCGCAATTGTCCGGCCAAAGACCGTGGATCGTCCAGCTCCCCTTCGGCAGGAGCTGCCCCTCGTCCTCAAGCCCCGTGTACGTCGACCAGAACTGAGTCTGCAGCACAAGACCCCCAGGAGTCGGCGAGCAGCAAGTATTCGTGATCGCCGTCGTGTTCTCGCACGAGAAGAACGAGGGAGTGCTACTGCAAGCAGAGAAGTCCGGGTAGGTGTCAGGCAGCGAGGTGTTTTGCGCGGAGGCCACGGACACCACAGCGACAGAGGACAGCAGGAAGCCGGACAGTGAGAAGACGACGGCCATGGCGCTCGATGTCTGTTGAGCAACGCTGGGGAAGGAGGTGCTCGCGTCTCATGTGGAGGATCGCGGTATTTATACGGCGTGAATAGGTTGGATAGAACGGTATCGCACGTTGGCCGGCACCGTATCTCTGAGCGGACGCATGGGTGGCGTGGTTGAGGAGGGTGCGGATCAGGTTGACCATGTGCGCTCAAACATGTCAGATCCTTGGTAGGCGTCGGCAAAGGCCGACTGTCTTGGGCATCGAGCAACGTTTATAGTTGTCGAAGGCATGCACATGCATTTCGCCACCGATATTACATGTATATTCATGATTTATATACAGAAAACACAGCCGTATTCGAGAGCAATATCCAGGTAGAAGCGAGATCAGCAGGCAGAGCAGAGCAAGACGCCCGGAGATAGCAGAGACGGCGGGCCAAGCAAATGCAGAGCGAGTCGAGGAAGATCGGCAAGACAGCACAAGAGCGCATGCAGAGAGAGAGAGCAAGGAAGCGCGAATCCGAGAGTAGAGCATAGCGATACATCAGACGTCTGACCATCCGCCTTCATCGAGTTTGTACGAAGCTTCGCTCTCAGGACGGTCCGGACTGTCGACCAACTTGGCGACACGTTCCTCAGCGCGACCTAAGAGTATACGGAAATCATCAGGAGGAGCGCTGAGCCCCCTAGGATGGAGTACGTACCCTTACGCAAGAACATGCGGGTTGCAGACGCGTGAGAGAGAATATGCCCACCTATGGGCTTGAGGGCGCCGCCAGCGACGAAAGTCATGGTTGCGCCCGGGTCCGCTATGGAGAATGTCAATATGGACGTACGACGCGAGTGCGATGGTCTCACATTGGACTTGGTTTGTCAGAAGAATAGCAATCTACGAGAGGGGTGAGAAGACGAGCGAACTTGCAATGTAATACAGCGAACGTTGTACTCCTCAGATAGCTTGGTGAGTTTGGACAGCATCTGATCCAACGTCAGAACCTGGAGAAAAGGATAGATTGATGAAGCCTACCTGAGCTAGCTAAAGATCGCCATTAATGAGTTAGCTCTGTTGAGCAGACAACCAAGATACATCGCACCTTCTGCTGACGTTCACTGAGCTCTCCTCGTCCAGAGTAATCCACTCGAAACAGAGCCATGATACTGTCGACAATCTACATGGCTATGAGCTTCATTTTGGCGGAGGCAGGTTGAAGGAGCATACGAGCAGCCGAAAATCTTTGTCCTCTGCGAATCGCGAAGAGCATTCATTGATGAGTTCCATCTAAGACGATGTAAGTATGGTACAGCTGCTAGTAAGGATATCCCTGACCTGATGCTCGCTGTTGAAAGCGCGAGCTACGAAAGGCCCGTCAATAGGGGAAGAAGCGGCAGCTTCCTTGCGTACCGTAGAGGATGTTCTCCAGCGCCATGCTGCCGTCAACACCGAAACGCTCTGCAATCGACTTGATACGGTCCGGTCGAAATGTCCCTTCCGTATCGATGTATGCGACCTTTCCTGATGCACCGCCGAGATCAGGAGGCAGTTGCGCGACCACGCTCATGGTGTGCGCTAGCTGGGTCTTGCCAGTACGGAACTCTCCATATACTATCGCGTCATGTCAAAACCGAGCACAAGACGAGCTAAAAGCGCAGAACTCTTACCTTCGGAAATGGACTGGGACATGATGCCGCCTGGCCAGGTCAGTGGGTGAGGACCGCATATGGCGGAGAGGACGTACCACCAAGGATCCCATCTACCGCTTTGCTCCCTGTGCTGATGGTGTTGACGCGCTTTCGTTTGTCCTGAATCTCTACTCCGGTCGCGAAAGAGGAGCCCTGGCAGGTAGTCAGCCTTCGACGCGAGATTGAAGTAGCGTTGTTCGCACCAATATTTTGTGGGCTGCTTCCTGTGCTGACGATCGGATGCAGACGCTACGGAAACTAAAGGGACACGCACCTTGATCTTCTCTACCTTCGCTTCTGACATGCCCTATACTTCGTGAGTCCGTAGGTCCGAGGTGAAGCGCATATATGCACCTTGATCTTGAGCAATTGCCTGCGCGTGGTCATGTTCACACCGGACACCGTGTTGATAGCAGCAGACTGCGGGAGGAGAGCGTCAGCGCCGATACTCTGAAGGTTGGTGGTCGAAACGCACCTTGAGCTTCAGGATGTCCTGAACGTTGATACCCTGCGTGACGAGTTCATTGTCAGCAGCGCGGTCGCATTTGTGGCAACGGCGCATACATGCGATTGCAGCTCGTCGATGGAGTCGAAGTAGGGTGTCTGAACTTCCGTCAGTCGGACGACGAATTCGTAACGAGTACAATCACCTCATCCTCGTCCGCAGCTGCTGGGCTGGACGCGCGAGACGGAATGGCAGAGCCGCTTGATGGAGCACGACGAGGAGGCATGGAAGCGGAGAATGACCTGGAGACTGCGGCAGCGACTGCCTGCGATGAGGATGGTGGTGGTGAAAGACAAGACGCGACAAGGCCAGGAGAAGAACTTCAAGAAGGAAGACGCGTCGTTGACAGTGACACTGACAGGAATTGACGTTCATGCACGTGCAACGCCACAATCCGCCTTCGCAACCACCTCGAAATTATGCTTGGAGTCAGTCATAACAGCAGCGAGGGGGCAGCCGCCGACAAAGGCTAAGTCCTCGCAAAGCCTTTCGCCATCAGATCCAGCGCAGTCGGGCTTGCGGAAATTATTGATACAGGACGGAATACAAGCTTGAGCATCGGCACAGTCAAGAAATACTTCGACAGCGAACTTAATCCGCGTCCATATCGTAGTCGTCTATGCTCCCTATCACCTGCACCCCATCGTTAAGTGCCGATTTGCTGCGCCCGCGCTTCTTCACTTTTGGTTTCGAGACTTCGGGCGAGCTGCGAGGGGAGCCGTCCACAGGGAGCTGAGGTGGTGGCGTAGGTGCACGGATCTCCGGTGTTGGCCCAGAGAAGTCCTTCCCGGTAATCCGGGAGAGAGTTTGCATGTCTGCGCACGTGTTAGCTGGATCATGGATGCGACGAGGAGGGCATACCTATTGGAACATTGCTCTTGAGTGCCGCATTGATGAGATGGGGGTTCTTCTTGTCTTCTGCCTTGAACTTGTTCTGGCAGGACTTCCGGTCGCGGCCAGGGAGCATGATAGCGATTAGCTCGTAGTTCTCGCCGTATTGTCGCAAGGCCTACAAGTCGTATCAGCAAGTGCAGTTGGCAACGACAATGAGAAACGTACATCGTAAAAGAGCTCCGTCTCTTCGGCACTCCATCTCGAGCCCCGCACCTTCTTCGTATATGTGCTCGAGTTGATGAACTTAGTTCGGTCGTGCTCGACGACGTGCGTGTAGCCCGACGTATCTTCGTCAGCCGCTCGGTCTACTTGCGTGGACTCCTCGTCGATGACGATGCTTGCGCCAGCACCCAGACGAACTTGCGTGGTGTAGTCCCTGGCCTTCAAGTTGCCATAAAAGTCATCATCCGAGTCCTCATCACCGTCCCCATTCGCCTCCACCACAGTCGCCTGCGTGTCGTCCGGAACAGCCTGCTTGGCGGGCGAATCACCCTCCGGCGCGTCCTTCGCGGTAGCGTTCTGTTCTTCCTCCTCTTCGTCCTCCGGTTTCCCCAACTTCTTCCGCTCCTTCTTGGCCATAAGCCGAGCGCGGTACTCCCTCGACCGCACCTTCCACGCCGCCCAACTGTCCTGCACCTCCATAGCCCTACTACTGACGCGGCCCTGGCCGGTATCCTCGCAGAGCTCAGCCATGGTGATTGTCGTCGGGTCAATCTCCTCACCAGGATCGGCGTCGGGGTCGAATGCAGGTACCTTTTTCCTGCGCTTGCGCGTCGGCTTTTCTTCGTCGTCCTCCGTCGTAGCAGTCTTCGCGCGACGCTTGCGCTTCGGGCGAGCCTCCTTCTCGGTGGCCTCCTCCCCCTCCGTCACATCTGACTTTTTCTTCCTCCCTCGCTTCGGTCTAGTCGGAGGAGCAAACGCGTCGTCTTGAGACGCGGCCGGTGCAGCTTTCTTCCCTTTCGAGCGCGTCCGCCTCGAAGTAGACAACTGTGCTTCGTCCTCAGATGGCTCTGCTGCAGCAGGCGGATCGTCCGCAGAGGTAGACGCCTGAGTAGGGACTACGGTCTGAGATTGGGAGGGGCCGGCTTCTGAAGCGGCAGGGATCGCCTGTGAAGGGAGTTGACTTTGTACGATTGGCGGCTGCGCAGAAGGGATCGCGGGCGGCGCCATAGACACATCTGCGAGTCTGTGTTGCGATGCAGGTAGCGAAAGACCGGCTTGTAGAGGCTTAGAAGGAGTGGGGGTGATCGGAACGGGAGGTCGAGATCCAGGGGCTGGCGGTTGTATTGCGGAGGGGGTGCTTATTGGACGCGAGGGGACGAGCTGAGGAGGAAGACGCTGCAAGTCAGGCGGACGAGCTGGCGTTGAAGGGGACGCCTGGTGGGTAGTATACGCTGGAGGCACAACAGGCCTACTCGGTGTAGAAATTACAGTGGGAACGGCGCTGCTGGCTCGAGCCAGATTGACAGGTGTCGGTGCAGCGGCACGCAGCATCGGTGGCATGGCCGATCGTGTCGGCGTCTCAAGTGGTCCTCCCGCATCTTGTGAGTTCTCTTCAGCAGGTGGACGCGAAGTCGCTGGTGGATGGACATTTTCTTTGGGCCGAGGTGGAGGGACATCGTCCAGAGAAACGGATAGGGGCGGCCGGGCAGCTGAGCTGGTAGATGGTAGCGAGGGGTTAGACTGGCTTGTTATCTGGCTATCTGGAAGCGCAGAGCTTTGTCTTCGTGATGGGGTCGCGGACGGCGTCGACTGAGGTGCATTAGACGCCCTGGGACGGGCTTTCACAACGGGCTTGAAGATCGCACCGCCCTTCTCTATGCAAAATATGAGTATCTCAATGTCAGATAAGATACGCCCCACTCACGGACGCGGGAAGTCATTCTTCTAAGCAAGTATAGCGAGCAGTACGGATGATGGTGGTGGGAAGAACAAAGGGATTCTGTATTTGATCACCGACGCGTCCGACTTGCCTTCCGATCATCATCTTCACTCAGCCTGACCGCGTCCAGCACGCGGAAGCGAAGCATGCCAGCCCTGGAGCTTCCAGTGGGCGATCAACCGGGCTGGGAATGCAACGAAGAGAATCAATCGTCTCTCAAAACCGTAGCTGAAAGGCAAGCAGGCCCGTACCTTGGATCTGCCCCGTGCTGATACGAAGCGCTGCAGCGGTGTTGTCTTATGTGCCCTTCGCCAATCAAGAGATCGTCTTATCTTCAAGACTTTCCCGAGATTCACTAGCCGACCTGGCAAGATACCCCCACCCCCCTCTCATACCCTCCAGCGACGCGCAAGGTGCAACGTTGAGATTGGCCCCCATTCCTTCGACGATGTTGCCTTCTACGAAGTTCATTACCAGGACCAATTCCCAACATTATCTTATAATGGTCCATCACCCGTTCCCTTGAGCCTTCGCGCCTCGAGTACAGCGGCTCCAGCACCGAATCCTGCTTACGACCCGCAAAGCTGGAAGACATCCCCCTACCCTGATCATGCCTTGCTGACTATGTCGGCTGGGCAGCTCAAGCGCGCATATGAGGTACCTGATGCCGCCGACAACCATGACGGACCGACTGCACTCCCATCTGCAAGCCCGTCTCGTGCGACCAGCTCGCTACCTGCGCCTGCTGAGAATCCCATGTCCCCAGCGTCCCAACCCACAGGAATCACTCAGTCTCTCATCCACCAAGTCGCTGCTGCTGCAGCGTGCGATGAACATCTGGGCAATATCGTTGCTGCCGCATCACAGGGTACAGCGACCCCCGACCAACTACGAGAGCTCAGCAAAGCCGTGAGGGAGCTCAAGCGTGCATCTCCCGCATCTTCTGCACCCGGACCACCACCTCCCAACCGTCCTCAGGACTCTATGCAAACACGATATCCTCCTGTACCACAATCGCCTCAACCCCAGCAGCCCGTGCCCCAAGTAATGTCCACTCAGTCGATACATGCAACGCAACCTTTGGTCAGGGAATTTGACATTGCGATTGAGTTTAGCGAGGCCATAGGCGAGAGGTTTATTGTCCCTCGGGGACCTACGGTCTGTAAATTGTTGTCACAAAGGTATGCATGTCGCTTAGCCCGAGGCTGAGTGTTGGGCTTAGCGTTTTCGCAGTTCTACGTCCGCTGGTATGACATACGACATCGAGCTCACGGTTACGACGATACCAAACGAATCCGACGCGCCCCAGCTCGTTGTGCTGCACTTGACGGAAGCCCCGAGCGCTCTGTGGGATACGGTGCGGCGTTGGGCCGGCGACGAGATCACCCAAGAGAGGAATAAAGCCATTGTCGAGCAGATGGTAAACACAGCTGATTGGGTGTATGTGATCAATCGTTTGCTGAAAATTCACCAGAAGCAGAAACCGCCATGCTTTCTAGCCCACCAGCTCAAGAAGAACGACACCCTCTTATCTCGCATTCAATCATCTGTGCGTGCCGATCCTCGCACGACATGCAATTGCTCACGTTCGTTTATATAGATTAACGCCAATTCCACGTACCCCATGAGGAACATAGCATGGGATCAGAACTTTGGACGCGCCAAGCGCCAGCGAGTGCAGGAAAGACCTGTTACAAGTACGAGGCCAGACACCACCGAGTTTGTTCGAGGGCAGCGGGACCCGTTTGGGATGTATACACCTCCTGGCGACAATCCGGCCTTTGCGAACGAACCCGCATTCTGGAAAGCCTCTACGGTTCACCAAAGCGCCCGATCTCAGGAAAAGCGTAAGACCAACGCCGCCATCGCCTTGGCCGACATTCAGCGTGGGCCACCACAGGGTAAAAGCAGCGCTCCGCCAACTACACCGCCCACTCCCGCTCCTGCTGTGCCCGTCTCCGAGGTGATCACGCTGGTGCGACCATACGAGCAGAGCGCGAATTCTCATCGCCCCGGTGACTACCATAACTCTGCCTCCAAGGTCGTAATGCACGTCAGCCCTCGGCGATTTCAAGGTGCGCCCGAAAGTACGCGGGAAACTGGTCCAGTAGGTGAAGCACGAGCTCCTCCGACCGCGCCGTATGCGGCGTCTTCTTCGACATCCCACCCCGCCCTGCACCAAACGGCCGACGCATCGCAGTCTCTTTCGCCGAATTCCCCAAACCCAGCTTCGTCGAGCGCTGCGCCGCCTGCGAAGCGCCAGCGCCGGGATGACGCAGCGAGAATTAACCTGTCGCAGACTTCTCCTATCTGCTGCTTCTCCTGCCAGCGGACCAATGTTCCTCTCATCATGGCTGGCCGTGAGCTCCCCCGTCTCCCTCCTACTCAATCGGGTATACTCACACCTATGGCCAGGATTCTGCCGCCAGTGCGTTGAGTCTGGCCGCGCGGTAAACGACATCCCGCCCGAACCGAAGTACATCTACTCCACACCAGCCACCTATGCTGCTCAGGCGTCTGCTGGCTTACGTTCGGCGGGCTCTGGTGAAGCTCAGAGTCAGATATATGGCGGAAAGTCCCGACCCCCACCGCGGGAGCGCGCCATTCCAGCATCACCGGCGTCCGCTTCTTTGCATGCAGAAGATCACGATCGCAGCAGGGGAGGATCTTCGTCGGTCGTTCCGGTATCGCATGTGGATGCCAGCCATAGAGCTACCCCTCGCCTGGGCTCTGGCGTCGAGTCTTATGACCAGGGCGTACCCTCTAGCGGTCCCGCCTGACTTCTATGACTTCTATTCGAATGACCAGCGATGCTTGACGACTCCCGCTTGTTCACTTCGTCCCACCGCAAGCCCGCCCCCTACTCAAAACACATCAAGGGTACTCTTAGCGAGGGGAGATGGGAGGATGAAGAAATTCGATAACGCCCCAACCCTGACTTCGCCATAATTGCTCCCCTCGCAAATCGAACATACCCACCTCCGGGACCTGCCGCGAAGCACTTCGGATTCTCAGCCTAAAATTGAGGGGTGGCGAGGCTGCCCAGGACCAATCCAGGACCGTCCATCGAGACGTAAATCCATCAAGTCTTTCCAGTGCAGGGGGCAGGACGTAAACGGTGCGGTCAGCCATGAGATGGCGATCTCGCTTGCGGCAGATATGGCTCGCGGGCCACGAGCCGCCGGGACCGGCGGCAGCGAGGATGGCTGGTGATCGTGACTCCTGGTTAAGGAAGTCCTTATAGGGTCGTGCGCGGCAGTGGGACTAGACAGCGCACCAGAAGCTTCTACCCATCTCACTGACATCCTCTCGACGTTACACGCGCCTCGCATATCATGGGCCTCACGCACTACTGGAGAATCCAGGACGCCGACAAGTGGGCTAGCGTCTACGATGACATCGTGTCCGACGTCCATCGGATCGTCGACTTTGTGGAGGAGCATCCCGAGTGGATGGGCTATAGGAAGCGCAACGCCACCAACCAGGACTTTCGTTACATCAAGTCCTACTTCGGGCAGAACAGCGTCGCCATCGACGATGTAGACTGCCCCGCGGAGACCTTTTGTATCTCGCGTAAGGCGAAGGGCTTCAACTTTTGCAAGACCAATGGCTTGCCATTCGACGTTGCCGTCAAAGCGATGCTGCTGAGGGCGTCCCTTCACGCGGGGGATGCTACTGAATTGGGGAGCGATAGACACTGGGAGGAATGGCAGGATGCTGTCCGCCTCGTGAAGGCGGTTTTCGAAGTGGAGGAGGTTGCGAAGCCGGCGGGCTTTCGAGGATGATTGATGTTGATCGACTCGGACAGTGTAGACGCAATTCTCGCTTTCTCTCAACTCGGGCCCTCAAACGATGATGCATGCAATCCTGTGCCTTGACGTTGTAAAGCGCAATAGCCATTCCTTGCTGCTCTGCTTGGCAATACTTGAACCTCACAACCTGACCGCTGGCGACCAGGGTGATCGTCCAGCGCAGGAAGCAGCTGAACCGCGCTGAAATGTCAGGATAAGAGCGCCCGCGTATGAGCAAGAGGCTGCGGATGTTCCCCGGCGTTCTTGTGACCGGAAGCGATGTGGCGTATGTCAAAGTCGGCGGACTGGGGTGCGCCCAAAATAATCATGGATTGCGCTTACTCGGTCATTGTCACAGAATGAGGGAGGGCGAGGCGAGAAGAAAGTGGGCTAGGGCAGAGAATACCACCTCGACCACCCTCCCACCTCTCTCCAAAGGTCAACAAACATGGGCGGTTGTGGGCGCAGGTGCCTGAAATCAACTTCGGCACTGATTAATGAAGGCACGTGGGTTTCTCGTGCGATGGCCGGCCGGCCCGATCTGCGGAGAAGTATGTCCTGATTGGGGCTTATCATTGGCTTATCATTTTTGCGTATGTTTTTTGCAATGTCACATAGCAACACCAGCCGTTTTCGCACCGCGCATGATCGTCTTCTCACTGTTCCATGTTCTGAATACTTCTACGACCGGCGCTCGACGCTGCCGCCGACGCTCCCAAGAGACGACTGCCACCGCCGCCGCTGACGCCGGCCAGCCCTGTGGTCGACGTCGCCGTCGCCGTTAGCGCTCTTTCCGTACCTTTTTTTTTTTTTTTTTTTTTTTTTTTTTTTTAAACTCTGCACTTCTATACCGCTACAAGCTAAGGTGAAGCTAAGACGCGGTCCTCCGCCAGTACTCCCTCCATCCGGAAGCCCGGCAGGGCCCTTCGCATACCCGTGGTAATAATCTACAAGTCCCGAGGCTGCTGCTCGTACTGCTGTCCGTCGCGATACTGTGGTTGAGCTAAATGGTGATATAATAGGTAAAAGCACTTTGTGCGTGTGTCGTGTGTCTCGGGGTATCGCAAACGAACAAGAAAAAGGGTGATAAGGGACGGGGAAAGGTACCTAAGCACGGGGTTGGGCTGCCGGGCCTCCTATCCATCCTCGTCGTTCTCGTCGTCCTGTCGTACCTCGGGTTCCTGCTCCCAGGTAGGGAGTGATGGAGGTGCACGGGGTGCACCGGTTTTGGTGAATGCGCCGGACGCCGCTATGAATTCCGTGAGGGCTGTAATCCCCTTCTTCGTTCCCAATAGAACTGGGAGCGAGAGGCCGCGGGATACGTCGCGGAGTAGGTAGCGGTGCTCCTCGTATTGTGGGCATTCTGCCAGGATATGTTGTCGCGTCTGTAGGAGTTCCCCGCAGGGGCAGTCACTGTCGACATCACGAAGGAAATCATTGTAGAACTCGCCCGTGTATCCGTGTCCGGTACGTGTCTGTAAGACGCGACCAAACACCTCGCGGGGTGTCTCTTTGAAGCGTTTTGTAGGGTTGAGGGAGGGGGGGAGGCGATTGGCTGCAGCGAAGTGCCCACCGTGTCGCTTCCTCTCCCACTCGCTCTTCCACTCGCGAGCTGCGCGGCCCTTCGCGCGTCGAATCGCATTTGCACGCGATCCAGGGAGGGTGCTGCCTAGCTCGACGGCGGCTTTGGCGAGTTCATCGGCTTCGTCGTTCCCGCGAACGTCCTGATGCCCGGGTACCCAAGCGATGTTCAGCGTGCGTGTAGGGCCGCCGTCGAGGAACTCGCAGGCCTGCTTGTGGAATTCGATGCAGTGCATCTGGCCACTCTTTGGGAGCGGGTCGAAGATGGCGCTTATGGCAGAGGTATTGTCGGCGAAGAGGTGTATGTGCTTGGTGTTAGGGTGAGTCTCAACGAAATGCAGGGCAGCTTGTAGTCCCCAGCGTAGGCCAACCATCTCCGCGTCGTAGACCTCTGCGTGCGATCCCAGCCCTATCTTCTGGGTGAACACCCGCGTGCCGCCGGTAGCGCCCCCTCTAAAGCCCACGGCGCCCGCGCCAACTCGCCGTACACGGTGTAGGGGCCGCTCTTTCCGTACCTGTTCGCTCCTTCGTCTCCCCCGCACATATCGTTCACGAACGCCATGTCCTCGACATTCCCGTCCTCCGACTCACGCGGGTGGTGGCCCTCCAAGCCCAACTCAAAGGATCCTGCGCGCAGGCCTACACCGGAGAAGCGCGACTCCCAGCCCAAAGTCTCCGGCAACAAATTCAATACGCTGGCCTCGGCCCTTGGGCTCAAATCAACGAAACGCCCGCCTGCACTCGCCATTGAGCAGCCCCCTCCAGCCCTGCAGTCCCCTCTCTCCCCGAAGCCGCCCAAGAAGTATGCCAACCGTCCCCCGTCCAAGTCCGTGTCGTCGACTCGCTCGAGGACGGACTCCATCGAGCCCCGGACACCTCCGGACCTATACCAGGACCCGGTGGGCAAACGGCAGTCCCTGCTCACACTCTCGGACCTCGATCCCTTCGCTGCACGCGGCATTGCAACTCCAAACTCCCCGTCCGATCCCAACCGTCTGTCCGCATACTCGAATACTTCTGTCCCCGAATACGTGTCGAAGAAGCTTGAAGCGCGGGGCCCGACGCACCGTTCCTCCTACGCGTCCTCCTCTTCCACATACACTGGTGATACGGGCAGCAGTCCCACGACGATGTCGCCCGTACCCTCTGCAGATGGACATCCAAAGATACCCAACGCGTGCGTCTCCTAATTCTTTGCCACGATTGCACCCGACTAACACGCCTATAGTAGACTGCCCGGTAATCTTCATCGCAAAGCCTCACTCCTTTCGGGAGATGGATCGCTTGGGTCGGCTTGGGATAACATGTCCTCCAATATGCATTCCTCGCAGACACTCAAGGAGCCGCGCCTTAGTCAACCTGACCCCACCACTCTGATCTCACGGCCGCCCACCCGCCCGAGGGGCATGACAGATGTGGGCACATCGTTGCGACACAAATTCGTTCCTCGAGACGACGCAGTCCCCAAGGTCGCTCCTCCTACTCATGTGATGCCTCGCACGTCCCCAAGAGTAGTCGTACGCCAAGCGTCAGCTTCTCGCATTGTCGCCGGACCAAGCACTGCACCACCTGCTGCTGAACTTCCCCCACCACCCTCACTCCCAGCCGATGACGCCGACTTCGCATCTAACTCCATTCATCAACATGACTCACCCGACGATATGTTCTTCGCGTCGCCTACTAGCTGGGATGGTCGCCCGCTCAGCCCTAGAGAGCGCGAGAAAAGGCCATGGGAGAGGGACTTCCAGCCATTGGGTGGCTATGATATAGATCGTAGCCTGCCTTCAAGCTCTCGGTCATCCGGCTCGCAGCCGTCGCGGACGCTGAAGAAGTCGCTATCGCATCAGGCGTTGGTCAAAAAGGCGCCGGTCCCTACTGTCCCCACACCCCCTCCCGAGCGCGACGCGGACAGGCAACCGCGAAAGCAGAGATCCTTCCATCATCCGCGTACACCCCTCTCCTCTCCGCAGACGACGAACGCTTCTCTGCCTGGCACACCCGACGCGTCGACGACAGACCACAGACGAAGTGGTCCGGGGTCTACGCGGAAGCGTCTCTTCTCCGGTTCCAGTATGCGGCGTCCGTCGACATCACAGGGCCCGGACACTGACGAAGACGTTCGCTCGGTATTCAGTCTGCCTCTTGCAGCAGAGCACGTGCAGCGCGCGCCGCTATCACTATCCGCATTCCACCAGCCGTCGTCGTTCTGGGATGAAGGGCCGTCGGAACCACCTAGACCTATAAGTCCGCCGTCGACGACGCAGCAGCAACAGCAGCAGCAGCAGCAGGAGTATACACCGCAGCATATCATGTCACCTGCTGATATGCTGAAGGTGGAGGCCAGTATGGCCCTGGAGGAGGAGGCGCAACGCCAGCCGTACATCCGGCAACGAGGGAACTCTATCCTATCGTCGTCGACATGTCTGTCCGACGAGACTGGAGAGGAGGAATATCCGCCTTCCGTACATCGTCTCACCGCCATGCCGTCACGCAGCACGTCCATGGTCTCGCGGAAGAGCACAGGCTCTGTCCCGCAAGTCTCGCGACCTTCTACGGCCACGAACTCGTCTGCAGCCTCATTCAGGCAGCGATCAGAAGAACAGCTGTTCCTTTCCCCTCAGGCACTCCCTCCCCCTCCGCGACGTAATCGTCCCTCGACGCGGCAAGGTCCTCCCGCACCACCTGCTCCAGGCCCTCCCCCTCCTGAGACGGAGGCGGAAGCGTCGGAAGCGGTGGATGGGTTTTCGCCGCTTTCGCCACCGCCGCGGAAGATCCTCTCGGCGAAGAAGTCGATGGAACGGGTGACTCAGCGTCGGTCCATCATGCGCAAACCTTCCTTCCTCAGCTTTGACGTCGAGGACGAGGATGATCCATCGGACGGCGAGCTGGACACCGATTCTATAAACCACATTTTCGAGGGAGCAGGAGACACGCATGATAGCTTCCTCGACCTAGCTCGCGAGTCCTTCGACTCGACCAGGAGCGACTACGAATAGCCTCGGTCGATGTTCGTCCCTTCTCTGATACTTAGCATTGGTTATTTACTTATTCTTCTTTATGTAGTCTCTACTTACTCCAGCCAGTGTTGGCCTTATCGTTCGCGCCAGGGGCGTGTTTGTAGTGCACGTCGCCTCGGAACCTCGAACAATTCGTTCTTTTTCTCTGTTGTTTCCTTTCTTCCTCACGTATCCTATACTCACTCTCGCTACCTTCTCGCAGTCACTTCCCGCCATGCCACTGTCCCTGGGTCCCGGAATCACGTTCGTTTTCTTCTCACTACACGGTCACTTGCGATACGACTTTGGATGGCGCTTGCATATCACTCGGGAATAGAAGGCACATACGCATGTACACACCTTGCAATCGCAGTGTCAAGCACTAATGCACATAGCTCTGGGATTCTCGTATTGCCTCGCTAGGCTCACAGTGCATGGCCCTCCGCAGGCCTTCCTTCGTCTAAGGGAACCTTGAATTGCATTCTTCAGTACGCCCGGTGGAGCATGTCTCACCCAATCTTCGGCGGGGCCCTGCAACCCTGCCGCGCAGCCTATTCTCGCGCATGTGCTGGTGGACAGCGCCACAGTGTATATAATGCGCAGTTTACAGGGCAACGTTACGCACTTTGCCTTCGCCCACGATGGATCCCCTCAACGTCGCTGTCCGTTCGGGTACGTTCTATCCTCCCCCTTGCTTCCTGGTCTTATAATGCTGTTTCCCAGTCCCGCAAGAACACTACGCCAAAGCTATCGAACTCCTCGAGGAACTGCGCGAAGTTCTTGAGACAAGAGATGAAGCACGACTCCCCGAGGTGGGCATAACCCGCGACCAGATGCCTCCTGGTGTTGATTACGACGCCGTTCTGGATGACAACCTGGACAAGTACGTGTTTACCCCGTACACTTCGCACTTACTTTAGTTGTTGATTGGAATCGTGGAACACAGATGCCACTGGCAGCTGTCCCAGTTCAAGAAGTACGCGAAGCCAACGCTCATCGCATCTGCCCTGCCGAACCTCGACTTCGTCGTAAATCGGGCCCAGGGCGGCAAGCGAGACGTAATCCCCATTTACACCCGTGCCGTAGCGCTCGCGCGTACCCCGGAGAGGGAGGCAGAGGCATTAGAAGAGTTCGAGAAGATCATGCCGGACTTGAGCATCCCGGAAATGGGTCAAGTAAGTGCCCTATGGGCACGCGCAGAGTGGTGGAGGCTGCTGCTACGCCAAGGAAAGGTGCAGAAGGCTAAGGAACAGGAAGAGTGGCTACAGGACGTGAGTCCACTTACGTCTTGTACTGCAACGAGGATGAGACTGACGAGCATGTCTTGATAGTGGTACCAGTCGCATCCTTACGCCATGCCACCGAGCAAGTTCGCAGAGGCAGTCCTAGACGAAGGCGAAGAGACAAATGCCATTTTGGACGGCATACCCGACTTCGGCAAAGGTGCGTGTAATCGCGAAGAGCAAGGGAAACTTGCTGAGTGAACGTGTAGGCGTCGTTGAGCTCCCTGGTGGCATGTTCGGCGGAATGAATGCCTTCATCGTGAGCGATGTGTCTTCTCGATTCCGCTGTGATTGACCTCTCCCATGCAGCGTTTCGGGTAACACCAATGGTTCATATACGCGCGCTGGTATATTCTGAGCGTCGTAGAAGAGTAGTTCCCTCAGTCTAGGTGTAGCCTTTTGCCATGAATGATGTTCTTGATCATAGACCCCGTCAACGAGTTGACCTCCTTGACCAACACCTCTTCGCCAGGACTCATACCGGTGTCAGCTTTTCAAAGTACAGCAGTTGCCTCTCACAACTGGACTTTACGATGAAAGAATGATTATCCGAATATTCAGAAGGCGTATACATATAAATTCCCTTGTCCACCTTTCCACATCTGTAAATGAGCACGCCGCCTCAGCCTCAGTCGGTCTCGTCGGTGTGGTATCCCGCCCGACGCATCGCGCCCAACCGATGCCGCGCCGCCCCAAGCTCCTTCTCGAGCTTGAGGATCTCCACCTGCTGCTCCATCTCGCGCTTCTTGAATTCGAGCGTCGCCATGTTCTTGTAGTCGACCTCTTCCTCCTCGGTTTCCCGGGCGGAGATGGCCTTGACCTGGCGCACGAGCGCCTTGCAGGCCTCGGTGACAGCCTTCGCGGCGAGCTCGAGGCGCTCCTGGGTTTTGGACATGAGGTTAGCCTTGACGCGAGAAGCAGCGACGAGCTGAGCAGTCGCGGCCGCAACCTCGTTCGAGGCGACGATGAGCTGCTCGAGCGAGTGCGTGCCGGACAGCACACCGTCGGCACTCTCAATGAGCAGGTTGGTAGCGAAGGCGACGGCTTTGGCAGCGGAGATAAGACCCTCTGTCCAGCGGTTGTTGCGCTTGTAGAACTGCTGGGTCGTGCTCGAGCCCTTGCCCTGCGCCACAATCTCCTGCTGAGACTCCGTGGCGGCCTGAATGAGGCGAGCGATGGCGCTCGTGATCGCCATAGCAGCCTGGAGTATGGAGTCGTGGACCTGCAAGTCGACGGCGCTGAAGCGAGACGAATCGCGTGGACGCGACATGAGCTCCTGCAAGCGCTGGGTGGCGAGCTCGATAGCACGAGCGGCGCCAAGCATTTCCCGCTCGACCATGTCACCGATGTCACCCTTCTTGAGGTCAGACTTGATCTCCTTCGACACCAAGCCGTCGATGATCTCGGAGAGCTTCGAGAGCGCACTGCGGGTCTCGACGTTGTTCCGCATGGGTACGTCCCTGCGCTGTGTCGGCTGCAGGAGGTCCATCTTGTACGACTGCAGGTTGAGGAAGAACCGCAAGCCGACGTCACCTGCCGTCTTCGCAATGTTGATGATCTTGTCAGACGCATCATCGTTGCTCGCGAGGCGGGTAACACCCTTGGTGTTGATGAGGACTTCGGAGAGCGACTGCGCAAATTCGTTCGCGGCCTTGATGACCTCGACGTGCTCGCCACCAGGTTCACCGCCAAGGTACAGGCTGTAGATGGTGGCGAAGTCGGTCGCGTTGTTGACGGCCTTCTCGATCATGGACAGCGTGTACTCGGGCGTCGCATTGGTGTTGCCGGCTTGTGTTGGCGACTCGAGTTCGTAGATAGCATCGTCGACCTTCTGCACGCAAGCCTGCAGGATGGAGTCTTTCGTGACAGTCAGATACCAAGGACACCAGTAAAGTCATAGACTCACCGATGATGTCGTTGAGTTTCTTGCGGTTGTCGAGAATGAGCGTGTCAATCTGTGCGTTCGTAGTCTCGTCGGCGATGCCTTGGCTCTATATGTGTCGTGAGAAAGTGGGACAAAGAAGCAGCATACGCGCTGACTGACCTGCTGCGCCTCTGCGAGCTGCTGGATGGTTGCATCCATGCCTGCTTGCAGGACCTCGATCTCGGCGTCCTTCTCCTCGCGAACCCTGTCCACCTCACTGCGGATGTCCTCCAACTTGGCCATCAGGTCGTCGATCTGGAATTGCTTGGACTACAAAAAAGTCAGCCACAATGTCACCTGTTCAAAATTATTGAGGCGCACACGCAGGGTATCCTCCAGCTCGGCGATCTGCCTGTTGTACCGGCTCATGACATGCGAGACCTCGTTGTTCTTGTTGCGCGACGAGTCCTCCGCGCGCTCGTTTGCAAAGTCAAGCTCGCGCTTCAGACGGTCCATCTCCTCCTTGTGCGCGCTCTTCTGCCGGTCCATATCGAACCGAGCACGGTCGCGCTCGCGCAACATGTCCGCAAGTTCGAGGTTCTTGGCCTTCAAGTCGCGCTCCATCTTCTCCATGCGGTCTACTGCCTCCTGCGCGGAGTTCGCCTTGAGCTGCATGTTCTTGAACTTGGACAGCATGTCGAGGTGCTCCGTGCGCAGCTGGCTGTAGAGCTTCGCAAGCGCTTCGTACTTGTTGCGCCACAGGGTGACCTGGTCCTGCAGCTGCTTGATGAGCTCGTCCTTGCTCTGCATCTGCGCGCCGATGGTCTGCCCCGCATTCGCTAGCTCGGCCTCGAGCGCTTTGACGCGGCGGTCGTACTGCTCAAGGAAGATCTGGTCGCGCTCGTACTGGCCACGCATGTTCAGCAGCTCACACTCAAGGGCTTGCACCTGCTCCGCGGCAGCCTGATTGGAGTACATCATCTGCTGCTGCAGTAGCTGCTCCTGCGCGAGCCGCTGGGCCTCTGCCTGCTCCCGTTGGCGCTGCTCGAATTCCATTTGTTGTTGTTGCTGAAGCGCTAACCGCTGTCGCTCCTCCGCCTCTTGCTGTGCCCTGAGTGCAGCCTGCTGATCTTCGTACTGTTTCAGCAAGCGTGCTTGCTCGTTAGCAGCAGACATGTCCGGCGTCGGAGCAGCAGGCGGGGGCGTGGGGGACTTCGGCGCAGTAGTGCGAGGTCGAGCAGGTAGGTCAGGAGCGTCGCCGGAGTCCATGAGGTTAGGAGGTTCGTGGCCAAGTTTGGGCACATTAATGAGACCAGTGAGATACTTGAGATTAGAGCATTCGTAGTAGAACTTGCGAAGGGCGTGGTGTTGAGAGATGTAGCGCTGTCGCAGGGGCTCGAGGGCCTCGGTATCATTGGTTCCTAGGCGTTATCAGTGTTATGCCGCATAAAAGGGTGGAACACGCGTACTGCGGTACATGGCGCGCATCATGCTGGTGATGAAGCGGTAAATGCCCCAGCTCTCTTTGACAAGAGGTACAAGGGCAGAAATGCGACATTCGTTGTTCGAAGAGTGACCGAAGTGCGAGAAGACCATCTTTTGGAAGGAGTCAATCATATCCTGCAGGCCCATAAGGTCGGAGATCGTCTTATAGCTGAGGGGGAATGAGTGGTGATAGACGCGCGCGACATGACGCGTACCCCTCGTTGGGATCATCGATCCCCTTCAACGTCACATACTCCTCGTATTCGAAGAGGCCGTTAAATTCCGGGCGGAGGCGATGGAATCGAAGCTTGGCAAGGATGAACTGGACATATGTCCTAATCAGAGGCCCGTAGCCTATGTACCCGATTAGGACGCGTTTTACCGATATATATCGTACGCACCTCTTGCAGAATCCACCCCCACTGTGCGTGCGCAAGTCTCGAGCCACGCCGTCTGACCATGGGCCTCCTTGATCGTCTGCAGAGCCGTGAGAGGCAATGCCAGCCCGGATGGAGCACACGCACCACTGGATGGCCTTCTTGCAGGACCTTGTGTACCGTAATAAGAGCCTTGAACGTCTGCACCTCATCCGAAAGGATGGGTTGCACCCGAAGGCCGCTCCAGAACGAGATCGAGGAGTGATAATCCCAGGTGAAGACGATGCACTCTACGCCCTGTCAGACATATTCCAGTCATGTCGGCACTGATACGCACTCCGAACATGCTTCTGCTTGGGCGCCGTCTCCTCCGGACTCGTCGCCTTCTTGATGTTTATAACCAGCTCTGCCTCGGCCTTGTCCTTGTCGACTGGCCGCGTCGGCAGATGCATGCCATCGTCGTACCTGCAGACGCGTCAGCGCTCGTCGTCTTAGTGCTGCGGGCTGCGGGAGCGTACATGCTCATCGTCGGAGGAGCCAAGACGGGACGCGCAGCCGCGATGCGATGAGGAGGGGAACAAGCCGAGCCGGGCGTGGGAAAGTCGACTTCACCGCGCGCTTTCGGAGTCCTGCATGTTCTCTTTCCGTCGCGCGTTCGCGAGCAAGACATGGCGCCCGCCGCGCCCCAGGGCGCCGAACAGCGTCCCGCGGCGCAACATCACGGCCCCCACAATATACAAACCGAAGACTGAGTCGTGGTTCACGCCCATCGTCGGCCTAGTCGCCATCTTCCCTGTATTCACCTTCGCGCTTGGCTCCTGGCAGCTCAAGCGCCTGAAGTGGAAGATTGACCTCATCGACGAGCTTACGGAGAAGCTGCAGCTCGACCCCTTGCCTTTGCCTCGTCAAGTCAAGTGCGTAGTGCTGCGTGTCGTGGTGTGCGGAAGAGCTTACTCCGGTTCGCAGCATCTCTGTCCTCCCAGAGTTCACCTGGCGCAAAGTCAAGGCGAATGGGAAGTGGGATCATGCGCACACCATGCTACTGGGACCCAAAGTCTTCGAGGGGGAGAACGGATACCAAGTAATCACCCCGCTTATGCGCCAGGACGGGTCGACTGTACTTGTCGATCGCGGCTTCGTTCCGAAGGAATTAGGCGACAGCGGCACCTTCGACAAGCCAGAGGGCGAAGTAGAGGTCGTCGGACTCATCCGCCTGTCGCAGCCTCGGAACACATTCACGCCAGACAATGATCCGAAGGAGAAGTTCTGGTACTGGAGGGACTTGGACGCCATGGCCGAGTATGCGGGCGGCAAAGAGGCTAACGTGCAGCCTGTCTTCTTCGAGGAGATCTTTGGTATGTGCTCAGTGTTGCACTGCGAGCTCATTGCTGAGCTTCTACAGACGGTCACACCGGTCAGATTATGGAGAGGTTGGACAAAGGTATTCCAGTAGGCCGGCCAGCCACTGTCAACCTTCGCAACTCGCATCTGTCCTATGTCCTCACCTGGTAAGCGAAGACATTCCGGAAGGACTTTGTTTACTAACAAGACGTAGGTGGGGCCTGTCAGCCATTTCATCCGTCATGCTCTTTCGCTTTATCAAGAAGAACAGAGTTCGGGGACGCAGCCTCCCACGATGATAGATCTCTGTACCGCTACGACGAACCACCACTCCAATCCGACTGTATTATTGAATCGCACGTCCCACTTGCCTGAAAGGTTGGAGGTTGATTGCATTGAGGCAAGTACCTAACGCAGTCCAGTATGCCGTGGTACAGCCTTCCTATTGTTATGAACACGTTGACTCCTTATAGATCTGTGCGCGTTCATCGTGTACCTCCTTCCTGCCTTTCGCTTTGTCCCTCAAACCCGTCGACACTGCCCGATGGTCCATGTCTATTCATGCCGCCGCGTGTCTCCACACGTGCAGTGCCTGCTTTGTTCTTTGAATGGTCGGAGCCACCGATCGCGCGCGCTTATAATGGGCGCGTACGCCTGCTAATCTCACTCTTCATCTACCGTCGTATCAGTCGCCTCAAGCCACCTGCTCACTATCCAACCCTATCCATATCCGATCCACCCACCATGGAACGCGTCCCGACCACTCCTCCCCGCCATCGTCGCCTCCTGTCAACACCGACGCCTGTGACCGTACAACCCAGCCCGCCCCGACGATCGGAGCTGCCACCCTGCGGGATTGAGGCGAGACGGAGGCTTATCAGGGCAGCGCAGGCGGGCATGGGACTTACGGACGAGGGCGACTTCAGTCCTGAGTATCTTGCGGGCTGGCTCGATCCGGATGTGGAGGACGACACGTACTTCAGGATGCGGAAGGAGGAAGGTGCGTGGTAGTCGGTGGTAGACCGTCGAGGCAATCGTTGATGGAGAGTTTAGAAGAGCGCATACAGCACGATGTAGAGCGCGCCCATCTGGCCAAAAATCGCGCGCGAGCTAGGAGGGCTGCCCAGGAAGCCGAGCAACAGAGCCTCGCGAGTGACAGACACCCCCACCCCCCATCTGGCGCCTCTCGGCGTGACCGGCGGGAAGAGGGTCGTGACTCTCACGCACCGCGCAGACCATCTCCGTTGAAGAAGACGATGAACTCAGAGCTTGGTGAGTTTGCTGCTGAGGTAGATTAGCCACCAGCTAATGCGTCAACAGAACGCTACCGCTTTCCGGTCGCGGACTCTGATTCAGAGTGTTCGGAGTCACCGCCGCCAACCCCAAACTTCGCCCCTTGTCCTCCGGATAGCCCACCGATCCCTGAGTTCGCGAAGGCTCATCGTGGGCGTATGATTCCGCTTCCAACTCCCAGAAATACAACATCGCATCGTAAGGCAGCGGGCTTTACTCACAGGCCGAGGCAGTCGTCGAGCGCGTCGATTGCACCACCTTCCACTTCATCAAGTACTCGCCCTCGTCGCCCTTCAGCAGCTCCGACTACCGCGTCCACGCACTCGCACGTCTCCCGAGTGACAGTCAATCCTCCTTCTTCTCCTCCAAAGCGCCTTGCACCTCTCTCGCGCTTCAACCCATTCATGCCGCGTCCGCGGTCCGAGTCACTGTCATCCGTTATCGAGGAGGGTAAGGTCGGCATGCCTGAGCGTGCAGATCTGCACCGTCCAAAGGCCGCCGCGCTACCACCGTCGTCGCAAAGGAAGCTGAAGCGCGCCAACACCGTGCAGGCGATCTTCTCGAAGATCAACCGCCAGCCCTCGCCACTAGCTTTCAAGACGACAGCTTGAGTGCCAGGGTCGATGGGGGTTGTGCGGGTCTGCCTCATGAAGGAGGTCTCTTCTATCTATTCTATCATATCATGAGCATAATCACCTTGTATACGCGCTACCTCTGGCTGGAATCAACTGCTACTTGACTGTGGACTTTGAGCAACCACCTCGCCTGTGAGGCACGCTTCCCTCTCGGAGCAGGTTCGGATTGATGCCTAGCCGCCACGTGAAACCCCTGAGTAGCTGGTGCTTACCGCTGCGCGCCTCCTCTGACCTCAAGCTATCACCGCACTGTACCTACCACCTCTATGCGCCACCACCAGCGCAGATAACACCCCTCGCCCTCGCCTCCGCCGCCGATGAGCTCGGAAGAATACCATCAGTCGCCCTTCGAGGCGCGCCCCGCGCAGTCGTCGCTCCCCCGCCGCCGTCTGCAATTTCCCGATCCTGCGCCCCAGCAGTACTCGTCCTCAGAGAGCGCGAACCCGTCATCAGTCAGAAATGGTTCTGCGCGCCGTAGAGTGGTGTCTGTGGACGGGAAGTATGCGTATAACGGCGTTGCGCCTGTGAAGCCCAGGCGACGGCCCATATCACTCATCGGCACCGTGCCGGAGACGTCGCGGGAGGCGGGGAATACGTCGCTGTCGGCAGATGATCTGTCGCTGGGGACGTTCTCGGACGAATATGACTTGTGTGCGTGTTATCTGCTCAGAGGGATGGGCGGGGGCTGACGATGCATTCGTTATAGCTCATGAAGGTAGACGAGTCGTCTGTGGAGCGCGCGGCAAGGTACTGACTATGTGCAAGATCCCAGGCTCATCCAAGAAGTACAGCGTGCTATCAAGATGAAGGCTCGACGAGAGGCTCGCATCAAGGCCTCGCCAGGCGGCCAGCGATCCCAGGCGTCCTCCCGCTCCAGTCTTCATCAACCACTTCACCTCATTCCCCCACCCATGCGCGTACCAGCGGACATCGACTTCGCACCCTCTACAAGCACCCCTGCGAAGACGGATGTTACCAACGTACATCCCGTGCCCACGTCACTCGACGGAGGGAATACTCTAGATTGGTCTGTGCATACGGCAGACGAAGAGGAGAAAGAGGAGAAGCGGTGGAAGTTGACATTGTCGAAGAAGAAAGGGAAGGAGAAGGAGACCTTGCTCAACCAGAGTGATCTCGTGAAGCAGGAGAACCAGTTCGTAGGTGCGTCGCTGAACGGCTTTTATGTGGCAAGGCAGTGGCTCATTCTTACCCCAGAGGGCCTTCGTCGAATACGCAACAGCGCGTCCCCGCAGACCTTGCATAAGGCTGCTATTACCAACGAGCAGCTGACCCAGCGATACTCCTTCCTCCAAGCAAAGGTCGCGAACGGTTCCAACTTACTCGACGTCGCCCGATGGTATGGCGGCCAGCATGAATCCATCAGAAGTGCTATGGAGCAGTCTCAACCCTTCGTATGGCTCAAGCATCTCGACAAGCCGAAGAAGGAGCGAGACAAGGACAAACCGCGACCGCCATGGAACCTCACTGCCCTCACCCTCGATGCATACACCCGCGCTCACAATATACATTCTATCACGGAGGAGCCCTCATCCCCGGCTTCCTCCCCGAGAACCTCACACTCCGTTCCCTACCAGTCAGCACCCTTCTCGTTCCCTTCGCGCTCAGCCTCTCGTTTCTCCCTCAAGCCCTCCCTCAACCAGCGCTTCTCTCCGGAGAGCAATGGTCGTGTCAGCTTCGAACCCCTCATCGAATCCTTGCGCGGCTCGCTGGACCACCGCTCGCGTCGCAGTATCGACTCCGCGTATAGCAGCAACTATAGCAGCGCCTCCGGCTTGCCAGGCGCGTCGCCTGTCAACCCCAAGCCTCAGGCTAGCGAAAGTGAAGGTTCTTCGGCGCCTCACTCCTCGTCCAGCCACGAAGACAATCACGCTAAGAAGCCCGGCCGGTACCCCGTCATGGATCTCAACGACCCCGCGGACATGCCCAACATCCGTGTCACCAACCATAGCCGAAGTCATTCGCGGGAGCCACAGTCGCAGTCTCCCGACTTGACGGACGTTCCGTTGAATATCATACCGCCGTCGGACGAGGGAACACCAGATCCGGAGATGCGAGCTGCTATGGCGAAGTCGTCGCCGTTCATACAACACCGGGCGCTACCACGACGAATATTGGCTCGAAGGTCGCTGCCATCGACGAGGAAGGAGAGTCAGGATTCGCAAAAGCGGCACGCAACCCAGGAGCGAACACGACGAGAGTACGAGCAGAAAGCGCAGTACGTCCATTTGTTTTTCATCCGGTTCGCCGTAGACTCATCTTGATTCAAGGCTGCTGGAGTCCACGATGTCGCAGAACTCTCGGCTGCGTCAGCTGTTGCACAGGGTGGCAGGCAATGTCAAGGAGTATGAGAACGTTCAGTCCAACATCTCCCGTGCACTTGGCTTGCCGTACAAGTCACTGCCTCAAGAAGTTCTCGACGCGTTCAGTCATGATCCTGCCGCTGTCACTGGGTCGACGAGGCGGCTGCGCGGGTACCGAGCTGTGGACGACATTCACAAGCGACTGCGCAAGCAGCAGGAGACACTGCAAAACTACCTGAGCGAGGCTGGCAGCTCTGGGAAATTGGAGACCTCGGGCAGCATCTTTGACGATTCCATCTCCTCCTTATTGACCACCATCACTGCGCTCGAAGGCCACCGGAACGAAATCTATGTCCAGGCTCGGAATGTCACCCAGGTGCTCCAGCGGGTGCAAGTGCTGCATGCGGAGACGAAGTCGGATTACAATGCCGCGCTCGCCCATACATCGGTCGTCTACCCGGAGGTTCGTGCATTCCACCTATTTGACCGCTCTATCACCGTACTCATTGTTATTCTTAGTTATCGACCATCGTCACGCTGGAAGAGAGTTATCGAGACCAGTACCAGCAATTTTGGGAGGTTGGCATGAATTTGCTGACTTTCCTGCTGGATACTATAACCCCCTTCTGGCGTACGTACGGCAAGCGGATCGGCGACGATGTGATGGACTTCCTCATCATCCCCCTCTACCGCAACGAGTTCACTGGCGAGGCGAAGCGGTATCCAATCAAGCGAATACCAAAGCGCTCGTTCATGCACTGGGTGTATTCTGCGCTGTTCTTCTGGGGGTCCACTGCGGTCACGTTCCTTCAGATACGTACCGCCTTATCCTCCACGGCACACTTCCGCTTGGAGCTAATCGAGCATGACGGGCTGCGCTACATCGTGCTCCCCTTCTTCTGGATTGGCATCATTCTCCAGTGGATCGCCGTGCTAACGGAGATCGCAGTCGTGCTCACGCAGCTAGGGGTATTGTTCTGGTGGATATGTTGGTTCGTGCGGTTGGTGGATTGAGCTGTGTATCTCGCTTATGTCTTCTGGACATCCCCCCTTTCGTTATCCCATCCCCACCATTATTTACTCACCTCGCTCGCCGTGCTTTCGCTGTCCGGTCGTCGCCTATGCTCTGCTCCCTGGATGTTGATATCGTACCTGTACATATAAATACACGTATTTAAAGGTCCATTATGCGGTCCCTACATTCAACAATCGTTTTCCTCGTCTTACTTTAGTCTTCATTCTGCCCTGGAACACGCTGGAAGTCGAACAACGCACAGTTCAGTCACCGTGAGTCGAACGGCACCTCGGTCCGTTAGTTCGGCTTGGCCGGCGCCTATACGTATGTCTTGCCGAGGACGATCATCCCCCCATGGCACCTCCCCCCAACAGCCTTGGTCTCGCATTCTGACCGCGTTCTGCATATATATGCGGGAATATCGAGAGCTCTGAACCTCCTGGCGCGCGCTGCACTATCGCCCCTCTTCCTGCGAGCTGACAGATCATGTCACCACACGAGACACCTGCGGGGGAATCCCAGCAGACCCTCGAACAACAACTGGAACACAGGAAACGGAAATCGGACAGAGCTTGCGATTTCTGTAGAAGACGGAAGAGTGCGTAGGCCGTCTGTCTCGACACTGGCTGTGTGCTTACGTTCGTCGTATCCCCCAGGTCGATGTGAGCAGTGGCAGATCTGAATGAGCAATCACCCTCGCTAAATCTTGACCAGGCGATGGAGATCAAATTGCGCGCAAGTCGTGCTCGAATTGTACCATAAACAACCTCAAGTGCACATACCACGACACAGCCAAGGTGCGTTCTCGATGCTTGTTTCAATTGGGCACTAGTGCTCATTCATCGCGGGTAGAGGCAAGTTATCAGCAAGACGTAAGTGTGGCACGGCCTTGAATTTTCCCCTATGTCGCTCACATTCTCCCTAGCTACGTGGAGGCATTAGAACGGCGCATCGAAGAGCTCGAAGCTCAGCTCGAACGTGTACGTTCTTAACATAATCTGTCTTCCCCTCTACTGATTTAATGACTCAGCGGGAACAACTATCGGCCAACGAAGAAGGCGAAAGCCCGATGACTATGAGTTCCACCAGACCCAGCTCACCCCATACCCCAAGCATAACCCAAGAGCAAATGCGCGACATGGCGCGCGCAATGATACGTACGGGTACCCGGCACCGCCACGAGGATCCCAAGGACGGAGAAGGCGTAGAGGGACCGGCCATACCAGGCTCCATCGAGTTTGAGCGTGGCGAGTACAACCCACAGGACGAGGATATCATTGAACGCTTCCGGCACGTCCAACTGAACACCTCAATATTCAACCGATTTTTGGGCAAGAGTAGCACGGCGCGTAAGACATTTCTTTCTCTCCCGAAATCTCCGGAGAATTGACCCTTTGTCAGACCTCGTGTTGAAGCTCATCAGCCTGAAGAAGCAACCAGACGAGCCCTACAGGGTCCCTGCCACCTTCTTGAATGGACGTCGCTCCAGGTACTGGAGCGCGCGACCATGGGAATGTGCACTTCTCTCCACTGAATCGGTGGAATACGAATTTCCAGAGGAGGATCTTATGCGCACACTCATCGACCTCTTCTTCAACAACGTGCACCTCTACTTCCCCGTCCTCCACAGACCAAGCTTCGAGGAGGGCCTACGCAACGGCCGACATCACACCGACCACGACTTCGGCGCGATTGTTCTCTGCGTGTGCGCTTTGGGCGCCCGATACTCGGAAGATCCGAGGGTGCTTTCCGAAGAATACGACATGGATAGCCATTCCGGAGGATGGTACGCCGGAGGAGAATGTCTGCGCTATCGATTGACTGACAGCATCTTTCTTTACTCACAGGAAATGGTTCACCCAAGCGGAAAAGACGCGCAGACCGATTTTTGGCGCGCCTAGCCTGCAGGAGATTCAGTCGTATTGCGTGAGTGCCTCGGTTAGCAGCCGGATAACCGCGGCTGACTGATTGGCAGCTATCGATTTTATTCATGCTTGCGTCGTCGAACTTGATGACGCAGCATATCTGGACGCGCATTGGGGTCGCCATACGGTACATTCAGGACGTGGGCGCGCATCGGCGGACAAGGAAGAAGATTCCCACCATTGTGGACGAACTATGGAACCGGGCTGCTTGGTGTGCACCTCTTAAATGAATTTCACGTGAAGGAGACGGTGCTGACAGAAGCTAGGGTCCTCGTAGCATTGGATAGGAATTTGAGCTCGATACTCGGTCGAAACTGCGCCATGCCGGACGAAGAGTACGTCGACTCCATCTCAGAAATTCATCTGGCTCAAACGATTCGTAGCTTTGATATCCGTTATCCCATGGACGTCGACGACGAGTACTGGTACAATCCCGAACGGCCAGAAGAGTCATGGAAGCAGCCTGCAGACAAGCCTTCAAAGGTTGCATGCTTCATCCAGTACATCAAGCTATCCCGAATAACCGAGGTCGCCATCCGGACGATTTATGGCACGAATAAGTACGGCTTCCTGAAGAAATTCATGGGTGAAGGTTGGGAACGCGACTTCGTCCAGGAACTCGATTCTGCACTCAATCAGTGGATGGACGAGATGCCGCGGTATTGTGCGTACATCTTTCCGTTGACGCTTCCGAACTCGCTTACTAAATACCTAGCGAAATAGTGCAATGGGATCCCGAACAACAAGACCACCAGCTAATGAACCAGGCGGTGTTCCTGCATTGTTCCTCCCGGCAAACGCAGATTCTCATCCATCGCCCGTTCATCACTGCGCATCCACTAGCGGCAAATCCGTCCTTCCCTTCGTTGACCATCTGCACTACGGCAGCCCGAGCGTGTGCACATATTTTGGACCAGCAGAAGCGGAAGACAGGCGCTGGTTTGCCGTATGTCATGGTTCGCAATTTCCTTGCCCCTTTTCATGAGCCAGAACTCAATTGCCTTTCCAGTTTGCTGCTTCTGTGTCCGCCATCGTCTTGCTCGTCAGCATGTGGACGCGCGTCAAGCCTCGGTCCCCACGAGATCAGCTCAAGGAGCTCAAGGACGTTCATCTCCTCATGGACTACCTGAAGAGCATGGAAGATCGCTGGGTCACTGCTGGCCGTACCTGGGACGTCCTCGATGAGCTATGCTCCATCGGGGAGCTCCCGAACTCGCAACTTGGCAAACGCACGCGCGACGGTGCAGACGACGCTTCCTCCGAACGGCCAAATCCCAATCATCATACAAAGCACGACGAGATCGGGTACGACAGGGTACACCCGCGCAGCGATCCCAAGCTGAGCGCGCAAGCCATGGGTCCATCGCAGTTCGCCCAGGGTCCTGTGGACATATGCGTGGGACCGATGCACCACTCAGGTGTTGGTCCTCCGCCACCGATGCAGAACGGCCTCTCTGCATCGACGATGTACAGCGCCCTCACTCCGGACCAGCTCGGCTACCCGGCGGGGGCATGCGATGCGCCTCCCGCTGTGTCAGGGACGGGCAATTGGTTCTCGTCTCCGACATCCGGCTCAAGTGGAATGGCCGGCACGAGCATGGGCTCGGCCAGACATGCGAGCATGGATTCGACGGCACCCCGCGGTAGCATGGATTCGATAGGGAGTATGGACTCACTGGGCGGACGCGGCAGCATGCACTCGACGACCTCGAGCATGGATGCGGGCGCTAGCTTCGACTCGCCGCCTGGGTGGGGCTCGTTCGGGGAGATGGCGTCGACGGGCTTTACGGGCAGTCCTGGGATGGGCGAGGCGAACCAGCTTGACCCAGACGGTATGACGATCTGGCAGTCAGTGCCGCCTGCTTTCGAGTAAGTGCTCTTCGTTGCCGGGTCGAAGCAGTTCACTGACTCCCCCCAGCCCCAACGATTGGGTGACCTACCTCGCTGGATTGGCCGAGGTCGCCAACAACGACCAGAGTGGCCAGCCCGTAGTCCAGCAGGTGGGCGGGGAGGACACAGTAGTGTTCCCCTCCAGTATCCAGGATGGGAGCAACTTCTACATGGGCAATCCATCGTACCCGTCATTCGATCCATCACGCTGAGCATTAGAACAAGACCGTGGACAATCGCAATAGTTGATCAACGCTTTCGAGGTATTTATCAGTCGTTCGAGTCACCCTGCTGTATTCCTAGCGTAAATCCTTCTGTAATATCAATGAATTACACCGCTCCTAATATCCTGGCGGCGGGCACAAGAGACGAAGACGAAGTAGTTTAGTCAAGTACACAGCAGTGATCAAGGCAGAAAATACGCGTGTTGATAAGTTACTTTGAATATGGGCTCTGTATACCGGTCCTAGGTTCCATTATGCACACAGTAACCCTCTCTGTCTATCCCAACCCTGCCCACATATCCTCATCGTCCGGCGGGCCCGAGTTTGCCAGCATCGGCATAGGGGTCATCGTTTTTGGTGGCGGTCGTCTGTCTGCGCCGTTCGAGTCGGCGTCGAAGACAACTGGGTTGCGAACGAGAGGGCGCCCGAGCTCTTCGTCGCCATCATCGTCGCTGTCCATGTCGATGTCGAGACCGGTGTAGCCGGCTCGTCGGGCGGCGTTGATGTCGATGGGTTTGGGGCGCGCGAAGATAGACTGGCCGGATCTGGCAAAAAGAGATGAGTTGAGAACAATGTCGGAGAAGGGCAAGGGTGGTAAATGCTGCAAAATGGTGCACGTACTGTCGCATCACTGCAGCGAGTCGACTGAACTGGAGGACATTGCGCGCCACTAGGAGAAGGGTGTCGAGGATCTCCTCTTCCTTGCTTCCGCTTCCGCATGTAGAGAAGGCGAGGACAAGGAGGGTAAGGGCACAGAACATGGTGAGGATGAGATCCACCACGTTGAAGGGGGATTTCCAGAATTGCTGCATAGACGCTGAGCATGCACATACGCGCACTCGATCTCATAAACCACGCACGCGTCCAAATGCAACAAATCGTATCGCGACTTCCAATATCATCGCCGAGTTGACGATGATCTCGAGGATGTAGAATGGGAATCCTGGACATTCGTCCACCAGGCTAAGGACTACTGTGGTGACAGACAACGCTGCCATGCCGAGGTATAGGAATATGTACGTGCGCGAGTGCACAAAGCGGTTCGCGAGTCCGCGCGTGATCTCGCTGCGGGTGAGCGCATATATTGAGCGCGTGGGCCTGGTGAAGACATGGGGAATGGGCGTCAATGCGATAGACGGGAGGGACGAGGTGCTGACTCTGGTTGAGGAGGGGCTATGGGTGCTTCGGCATCGCGGTTTAGAGGATCATTTTCATGATAGTCGTCGCTGACGGGGGACTGTGACATGTTGCCCAGCGAGGGCGAGGGCACGGACGCAAGAAGTGCGAGGTGCAGGCGGGCGGCGCGCACTCGGTGGGCAGTCCGGAACATCGGAGCGATGATGCCGAGCTGTGGATCAGGTGCTTACATCAGCACATCACGCTCACCTCCCCTTGACTCTCGCAGTCATCGTCCCACTTCACCTCCTCCTTAGTCCTTTGTCAGGCAGAAACCAGCAAAGATGGGTGGCGGAGACTTGAACATGAAGAAGAGCTGGCACCCGCTCCTCCTGAAGAATCAGGAGCGGGTGTGGCTTGAGGAGAAGAAGGCGCTGGAGGAGAAGAAGAAACTCGACCAGCTGCGCAAGGAGAAGGAGGAGGAGCGGCAGCTGCAGGAGCTCCAGCGAATGCAGGAAGAACAGACGGGGAAGAAACGACAAGAAAAGCTGGAGTGGATGTACGCGACGCCAGCGGCGGGCAGCACGCAGAATCCGAACGACCTGGAGGATTACTTGCTGGGCAAGAAGCGCGTGGATAAGCTCCTCATCGGTGATGAGAATGACAAGGTGCGTTCCTCATCCGACAAATGATACAACAAGATGCTGACAGCCTTGTAGCTCGGCGCCGCTCACAAGAACTTCATCGCCGTCCAGAATGCGAACACTGCACGCGACATCGCCAGCAAGATCCGCGAGGACCCTCTGCTTGCCATCAAAAGGCAGGAGCAAGCTGCTTACGAAGCCCTCATGAACAATCCTCTCCGTCTCCGCGAGATGCAGGAACGCGCTGGCGTTAAGGTTAAGAAAGACAAGTCAGAGCGCAAGAGGGAGAAGGAAGAGAAGAAGCGGCTAAAGCACGAGAGCAAGCACTCCCATCATGACAAGGATCGTCGCTCTCACTCGCGCAGCTACGATGATGACCGTCGCCGGAGTCGCTCTCCTGATTATCGTCGTCGTTCACCCAGCCCTTACCGCGATGACCGCCGTTCGAGCTATCCCGCGAGGCGCGGGAGGTACAGCCCGAGCCCTGATCGTCGTGGCTCTCGCCGGCGCAGCGTCTCGCCCGACTACAAAGGGAAGGGTAAGGCTGTCGACCGCAGACCGCAATGGCCCCGCTCGGACGAGTCTTCGGAGGAGGATAGGTATGGACGTCGCAACAGGAGTCTGTCTCCTCGCCGCGACCGTGTCATCAAGCGCGAGCGTAGCGAAAGTGTTGTGGGCCGCGAGCCACTGCCGAAGCGCTCGCGTCGCTCGCCATCTCCCATGCGTAGGCCGCCTTCGCCACGTCGCGGGTCCCCTCCTCCACGCCGTGCCTCTTCGTCACACCGCCGGGCAGCTTCTCCGCCCAGGCGCTCTCCACCTGCTGGCAACCCGAGCGCGTCAAAGCTTGACGCAGACCGCGCTGCGCGCCTCGCTGCGATGTCCTCCAACGCCAACACCATGTCGAAGGAGCGACAGGAGCGTCTCGCCGCGCTCCTTGAGAAGGAGAAGGCGGAGCTGGCTGCAGACGAAGAGGCACGGAAGAAGAACCAGGGGATGGCGAGCTTCTTGAACTCAGACTCAAAGAAGGCGTTCGGAGGCTCGTTAGAGGACAGGATCCGGAGGGGCCGTGGTGGAATGGTAGTGGATAGGGATTAGGTGTAATGAATGGGTCTGTCGCAAGTCTAGAGCGAATCCTCTACGTACGTTCATTGTGTACAATGTCTCTCGTTGTCTGGTTCCTGTGTATTCAGTTGCTCTGTGGACCGTAGCCCACGCCGAAGAGCGCCTATCGGCGCAGCTGTCGGCAGTTACCGAGTTCGTGTGCGTGTGATGTGACGATGAGCAGAGGGTGAGTTGCCTCCTACTCTGACGCCTGTCCAAAGCAATGCTCGGCGAAGACGACGTATTCGACTCCGTCACCTGGGAGTCCCCTCCCGCACCCCAGCAATACGATTATGACCACCAACCCGCGCCGACGTCCCCCGCTACCGCGGGCCCTGGCTTCCGCCAGTCCACGGACAGCAGCGAGGGCGGCCCGCACGATCCCAAGTGGGAGGGCTACCTCGTCGCGTCCGTGAAGGACCCCGTAAAGGAGCTCCCGGAGACGAAGGACGCCTACGTGTCGTACCTCGTCTCCGCAGAGGTAGCACCGTCCGCTGCTGCGCTGACCCCCTCTGAACGACCCCAGACCAACCTGCCCATCTTCTCCACGCCGAACCCGACGGCGCGCAGGAGGTTCCAGGATTTTGTGTTTTTGCGGAACCATCTGGTGAGGGACTTCCCGGCGGTGGTCGTCCCTCCGTTGCCGGACAAGCATCGGTTGGGTGAGTGTGGGGGCTGTGTGGCTGAGATGTGTGCTGACGCGTAGACAGAGTACATCACTGGCGATCGATTTAGTCCCGAGTTCATCGAGAGGCGTAGACAAGAGTGCGCACATCCATATCTGCATATACTTCCTGGCTAACTAACGCCATCATAGCCTCAACCTCTTCCTCCAACGCATCGGCCGGCACCCCACCCTCCAGCGCGCAACTCTCGTCCGCGCCTTCTTCGAGTCTACAGAATGGGTGCGTCTACCCTATGCTCCTCCGCCGTCGCTAACACCCCCCCCCCAGCACGTCATCATGCACCAACACGTCGCGCACCCCCCAGGCCCCGAGCCAACGCCCGGCCTCCTCGACTCCGTCTCCGACACGCTCCTCAACGCCTTCTCCCGCGTCCGCAAGCCCGACGACCGCTTCCTCTCCCTCCGCGAGGGCGTCGACCGCTTCGAGGACGGGCTCGTGACGACGGAGCGCCTCTACTCGCGCGTGCGCACGCGGACCAGCGGTGAGTGGATTAGCGTGTGCTTTTCTGGCGGTGGCCCTCAGGCTGAAAGACGGTGACCCGGAATCCTCGGAAGACCTCACCTCGGACTACCATGATCTTGCGGTCGCGGTGCAGGGGCTGGGGTTCTTGGAGTCGGGGATTACAGAGCCGCTGAATCAGTTCTCGAATACGCTCCTGGAGTTTTCGGCGTTGTTGAGGCATACGGTGCGTGTTTGCTCACCAAAAAGTCACCCTACCTGTGCTCAAAATTACTTCAGACCCAAACAACTACGGACCCCTTCCTCAACCACCTCCATGCCCTCCTCTCTTACTCGCACGCCAACCGCGCCGTCTTGAAGCTCCGCGACCAGAAGCAGCTCGACTTTGAGGAGCTGTCCGACTACCTTTCTGGCGTCACCGCCGAGCGCGATAGGCTGTCTGCAGTTATCAGCGGACATGCTGGAAGCACTGGTCTGGGGCTTGGGGCGTACTTGAGGGAGCGGGTGGACGCGATGCGCGGGATGGATGACGATAGGGCGAGGGTGCAGAGGATGAAGAAGCTGGATGCGAAGATCAAGGAGGTGGGTTGGACTTTGTGGCAACGCCACTACATGCTTGATCCTGCCAACTAACCCTCATCCTCTTCAGCTCCAAGACGCCGTCACGACCGCACACGAGACCTCGGACGCCTTCAGCGATGAGACGCTCCGCGAACAGACCATCTTCCAGCACGCGAAGGAGGCGGAGATGAAGGAGGCGCTCGGCGACTTTGCGGATGGGCAAATTGAGTTCTATCGGGCGGTGAGTATTGCTTCATCTGATCATGAACTTCATGGTCAAATGATGATGAAGGCAGTCGTCATAAGTATCGATGCTTACGCCCGATGCAGGCAATGGAAGAGTGGGAGCGGATTATACCCATTATGCAACGTATACGGGTGGATGTTTGAGGGCAGGTGTGAGCTTTGCGCGCAGGCATGAGAAGAGGCAGTATAGCGCCCAGGCGATGGGGCGGATGGCAAGCCAGGCGATGGGGCATCAAGATGGTTGGTTGGAGGTCTTAGGGACGAGAAGCAGTCAGAGACGCTGTACTGTATACTACTTTACTGAAGTTGCCGGTCTAATATATTCGCGATGTACACATGGGATGGAGAGTTGGTACGACAAGAAGTGAGCGAGAGGCTGCGGATATGGTTACGGAGGTTCCAGGTGTAATGTCCAAAGAAGTCGAGTGAGGCAAGTTCGCCATCATGAGTCGTAAAGCTCTTTCTCTCTTCGTAGCTTGATGTCTGATTCCTGGACGGTGAGCGACAGCTGGAAAGATGTGTCAGGCGACAATGACCTTGCTCCTGATTTACGATGCCACTCACGTTGATGATGCCTGTATTTACCGCCCGGACGACGTGCAGTTGCGCTTCCTCGGATGCGCCTGCAGTAGTGAGACTGCCATCGGCCGGAAGCCATGGCGGTGGGTCACCCTGCATGAACGTTACTGAAAGCTCGGGGTTGTGTGCCACAAATTACTGACCTTGTTCACAGCCGCCGTGGGTGCTTGGTCGTCTTTCAACTCGAGGACGATGGCGAAAGAGACATCGTCTGTGAGAATGAAGCTATTCGATGAGGTGAAAAAAAGACGATAAGGTTGCGTACCTCTCAGGTACATCTGCCCAAGCTGTGCCTCAATCATGTTGAGCTTGACGAGGAAGGAGCGGAAGTATTGGCTGAGGATCGCGGGCTTCATTGCATCTACGACACTAGTCGCAGTCAATGTATCCAGCGTACAGGCCGTGCGTTGGATGGGCCGACCTTGTATCCTTATTGAACGCCTCGACCTCTATCATACTTTCCAGGGCGAAGACAAAGCGTTCAAGCGGCGCATCCTCTTTGTCCTTGATCACTACGACGACCTTGGCTACCGTACCCTGCATATATTTAGTTCCCATGGGATAGTTTGCGTACATTCTTCGGTGGACTAGATAGTCAATGGTGGCGAATTCGTGGCAACTCACCTGAACCAGCTCTTCTCCCACCGCCTTCACGGCGCCAGATATGTACTCATTCAGGCCTGGATGTCTTGACTGGAATACTGGGGTATCATATTTCTTCCGTCTCACGAAGAGGTCGGCGGGGTATATTTGTCGGACGTAGAGGATGGTGTGGATGGCGACTTCCACTGCAATCCAGACGGTATAAGTAAAGCGAAGCTAGATGCGCAGACACATATAGGTATCCAAAAAATACGAGGACATGTGGAGGAGATATTCGGAAGGAGAAATGAGCAGAGGGAGGTATGAAGGTAGGAGGCGGCCAACAATGGATATGCCACTCACAGAATTCGCATATGCCCTTGACGGTTTCTATGGAATTTGTTACTACTTCATCAAGGATGAGAGGTAGTCTACCGCACGATTGAAGGTCAGAGTCGCTGGGCTCTCCGACATACTGCTCAAAAAGGTAAGATGGTTGTTGAAGTCAAGACGGCCGGGCCGAGGACGGAGGTGCGTAATGGCGGGAAGTGCCGGCAGCCGCGCCGAGTGAGCCGCAGGCGCGGCGTCGAGCCAAGCACCCATCTCTCATTTCCCCCTCATGCGCGCGCTCACCAAGTACGCGCTGCCCTGGCTGGCAGGCGCGCTCGGCGCCCTCGCATACGAGGTCGACTTCCAGGACACGGACTACTCGCGCCAGATATGTAGCGGCATGTGGGGTGGCAAGGACACCTTCATCAACGGTGCGTGCGCGTGGATCTACCGAGTCTGAACGCGTAGTGAACGAGTCGCAGTGACATTCGATGGATCCTCGCAAGGACAGGTCGCCATGGTGCGCTATCTCACATCTTAACCCCACATCTCCATCTTACACGTACGCCAGGTCATCTACGAGTGGGCGGACTGGCAGTACCTCGGAGTAGAGACATCCGTCACCGAGGACTACCTCCCCGTGAGCAGCTTGCATACCTTCATTCCTTCCCCCCGCTCATCGCCAACCCTCGCATAGCAGAAAACCTACGTCTGCACCTCCAACGCCGCCCTCGCCGGCTTCTGCACGACAGACCAGCTCGGCAGATTCATCATCGACCTTCCCGAGGGCAAGAACATCTCGGACACCAGTTTCTGGTCCGCGCGCGTGCAGCTTCCAGGTTCAACAACCTCTGAGGGCTCATCCTCGTCCTCCGATACATCGCCCGAACAATCTGTTGGTACCCTCTTCACCCATTCAGTCGCACGCTTACTGTCCGCAGTCCGAACGCGATTTGGCGTTGAGGCAAGAGAATTCGAGCCCGAGCGGATTGTACACGTACACCGATCCCATCCAATACATCGTCCGCAACACGGGCTATTATTGCGTCGGTGCGTAGATCTCCTTGGGTTCCACGCTTCTCGCGGTCGCGCGAGTGACGGAGGTACTCAAATGGACTCCCCTCAGCCATCGTCCCCATTTCCGTCCAATCTTCGCAGACCTCAGCCGATATTCGATCACTTGAGGCTCGCCAAGATGCCAACTTCATCTCACGCCAAGACGACGAGACCGACGTCCCATACCACCCCTCCTACAAGGGAACCGTGCTCTTCCGCAACAAATTCGACGGCAAACTGCCTGCAGCGGATTATCCGAAGGTTAACGTATGTACATCCTCTTTTCTTTTGAATATATACACTTTGCTAAGCCCGGAATCCATTCTGCAGTTCTACTTCGCCATGTTCCTCGTCTACCTCGCCTTCGCTGGTGTTTGGGGCTGGTTGTGCTACAAGCATAGGACAGAGCTCTTGCCGATTCAAGTAAGCCCACCGCTTCTCATACCCTGCCATCTATAATTGACTATACCTACACAGTACTACCTATCCTCGCTCATCGGTCTCATCGTCATCGAGATGCTTGCTAGCTGGGGTACGTGGCTCTCGCCTACCCTTCTCTTGTTTTCAGCCATATACTGACTTTGCCCCCCCTCAGCTTACTATCGCTACCTCAACGCCCACGGGCGTGGCACGTCGTCGACCATCTTTCTCATCGTCGTCGCCATCCTCGACGCTGCGCGCAACTCCATGTCGTTCTTCATGCTGCTCGTCGTCTCGCTCGGCCTCAGCGTCGTGAGGGAGAGCTTGGGCCGCACGATGCTGAAGTGCCAGATTTTGGCGGGAGCGCATTTCGTGTTTGGGAGTGAGTGGTTTACTCCATGTTGTCAGTGAAGTGCTGACTCATCGCTACAGTCCTTTACGCCATAGGTATCGTCGAGCTTGAGCTCGAGTCCGCGTCGGCGCTCGTGCTGCTCTTGTTCGTCATTCCGCTTGCGTTTACACTGAGCGGGTTCTTGCTATGGATCATGTATGCGCTGAACGGTTAGTCTGACTTGTCTATATCGCTCACTCCGCACTCACCACAACCCTTAGGCACCATCAACGAGCTCCGTGCACGCAAGCAGCGTTATAAGCTCCACATGTTCGAGTTGTTGCACAGGATCTTGCTCGGCGCTGTTGTTGTGATCATCATATTCTTTGTGGTCTCGTCGTTCTCGTTCTCAGGGCGCTTGGCAGAAGGTAAGCTTCATTCTCCTTTCCTTCCTTGTGAATCATAACCTAACACTCATCCAGATTACTCCGCCAAATCCTGGCGCTCCCGCTGGTGGCTCCTCGACGGCTGGCTCGCACTCCTCTACCTCGTCGCCTTCGCCGCCATCTCATACCTCTGGCGTCCCTCCGAGCACAACCGCCGCCTCGCTATGTCCGAAGAGCTCGCCCAGGACGAGGAGGACGCAGAGGACTACGACCTCGAGGCCCTCGAGCGCCGTGGCTACGGCCGCGCGCACGGGGAGGACGATGACGACGAGGACGGGCATCGAGGTAGGAGGAGAGACGACGATGAGGCGACGCTCGTTGGCGGGGCGAGCAGGGGCGCGCCCGGTCCTGTGGTCGGCGAGGACGCGGTGGTGTTCGAGATCGGGGACGAGGATGATGAAGACGATGATAAGACCCCGAAGAAGCGGGGGCATACGGAGCGCTTGAGCGGCGAGCAAGGGAGGGGAGAGGAACGGCAGGGCCTGATGCGCGACCGCGATGACTAGAGCGTCATCGTCCGACCCTGTGTACATATGCTCTCACCGTCGCTCTCTCCGCTTTGCACTCGCTTACTCCTTTACCGCACCCCGCACGGACTCACAGAAAATGCAGTATGCTTTGTCGCTGGTATTTATGCGGTGTATAGTATACAAATAGTACTGAGTAATGACAACAAGACAACAGCAGAGCGAAAGGTAGATCAGTCCCGTATGCGGCCACTGGAAAGTAAAGAAGGGCAAGGTTAGCAAAAAAAAAAAGGCAGCAAAAAGGGGGCGAACGCACGTCGAGGTGGTGTATAACCGTGGCGCGATGTTCATGGCCTGCAGCTCCTGGAAGAGCAGCTTCGCGGCGTAGGGGATGTACAGCTGCGAGCATGCGGTCTTGTTCTTACATGCACGGCATTCGAAGCTTTGCTTTTTCTGGAGAGAAAGTCAGTCTTCTTCCATTATCGTCAGACACAGCTCGCTTACCAAGTTCGCAATAGCAGTGAGACCACAGCTGCAAGTCAAGTCAGAAGCTGATAGGCGAGAATAAGGCCACTTGCACTCACATATCGCAAACATGCAGTCGGTACGCATCCGATGCGTCGAACAGCCGCTCCTTTAAGAACCCAGCAATACCGTGCGAGATCATACAATCGCGCTCCATCTCTCCGAAACGCAGACCACCGTCACGACTACGACCCTCCACCGGCTGGCGCGTCAAGATCTGCACCGGCCCTCTCGCGCGCGAGTGGATCTTGTCGTCCACCATGTGCTTGAGACGTTGGTAGTAGGTCGGGCCCAGATACACCTGCGCCTGCAGCTTCCGCCCCGTGTGCCCGTGGTACATGACCTCGAGCCCACGCTGCTGGAAGCCCTTCGCCGCGAGGCTCTTCGACACCGCCTCGACCGTGAGGTCCGTGAACGGCGTCGCGTCGCCCTCGTTGCCGATAAGGGTCGCGACCTTCGACAGCAGACACTCGACCAAGTGGCCAATAGTCATACGCGAGGGAATGGCGTGCGGGTTGATGACGATATCGGGGACAATACCCTGTGCGGTGAACGGCATGTCCTCCTGGCGGTAGGTGATACCGATGGTACCCTTCTGACCATGACGCGAGGCGAACTTGTCGCCGATCTGTGGGATACGAGTCGAGCGGACGCGGACGCGGATGAGCTTTTTGCCATCCTCGTTCGTCGTGAGCAAAACCTGGTCGATGATACCGCTTTCCGTGCTCTTCAACGGTGTCGAGACATCACGGCGAGTGTGGTTCTTCGTCCGCTGGCCGAGCTCTTCGCTGTCGGGCGGGATGGGTGCCGTCTTGCCAATGATGATATCCTCGCCGTTGACGCCCGTGCCCGGTGCAATCAAGCCATCGTCCTCGAGTTTGTCGTACGTGCCGTGCTTCATGCGGAGGGTGTTGTCGCGCGAGGGCTTCTCGAACTCCTCCGTAGGCATCATGCCGACGCTTTTCTTCTCCATGTCCGTGTACCCTCTGTAGTAGATACTACGGAAGAGACCACGGTCGATGGAGCTCTGGTTCATGATGACGGAATCTTCCTGGTTGTAGCCACTGTAGCACAGGATAGCGACAATGGCGTTCTGGCCAGCAGGAAGTTCTCTGAACTTCAGGTACTCCATGGAGCGCGTCGTCGCAAGTGGCTTTTGCGGGTAGTAGAGGATGTTCGCCATGGTGTCCATGCGGAGGATGAAGTTCGTGAGGAAGATACCCATGGCTTGTTTACCCATAGCAGATTGGTAGGTGTTACGAGGCGACTAAGAGGCGTCAGCGATGTAGCGGCAGCCTTCTGATGGAGATACGTACCTGGTTGTGATCGGGGAAGGGAATGATACTGGCGCAGATACCGAGAATCATGCTGGGGTGAATCTCGCAATGCGTCCAGGTGTGCGTATTCGCCATTGTGTGCGCGACCTTCGTGGCAGTCATGTCGACTTCCTCCTCGGCCTGCTGAGCGGCGCGCTCCTCCGGTGTCATCCTCGAGTTCTCCAGGTCCTCGGGCGTCATGGCAATCATGACGGTCTCTTCTTCCTCCGCATCCAGCAGTTCGATGATACCCTGCTTTACCAACGAGTCCCACTTCGCGCCTTGCGTCAGAGCGTGCACATGGTGCTTCTCAAGCAGCAGAGACTGGTTTTCGACGATAAAGAGCGGGCGACATACACGACCTGCGTCGGTGTACACGCGCAATTCCTTCTCGCGGATATCCCGGACGACGGAAACCTCCTGGCTGATGTCGTCCTTTCTGCGCAGTCGGCGGATAGTCTCGACGAGCTTTGCCGGGTCGCGGTGGACACCCATCCAGACACCGTTGACGAAGACCTTGGTGAAGGTCGCCTCCGACGAGCGCGCGTTCTCCTCCAAGCTCTCCAAATTCCACTCCTGCAAGAAGTCGATGACGGGCGCAGAGATGGAGCCGACCGAGATACAAGCCATGAGCGAGAGGTTCTTGACGAGACCGCAAGCCTGTCCTTCGGGGGTCTCGGCAGGGCAGACCATACCCCAATGAGTGTTGTGCAGTTGACGAGGCTTTGCGATCTTGCCCTCTCGTCCGAGTGGCGTGTTGCAACGACGAAGATGGGACAACGTGGACGCGTATGTGTAACGATTCAACACCTGGGAGACACCGGCCTTCGCCGCGCCAGCCTTCTTCTGGTCACCCCAGTTGCCGGTGGCGAGAGAGTACTTCAAGCCCTGCGAGATCGTGTGATGCTTGATCGCGAGGTTAAGGTTGAAGTCCTTGTTGGACTCGACACACTGATGTCTGGTGAGCATCGTCTCAGAGCGTGTCGATAGCGACTACATACCTTCTGCAAGTAGCGGTAAACATCCTTCGTCATCTTCCTGAAGAGCATACGGAAGAGACCAGCAAGCAGCGGGCCTGCCAAGTCAAGACGCTTCTTGCCGAAGTGATCACGGTCATCCAACTCTCTGCGCTCAAGGGCGGCAAGCAAAAGTCGGTGAACCATGTAGCCGAAGAAGTAGGCCTTCTTGGACTCCGAACCCTCGGCCATGGAGACGTGCGGCAATAGTTCCTTCTGCAGGATCTCCTGCGCATACCGCACTCTGCGCTCGCGGTTAAGGCCGGTTGTTGTACCACGGTTGCCGATGAAGTCCAAGGCGACCTCGCGCTCCTGGATGACGAAACCGTCGTCAATACACGGCTTGAGCAACTCGAGCATCTGCGGATCGGTGCTCTCGTAGCAGATGTGGTCGAGGATGTCACGGTCGGAAATGACGTTTAAGGCGCGGAAGACGACCCAGATCGGGATGTCAACCTTGATATAGGGAATGGTAGCCTTGATGACATTGCCCATCTTCCTTTGAAGTCAGCAACTCGTATAATGAAAGAATAGAGGGACCACGTACCGACCGCTCCTTCGTCCGGTGGAACATCTTCACTTGGAACTGACTGATCGTCTTGCCACCCTTCTCCACGGCACTACGGATCTCGGCCAAGAAGTTGATGGGGGAGGGCTGAGCTTTGGCGAAGACATAGACATGGTTTGTGGCCATGCGCTCCTGCGCAATCAAGACCTTCTCCGACCCGTTGATGATGAAGTATCCTCCGGAGTCGTAGGGGCACTCATTGAGGTCGTATATTTCTTGGTCGCTCAGCTTGTTGAGAATGCAGAACGCAGAACGCAACATGATCGGTACCTGCAAGGTATCAGCACCGGAAATATGCAGTCATGACGCTGAAAACGCACCTTGCCGATGTGGACCTTTTGAACCGCATTGCCTTCGTCCTCCTTCACAGTCCTCCAAATGGGTTCACCCGCCTCGTCCAACTCGTCCGTGGCATGCAAAGTCTTCTGGCGCATTTCAATGTACAGCGGTGCAGCATATGTGAGGTTGCGCAAGCGGGCCTCTTGGGGGAAGACTGGGACGACTGAGCCATCCGCTTCGGTGATCGTTGGTCTCGAAAGGTAGATTTGGCCGAACTGGATCTCAAAGCGCTTGCTCTGATCGAAGTTGTGTCCAGTATGCTGCTCGGCCTGGTCCAGGATGAGTTCCGGGTTCTCGTCCACGAGCTCTTGCATCGTGTTCTGAATGAACTCGTCGAAAGAGTCGAGCTGCTGTCGCACAAGGCCCTTCTCATCGAAGAAACTGGAGATGACGGTCCAACAGTCTTCTTGCGTTATACTGTTGTCGTCCTCGTCCTCGTACTCCATCGGCATGTCATTCGTGTACGCATCTTGAGAGTAGGCATCCTGCGAGTAGTCGTACGCTCAAGGTAAAGGTGTCAATATCATCGTGGACGCGTCGTGCTTATGGCAAGGTACCTTGGCTCATTTATGCCCGGTTCTCTGTTCCAAATGGATCCTGTCCTGAGTTGTACCAGCGGGGAAAGGGGGCAGCAAGCAGTCTGATGATTATGCGAAGCCGAAGACGTTTGCCACCACCGGGAACGTGAGCGTCGAGAACAAGGTCCTCGATTTGTTTGTGTTGACAAACCCGGTCGGACGTCGGTGCGAGTTGCCACGTGCTCTCGGCTGACTCCGAATTGGACCCACTTGTCACATCAAGTTCAACCTTGCCATAATTGACCTTACAAAGCTCGTTGGACCTTCACAATTGTCTATATCTGCGTGTATTGCTACATATGTTCGTGTATAATTGTTTTGGAACGATACATGGGCTTCTCTGCAATCACTCTTCAACATGTTTACAGCTTCGCCTTCAGTAGCGTGTTCATCTTTGATAGTGCGCTGGACGCATATCCTCCCTGCAAGGACTAGATTCAGAGGACATCACCTCTGCAGCTGAGGCCACTTACCCCGAAAAGCACCGTGTGATTGAGATAGTGGAACATCTCGTACAGCTCCATCCGCAACTCGTACTGGTCTACAGGCTCCGCCTTCGGGAAATGCTTGTGGTACGTCGTATAAAATGAGCGAGGGAAGCCGCCAAACACTCGCGCAATGGCAAGGCTGAATGGACTTCAGTACGTTGATTAACTTGATGACTGTCCTTATTTTACTCACTCAAATTCATTGTGGCCATAAAAAGACGACGGATCGAAGATCGCTGGTTCCCCCGTGTTTCTATCCGTGCCAGCGTTCCCGCTCTGGATATTAGGACGCCTGTAACACGAACCTTGACCGGCCCGACGGCTTACCCATAGATCACCATGCAGGATCACTGGCTCGATCTTCAGAGGGCCTAAGATCGTCCGTGAATAACGGTGTTGCCACATATGGTGTTGTACACTCACCAAGAAGCTTCGGGATCACGCTGAGTAGACGAGCTCAGCGCAGGCTCCAAGACTCCAAACAAAGAGCTCACGTCTTGCGCACTTGCTCCCCCTTGCTGACCAGCTCCCCAAAGCGCTGTCCCTTCAACGCGTCCAACAACTCCCCAATCTTGTCACTGAACAGCTCCTCCCAAGACGGGAACCATCCATTCCTCATTCTCGTCGCCCCACAGTATGTCGGTACCTCGAAGCCAAACTGCCCATTCGGACTAGTGTGTCGATGCAACTTCGTCCCCATCAGCTCCCCAAGGCGAATGCCCGCCCCCTCCGTTAACGATCCGATATTCTTGTACTCCGACACGAAGTACGGCCGCCCATCAGTGACACCGTGAGCAAAGACCCTCGGCACTAGCTCAGGACACCCTTCACTCAGCGCCAGCAAGCTCTGCGCCTCCCCCTCAAACTGTTCCGCCTCAGAGGGGGATCCCACCTTGGCGAAGTAGTCTTTGCCATTGTTGGACGAGATCTTGGGAAGCGAGCCATGGAACTCCGCACCCGGCTCGATGCGGTTGAGCTCCTCCATGAGGTTGTTCAGCAAGTTCTGCGGGATGCTTCTTCTGAAAGGCATATCTGCGACGTGGATGAGGAAGAAGAGGAGCAGGCAGAGGTCGAATACAAGGCGCAGTGGGTCGCGGCTGGCATAAGTAATACTAATAGTACCTGAGGTTCAGGTGATGTCATGGTCGAGGTGCCAGAGTCGGGCCGGGGGTTCCGCGCCACATATCCCCCCTCAACCTCCACTTCCCGCTCATGATGCCAGGTAAATTCGTAACAATACACATTGTCGCCCTTACGGGTACATATGACGACCTCTAGTTGTCCAGTACTCACTGATATTGCCCAAGGTACTTCGGCACTACCTCATGGACGCTCGTCAGCTTGTGCCTTTGCGTGGCCAGCAGGTCCGAGAAAGACGACGCTGGGCATGTCGATGTATCTTTGACGATGTTGTCGTACCTGAGCGTCTCTACCTGCAAGAAGCTATTAGAAGTGGGGTTCTACAGAACGACGATAGATCTTACCTGATCTCTAGTGACCGTAAAGAGGTTCTCTGGCAGTTGCTCGAGCACCGCACCCTGCATCTTGCCCAAAGCGAATGGCAGACTAATGACAGGGCGCGTTCGGCCACTATACTTGAGGACAAGCTCCATAATTTCCCGCCAGGTAAAGACTTGCGAGGGAGTAAGTGTCAATATTGTGCGCAAGGCAAGCCGAGTTGCTCACTTTCTGGTCCACCCGCCTCGAAGATCTTTCCTGCCACACGAGTGTCCATGCCGCGATTGCGCCTGGAGATGATCTCGATTGCCTTGGCAATGTCGTCCACATACACAGGCTGAAATCTGGCTGTTCCACCCCCGAATGCAGGAAGGAAGGGGAGGTACTTGGATAGAGTGGCGAAGCGCTGATGAAAGGTGAGCGTCGAGTTTGCGCCAGGTCTAAGAGGGATACACACATTGAAGAATGAATCTTCAGGACCAAAGACCAAGCTCGGTCGTATGATGGTCGCGTCGGGACAGACTCTGAGGACGGCGCGCTCGCCCAACCCCTTCGACTTGGCGTAGAGGATAGGGCTATTCTCATCGGCGCCAATGGCGCTGATGTGGATAAGCTTTGCGCCGACGTCGTGCGCGACTTGCGCGACATTGCATGCACCCTGTACATGGATCTCTTCGAACTGCTCCCACGTCTCGTTGAGGATACCAACCAGGGACACGACAACACTGGCATCCTTGAAGATGGGTCTGAGCGTGTCAATCTTTCTGATGTCGGCTGCTCTGGACGGAAGCAGTTTGTCCGTCAAGATGAGTGGGCGCAGAGTCGCGTCAAGCTTGTCTGCGGACCTCGAGATACCCTGGACTGGGCGAGTTGCAGAGACAGCGCGTGCAATATGGGTACCTTGTGGGTTGTCAGGAAACAGAACGTATATGCGCGCATAGCATGCACCTAGGAAACCCGCTCCGCATATGACTGCCTTTCCCGTAGACATGTTGGGCGGCGATGTTGACGGTTAGAGAGGCGATACTGGTGAGCAGAGGTGGGCGTTGCCGACGAGTACAGTCTTCGCGTCGTCTGCGATCGTGTGCCGCCGGTCAGTAGGCTATCTCCTAGCACGCGACCATGACGTCGGTGCCAAAAGAACAATGGACGCGACGCCTTCGAGTTCGCTTCCGTGTCCGGGCCAGAACTTGTCCACGAGCAACAAGCAGCCGTGCCTTGAACCACGCGAATTAATAAAGGTCTGCAAACGTATGCAGCTTTCTTGACACAAATAACCCGTACGAGAACATCGCGCCTTTGAGACGAAAGCAAGCACCTTGATTCCCATGCCAGCAGACAGGCCCATACAAATACAGCGAGATAAAGGAACAGGAGACCACAGATAGCAAGGTGCAAAGCAAGCGCGACATCACATCGGAAGACCAAGCGTAGTCCGCTAGAGAACAAAGGTGCATCAGATGCGTGCGAAAGCCGTATAGCGGTAAACTCACGAGCTGTATCACATTCGTCCTCTCAGCTGGTGGGAGGGCGGCAATTTGCTCCGGGGTAAGTGAAAGGAGTTGCACGACCAGCGCCTGAGGGGATGTGTGAACATCTGGCGTCTGCAGTTTGGGAAGGACGTACCTTTTGATCGTCGGGTATGGACGCCAGCATGGTGGCTACACTGGCGGCGGCAGGGTTCGATGGAGGAGCTTGAGGGGGAGCAGGCTGTTGATAGCCTCCGTATCCTCCACCGTACGCCTGCGTAGGTGTGGGGGTATGGGCAGGCGGGTATGAGGAAGACCCTGCATAGCGGCCTTGACCGTTCGCGTAGGATTGTGATTGAGGGGGATATGAGGTCGGAGGGGTAGGCGTGCGGTAATCCGCCTGAGGCTGGACGTATGGAGGTATGGCGCTGGCAACTGGGGGAACGGGTGCTGGTGCTGGTCCCGGCGCTCCGGTGCCAGACGGGCCAAGGCTTGTCAAGGTTCTCTGTATTCAGTGTCAGGTAAGAAAGTAGGGACCAACAAAGCACTCACCTGGAAAACATCTATATCTATAGCATTCATAGATACCATGAGCGTGATGAGCGCATACGCGATCTGCGGCTGAGCATTGAGGATTTGTCGTGCGGCGTCTGGCGTGGTTTTCTGTTCACTCTGAGCGCCAGAATATACTGTAGACTGGTATACCCACCTTGAGTTGCATCAAAAGCTCCAGGAGCTGCTCAGTCGCGAGGGTCGGACTTGTCGACATGACCGTTCGGAGGAATAGGCGCGCGTGCGCTCGATCAAATCTGGGGAGGCTATCCCCTGCCATCCCATCGCGCTCTCACCCTCCCTTTGTTCGACCTACCTCCGCGCTTCTCGCCTTCGCAGTCACCGCCGCGCTACGAGATAATCACAGAAGTCACAACACGTTCCAGTAAAGACCCATGATATCGGTGAGTAAATACAATGCCTAATACAATAATACTGCGTCGTCACATTTTACTTTTGGGGACCCATCGCGGTCTCGGTATACAGAACTACTAGCGGACGACGTATAGAGTTTCCCCTATCCCATCGACTATCCTCCCCTCATACGAAGACGCTAAAGTCCCGGTCAATCGAGACTATGGAGTCGACCACAGACGCCGATGGCGATTCCAATGTAGAATCGGGCGAGTCTGGAGGTGCAACGCCGCGATAATTGTCTGTCGAAGGCTCGAACGATTGCTCAGAACCTGAGCCAGTAGCATATTCCGATGATCCCTCGTCAAACTCGAACTTGCAAGTACCCTTCTCGAGGTGGTATTTGAGGCCATTGGGGTTCAAGTAAGTCTGCACGAGGTTAAACACGGTGGTGAGAGTGGCACCCTGTGGCAGCTCACCTTACAGCATCCCGGTCTCTGTGAGAGGGTCAGACGCGGAGTGGAGCGACGGCTGAGTTTTGTACGTACCGGACATTTGAATGCGCGAACACGCGAGGTGCGACGGCGACCCCCACTGCGTCGGGCGTCCTTGCTAGTCGTCGGCTTTCGTGGGACTGTGTAGGGCTCGGCTTGAACGCGTGCTTGCGCCGCGTGTTCTCGGCGGACGGGGTGTGAAGTCGGGGCGGGCCTCTCGGTCGGTCGTACGACCACGGTTGGCTTTACGGCTGACGGCATCGATGCGGCAGGTCGAGGCTGTTCTATTGGCAACGCCGGGAGCAGAGGTTGCACGGGAGGTTTTGTTGCCTCGTGCACGGGCGCTAGTGGGAGGTCGTCGAGGATGTCGCGCGGCGCATACGGCGCGCTGAACAGCGACAGCGAGAATGGGTCGAAGTCGTCCGGCGAGATAACGGTAGGGAAGACGGGGAATAGTGAGGAGGTTGGCGAGGGGGGCTCCGAGCATGACGGCGTAGAGGAGGATGAGGAGGCGGAAGACGTGCTGCCTGGGGTGAGGGGTGGCGTAGGCACACGGAGCGGCTGCAGTGGCGCGGGGCGGATGCGTGGGCTACCCTTCCCCCGTTTCGGCGACTTTCCCCCCGCCTTCGCGACGGTGACATGTTGCTCTTCAAAGTGCTCGAGTAGTTCATGGAGGTCGGCCAGGACAAGGTTGCAGCACGAGTAGTTCGAGCACTATATGGTCGCGTGTCACGTTCCATCAAATCACTTCCCCACACAGGTGGCAACTGTATACTCACGAAGGCGCGTTCGATAACTGCTATGCGATCGAGGGTGTTGCACTCGGTGGACTGGCACATATTGGGAGGGGAAGTATCGAGGGTGGCTTGAGTGGTGAAGGCTGCGATGGTGGCGGTTGAAGAGGAAGAGGTTGGCGTACACGAGGAGGGCGTGGGGCAGCCGTCCAGGAGACTATCAAGGTACGTACGAGGAAGCAGGGTAGAGACGGCCATGAGATGACAAAAGAGGGCACGTTCCGGGCAACCGCAATCAGCAAACATTCATCGACCACCACATGAATCTACACGACTCACTTCCTGGCCAGACTCATGTTGAGCCTCGTGTAGTCCGTATTTGCAAAGACAACGAACAAGCCCGGCTGTGAGGAAGATGTGAGACGGCGGTTCTGATGGATTGTCCAGAGGGGTATAAGGGTATCGATATCGATAGAAGGGGACCCAGCAGGAGGCTAGGCTGAACGCGAATATCGGAGTTGGGTATGTGGTCAAATGACAGCTGAAGACAGCTTGGGTCGCAGCGTCGAAGCGAGAAGCCAGGCTGTTAAAGTACGCAAGGGCTAGGGAGCACTTACGTCTGAAGACGCTCAGTTGCGCGACTGCTTGACGATCGGGTGTGGCAGAGTGGCGTCTGAAACGATATCCTGAAGGTAAAAGGATACTTGTCGGACACTCAGGCCTGGGCACGGGACTTCCGAGCGCGAGGGGATCGTGCTGAAGGTGTGGTGGCCATGAGCATCGCTAAATTCATGAGGCGGAGCGGAATTTCGCACTGGCTGACTGGGGCAGCGGTCAAGCCTCCACTGACAGGACGTGTCGCTGGGAGGAAGGATGCAGGGAGCATCGCACTACCGCCCGCCCAGAATAAATGGGGAAAGTTTATCGGTAGCGACTGACGCATATTTCGAGCGCCGGTGGAGAGCCATTGGAGTGACTGACGAAGGGCGCAGTCACGAACATGATCATGGTGCTGAGCAAAACGCGCGGCAAACTCATCGTGCTGATCGTCTCCTGTCACTCCCGCGAACCGCAAGACGCGTGGGCCATGGCAGATATCTGCGCTGCTATCTCTTGCGTTCCCGTCGTCCAGCTTAGTTCCTGATTGCTGACATTGACAGAGGGTCTGTAGACGACCTGGCATCGCAAAGACCGCTTGAGGATCGCTGCCTCCACGTCGATCACAACACGTGTCACATCAATTCCCACCGGATGATGCGCTCACGATAATGGACCCACAACATGGGACGAACATACCCAGGCCCTGCGCTGAATGCGGAAGACATGAAGACGTCTTATGTGCCGCCTTCGTTGAGGCAATAGTGTCTATCCTGTATTGTGAGGGTACGTGCTGGTGGCGCTGCAACGACTAATGCATTCACTGACCAGATTCTACGCAGCGCGACGATACGAGATCGACGAGGATAAGGTTCTAGATCTGTCTTCGCCATAGCTCGAGTCGACGATGAGCCCGAGATGAGCAAGCACGAGGCAGACGCGCCGACTTAGGACCACCGGACATTGAAGAAGCAGATGCGGATCTAACCACCATTGCGAAGGGTCCCTTGTTGATCCATTGCCTATCCAGGAGCTATTCGTATGTTGGTGTCGGCACGCTCGCCGTCCATCCGAGGAAGAAGTACCAAGGTACTCGCCACTCCCCGAATCCGAAGGACAGACTTCATTATAGATGTTAGTGATAAGGCATCGATGCTCACAAGGCCATCTCATGAGACCTCTTCGACAGAGGCTAGTCGTAGAGCTATTCGAATGTCGGGAAATCCCTCCGGAGGAAGTGAACGACCTTGCTGGCATACAGTGCGAGTCGCGACTTCTCGACTGCCTTTTTGGGTGGGACCATCATTTTCGACCAAATCGCACAAGACGTTTCCCCTATGTTAGCAGAGTGGTCGGAAACATCACGAATAGCCTAGCAGTACCTTTCCGCACCACCTGCTGAAATATCTAAGCCGTAGGTCAACTTTTTGTTTTTGGCTCCTCCGAAAAGTGAAAAAGGGACCGTAAATTCTATGGAAAATGAATATTTATATTCATTTTCTGGCTATTTATACATGTTTTTCGCTTTTGGTGGGCGTTCAGCTGATCTTCAGGGCTGGCCCAGCACATATATACTATCTAGCGACGATATACAGGACCTATGGTCCACGCAAAGAGTGCGGGGGCCCGGTTCGCTCGAGCTGGCATGGGACGGCCGGGACTTGCCGAGAGCGCGGGTGGCCGAAGGGCACTGACAACTTGCTCAGGTAAGAAGACTGCCGTTAGACATCAAGATAGTACTTGGGAAGTCTTTTGACACCTGTTGAGGTCTCCAGCTGACCTCAAAGCAGCTGCACCGCTATGCTCAGAAATTCGAGCCGACCAGGGTCCTGTGTAAGCGCATTTCGTGGTGGTCCTCGGTAGATAATGTTTCATACCAGTATTACTCGGCCAGCGATAAGCCCAGCGCACCCTTCCCAGCCGCCAGAAGCCGAAAAACTCACCCCCAACTTTTCATCTTCGAGCCCGAAAAAGTGAAAAATATTCGATTTTTCGGGGCATTTTTCGTTCTCAGCGTAAAACGCGTTCTTTTGGTCGGTTTTACGCCTCAGAAAATGTCCAAAAAATCGTATCAAAATTCCTTCATAGAGATAGGCACGTGTCAGTGAGGTGGCGAGTCGCACTGTAGATATGGGGATACCCACCCGCCCGCGACGCAATACAAGCGCCGATGGCGACTTACTTGCTGGGGGCTTAAGGTGTTGTTGCTTGAAGAGAGGCATTCCGTTTGATGCGGGGGACACAGAAAGAATCACAGAATGAATGAACTCAGTGTGAAGCGCGCTCTTTCGATGCAGGGCACAGACGACGTGATGGGACGAAGAAAGAGCTGTTTCGGAGAAATTGACAAGTCAGCAGCATAATGTCACAGTCACCTGATTGGTGACAATACGCGTCAAGCGCGCTTGGTGACCGATCGTCATTACCATTTCCTCTACTGTCATCACGCAGTTCACTCAAGTCCAACTGGCGGGTTCGAGCTGCTAAGACCATGGAGCCGAATCCAGATTCAACGGACGTACCGATGCCTGACGCCCCGCCAGCCGACCCGGCACCCCGCAAATGCTCTCAGTGTACTCGTCTGGTCGAACCGCATCTTCCTTATGTGAGGTGCGCAATATGCAGAGCGAATGGTCGCGAGTACCAGAAAAGAAAGACCGAGAAAGCACGCGCGAAAGCGCAGGCTGCAAGAGCCAGCTCTTCTGGAAGTATGCCACCTCTGGGCGCGTCTACGTCGACATCCGCCACCAATAAACGGTCGTCAAATTGCTCCTCAGAAGTGTCTACTTGGAAAATGATCAGGAATCCTGTGACTGGAGAACAAGACTTTGAGTGCACGTCGGCGTATTCCGTGCGTTCAGAGCTGCCGCTTCGGGCTTACATTTCTAACCAGGTCACAGATAGAAATCTCCCGCGATGGGCGTCGTATGAAGAAAAGACCAACCTTCATAGGCCAATCCAAGGTGACCAAAGCCAAGGATAAGCCAGTGGTAGACCACGACCCGAAGACTGCAGGGGTAGGCTTTCTTCGTCGTGTCGTCAGTCGCTTTACTGAGTCCCTCTGAGATTGCGCAGAAACTTGGCTCCCACCGGATACCTTTCTCCGAGTGTCAGACGAAAGAGGACCTGCATGATGAGCTTCGCCAGACGCTCTTGAAGTCTTCGCATGCGAACTTCCGGGCTTTCTACTCGATCATCGACGTCGAACACGATCACAAGAGGCGTGTCGAGGAGATTGCAAGCGAGTTGCGCAAGGTCGAAGGCCTATCGTTCAGGTAAAGATCTTCATCTCGCGTCGCTGAGCAAGGCCGGTGCTGACTCGCCGACTTAGTCTTAAGCATTACCACACGAAGGTGGATCCGCAGCGCACATTCTATTTCGCAAAGTACCGATGCCAGTGTTGGGCGCAACGGACAGCAGATGTTGTTCCCGCTGCCCCTCAGGCCAACGCTGTTCCTTCCAAGGATTGCGGTGGTGTGGTCTCCATTCGTGTGGCCGAGGATGACTCGCATACGTACTTTCCGGGTCAAAAGATCACGGTCATCGTCCAGCATACGCTTGATACGTGAGTGCTTACCCATAACAGAACTTACATTACAACGCATGGTTTACTACGCCCACATTCTCTTGCAATCTTTTCCTACTTTAGCCGCAAAGACTACTAGCTATAGTACGACTTCGATACACCCGTATCGCCTATTCCTGTATAGAGCATCCCTTGCTGTCTATCCAAGCTCCCGAGGGAGGAACAAGAAAGGACGCGACGAAGAGAGACTGCGATGTAAGTTCGTTCAACGGTCACCTTGCCACTACATACTCTAACGCAACACAAAGGGGAAATAAAGTTCAGCCATGTGAATGCCCAACAGGCATCGTCGGAGAACCCGTTGTCGCGAAATGAGTGTGGATTTCCTGGCGCCAAATGATCCGGATGACCCAGGCGGCAGATGCCGGCCGGTCATCCGAGAACGTCGAACAATGGACTTCGGCTTGAAGCAATATAGGCCACATGCCGTTGACCATTTTCCATCCCGGTTTTCTGCTGACCCCCTACAGTTGAAAGCGCCCACCGTCGCTCACCTCCCGCTTCAGCTTTTGCATCGCATATGAAGTCGCCTCAGCTCGCTGCTCAGTCGCTGCGAGCAAGGTTATTAAGATATCATCAACTCCCCACATACGCCGTCAACGAGCTGGCGGACGCATATCTGTCCACCGTATCTCAACTCTGCGACACTCTCATGGACTACTGCGCCCTCCTCGACGAAGACGACCCCGGTCGCCTGGAGCTTGTGGCCTATTACGACTCTCAGCTCGACGCCCTTGCAGACGAAGCCGTCGGAAAGGTGGAACATTGGAGTGAATCCGAGGTCCCCATCTCGTCAGGGAAGGACGCCCTGGACAATGTGAGTTGATATTTTGTATGCCTCTCCAGATTTATTCTGATATGTCTCCTCAGCGAAACCATCCCGTCCTTGAGGAATACCTGAAACACAACGCCTATCCGTCTCCTATAGATAAGCAAAGGCTCGCTGAACAAGAGGGCATGTCGTATAGACAAGTGCATGTTTGGGTGAGTGACCTTAACGTCGACCGGCCTTAATTTGCTGAACATTTCCTAGTTCCAAAATCGACGTGCGCGAGCGAAAGAACACGGACGATCATCCACTGCGCTGTCTCACGCGAGAAGACGCCGAACTTGCATGGGCTCAAAGGGCTATGCCTGGCCTGCGCGAATGTTACCGCGGTCGGCGAGCCACGTCAACAGCTTGTCAGAAGATGTATGTTTATCCTTGAGTCCTTCCAAAACGCATCTGACCGCAAGACAGGAACCTGTACCCCAGAAGCCCTCCGGCCACGCGCCAGCTCGCTCACCGGAAAAACGTCGATTCGCCAGGCATCCTCTCCCGTACGTCGCCGTCCAAACAAAACAGCGTCGCAGGTCAAGAGGCGTTACGCAAGTGGATGACCTTGTGCCAGTCTTCGACAACATGAATGTTCGGTCTGCCGTTGTTGATCCAGCTACCACGTGCCAGGGATACGCCGCTTGTCGTGCATTCACCTACGTTCCGCCCAAGGCTCCATTGCCTTCGTACGTCCCGCCGCCCGGTCGATCGGACCCTCCTGCGCCTTCACAACCTTGCCCAACCACCCTCGGCTCGTCACCACAAGTGTGCGCGGGCAAATTCCCAGCACCTTCTACGCGCGAAAGTCGCCGCTCTCAAGCGCTGCGCGCCGTTAACTCAGCGGATTCGCGCGGTGATCGATTACATCGCCTGCCGTCGCTGACCTTCTCCGATTCCTCTTCGTCGTCGTCATCTCCCCCATCGTCTCCAGAGCTCGGGACCTTCGAAGACCTTCCAAGCGCAGCGCCGATGGATAATCTCTATCAAATTACCATGCAATCGTCGGCGCCGCCGCTCTCGTCCGCGTTGCCAGGCTCATTCGTACCATCCTGGGACCCTGCTCTTGACTGCGGTCGAGGTGCTCCATGCTTCCAGGATGGCCTGTGTCGTACGGAGAGCGATGAGCATGACTCTCGCTATTCCACCATAACATCTCAGGACCCTTCACTCGTCGCCAACGCAGCTGCGGCCTCGGTCGGGTCTTGCGTTCCGTCCCCACCATTCAGCCAAGCGGAGGGACAGGCCATGCCTCACATCTTTGAAGGCAGATCGACGACGCCGGCGCAAGCATTATTCGGTGCCGAGAATACCGCACTTAGCGACCTGAGCCTTTCCTTCTACGACTTCTACTCGTACGGTCGATCCGTCGTGCAAGGTCTAGCGCTGGCCGGATGGGCATTCGATGGGTGACCGCGTCACGAATCGGGCGACTCATGTCTCTACCCGACGCGGTACGCATTGGTCACCGTCTAGCCGGAGTTCGCCACGGCAAGGTGTTGTCGCAAGCAACTGCGACGACGCCAACCGCGCCTGCCGTCGCCTCTATCGCCTACTGGTCCTCGATGCTGCTGCCACATCCTGCGGGCCTTCAGAGCAGCTCGGCGTCGACGATTCACGGCTACCTTTCCTGTAGAAGGATTGAGAATGCCGGCCTCTGGCATGTGCGATGTTATGTCTGGACGCAGGCATGCAGTCATGTCTCTGTCATCCGACCCGGTTGGCTACTATTTTTCCCCCTCACCCTACGCAGCGCCAGCGATAATGCGCCAGTAGGGGCCTCGCTTGTAAACCATATTTTCGACTTCCCGCTCTCCATACGCTGAGGACAATGCGTTAATCCTCGCCGATCCTGTCTTATAATTATCGTTTATGTATCGACCCTGTCAGGGATGTACTCTATAGTCTATACCACAGATATAATCGCCGGCTACGGAATCGCCGCTCGCACGTTGATAAACTGGTCGCAGACCGGAGCCCTCTCATGCACGTCGGAGAGTGAGTCACGACGTCGGGGGATGTATCTAAGAAATAGCGAGTCCATGTCACTTGGAGGTACGCGCATGCGCTATACGCTGATTCGGGCCAATCATTCTTCGGGCTATCATGAAGATAACAAGAACAGAATGCATATGATGACACTGGCTGGGTCGTCAGAAGAAGGGGAAGACTGGCTCGCAAGGGAAATGGGGTATACGCAGTAGGAGGTGCTAGTAGCCGACTATGATACTTGGATATTCAACGGCGAGCCCGTCAGTGACGATAAATGAAGAGGAGGCGTTGCAAGGCAAGGATAGTACTCCACATGCGACATGGGCATACCGTAAGCTGCAGTATCAAACATAACGTAGATGCCAATGCCACTGGCGTCACTCCAAGGACTAGTCGGTACGACAGGGTCAAACGGAACGCACGAGAATAAATCGAGAGTGTCAGAGGGGAGCTCATCGTACCATGGCTGTAACGGCTCTGTAGATGCGGACGAGGCGTCTCCGGCGTTCGCTAAAGTATTTGCGCAATCCCATGTAGATATTGTACGCGAGGGCGGAGTGTCCAATCGACCGAGGTCGTCGGCTGCATCCCGAGGCGCAGAGTGACCATGTGGCTCAGAGTGGATGTTGCTGAGCGGCTGCAGGAGAGACGTCGAGGCAAGGCTGGTGGAATTGGAAGCTGTAGAGACGGTCAATGTCAAGCGTCTAGGGTCGCAGCCATGTGACGCACACTCACAGCCCGTCCCTGAGGCGCTACTGGATTCGGGTTGCGCAGGCGTCGAACAGGGGACCCGCTGAGGTGGAAAATTCGAGTGCTCGTCCCCGATAGGGACGCTGGGGCGAGACTCATTCCGAAGCCCGGCGGCGTTTCCGCTAAGGAGACGTTTGCTGAGACCATGGCCTGAACGCCCGACTCGGCGCTGTACAAGGGTAGGGCTCGATCGAGAACGAGGCCATCGGCGTGCCGAAGAACTGGAAGGACAGTCCCAGGTGGGCAGAACGCACCGACGCTTGGATACGGGCTCGTCGACGGCGTCGGGCCGCGGACGCTTGAGATCAGGTGCTACCAACGAAGGTTTTCCGAATTGTGGTGAAGGTGCGGTCGGGAGTAACATGAGCGAGCTGCGTTTGAAGGCAGGCAGTGGGACGCCGTCTGGGCGGGAGCTGCTGGCAGGTTTTGTTGGCGGGGGGATGGATGAAAGCGTCACGCTGGGTAGTAGAGGTTGATCGTCCCTTGGCGCTTGGAGAGACGATGCGGGGGAGAGAGACTTGCTCTTGCTGTAGGCGCGTAGATCAGTATTGCAGCTCCTCACATATATCAAGGGCGTGCTTACAGCGGGGCGGCTAGGTGTTCGCCTTTGCCCGTCTGTCCAACATCCCCTACATCATTCGGAAGCCCAGACGCGGTTGTGGTCTGAGTGTGCAAGGAGCCTTGTCCCTTCACCCTCTCGATAACTCTCTGGAGCGCGTCGCTTGGTTGAGAATAGTTGGCATACAATGACACGGCGTTATGTTCAATCTCGGCGAAGTGAAGTTCGAGGTCGGGTGATAGAGGTCGAAGCGTATCCCTCTCGGGCCAGAAGCGCGACGCCGCCGCGACGATCTCAATCTGAGATCGGTTGAAGCGGGTAGCCCGTAGGTGTGACCATCCGATGCGCTTTCGCGCGTTGACGAACCAAGTAGTTATTGCCTTGGCTGTGGCCTTGCTCTCCAGGCGAAGACGCTCGCGCTGTTGTTGTGTCGGATAGGGATTGTGTAAGTTGGCAAGCAACCACCTATAGCAGGGCTCGTTGAGACTCGGCGCGGCAGGTACTCTGTGAACAATCAGGCATGCAGCTCATGCGTGGGCAACCGGTGTGCATACCGAGTGCTAGCCTTACGCGACTGTGGTTTTGGGACGTGCTGAACCAGCGCGGAGGTAACGTTTCGATACATCTTGCTGCCGAATTTTGCTGCGGCATTTTCGAGAGCCCGTCGGCGATCTGTCGAAGAAGATGGATGCGCGAAAGGTAGAGCAATCGACAGCATCATATGCGTTACAAGAACAGTATGTGAGACAGGACTTTTGGTGCGGACACGACGATGGTGGAGGTTTGACACAGGCAAGTTGAGGCGAGTACGGTGACGCGGAGAGCGGGCCGGGCTCGGCTCACGGAGATGATGAAGAAGATTCCCACGAGGTTACTCTGTAACGAAGTCTCGATTGAAAACCCTTGCCCTCCTCCCTTGGAGGAGGGCCCTTTTATACCTACAGCTGTAAGTAGTCATAACTAGTCACGGAGTATATATACGAGTCATAAGAAACCAGGAGAACCTCAAGGAACTCCAAAGGAAATACCCCCGCGAGGGGTGAAGGCAGAGCACGTGGCGTCGGCTAAGGCCGAGGCGTCACATACCCCCCTCCAGCGCCTTCTAAGGCGCTCTGTAAGTACAGTAGCAACCAGTAAGTAGCACGTATGTATAGAATAGAAACGAGTCTTTGTTTTTGTATATATTTCGAACCTTTTCTGTAAGTAACTTTCGAGCCGTTGTTCTGATGATCTCTAGTAAGTAGTAAGTAACTACTGGTTCCCCTTGCCCTCGCGCCGCTTGGCACGGTTCGCCTCGAAGGCCTGCTGGCGGCGGGCGTTCGACAAGCGCCCCTGCATCGCCTCGATGGCCGTCACCTCACGAAGGAGGAGCTCCTCGTTGGTGGGCTCGGGCACCTTGCCCTCCACCTCGTCCATGTAGCGATGCGCGGCCGCTCCGCTGCTGATGTCGAGGATCTGACGCACCCAGAAGGTCCGATCAATGCGCTGCTCGTCGGGGATGGGTCGGACTTTGCCGGTCGCGAGGTCGATCGGGCACATGTGCTTGCCGAAGTCGGCGCGCTGGAGGATTTCCACGAACTCGGCATAGCCGGACGGGACCTCAACAACGTCGTGGCGGATTCCAGTAGCAGTGATGCCGTCGCTGAAGCGCATGTACTCGACGAGGATGGTGAGTGGGATGCGGTAACTGAAGAGGTATTCTTCAGGGTCGTTGCGCGCGTAGATAGGGATGACGAGGCGGCGTCCGCGGATCTCCCACGTCATGGGAACGATGCGGCGGTGGGCGAATTGGGCCGGGCCACGTGGCTTGGCGCGGCCGAGGAGGAAGCCGTCGTCCTCGGAGGCGCGCTTGGCGGGCGTCGTCTCAGCGGCGGCGGACGGAGGCGCGGTCTTATCCGCACCAGCGTCGGCGGCGGCGTTGACGCGCGGGATGGGTTGCTTCATGACGTCGGAGCGCGCGGCTTCCTGCTGGCGGATGCGGTCGGCGATGATACCGGCATTGTACTTGGCGCGGGCGGCCTCCTTTGCGCGGAGCGCGGCGGCGGTGTCGACAGGCGGCTCGCTGTCGATGAGAGTGGAGGCGGCAGAGCCGGCGGCGTCGAGGACGGACGACATCGTCTTGGGCGCGGGTGCCGGCGGGGCGGCCTCGGAACTGGGTGGGTCGACATCCATCGGTTGGACCGAGTCCGCCTTGTTGCCATTTTTGATCGCCGGCGCCGTTTTGGCCTTGGTGTGGGAACGGGTACCGACACGGTTGACGTTGGGCGAAGGGGAAGGAGAGTTGGGAAGCGGAGGTAAGGTAGAAGTATCCATAGTATGTATGTAGAGAGAGGAAGAGGAAATGGAGTTGGTTTGGCATACTGACTGTCCATCCCTTTTAAGGGGATCCCAGCTAAGCCCATTACCCGATTCGTCGTGAATCTCGCCATCGGGAACACGAGGCTCGATCGTGAGTTCGAGATTCCCTACATACAATTGGATATCCCCGGGGTCTGGTTCAGATCCAGCCGGGAGATCACCCGCTTTGTCAACGCCAAGCGCCTCAAGGTACTGCTTGACCTTCTCGAGGGTGGCAACATTCTTGATCGGGATCCAGGACATGTCGCCTGGCTTCCACTTCACCTTGAGTACTGCATCAGCACCCTTGCCGTGATGTCCCACAATCTCCTCAATTGCCCATTCTTTCTCCCAGGCACCGAAGTCGGCCACCTGAGTCTCAAGGCGGCCCGGAAATAGCCGATCATCATTGGGAATATGAATTCTCAATAGAGACGCGTGGAAGCGCGGGTGTATTCCCCGCTGCTTCAACTCCTTCGGGAGATCAAGAAGGAAGGCCTCATTGCCTAGATCCTTCAGGATGCGGTATGGTCCAATGAACTTGGGAAGTAGCTTACGAACGCGGCCCTTCGGGAAGTTCATGTTGGCAGTTGAGACATATACTAGATCGTTCTCGGCAAAAGGCGCGCGGATGCGGCGTCGATTGGCATCACGTGTCTGCTTGACACGCGCGGCGAGCACTGCGTCATGAGCCTGCATGATGGCCTGCTTGACGCGGCGCGCATAAGTCCGCACCCCGGGATATTCCGTCGTGGGTGCGTCCTCCCAGATCATGGCGCGGGGCATGCGACCAGTATTCAGGAAGAACGGTGCATACCCCGTGCTCTCCGAGCGCACGGAGTTGATCGCAAACTCAACCGCCGGCAATTTCAGGACCCAGTCCGATTGAGCGGGCTCGACGCATTCGCGTATCATCTGGACAACTGTCCGATTGGCCCGTTCAGTTGATCCGTCGGTCTGCGGATGGTATGCAGTTGACATGCGCAGCTCCGTTCCGATCAACTTGTGCAGGTGAGTCCAGAATATGCTCGTGAAGAGCGAATCCCGGTCACTGACTATGTACTTGGGGAGCCCATGTAGCTTATAGACTTCCGCAAAGATAATGTATGCCAGAGTCTTGGCAGTCACATTAGTACGCGTCGGAATAAGATGTACCATGCCGGTCAGCAGGCAGATCACGACGAGAAGGTAATTGAAGGTCCCATTGTGATTCTCGCTCTCGGGAAAGGGACCCGTGAAGTCTATCCCGATAGCTTCCCAAGGCGTGCCAGGCACCGGCAGGGGATTCAATAGCCCGTACGGCTTGTGATTGCTGGGCTTATTCCAAGCGCACGTGGTGCATGATGCGATGAACTTCTGCACATCAGGCACCAGCGTCTTCCACCACACCTGATCACGGAGCACGGGGATAACCTTAGCGGCACCGAGATGCGCGAGTAAGGTGTGTGCTTCCTGAATAATGAGTCCTCGCACGGAGCGACCACTTTCCTTGATGTTCGGAATGCACAGCAGACGACGAGAGTCCTGCTTCAGGAAGATGAGTCCGTCAACCACCTCAAAGTTTCGGAAGTGACTGGGTTCTTCCAATATCTTGGCAAAGAACGGATCGTCCTGATACTTATCCCGGATCAAATCTTCAATGCGTACACCCCGTGTGTGATTGGGTATAGCCGTCAAGATAGGTTCCGTGAGGCTAGGAGGTGCGATATCATTATCTTCGTCACCTTCCGCGCCGACCGAGGTCGAGACACGTGTTTCCTCTGCTGAGGCTGGTGTCTCGCCTGTCGGGTGTTCTGGTTCGGATTCCGACATCTGGACAGCACTAGGTATGTCTATATTCGCATCCTCTGTGATTGGGCTGCCGACGTCGGGCGACGACGGGCTGTCTTCGACAGCGCGCGAGTGCGCGTTCTCTCGGGTACCCGAGGGGTACTCGGAAGATGCCGAATGTGATGTTCCGCTGACATCACCTCGCGTGGCTTGATCGGAAGCAAACGCGTGATGAGCTGGCAGCGCGTTCTGCGCTGCTTCCTTCTCACTCATCTCGTCTTCAAACGCGTTCGGGTCACTTGCAAAAGGTTCGACCGGGTCGTCTCCCCCCTCCAGACGCGTCGCGCGTCTATCAGAATCGCCATCCGCCGCGTGATCGCCCACAATCAAGCGGACGGATCCTTTCTTCGCAGCGAGTCGGCGAACCCAGTCGTTGAAGGCCTTCGTCGAGCCTTTCGGACGACCGCGACCACGGCGTGGAGCTGCGTCGTCCCCGCCTTCTGGCGCAATTGCCAGGGCGCCAAGCTCGGTCACAAGCGGCCGAGTAATGTCCATACCGTCGTAATCGACAGAGCCATCCTCATCAAAGGATGTATATTCAGAGGGAGAGCGCAGTGTTCCAGGTGCGTCGCCCTCGTATATGCGTGATAGTGCATCAGCTAACACGTTATCCACGCCCGGCAGGTACACGACTTCGAAGTCAAACTCGCCCAACTTCTCAAGCCAGCGCGCTTGCCGCCCCGAAAGGTTTGGCTGCCGCAGAAGATGGACGAGACCACGATGGTCAGTCACCCACGTAAAGTGGAATCCCTGAAGTAAGTCGCGATGTCGCTGCATTGATTCCACGCCAGCTAACATCTCAATCTCATGTACAGGATAATTCTGCTGAGTCGTGCTCAGCTTCGCGGAGAAGAGCGCGATTACCGTTCCGGTACGCCAATCCTCCCCTTCAACGACTACTCCTGACAAAGACGACTTAGAGCCGTCGGTCAGAAGCCAAACGCGCGAAGTGGGCTTGCCATCCGGCCCGAGGGTGATGCCTCGGCGTGAGACGCGCTTGCTCGCGCTCACCAGCCGCTTGCAATCCTCAAACGCGCGCTGCTGCGTGAATCCCCACTCCCATCGGTGAGTTTCGCCGCACAAATCGTGCAAAATGCCCAGGGGCGCGGCGATCTCGGCGACATTGTCGGCGAGCCAGCCCACCGCGCCACAAAATGCGCGAACTAACTTCTTGTTCGTAGGCACCGGCCACTTCGCGACCTCGTCAACGCGGGCAGGATCGACACGAATGCCGTTCGCATCAACGATTCGCCCAAGTACGCGCACTTCAGGCTCGAGGAAGTGCAGCTTATTAACACCCAGATAGAACTTCTCGCGCGCCAGCACCTCAAGCACGGTTTTGACAGCGCGAACATGCTCTTCGAGCGTGTCCGTGTATATGACAATATCGTCAAGGTACACGTCCATGAAGACACCTAGGTAAGGGCGAAAAATATGCGTCATTATTGCCTGACACGTCGCGACAGCATTGCAGTCGCCCTGGAGCATAACCTTGCTCTTCACGTTACCATCAGGCGTCGCCATGATGTTAACGTCTTCGTACTCAGGTAAGACACGTATTTGCTCATAGTGGTCTTTCCCGTCGAGAATTGACCAATATTTCG